CTATAGGAGCAACCGTAGGACCCTTAAAGATTCCCCTCTAGGGACCACTTTACCGTCCCTATGAGTAGAGACCGCAGAGCCACGCCCCTTTTTGCGATGGTGAAATGCACTGGTTTTTTAGATTTCGTGTTTGATGTTTTCGTAAAAGCGCAATACTGAATCAAACACAGAGAAATTTGGTGGAAACATAGAGAAAACTTTCCTCTTCAATCTGATATACTTTTCACCCGATTTTTGTAGCGTTTTAGCGGAGTGTCGTACAAAAAACCGAAACTACTTTTTTTCTTCGGGTTTTTAACCTAGTTCCATGTCGTTGGCGCCTTTTTTTATTTTTCGAATTCGATTTTTTTAAGTGAAAAAAACAAATCTTTTAAGACAAAAAAATTAAAAATTTTTTTACGGTGCCTAATCTTCGTGAGGCCGCGCAAAGTTGAAAAATGTTGTACTCGGTTTCGAGAGCGTGTAAGTAAAAAAATTTTTTTATTTTAACTTGTGGATTAAATTGTAACTAAAAATTTTTATTAATATAAAAACTTATTCCGAAAACTTTGTTTTCTGAGAAAAAAATAGACAGTCAAAATTTCGAAATTCATTTTTAACATGGTCAGATGTCGTTGGCGCCTTTTTTTATTTTTTTAAATATTAGCGTATCTCAATTTTCAATCAATTAAAAAAATAAAAATAAAAAAATTTTAGCGGTGCCTAAAAAGTTTAATCAGTGTTAGTTTGAAGCCAACGTTAAAATAAGAAAAAAACACCGAAAACGGAAGCATTTCGAACTGAATCTCTATGAATAAATTATTTTTAGGTGGTCCGAACACACGTGACTAATAATTGTTCAACTACCATAACTTTTTTTTAAACAAGATAGTCGGTAGATGCTGTACTTTGAAGTGAAGTGGTGTATAGCGCGAACGCCTCCCGTCTCCGAGAGATGTACGTGGAGCAGCGCAAGTGCGCTTGCATACAGTTTTTGATATCGCGAGTTCAATCCTCGCAGCGGCAATTTTTTTATTTTTTTCAAGAAAAAAATAGCTTTTTCTTTTCAAACTTGTGGTTTTATACTGTTTTAATGACTTATTACGACTTTGAAAAACCAAACTAAACTACTAAAAAAATTTAAATCCGATATGAATACAAAATGAACGACCAAAAAGTGTAAAAATCTAAACTTTCAGTACTAAATTTCGCGACTTTTTTTCACTACTGTTTTTGACCATAACTTTTTCTCAACCTTTTTTTGAAAAAAACTAAACTGTTTTTGAATAGTAAATTAGAGCAGCTATCCAACCATAGTAATATTGAAGTTCGAAAAATTTTTTGAAAATTCGTCTGCGGTCCCTACCTATGAGGGCCAAAAAAAAAAATTTTAAACGGAATATTAAGGGGTTAGTTTCTGAACCCCTAGAGGGACCACTTTTTTGTCCCTTATAAAACTGTTTTTTTCCCTCTAGAAATCAATAAAAAGTCTTTTCAGATTGAGACATTCAGATATAGAATATTTTTGATCGATTTAAAAAAAAACAACAATATTTCGAGAGTTAATCATCCTAATGTACAGTACCGTGCAGTAAGATATACAATTTCACTTTTTTCGTCATAACTTTTGCAGGAGCTGTCCAATTTCTGTAAAACTTTCTACAGTTGTTGCTTTCAAATCCAGTATTTTAACACGAAAAAATCAGCTGAGTAGCTAATTTTTGTAGTAAGTTACAGCTTGAAACCTGGAATCAACGAAATCTCCAAAAGCGGAAAAAAATTTCAAAAGTGTTTTCTGGTTGATATACGATAGGAAACAGTTATTGAACACCTTTTTATATTCCACTGAAGTTTTGAGCTCATTGTACCATTGATTGCTTCACTGTAAAACAGTTCCCCAGATCAAAAAAAGCTTTAAGTCCAGACGCCTTTGATTTGTACCAATAAATAACCTTTTGAAGGTCCTGACCGCCTTGAACCGTTCCTACCATCCCGCCTGTTTCCAATGTACTGCCTGCAGTCTTTGTCTCGACGGGGTTTCGTTTGCTTTGGACAAAAACGGACAGGTATTCCACCAATAAAAATGCGAAACACCCTGATTTTCAGCCTTTCTGTATGCCGGACTACCATGAGAGGTTCGCCCCGAGGTGCGCCAAGTGCAAAAAACCGATCCTACCTGAAAACGTGAGCGAAAAACAATCCAAGAAGAACTTCTAGAGCTTCTAGAAAAGCTAAAGAAGTTTCAGTCGAGCTCCGACAGAAATTCCACTTTCTAAAGCGCTTTTCATTGACCAAAAATAAAGGAAAAAAAAAACCGAAATTCGTCACTATTTTTACAAAATCACGAACTTTTTAATTTTTTTAAGATAATATCCATTCAAGGAAAAAACTCTTTTGGGACTAAGTCGAAGTTTTTTGAACAGATTTTCCAATGAAGCTCGAAGTTGGTTTTTCTTTCAAATCATTCAGTTTCTACGTTTCATCTTTTTTGAAAGCCTGAAAATTCTAATTTTCTTTTATTTTATAGTGTTCAAAGAAAATTGAGCGGCTTCTAAATGACGTGTTATTCATTCATTTATCTCGCGAAATACTCAAAACTGAAGCCTCGGTAGCTTTTATGAAATTCGGTCCTACAAAGAGAATGGTTTTCACGGGCAAAACTCCAAATTTTGACTTACAGTACCGCTCAAAAGTATATTAAGTTTTGGTTTTTGAGGATATCTCAGCGAGTACTCATCCGATTTATATATAACTATCAGGGATTATGTAAAAATATACTTTAAAAACATATACGGTATACACATACATGTTCGCAGTCACTGCGACGCGTTTTAGAATTTTTGAATTCAATTTTTTTTGTTTTTTATGCTTTTATTTTTATTTATTTTTATTAAATGTTTTAAAAGTAATAATGTTGCCATATGTTTTTTTTCATGTTTTCAGACATGAGAAGAACCTCTGGGAAAAAGATTTTGACTGATAACGACAAAAGAGCCATCGTTGTGGGTCGTCAAAATGGACTGACCATGATGACGTTGGCAGGAATGTTCGGCGTGGCAGAGGCGTGCATTTCTCAGTTCCTGAAGCGTTGGAAAGCTCAAGATGGCACTATTAAGAGCCAACGCACTGAAAGACCACGTGTCATTGATCGTAACGGGGATAGAAACATTTTGAAGACGCCTAGAACCAATCCAAGACTCACCGCCCCTGCGATCAGACGGGAAGTTTTCTCGAATTCGCCATCTCCGCCATCCGTCTCGACCGTGAAACGACGTCTCAATGCTGCTGGAATCATGGGAAGACGTGCAGTGAAAAAACCGCTGATTTCTGAAAAGAATCGAGCCGGCAGGGTGAAGTGGGCGAAAGAGCATCTCAACTGGACCCGTCAAGACTGGAACAAGATTCTGTCGTCCGACGAAACGGTCCTCCACCATGTTTCACAAAGGGTAATTGGTATTTCGGATGATATCTGGACCCAATTGGTCTACGAACTCACTGAATTCCGTCACTTCCGAAGAGGAGGAACTTGCTTTCGTCGGACGACAGAATCTTGTTCCAGTCTTGACGGGTCCAGTTGAGATGCTCCTTCGCCCACTTCACCCTGGCGACTCGATTCTTTTCAGAAATCAGCGGTTTTTTCACTGCACGTCTTCCCATGATCCCAGCAGCATTGAGACGTCGTTTCACGGTCGAGACGGATGGCGGAGATGGCGAATTCGAGAAAACTTCCCGTCTGATCGCAGGGGCGGTGAGTCTTGGATTGGTTCTAGGCGTCTTCAAAATGTTTCTATCCCCGTTACGATCAATGACACGTGGTCTTTCAGTGCGTTGGCTCTTAATAGTGCCATCTTGAGCTTTCCAACGCTTCAGGAACTGAGAAATGCACGCCTCTGCCACGCCGAACATTCCTGCCAACGTCATCATGGTCAGTCCATTTTGACGACCCACAACGATGGCTCTTTTGTCGTTATCAGTCAAAATCTTTTTTTCCCAGAGGTTCTTCTCATGTCTGAAAAACATGAAAAAAACATATGGCAACATTATTACTTTTAAAACATTTAATAAAAATAAATAAAAATAAAAGCATAAAAAACAAAAAAAATTGAATTCAAAAAAAAATTCCTAAAACGCGTCGCAGTGACTGCGGACATGTCTTTGTATACCGTATATGTTTTAAAGTATATTTTACATAATCCCTGAAAGTTATATATAAATCGGATGAGTACTCGCTGAGATATCCTCAAAAAACCAAAACTTAATATACTTTTGAGCGGTACTGTATTTGGTCATTTTTAACCAAAAAGTTCCATCTGACGCTATCTCGTAAAAGATTCCAATTTTCTGAAGGCTCCTGAAATTATCATTTTGCGTATGTCGCGAAATTATTTTAAAACGAAACGAGAGATTTTCTTGAACCGCTAATTTCAACACGGCATCAATGAGAATACTCTGGCAGAAAATTTGCCTGAAATTCCCGATTCGGGCCTATTATTTACTTTTTTCGTCATAAGTGGTCCCTTTCAAAATCTAAATTTTTTTTCTAGGATTCTGGAGAAACGATTCGAATCGTGGCACTCGATCGAGACTATCACCTGGAATGCTACAGTTGCGAGGTGATTGTCAGAAAATTCTAGAAAATTCTGTTTTTTTTTCCATCTGAGAGAGGTTGCTAAAAAAAGAGTAGATTTCAATTTTGACGGTAGATTAATGAGTTTAAAAACAGTGTCAAAGAAAGAAAATGAAACTTCTTAAGGTATTCTTTTTAAACTTCCATATTTTTGAAAGTATCTTTCACAGAGCAGAAGCTTAAGTGCACTCTAGTGGTCACTTGACTAATTTCGCCTGATTTTAGGTCTCTATTGCCACTGAATTCCTTTGAAGACCTTATCACACTCATTTTAAAGAAAATAATCAAAATGACCTCAGAACTGCGGAATCGGCCTGAGCGACGAGTCGCGTCCTTGCTTCCCCCTGAACCAGCGTCTCTACTGTGAGCAATGCCATTTGATTTGCGCCAATCGACGCAGCCGAACCCCGCCCCCAATAACTGATCTTTAGGGCATTCCAACTTTTTGAAAAATTGAAACCCCCCCCCCCTTGGGGATTTGACCCTAAACCACTATAAGGACCACCTAAATTCACCCCTATAGGGAGCACTTTTTTGTCCCTTATATGGCTTGAACCCTATAGGGACCACTCTGGCGTTCCTCAGTTCCTCAAAAATAAGATTAAAAGTCAGATTCCGACGGTTCAATATTCATTTCTTCCAGCATATTTCCTCTAGTTACCTCAATCCCGGCCTGACATTCGAAAAGCTTTTTTTTATTTGCTGTGGCTTTTTTTACTCGAATTGTGCTCAAAATTTAGTTTAATCAGATGATACTCAACTATATGCATGCTTCATAACCGTTTATATATTGCGTTTGATAATAAAATTCAAGATTGGAGTATTTATTATCGATTTACAGAAAATTATCCCAAGTTGAGGAAGAGAAAGCATGTCGAAAAGCTTGGAATGGGAGTCTGAAATTTCAAAAAATTAGGTGGAAAAAAAGCTGGCCTGTTTGCCCTCTCTTCAGTGATAACTTAGGGAATAGAGGGCGCAGACAAGTCAGACAAAAAGAGGAAAGCTGCACAAGAATGCTGACCGGTCTGCTCTCTTTACACCATAGGTTAGAGAGAAGAGGGCGCAGGCAAGCAAGACAAACTTCTCGAGAATGCTGGCCATTCTGCCCTCTCTTCAGCAATCGGTTAGAGAGAAGAGAGCACAGAAAAGTCAGACAAAAGGAAGAAAACAGCACGAATGCTGGCCCCTCTGCCCTCTTTTTAACAACGACTTAGAGAGAAGAGGGCACAGATAAGTCAGAAAACTGCACGAGATTAATGGCCTGTCTGCCCTCTCTACAGCGATCGGTCAGAGAAAAGAGGGCGCAGACAAGCCAGAGAAACTGCACAAGATTTCTGACCGGTCTGCCCTCTCTTCAGCGATCGGTTGGAGAAAAGAGGGCACAGACAAGTCAGACAAACTGCACGAGATCTCTGGCCGATCTGACCTCTCTTCAGCGACTTTTTAGAGAAAAGAGAACTCCGACGAATCAGACAAAATGAGGAAAACTGCTCGAGAATGCTGACCGGTCTGCTCTCTCTCTCTCTTCAGTGATCGGTTAGAGAGAAGAGAGTACAGACAAGTCAGACAAAAAGAGGAAAGCTGCACAAGAATGCTGACCGGTCTGCTCTCTTTACACCATAGGTTAGAGAGAAGAGGGCGCAGACAAGTCAGATAAACTGCACGAGAATGCTGGCCAGTCTGCTCTTTCTCTTCAGGGATCGATTAGAGAAAAGAGAGTACAGACAAGTCAGACAAAAAGAGGAAAACTGCACGAGAATGCTGGCCTGTCTGCCCCCTCCTCAGTGAACGATTAGAGAAAAGAGGCCGCAGGCAAGCAAGACAAACTTCTCGAGAATGCTGGCCATTCTGCCCTCTCTTCAGCAATCGGTTAGAGAGAAGAGAGCACAGAAAAGTCAGACAAAAGGAAGAAAACAGCACGAATGCTGGCCCCTCTGCCCTCTTTTTAACAACGACTTAGAGAGAAGAGGGCACAGATAAGTCAGAAAACTGCACGAGATTAATGGCCTGTCTGCCCTCTCTACAGCGATCGGTCAGAGAAAAGAGGGCGCAGACAAGCCAGAGAAACTGCACAAGATTTCTGACCGGTCTGCCCTCTCTTCAGCGATCGGTTGGAGAAAAGAGGGCACAGACAAGTCAGACAAACTGCACGAGATCTCTGGCCGATCTGACCTCTCTTCAGCGACTTTTTAGAGAAAAGAGAACTCCGACGAATCAGACAAAATGAGGAAAACTGCTCGAGAATGCTGACCGGTCTGCTCTCTCTCTCTCTTCAGTGATCGGTTAGAGAGAAGAGAGTACAGACAAGTCAGAAAAAATGAGGGAATCTGCACGAGAGTGCTGGACAATCTGTCCTCTTTACACGATCGATTAGAGAAAAGAGGGCGCAGGAGAGTCAGACAAGCTGCACGAGATTTCTGTCCGGTATGACCTCTCTTGAGATGTCGCTTAGGGAGAAGAGGGCACAGACAAGTCAGAGAAACTGCACGAGAATGCTAGCCACTCTGCCCTCTCTTCAGCAATCGGTTAGAGAAAAGAGAGCACAGGCGAGATAGATAAAATGAGGAAAACTGCACGAGATTTCTGGCCGGTCTGCTCTCTCTTCAAATGTCGCTCAGGGAAAAGAGGGCACAGACAAGTCAGACGAAAAGAGGAAATCTGCACGAGATTGCTAATCCTTCTGCTTTCTCATTAGTGCTTAGAGAAAAGAGGGAGCAGGTAAGTCAGGAAAATCAGAAAAACTAATTCAAGCTAACTAATTATCATTCAAAGCTCACCTCAAAAATATTCCTTAGATGCCTTGAGAAGATTGGCGCCATCGGAAAACGGGTTTTTGTTTTTCAAAGATTGTGAGACATCACCGGTGTCTTTTCCCGGATTTTCTTGATCAAACGGCTTGTTTTTTAAAGGTTTTCTGACGTCCGAGTCATCTTTTTCCTCATTTTCGGGATTTGGGAGCACCTTGTTCTTCAAATGCTTCTTGACGTCAGAGTCGTCTTTTTCCACGTTTTCCGGATTTGATAGCACCTTGGTTTTCAGAAATTTTTTGACGTCCGAGTCGTCTTTTTCCACGTTTGTTGGCACCTTGTCTTTAGAAGAACCACATGGGTCTTTTCCGGAGTGGTTTGGCGACGGCGGCTTTGATATTTTCTTCGAGTGCTCCTTCGGAGAATTTCCTTCTGGCGGCACTGGAAGCCAGACTTTGGACCCTTTCTCCGAGCTCGAACAAGCCGTCGGTAGCATGTGAGAGGGGAGTGTATCAATGGGAGATTGGGAATCGGACACGCCTTCTTTCTGGAAATACAACTTATTTTTTGGAGTCAAGGTTTTTTTTGGCTAATGTGGAGATCCTACCGACAAGCAAGGATGTTTTTATTTTTAGAAATTTTAAAAAATGACCAGGATCTTCATTGCACGCCGTTTTTTCGACGACGCCACGCCCACTTTTTCTCCGTAAAGTGTCGTGTGTCGTGTGCATGCACTTCGCCGCTTTCGCGCATGAGAAATTTCGATTCGTTTCAAAGTTCTCTGGCAATACGGCGACCTGCGCCTTTAATATGCCCTGTTATTAACGCTCCTAGAACCGAAATCTCTGTCGTTCCCATGACGTCACGTGAGATATCCTGGCTCCGCGCACCGTGTTTTTGGTTTTACCTTTTCTTCCACCAACGAAATGCTAAAAAAAATCCTGAAAGTCTCAACCTCCCTACTTCCTTATTGATCAAGAAAAAAAAAGGTGTTAGCCCAAAAATTGAGCCAATTTTTGTTTTAGAGCCCCTTTTTTCGGAAAACTGGGTAGTTTTGTAGGTTGAGACTTTAAGGATACATAAAGACGTATACTTAAGGACCGCCGAGGTTCGCCCACTTGCGGGGTCCCTTTTCTGTATGAAAAATAATAAAAGTTAAGAGCGTATGCAGTTCTACGAGGGGGTGTATGCGGAAGGAGCAATTTTGCGCGTCACAACGCTTTCGAAGTTATTTTAAAGACACTTTTAATTGTTTTTTTTGTTTTTTCTTTAAATTTTTTTGGTATACGATATACTAGCCATATTTTAAGGGTTTCTCGAATTCAAAATGAGCAACTTTTTTGAGCTGAAAAACTAGAATAAAATCCTCTTAAAGAAAATCTTAAAATTCTTGGTATATTAATGATTTTCAGTTACTCACCTTAACCTTCAATATTTTCGAACCCTGCGACATCGCTTTGGTTGACGTTTGCCGTTTATTCCTCTCATTGTCCTTCTTCTTGTTCTTTTCCTTGTCAGATTGCGATTTTTCTTGTTTTTCTTCCGTTGACTGCCCCTTTTTCGCTGTTTTGTACTGAAAATAGTTTTCTATCGGTTTTTTTTATTGAAAAGTAACCTCGAAATGCTGACGGGACATTTGGTAGGTTAGGAATATGGCAACAGCAAAGCATATAACTGAAAAAAACTCGGTAAAATTCAGATCATTCAGCCTTTTTTAACAGTATAGCTTGTCCGCGCCCTCTTGTCTCTAAGCGAGAGATTCAGAGAGCGCAGACAGGTCAGATTTTTTTTCTAAAACGTTAAGAAATTAGTAGTTTTTTTTTAAATACAGTGTTTGGATTAGGTGGCGATAAGTGTCCACTTAAGAGGTTTTTCAAGGATTACTTCGAGAGGAAACTAAAGTGGCCACTGAAAAAACCTTCTAGAAGGCGCCATTCTGCGACGTGGCCACTATAGTGTTTTTAGTGGTCTAGTAAATAGGCCAGATCAAACTACCTACAAGAAAGTTTTGACTAAAAAAAATCAATTTTTTCGTACTTTCGCATTTCAAAACTAGTCAAAAACATACGTAAACATGCGAAAACAATAAAAAATAGGAAAATGTTGAGCCGAAAAAGGATATCGCCGTCTTCGAAGCTGACGCCCTTCTCACAGGGGCTCATTGCATAGAAATGAAATCTGCGTGACATATTTTCCCATCGAAATTATAGTTTTACACAATTTGAGGCGTAATCCTTTATGAGCGTGATTTTGATTCTTTTTTTAAGCTTTAGGGAAATTTTCATAAGGTCCAAATCTTTTCTCATAATGGCTATAGTCTGTGCGCCACGACTTGGAATTTCGCCGAACGACATTCCGCTGTTCCGCTGCGTGCGTTCGCGAAGCGTCTTTGAAATCTAGGTCACGTTTTCAATTGATTTTTATTGCTGTGGGAGCACATGAAAGTAAAGTACCTTAATAATAGAAAAAAGAAATTAGAAGCGCGAGCAAGGTTCGCAAAGGCGCGCAGCGGCACAGCGGAATGTCGTTTGGCAAAATTCCAAGTCGTGGTACACTGGCTATACCTGCTAAAAATCGATTTTTAGAGGTTAGAACTATTAGAGCTTTCCGCGACTCCTCTGCGCCCTCCTCGTCTTTCGACGACCCTCTCAGGTTGACATGCTATTTTTGTGTTTCTCTGACATCATCGGCGAGGGAACAGAGAGACACAGACACACGAAAACTGTCAAGTCGAGACGAATGGACTAAAGCGACTTTTCCTGGATTTTTTGAGCGAAACTTCTCAACATAGTGACCTATCTCGTAACGTGATGATAATGATCAAAAAGTGACGTGACTAGTAAGATGTTCGAAGAAGCATTAGTACACCTGAGAACGCGACTAACTAGACGCTGTGCAATGGTGGCGTTCGTAGAAATCGACTCCTCAGACTCCACTAATGGTAACTTCTTTCTTTCCTACAGTTCATTCACCACTGCCTGGAACTGTCTGATTTCTCTACGCTCTCCCTTTTCCTATACTCTCTATTTTCTGTTTTAACTATCTTGCCAGTGAGAGTAAAGAGAGCGCAGAGAGGTCAGACGGTTCGATTCTATATGGTTATTTTCTTTTGTGGCCGGTTGAACTTTTGATGAAAACTTACTGAAATGTACTATAAGACCTCCTCTTACCAGAACACGGAGACGAAGGAAAATCTTTTTCGATGAACTTGTTAAACCGACTTGAAATAAGAAACTATGCTATTTTGGAAAGAAAGTTTTGGTCCATTTCCCAATGTCGATAGATTCCTCCTAGGGAATTTTTGGCAAAAACGAATTTCTTCAAAAAGTTTCGAACCCCGGGCCATAGACACCGCGGTGCAAGGACGCTAACCACTACACCACGCTGCCAACTGGAGTAGATGGCTCGTACGCCGGCCACATTCCCTCTTGCCTTGCAGAACTTACTCAGCGTGCAAACTTTGAAGCTTCACCACTTGAAAACGAGATCTATTGGGAGAAATTTAAATCGTGTTCTGGAAAGAGGAGGTCTTAAAGTAACATTTCAGCAAAGTTTCATCGAAAGTTCAACCGGTCACCAAACATTTCCCTTGTTAGCAAAAAAAAACCTACTATTATTTTTTTGTCCTACTATTATTTTTTTTCTTGTGTATTGTGAAACTAGTTCAGTTATCGGATTTCTCAGAGCCTTTTTTTCATTATAAATCCCCCTGAAATGCCGCAAATAACTTTATTCAAAAGCCCTGAAGGGAGAATTCATTCCCCGCATTAGTGACAATTCATAGATGCAACTGGAAAATACTTTTTCGGATCAAGCTTGTGTACCAAGACTTGGAATTGCACCAAACGACATTCCGCTGTGCCGCTGCGCGCCTTTGCGAACCTGGGTCGCGCTTTTAATTTTTTTCTTTTATCAAGGTACTCTACTTTCATGTGCTCCGACAGCAGTAAAAATCAATTGAAAGCGTGACCTGGATTCGAAAGGCTTCGCAAACGCACGCAGCGGAACAGCGGAATGTCGTTCCGTGAAAGTTCAAGTCGTGGCACACAGACTATTATGGAACAAACTACAGACACTAAAGATCGTTTCCAACCGGGCAACCCACTCTTTGATCAATATTTTATGAATTTTAGTATTTTTTTTCTCAACAGATCCTTCTTCGGATGACTTGAAACTCGGACAGCGCGAAAAGGCCGGCATGGGTCCCGTGTCCGTCGGGGGCTTCTGTCCCACTTGCGTTAGTTTGCCCATTTCGTGACATTTCACTCAAGAGGGATCTTTCAGCAGCAAGGCACTCTTTGCAGCGAGCGCGACCAGACCTGCTTCTTAATCGTCATTCTTCTTTCGGTTCTACTCTTCCCCTATGGATTATTTTCGCTCATGTGCATCCGCAAGAAGTTGGTTTGCAACTCTTGCCGCGCCACTTTCGACCAACCGAAATGAAGCGGATTCTTCTTTTTTGTGTTTTTTTTTGTTCCAGATGCGTTCTTAGTTTCCAGTTCCTAATTTTGTTATCGGCTGTAGAGGTGCTCAGGTGAGCTCTGGGAAGGTGATCAGCAGAAAGTTGAAGGTGAATAGAAACTAGAAGGCCTTGGGAAGGTGTTCAGAAGGTAGTTGGATGGTGAAAACTCGAAAATGTCTGTTAGAAGCTTTTCAACAGGCTTCTGAAAGGCGAGTGGAAAGTAGTGGGAAGCGTTTACTGGAAAGGCGGGACGCGTAGCGTGTGCGTTCGCGGTTCTTGGCACCAATTCGATTTAACCGCCCGACTGGAGCTGGAGCAGGAGCTGGTGCTGGCTCATTGTACACAGGAGCTGGAACTGGAGCTGGAACGGGAGCTGGAGCAGGTCCAGGCTCATTGTACCCAGAGTCTTGGTGCTTGATTGAGCCGTAGAATCGGGTTAAAAAAAGTTGTTTCTTTTCATTTTTCGGAAAAGGTTGTTATAGCTGATTCACGGCCAGCTTGGGACGCTAAGGGGGCGTGTCCTGTCTGCGCTCCCCACGATCCAGGCGCTGTCTCGTGCATTATCGTGTCAGGACCCTTTCTTCGATGGCTCAAGCCAGCCGTGAATCAGCTATCGCTCAAGTCCGGAGACCGTGCTTTGTGTGACAGCTTTGAAGTGAGAGCAAAGTCTATGCCTAATTGACGACTTGGACCACGGTAACGCAAACCGGAAGTTCTCCGGACATTTCTGAGCAATTCTAAGGATTACTTTTACGTTCTGATACTGCTAAAGAGGTCAATAGAAGCGCCCCAAAGGCTCCTGCAAAATTTAATAGCGAGCGTCAGTTTTTTGACGCAAACACAGCTACGGACTCGCACACGAATTCTTCCGACAATTTAAAAAAAAAACCTTTTTTTTGAGGATTTCAAAGTCGTAATTTTTTTCGCGTCGTTCGATTTGCTTCCTAACTTTTTCATTGAAAGCATTTTGAACTCTTAATAGAATATCAAAATTGTAGACGCGTTTCTACTGTCTCACGCTTCAACGAGGTTTTGGTAAAATTTGAATATTATTTCATTCACTGTCGCAATAATTTTTTTTTTCCTTCCAAATTTCCTTTTTAGACACATTTTGTGTTATCAACACAAATAAAAAGTGTATCATGTCGCTGAAATTTTTTCCGCATTTCAGATTCAAATATTCACGGCGTTTTAAAAAGGCTGGAGAGGGTGGCTCGTGGGCGTGGCTTAGCGCAATTGTCGCGCAGTTTTAGGAGACGTTTCTCCGCGTAGATTTACGTTCGCGTGTAAATGTTTTTGACTGTTAAATGCTATAAAACTGTTCCTTTCTGAGAATATCGTACGTCGAAATGTTCATCTCATGACGGGGAACGAGAGGAAACCCAAAAAATTTATAGGAGCTTATTAATTGGTGTCGCTTTACAAGCTTCGATTTTTTTTTTTCGCGTCTCCAGAACTTTTTATCTTCACTTATAAAATCAAGGAGCGCTCCCCATGAAATTTTCTGAAACGGGACAGTTTTGTGAACCTCGTCAATTTTTTTGAATTTTTTACAGTAATTACCGCCAGCATCATGTCAGACACAGTGTATCAAAACGGGCGAGCGCAGGCGAAAACAATGGTCGTCTCAATGGAGCGAAAACGCGAGTTCCTTCTAACGCAACGCGGTGCGGCGCGTGTCAACCTCTCAAAATTTCATTCAATTTAAATATAGTTTTTTCTCTTTTTCTCACGTATTTTTTCAGATTTTATATAGATTCACTTTCTGTTGTGTAATATAACCGTGTTGGATGCGTTTGAGAGGTACTTGAGTTAATTTTTGATCGAGGTGGTCCCGAACTTTCGACTAAATTGACATTTTGAAAAGTAACTTTTTTTGCAGAAGCTACTTGGTTCATGCTTTTGTTTTAAAATGCTCAGAATGAGTTTCTTAAAATGAACGCCCAGAGCTTTTTTTCAAAATTTTTTTTCGACGTTTTACAAAAATATATGTTGTCTAAAATGACTTTTTGAGTTATAAATTTTTGTGCCAAAGCCAATTGATTCTTTTTTTCGTTTCAGAATATTCAGAATGCGTTTTTTGAGGGAACGTTATGGGTTTTTTCCTTTAAAAAATTTTTTTAGGACTTCACGCGACGAATTGTCCTGAAAAAAAGACATTTCGTGTGATAAATCTTTTGGAAAAAGCGATTCCGTTCATATTCCATTTTCAATAGGTTCATTGTGCGTTGGAATATATTAAAACTACTATAAAAGTTCAAGGAGGCTCGAAAAACACTATCCAACGCTATGTTTCCATCCAGTAAATGCACAAAGATCGGCTCTCAATGTCGCGCCACTATTGCAATAAGCCGCGCCCCCATTCGCCCAATGACCACATCTGCCGCCTGTTTGGGAACACTGTGTCAGAGTTGATGTCGTTCAAACCCTTAGTTCCATGGTCAATATGGCAGCTTCATCCTACATCAAAAATAACTGACTGAATGACTTTCCACACATTGTTGATAAAATATAACATCCGACGGAAAGATAAAGATCTGAAAGTGACGTGCCGTGTAAAGGTATTCAGAGAAGCATCAGTACACCTGAGAAACGAGCCAACTCGACGCTCCAAGATGGTGGCAATTGAACTGGACTCTCCGACTACCGGTATGATTAAAATTATCCGTTACCCCCGATTTTCCCCGGCCCAGACTCGAATCGAACCTCTTCCAAAGACTTGGAGCTTGAAAAGCGCGAAAAAGCTGGCATGGGCGGAGCGGCGGTCGTCGGTGAGATCTGTCCCACTTGTGTGAGCTCGAATTTTCTCGTTTTTCCAAAAAAGTTTCCGCTTCAGCAACAAGGCACGGTCATGAAGGAGCGGGACCAGAAGTGTCTCATAATATGTATCATCCTTAGCCTCGGACTGTTCCCCTACGGCTTGTTAAGCTTTCTTTGTTTGCGCAAGGTGCCGACCTGCAACATGTGCAAGGCTGTTTTTTGAGCCGACATCAATGAAAGACTTCAAGAATAATCTCGGCGATCATTTTTTTGTTTTCTCTCTCTCCATATGCAATCCATTTCGACAAAAAATGCGCGCTTGAAAAGGTGACGCGCTGCGTACGCGACGCGGCTTTTCGGCGGAAAGTTCGAAGCCAGCTGCTATGACAAGAGCGAGGAGTACTGTATGCGGAAATGCGCATTGAGTGCATACACTTTGCGTGTTTACACCTCTAACAAAAGTTGTGGTGCACCCCGCGTCGGACTCTCGTTGCACCCCGCAGTGTAACCAGGGGTGCACCCCGTTTAGCTTCGAATGCCTGTTAAGGTACTTTTTCCATACAGGATTTCGAAGTGGTTTGTTTTCCAATATCACAATTTTGTACCGTTTCATCCTAGGTCGTTACGGTAGCTCAAAAAAAAACTTTTTATTTCCGACCGGTTGCCCCAGGGGTTCACCCCATTCAGTTCCAACGCGGGGTGCAGCGCAAACATCAACCAAAAGTTCACTTTTTTCGGGGTTCACTGCGGGGTAAACCCTCATTTTTGTTAGAGACTTTCGTTGCGTAGCGTCACCGGGTTTTTGTTTCCGAGTTTTTTTTTTTCGAATTTTTTCAACTTTTTTTTTTGGTTTTTTTCAAGATTTGCATTTTTCTCGAGGATATCTGCACGATAAAAAACAGTATCAAGAAAAAAAATTGAAAAAATCGAAAAATATTCGAAAAAAAAACTCGGAGATATCCTACCCGGTGACGTCACGCAACAAAAGTGTAAACACGCAGAGTGTATGCACGCAATGCGCATATCCGCATACAGTACTCCTTGCAAATGGAAAACTCGTTCATGTCGTAGCACCCGAAGTCAGGCGGGAGCCTCCACTTTTTTCTATGCTAATTTTTTTGCGGCAAAAGCCGCGTCGCTCTTGCCATTCTACCTATATCAAGTCGAAAAAAATTGACTACAATGAATATGGGTAGAAATTATATTTCGCAAACTTTTGGCTCGAAATGAAGGATCATTTTTCTTTTGGGCTGAAATCCAGCCTAAAAAATCAGGATTTGAATTAAGAAGCGCTACTTCTACTTCTGCTCATGAAAATTTTAATAGTTCCTACAAAAATTTAGGCATGACATTAATTAATGGCAATTTTAAAAAAAATCTGTTACTATGAGAAAATTTCATCTAGACTTTAATGATACACTGCCAAAGTCGCGGAAAACGGGTGCAAAATGGTCGCTAAAAGGGTTCCTTTTTGTAGCCTTTCTTTCTTGGTGGGCTTAAAAAAAGAATAAAAAAAATGACGAGGATTTTGGTTCATACACAGTCACAGGTAAATTATTATTCTTAATTTTTAAAAAAACTTTGTGTTTCTCAAAAAGGGTCCAAAAAGGGTGGATGAAGGCCGATGAAAGGACGGAAAAGGGCAGTAAAAAGGAAACCGTTGCCACGACTGATCCATAACAGACCCTAAAAGGACCCGTGAAAAGTCATTTCAAACCACAAAATGATTTTTTTTTAATTTTGCGATCTCATTGACTAGAGTGAAAAAAAAAACGTTCATCGAATGCAAGACAGTGAAAGACTTGGCTTTTTCCAACAACAAGAATGTACAAAAAAGCTTGCTGATCGAAATGACGAGAAGTTGATCAAGAGGAGATCGGAATGGAAGTTTGGAGGAATTTAAACGAAGCGCGACACCTCGTGGGCCGGAACGGGCGGGATGATTTTCTCCTCGATGACGCCGTTCGCCGTTGCGTACGCCACCAAAAACCTACAAGCAAATGTTTTTGTTCTTTGGGATTCTTCTGAAAATCAAGCTCTTTTTGGCCTTTGAACTCTAAAGGAAACTGAAAGATTCTATGTTAGCTAAAAAAAAACATATTCTCGCACAGCTCGATCACCAGAGTGGTCGCTAGAGGGTCAACCCAAGTGGTCCTTAAAGGTCCTCACCTATGGACCCCTTTCCCTCCCCCTATACGGGCAGTAAAAGTGGCCACTCTAGTGGTTCCTATACTTCTTTTCAATTCGAATTTTTAAATTTTTTCTTTTTGCCCCTGTAGAGATTGTTTTTTTCTAATCCCTCTAAAGACCACTCTGGCGTTCCTAGATCTCATTTTAGATTTATGACCCCTCTCAAAGCCCGCAAACTATCAAAGAAAAATCTTTAAAAACAGTTATCGGAGGATTTCTGAAAAGAAAATTTTTCTTTTTATGGTCCCTTTTTCAAAAGTTCTAATTTCATTATGAAATTTGATGAAATTGGTCATTTTTTCGTGAAGTTTGAAAAAACGAGCTTTCAAAAGATATTATAAGTCTTAAATTTGATTTTTAAGAAGTGTTTGGCTGATGATGACGGAAAATCCATATTTCACGCTAAAATAACCATTTTTGTCGGAATTATAACTTTTATATGGTAATCAGTAAAATCAGATCGAGAAAAGACAGACTAGGACTCTTCAGTTGTTTCAAGGCTGCAAAGAGAAATTTTTTTATTGACGGTTCGCCCATATTTTTTGCGTGAAATGTAGTGTGTTGTGTGCATGCACTGCGGCGCTCTCGCACAGTAATTTTCGCGAAATTCATTTATATTTTTCCCTCTCAAGGGGCTTTTTTTTTAATTTCGCGGAATCAATATTTTACTGAAATTATTGCCTCACGGCGTTCCTAATGGGGTGAGGGAAGGTGAGCGAGGCGTCAAACTTTCTGAATTTACAAAAAAAATTTAGTGCGCGCTACGGATAAAATGCACTGAGTATCAAACGTTAATAAACTTGTTTGTTCGATCGCCTCTGGCTGTGTACTGTAGATTTCAAATTTCGCGCCAAATTTTTTTTGACGTCTCCCCACCCCGTTTGGGAACACCGTGGCCTCAAGAAACCGACTAATCAAATGAAAACTTCAGCCTTTGGGTGAGTTTTTACAATTTTTTTTCACGTTGGTTAATAAACTTTTCTGATTTATTTTTCATAAAAAATAGTTCGAAACGAACCGTCCGTCGGCTTCGACCTTGCAGACGAGGTCCTTTCGGAAGTGGATCATTTGAGAGTAATCGCCGTAGCCGACGATCGTCTCAAAGTCCAGGTCGAACAGTTTTTGAGCTTGTTGCTGAAATTTATCGGATTTTGGTTTTTTCTAGTCGATTCACAGATTTCTTTGGAAAAAAGAGCGATTTTTTCATCTAATTTCTACCGCATGCTCAGCGATTTTCTTATCTCCAACTATAGGATTCAGTAAGGTTTTAAAATTGGAGTTAAGCTAGGGCTTTTAAAGGCGCATGGGCCAATTTTGAAAAAAAGTATCGCGACGAAGAGCCTATTTTTGGTCTTTTACTTCTGAAAATCCTATGGTTTTTTACCGTCTTCACAGGGTTTTCTTCTATTTTCCAACTTTCTTAATTTTTTTCCGATGAGAAAAAAACCTGAATTCTGTTGGCGACGCGCTGAACGTTGCATTTGTTAAACCGGGGCTCAACTTTCATTTTCTCCCAGACTTCCGTCAGAAGGTCGTTGAGAGCCAGGTTGCAGCACACATAACCTAAAATTTTGACTCTTTCTTCTTTTTTTGTCTTGGAAAAATGCACTAAATTTTTTTCAGTATTTTTAATAGAAATACATAGCGGAAAGGGTGGATAAAGGCTCCATAGAAATGTTCCTTTTCAGGGTAAAAAAGGTTCCTTTTATGCTGCCTTTTTGCGCCAATTTATCGGCTTTCATGCTCCTTTTTTTTCCACCATTGAGCCTTAAAATCTTAAAAAAAATAGAAGGCTCGATAAAGGGACTTTTTTCACTGCATTTTTGCTGCCTTTTTGCTGCCTTTTCGCTGCCTTTTTGCTGCCTTTCTGAGGCCTTTTTAGAGCCTCTCCCTTTAAGCGGCCATTATCTACCATTCCAACTTTGCCCGAGTAACTGAGATATTGAAAAAAAAACCCCCGATTCAGAGCCCGATCTGGCTTCGACAGACAAAAAAATTGTTAAAAAAATCTTAACAAATTTTCGTTTTTTTCCAAAAAGGTTCTTTCCCTTGAAAAATGGTGTTTCCATAATACTTTCCTATTTATTTCGTCGCGACAGAAAGCCTTTTTCCGAAAAAAATCAAGAAAGCTTCTGGCCAGCTTCTATTATTTGTTGGCAAGCTTGAGGCGAATAAGAGATGTTGAAAAAAACTTTTTTTTTCTCAATTATTCATTTTTTGCACCCGCAAACGCTTAAAATTTGTCGGAATACTTTTCCTGACCTGAAAAATATTTTTTTTGATTTCGAGACGTTTAGAATTTATTCCGATATCCTCACCACTGGGATTGTAGAAGCAAGATGGAAGAGGGAAGGTGTCGTTGCCCTGGCCTTTGACGCCGTAGTAGTAGGCGCCCACGAAAGTGTCGTCGTATTTCTGAAAAGTTATTTGATAAAACCTTCTTACCAGGCCAAAAAAACGCTCCCAGTGAGATTTCTTAATAATAATTTGGTTTGTAAATGCATTTTTTCACGCTGATTCTAAATCTCAGCAAAATAAGCCCTTTGAACCTTCAAAATTCCAAAAATCCCATCCAATAATCCTTTTTCGAGAACACCGGGACCATTTCAAAATGAGCTTGATTCGAAAGTAAATCTTTTGATTTCCTAGCGGTTTTAAGTCATTTCACAGACGAACTCAGATTCTGAATCTAAACTTAAAAATTCCAAAATAAGCCTGCAAAAAAGGTTTCAAGTCTTCAGATTTGCTAAAACTTTAATTTCATTCGCTAATCGTTTCCAAGATTACCGGGACTATTTAAAAATGAGCTTGATCGGAAAATTTGAGCGGCCTTAAATTTTTTTTCATCGATTTTCTCCGAATTTTTAACGCTCAATAATTGAATCAACGCAAAAAAGTGCTTATAATTAATCAAGGGAAGCTGTGACCATTTTTTGATTAAAATTTTCTGATTGAACTCACGGGAGGCGTGGTCGTCTCCTCGTAGGGCTGAAAAAGGGCGATTTTTTGCTTTTTTTTCGACTGGAGACTTACAAGAGGAGCTTCAGTGGTCGTGGTGGTAGTGGTGGTGGTGGTTTCGGCCTGGTATGGATCTTGGGTCTCTTCGTAGGCTTCCTGTAGAAATAATTCTTTATTAATGTCATGATAAGGGGAGCTTTTCCATGGGATTTTCACTCAAAAAGGTTCAGTTTTCGAAGAAAAGCTTTCTTTTTTTTGTGGTCTTGTCCAAAATTCTCTTCAAAAAAGTTTCAGTTCTCGAGGAAACTTCATACTTTTTGCCGTTCAATCGAATAAAGTCTTGAATTTTTATCGCAATTAATTAAAAAGTTAGAAAAAAAAAGATACTTGATGCTTCAAAGGACCATAAATCTGACCAAAAAAACAATGGAGGTGTGAAATTTTTTTCTCAAAAACTCTGGAATAGGAAATTTCAACCGGTGAAATGGAATCAGGGCACTTATAACAAGAGAAATGAAAAGGAATATGCTAGAATTTTTGCAAAAAAATGTTCTCTAAAAAGACCTGATTTTTTTATATTTTTTTATACAGAAATTTTTTTCCCGGCTTAAAAACTGTGTAAAAAAACTTCTTGTTATCCACTACAACGGGCTGCAAAGATCTTTGAACATTATTAGGAAAAAAAAATGTTCAGTTTGAATCAAGATACTTCGAAGCTTTTTTCAAGCGATTTTTCAAAAACAGACATTTCATACTTCTCTTGTAAGGATGGTCCTGCGAAGGTTTATGAAAATCTTTTACCTGGTTACCAAAAACTTTAAATTTTCGAAAGAAGCGTAAAATTTGAATATTTTAAACTTACCTTGCTGATCAACATCTTTCAAAACTTTGAAAATACTTTTCTCGCGAAAAATTCTTCGAAACAAAAACCATCTCAAAAAGGACTTGGCCAGTTTCAAAGCTTTCAGTGCAGGAACCGCAACCTATATCCTCAAAATGGTCGTTAAAACTTAAATTTTATGTTTTCTGATAGCTAAGAGCCTCAAACAGACATTCCCAAAAAAATTTCGCCCAAAGTGGGCGTGGCTTTGCGGCCCCTCTAATAGTAATTCAGGATTTGATATCATCAACTGAGTTTCTCGTTTTTCTCGTGTAAGATTTTCAATAAGATTATTTTTGTTTTGATCAGAATGATAAATTCTAAGTGAAGTTAGAATTATTTGAAGTCAAACGAATAAAAGACGGAAAAACTTTCTGAACAACCTGATATTTCATGACTTTCCGATCTTATAAATCCGTTAGTTTCCTCTACAAACCTTGACTGGAGCTGGAGCAGGAGCTGGCTCATTGTAGACAGGAGCCGGAACTGGAGCTGGAACGGGAGCTGGAGCAGGTTCAGGCTCATTGTACCCAGAGTCTTGGTGCTTGATTGGGCCGTAGGATCGGGTCTGGAAAAATTATTTTTTTCCAATTTTTGAAAAGGCTAGTTATAGCTGATTCACGGCCAGCTTGGGAGGCTCAGGGGGCGTGTCCTGTCTGCGCTCTCCACGAGCCAGGCGCTTTCTTGTGCATTTTCGTGTCAGGACCCTTTTTTCAATGGCTCAAGCCAGCTATACACCTAATCCAGCAAGACTTGAAGAATTCTAGTTTCTCTGGAACTCTCTACTGTTTACATGCTATTTCTCTGTGTCCTCTGATCTTTTTGGCGAGGGAAAAGAGAGCGCAGACAGGTCAGACTTCTTCAGCGACTCTGTCGGAAGTTTTGAAGCTTTTAAATTTTTTTAAATCAAATATATAAATTTTCTGGCTCTACGATATTTTTGAGTCTTATTACCAGGATCTTATTCAGTCATTTTAAAATTTAAACTTGTTGGCGAGGGAAAAGAGAGCGCAGACAGGTCAAACTGTCACAGCAACTCTGTCGGAAGTTTTGAAGCTTTTAATTTTTTTTTCATTAATTATTTAAATTTTCTAGTTTTATAACATTTTAGTCTTACTACCACCAGAATCCTTTTTTGTAAGTTTAAAATTTCGAACAATTTTTTGGCCTGAATATTCAACAGATCTTGAATATTGGAAAGAAAGTTCATCAAATATTTTTAAAACCCGCCTTCTCCACTTGCTGCTCTTCGTAGCCGTTCTGAACGGCGAGGCGGTTGTGGAAGTTCTTGTGGCGGCGGGTCAGACGACGTGACTGACGTGCCTTGAATTTTTCTACCTTTCACTGAATTTTTCCCACTTATAGTCCCACAAGGAGGTCATCTACGCCTTAGAATTCCTTGAAAACTGGCCAGAATACTCCTTGGTACACCAGAAAAATATTCAGAAAGTCTCAACCTTCAAAACTTCTTATTTTTCAGGAAAAGACACTTCAAAGTCAAAGAAAACCGCCAAAATCCGTTTAAAAAGCCATTTTAGGGCTTTGAGTCCTTATTTCTCGAAAATATGGAAGCTTAGCTGGTTGAGACTTTCAGAAACTTTTCCTGGTACATCAAGAAAAATTATAGCCAAAAAAGACCTTTCAACTTACTACCTCCCTCCGAGTAAGTTTCAAAAATTCCTATTTGTGGGAAAATTTTTAGTGGCCACTGTAGGGTTTTGACGTTTTAGTGGCCTCTCTAGTAGTCAAATTAGTGGCCACTTAAGGGGTTGAAAGTCAGTGGTCACTGTAGAGGTCTAGGTGCTACTACTAGACCACTAAAACGTTTAGTGGCCACTTTAGGGGTTAATGGGTCAAAATAAATGGTCCAATCTGTCTGTTTTAAAATTATCAGAGTGACTGGAAGGAATACTGGATGAAAAACTACTGAAGCGGCCACTAAAACGGAAAATAGTGGCCACTATAGAGGTGGGTCTAGTGGCCACTTGAGTGTCCTATCCGAGCCTCTAAGTTTCTCAGTACGTTGAGAAAGTTTTTTAATGTACAAAGTAAAGTTTCAAAAAGCCTAAATCGAGAGCCAATCAATTTTACAGACCTCCTTCTATGTACTCAACTTTCACTTCGAAAGAAAAAAAAAACCTTTTTCGCCCTCACGTTCCGGCTTGCACGTGGTCGCTTCTCAGCCTGAAGATGAACTCATTTTTTTTTAGGTCGATTTTTTAAAGCTTGACAAAATATCTTGTCAGGGTTTTGAAAACGAACATAAGGGTCCCGAGCAGCGATCCCTTGGAACTGGAACATATTCGGCTTGATGGACAGGATCGACTCGTTTCTCGACGAAATCAGGCTGCCAGAATGGACGGTTCCTTAAGTTTTCATCTTCTTTTTTCCTTTTTTTAATCCTGAACTATATAAAATTGAGAAAGGTTTCATTTTCGTGGAAATTTCCCTATGTCAAACGGTCTCTCTAGCCAACGAAACCACTTTTTTGGGACGATGTGAATTTTTTGCGAACTCTTTGAATAGATTTATTTTTTCTAAATGATTTTTAAACCGTACCAGAAGCAGCGTACGCCGTGATAACGGTTCCAGCCAACGCCACGACCACTAATAACCTCATTTCCTGGAAAAAATGACTGAAAATTCTGCAAAATGCATGGAAAACCGAGCGAAAATTAAAAAATAAAAGTGTTTAAAGTGCTTTTTTTTTTTTTTGGAAAGTTGTGAAGAGGATTGAAATTTTATAGCTTTTCGATAAAAATAAAGTTGGAAAAATGAACTTGGAAATGAGTTGGAAAAATCAGAAAGTGAGCTTTTTTCCGAATAGAATGGGAAAAACTCTCCGAAAAATGCTTGAAAAATGTTGGTAAATCTAAATTTTTCGGGCTTTTTTTCAGGGGGTTGAAGCTTAATTTTTTTAAAAAAATTAAAAGCTATTGCGAAAAATTTTTTTGAGAGAAATTTTGAATTAATAGAATTTTTTTCTAAAGAAACGAACGTCAACGAAACCACCTTTTTTTGTAAAGTTTTAGTTCCTTTATTTGATGAAAATGTACTTCTTCCTTGATTGTACGGTATTTTGAACTAGATTAAAGCTAAAATTGGGCAGGAAAAGCTCGAAAAGGGCCAGAAAACAGAAAAAGGGAACCCTACTGGCCGCTGTGAAAAAGGACCCTTTTTCAAGAAAAAGGAGAAAAATCCAGCAACACAGGTAGCAAGTAAAAATGACGGAGTCGAATCTCGAGGCGGACAGATATTACTTAGCAAGTTTTACTGCGCGCCAACGGTTCGGGGCGGCTGTAATGAGACAGGCTCCGCCCACTTTGCCAAGCTTCCACTCGAGGTAGATGACCTTGACGTCGTTTGCCGTCCGATTCCATTAAAACGAAATGATTTCTTTCGGATTTGAACGGCGAAACCGATCTTTGTTCTAATAATTTATTCACCAATCTGGAGATTTCATCCACAAGGGAGGTCATTTCTGAAACTTGGCCAGAACACTTCTTGATGTACTAGAAGAAGATTCTGAACGTCTCAACTTTCACAACTTCTTAGTTTTCGAGAAATAAAGCCTCAAAATAGCCTATTTTCATGGATTTTGAGGCTTCCTTTCTCGAAAACTAGGAAGTTGTGCAGGTAGAGACTTTCGAAATTTCATTTGGTACATCAAAAAGGGTTCTGGTCAGTTTTCAGAAAATTCCTAAGTGGAAAGTAAAATGACTCCCCACCCCCCCTTCTGTCGGTTAGTGAACCCCAAAAAGCTCACAAAAAAATAAAAAAATAAATAAAAAAATTGATTCTCACTGGATAAAGAATCATATTGAAGTTTCAAAAATAGAACCTTTTTGTTAAAAATATTAGCGATTGAATTTAAAAAAATTGTCGTTTCAAATTCATTTTCCGCACTAAGTACACTGTTCATTACAGTGGATTTAAATATTTTTCAAAAAATAGGAAATTCTGGAGCTTAAAACATTCACGACCTCTAATAAGAAAACTGAAAAAACCTTCCAGCTAATTTCGAAAAAAAAACCAAAAATTTAGAGTAAATGTCGGAAAAGGATGTAAATTCACTGTATATAAAAGCGATTTTAAGACCATTTTTCTAGATTTTCTAAAATTTAGGCTCAAAATAATGCTAACAAGGATTTTTTAGTGAGAGAAGAATCATATTGAGAGTTAAAAAAAGAGAAAAAAATTTTTTTTTCTAACTTTTTTTCTAAATTTTTTTCTAACCGGAATTAAAATGACAAAATTTAAAGTTTTGGATTTATTTTTCTGTAAAAAAAGTACACTTCTTCTTACAGTATATCGACACTTGAAAACCCCAAAATGGTCCCTATAGGGGTTAGGGAGAAAAAAGCTACTATAGGGGTGAAATTTAAGTGATCCCTATAGGGTTCTAGAGTCGGACTCCTAAGCTCCTAAAGCTCAAGGGGCCCCTATAGGGGTCTCTCAATTTTTTGATCTTATAAAATTTGAGATAATAATCCTTTATTGATATTGTTAATCCAAAAAACGCTAATTAAAGTGGTCACTAGAGGGGAAATTTCAAGGTCCCTTAAAGCTGCTCCTATAGGGACCACTGTGGCATTTCTTTCTACTGTGACCTCGAAAAAAATTTTCGTTGAACTTGAACAAAAGATGAAATAAACTTGAAAGGAAACAATTTAAAACCGAAAGTCATTAAAAATAGGAAAATCATTAACAAAACTGGAAGAAAGAATAGAGTGAAATTCAAGTGATCCCTATAGGGTTCTAGAGGCGGAATCAAATGAATCAAAATTTGGAATCAAATGAATCAAAATAACTGTTTCAGAACCATTAAAGGCGCGGAAAATGAGGCGGGAGGCTTCTGACAAACACTTTGCCGAGACAATCACTTTATAGACGTGCCAAGCTTCTTTTTCGTCGCTTTTTTTTTCGAGGCCGCCAATTTCCCTTTAAGTTGCTACGCCTTTTTTGACGTTAACGCGACGCAAAGAGGCGGAGTTACAATTTAGGGGTGAATCTACGCTTCTAAATGACTGCTGTACATGAGTTCCATTGTCGAAAAATTATTTGAGGCCGACTTACAGTCAAAATATTGAAAAATCAATATCAAAGCTCCAGGAATAGATTCAATTCATTCAAAATTCGCCTTTCATAACGAAATAAACTTTATTTTCCGCTCACTATAAAAACAAAGCAGAGTTCATAGAAAAAAGCCCATGTTGAGAAACTCAAAACAGTTGGTTTGAACAGAATTGGACGGATTTGAAGGAAGTTATGAATTTTTGAACTTTTCTAAGCTTCCGAACTAAATATAGGGACCGCAAAGCCACGCCCCTTTTAGCGATAGAAAAAGTGGCTTTTTTTTGGTTTTCAACTTTCATTTTGCTGTAGTTGCAAAATATGTGGAACTGGATAATAAATTTTGACATACATGTACAAAAAAGCTTCCTCTTTCGTTTAAAAAATATTTCAAGCTTTTTTGATGCGTTCGCGCGGAATGTCGTAAAAAACGTGAATGGAACTAAAAAAATTTTGTCATTTTTTTGCTTTTTTTCATGTGTTTTTCAGGTCGAACGCACTCTTTCTTTTTTTATATAATGATTTTGATTCAAGTAACGGTAATTTTAAAAATAATAAAAATAAAAAAATTCGTCTTTGCCAAAAATTTTAGGGAGCGCCGAAAGTCATAATTCAAAATATCGTTAATAAGCGAATATAATCGAGTATTTGTTTTTTCAGAATTTAGACCATGGGCTTACTTAAATTTTTTTCTCCACAGCATAGGTGCTTGAAAAAAAGTTGTTTGATACGCAAAAAAATGCTCTTGAAAAATAGAGAATAAAAATTAGCGGCGTTTATTACAGAGAAAGCGGTCGAACGCAGGTTTTTTTCAAACGATTATATACATTTATTAGTAAAAAAATCTTTCAATTAAAAAGAATAAAAATAAAAAAATTCGTCTTTGCCGAAAAATATACGGGGCCGTTTTAATGCAGCGATCGTTAAAAGAGGCAAAAAGCACTGAAAAAAACAGTTTTTTCGAAGTGAATTTCCACGAAACGTTTGAGTAAACATTTGCGAACATATTCTGATAAAAATAGCTTAATTACTTCAAGTTTTTCTTTTTGAAATAGGCAATCTGTGCTATTCAAACGGCTCAAGGCTATGGCGGATGGAAGCTCCCCGCGCTAGGCCTGCCAGCTTGGCGCAGTGCGTGCGCTGCGATTTTTCATTTTGAGATCGCGAGTTCGATACCCGCAAGCGTCAGTTTTTTGTTTTCTGAAAAATACCGACTTTTTCGGCAAACTAGCAAATTTTTATCATTTTAGCCCTCTATTATGATTTGTTACATCATAATAGACCAGTATCAAAACTTGTTCTAGAAGAAAAATCGAGAAAAATGTCAAAAATGGATAATACCAAAATTTCAGTACCAAAAAAATGGTGCGCGGCGCGCCACATTTTTCGTCATAACTTTTTTCATCCTCAATCTTTTTTGAAAAACTAAACGGTTCTGAGTTTTGAATCGAAACAGCTATCAAACCATACATAGCTCAATGCTGAAAAAAAATTTTTGAAAATTCGTCTGCGGTCCCTAACTAAATAATTGAATTTTTTAGGCCTAAAAAGCATCTGGAGATCCCAATTCGAGTTCCAGATTTGAGATGAAGTTGAAAACAGTTCAAGGAGTTTGTTTAAATCGGAATAATTAATCAAAATAAAAAAATGGTTGAACTGACCACAATAATACCGTTTTTAAGGAAGTTATGAGTTTTGAACTTTTTGAGGATTTAAAAATGAAAAATTGAACTTTTTTGGCTCAAGAAGCCTTTCGCGATTCAAATAAGAGCTTCAGGAAGGAAACTGAAGCTAAAAAAACAGATCGAGAAGTTTATTTGAATACAAATAAGTGAAAAAAATGAAAAAGTTATCTGACAAGAGAGGTCATTTTTTTTTACTTTACGGTTGTTAATTTCCTGAAAATTGTCTAGAGGTCTACTTGATGTACCAGAAGAAGATTTTAGAAGTCTCAACCTGCACAACTCCCTCGTTTTTGAGAAAAGACGCCTCAAAGTCCAAGAAAATCCTCAAATCTATAAAAATAGGCTATTTTGAGGCTTTGATACCTTATTTCTCGAAAACTAGGAAATTTTACAGGTTGAGACTTTTAGGGTCTTCACCTGGTACATGAAGAAGTGTTCAGGCCAATTTTCAGGAAACTCCCAACCGCAAAGTAAAATGACCGGTTTCACAGAATATGTAGCATGATCGTGTCGAAAAAAAGTGGAAAAGATCTCCGATATTTCTCTTATAAACTCTGTTTTCGTCGCCAGTATTAATCCATCATAAACTTCTCAAAGGTGTTACTTTACAAAAGCGATCGTCTCAGTTTCCTCCAATTTTTCGGCGAGATCGGCGCGCAGTAAAATTGGCTGCAGATTTCGATCTTTTCGTAGCTTGATATGTTACAACTCGTCGCGTTTCCTTGGTCTCTTTTTTCGAAGACTTTCCTTCGTTCAAAGGTTGCAACAATTATGAGAAGTTCCGCTTTATCCCCCCCCCCCTTTTTCCACGTCGAACCGGTGATCAATCATTCATAAAAAGCAGAAGAAGAAGTTAACGTCGTTGCCAGTTTTAACGACGTTTAATGCCTAATTCGGCGTATCTGCCACTTACCAAGAAAAATAGATTCCGATGTTTAAACTTTAAAGTTTTTGGCGCATATCACACCGCAAAATAATGCCGTGTTCAAAGTGATTCCGCGAAATTCAAAATAGCCATCAGAGAAAGAGAAAGATAACTAAATTTTGGAGGGTCAGAGACCATTTTGCATTTCGCGGAAATTACTTTGAACACGGCATAAACTTGATGATGCCGTGTTCAAAGTAATTTCCGCGAAATGCAAAATGATCTCTGACTCTCCAAAATTTAGTTATCTTCCGCTATTTTGCATTTCGCGGAAATTACTTTGAACACGGCATGAATGTTTCGATCAGGGTTCAAATGTACAAAAGTTCCATTCTCGATGGAGCAACGCTACTTTATACATGCTTTTTCGTTAGAGGAAAAAAATTTTTTTTTGCTTTTCTGAAAGTTTTCTCGATCTTCATTTGGGTTTCTGGATAGAAATCACTGATAGCGTGTTCAACGTAATTCAGGCGATTTCAAATTTGACTCGTTTTTTCAAAATGATCTTGCGAAATGAGGAAAAATTGGAATTTTGAGAAAATGGGTCCCACAACGATATTTCGCATTATATAACTTTTTTTACAGCTTCCTTTACGTGCAGTTTTAGAAATTCCTTGAAAAGGCCAAAAAAATTTTAAAAATTTGAATGTCGCGCTTAAAATGTACCGTAAAAGTCACATATCGCGATAGATCGTTGTAGAACCCATTTTTAAGAAAATTTGAATTTTGCCTATTTCCCGAAATATTTTTCAACGAAAATCGTCAATTTTGAAATCTTCGAAATCACTTTGAACACGGAATTTGGATTACTGCGTGAAAGTTTTTTTTGCAAAAATAATTTTTTAAGTTCAAATTGCAAGCTTATCTTTGTGTTGACGTGAAATTGAAAAAAATCATACCTCTAAATTGAAAAATGGGGAAGATAGTCATTATGCGGTTTTTTTTTCTAAAAATTAAAAATTCTTGAGAAAAATTGTCTAGAAATGAAGTGGAAAGCTAAAATCCCTCGCCATGGAAGAAAAAAATTTTTTTTTCGAATTACGAAAGTTTGAAATGACTTTTTCTTCCTTGTTTGACAGGTTATTTCTTATCTTTCAGTTTTGCTTCAACATAATAAAAATCATTCCTAAAAAATCAATGGTTTCCGGGACCTTCAAAATTCAAACAAGTTCTCCTTTTTCACCGCAAAACCTTCTTTCTTTGATCAACCCTTTTTCGAATTTTAAAGACAAAAAATTGGACCCGACGCACAATTGCAATCAGGCAGTTATTACAACTGACAAAAGGTGGGGCAAAAAAACAATGTCTCGGAATGGAATTCGAGACGCGGCGCCGACCCTTTTTCTGCCCATTTCAGCCCTTTGTTGCTTTGTTGTTGTGTTGTAAGCTTTGCGCTACTAATCAAAAAACTGGACAGGTCCATCGGCTTTGCCAATGGGCCAATCAGACAAATTACACTCGCAGTTTGGTCGAAACTAGAGAATCGGATACAAACTGCGCAAAATTTATGATGGGAAAGCAAGAAAAAGTGGTCAAAAAGTCATTTTCTTTACTCGGCAACTGCAATGAACACTTTCAAAAAATATGTAAATTGAATTTTGTTTCAGAAAACTCACACTAACCTTTGGCAAAGTCTTAGCTTTCATGAAATTCAGAATCTCGCAAAATGTCGATGCTTCGTGGAAAGGTGTCCGAGTTGACGACGATCATCCCTGAACCTGCAGCCAATTTTCAACAAAATCCAGTTGCGGCATGTATGTACGGTATATATTCCTATGCCATTTTTCTTTGAAGTCACTTTTCCGAGCTATAAAAGAAGACCGAAATTTGATAAGTTTTTTCCAGAAAAAATGAGGCAATAAATGTTTAAAATCAAAAAACTATGTTAAAATCATACAACTCCAATCAAAATTATCACCAAACGCCTTGAAAACTACAAGTAAATTATTAAAATTTGATTCCTTTTAAACAAAATGAAAAATAAAAATGACTCAAAAACTCAAATCTAACTTTAACCTATTAAAAATATAATTGCCGGGCGTCAGTTTAATTGGCTTTTAAATGTGTTGAAAAAAATAGATTTTATGCAGAAATAAGTTAAAATGAGTGAAAAAGAGAAAAATCTCTTTTTTTTGTCTACGGTAACAAAAAAAGACCGCATTCGACCTACGTGCACGCAGATTTTGCTTCAGCCGTGACAAAAAAATGATCACTTTTTGATCTCGCGCTAAATTTCAACTCATAGTTCAATTTTGTTCTTCAATTTATGGAATCACGCGTTCTGGTTGTTATCAGAATTTAATTGTTATTTTGGCTAACGAAAGGTCAGAAGTCTGAATCCGGTTTGAAGAAGTTTTTCTTTATTTTCTCCGAGTAGCGATTTTTTCTCCCGAATTCCATAAATTCTGCTTGATTTTTAAATTCTATGATGTCATATTAGAGTATTAAAAAAATTATTAGCTTTTTTTCGAGAACTTCGGCTCCAGTTAAAGTCGAACAGCATTTATGTGACAAGTTATCTGTTGGAAATCTTGAATAATCTGTCGTAGTTTTTTTTCTAAACATAGTTGAGGATTTCAGCCATATTTTCACATGGACGAGAACTCAAACTATCTCGAGCCGAAACTGCATCAGAATGAGGTTTGTAGTATGTCAAAAAATTCACAAAAAAGACCTTCAGGTCGTCATTGAACCCGTAGAGACAGTGGAAAATGTAACGGATTTTGTTAAAAGTGAGTTATCTTGGAATATTTTCTCGCGTGTCCATTTATCTATCAAAATAACATTTCTCAGACGAAACTCTCGCTTCATCTGAATTGGTTCTTTCTGCAGTTACTCCACATGAAGAAAATCAGAAAGTGAGTACCTCAGAAGGGATTTCGAGAAATTTCTTCCAGATTATTCCGGAAAAGAGAGATGTGATGAGTTTCCTGATGCGCTACAACAATAAGGACATTTCGCAGGATTCTGAAGTCTTGGAAGAATCCAAACAAACCAAAGGTTCTTTGATAAGTCGAACTTTGATTTTTGTGTACTGCCTTGGAAAAATTTTGTTTCGAATATTAAAAAAGTACCTAACCAAAATGTATTACTTTTCGGAGCACTTTTTAGGTTAAAAAACACTTTTTCGCGTTTTAAAACATGACTCGTTTCTCCAATGAACATGCCGCTAAAACCGATGCGAATTTTTTTTTTCATGATCCGAAAAATGGTTAAAAACTGTCTTAATTCTTTCCTAGAACTTTTAAACCTTCAAAACTCGGATTTCGCTTCCTTTTTCAGAGAAACATGTCAAAATCGGCTTCGATAAGATGTCCCTTCAAGAACAAACGAAATTTATGCAGGAGCTCAAGGTTTTTTTTTTGTAAATATTCATTTTCTCCACAGTTTAAAGGCGCATTTACTACGGAGTCATGATAAAATGAAATTTTAAAAAAATGAGTTTTATAGTGGATTCACGAATGCGCCTTTAAACAGTCCTATAGCAACATTTTGAAGGTTTATGTGAATATTTTTTAGGAATTTCAATGAAAAATACCTTTTTTAGAAATTTAGTCACTCTTTTTCCAACATTTGGCTCCCAATTTTCCGAAAATTTTTAAGTTTTCAGTTTTTTTCTCCTGCTACTTTTTAGAATTTTCCCCCTTTTTTCACTGAAAATTTTCCATTTTTAGCAATTAACCGTGATAAACAACACTGACAGCAAAGGACCAGAAGATATTAAGGTTAATTTTCACATAAAAAAAAAGTTATCAACGTGTTAAATTTGATAGAAAGAGCTCGAGGATTCGACTAGAAAAAAGGACCAGTCGAAAACGAAAAATGTGATCGATGTGCTGTTCTCTCGCAACAGTCGCAAGTTCTCCTATCCAAAAACGGTAAATATCTTTTTTTAAAAGACTTTAATTTTTTCAAAACGGAAAAATTTTATTTGGAAGGAAATTTAAGTTTTTAGACATGAAACGTGAGTCATAAACTTTGATATGGATTTTCAATTTTTTTGAAAAAAATCTAGAATAAATTACTGAAAAATTCTACCTAACGTCATCAGTATACAAATTTTGCGTTACCGTGAAAAATTTCAGGGTGCAAACTTTTTAAATCGGAAGTTTTTGAAGTACTAAAAATTGAACTTTTATGGTGGAAAACGCCAGAGGGAAAAAAATTCTCCGTCAAGAGTTCTTGAAAAAGAAGTTGAGATTACTGTTTATTGTAGCCCTAGAAGATTATTATTAGAGCAGCTCAGAAAGCACTTTTTTTCACTTAGAAGTCCAACAAACAAAACTTAGAACTATTATTTTTGAGGTGATTTTGCTAAATATGAGGATTTAAATATTTCATAGTCGTTAGGAAAAATTGGGCTCTACGACGATATATTGTGATACATGACTTTTACGGTGTCCTTTGCGCGCGACTTCCGTTTGAAATCCCCAAGTAAATTCAAAAAAATGTAGTTTTGCGCGTAAAAGTCGCAGTAATTTTATTTTGTGACTTGAAATTTTTTACAAATTTGTTCTAACACTCTGTGGACGTCTAGATGAATAGTTGCTGCCTGCCCAAACTTCTAGTTTTTGAGATAGTTAATTTTGAAGTTTGAAAAGTTAGGCTTAAAAAGTTTTTTTTGCAACTTTGAAAATCAATATCTCAAAAACTAGAAGTTTGGGCGGGTAGCGACTATGATGGAACTCTTATTAGACCTTCTGAAAGTGTTTGAGGGAATTTGTAGGAAATTCCAAGTCGAAAATAACAATGACCTTCTAGTGGGGCTAATTCTATGTTAAACAAGAGCTTCAAAAAATAATATCATGAAAAATAGATGTTTAAGCAGGTAGCGATTATGAGAAATCTTCTTCTAGACATTTAGAGAGTGGTTGAGCAAAGTTGTAGGGAATTCCAAACCAAAAAGTGGAAAGACATCCTTTGTTATAGCCCGTGTACCACGACTTGAAATTTCACCGAACGACATTCCGCTGTTCCGCCGGGCGCTTTGCGAATCTCGGTCGCGCTTTCAATTTTTTTTCTTTAATTCAAATACTCGCAGTGGAACAATCCATCTATCAGCAATAAAAATAGTCTGGAAGGGTGACGTAGATCCGCGAAGGCAAAGACGCTTCGCGACCGTACGCAGCGGAACGTCGTTCGGTGAAATTTCAAGTCGTGCCACACAAGCTATAGAACAAAAAATTAATAAAAAAAAAATCGATTAGAGATTCCCGTTAAGGACAAATCAAAATCGCTGGGGAGCTCCCCAAACAAGGAAAACGGCGATCTGAAAGCGGCGATCACGAAGCTGGACTCGCAGGACAAGACCAAGTACGTGCTGGCGATGGCCCAGGAGTACGAGCGGAAGATGGCCGCCGCGGCGGCGAACAACGTCGCCGTCGTGAAGCCGTTCAAGAAGTCGCCGTCGCAGCTACAGCCGCTGCAGGTCTCGACCGTCTCGCTGCCGGCGACGTCGCTCGACTCGCCGTCGGCCTGGGAGGGCGAACTGCCGCCCCGCGAGTACAATAATCCCACCTTCTCTAGGAAAATTTTCGTCGGTGGAGGTTTGTATTGAAATTTTCCTGGGAATCACAGGAATTTTCACATTTTCTCTGTAGTGAATCATGAGATTAGAGTGACAAATGAAGTCTAGAAGAAGCTTTTCAAAGCGTTTTTTTGTAAAAAAATTAATTTTTTTGGTGGAGGGTTTTAACTAATTTTTTTCTGGAATCACAAGAATTTTTCATATTTTTCTTTGTAGTGGATCAGTGAGAAATGAAGTCTAGAAGAAGATTTTCAAGGCGTTTTTTTGTAGAATTTAATTTTCTTAGGTGGAAGTTTGTACTGGATTTTTTTTAAACAGGAATTTTCACATTTTTCTTTGTAGTGGATCATGAGATTTGAGTGAAAAATGAAGTATAAAAAATTTTTTTTTGTAAATCAATTTTTTTAGGTGGAAGTTTGTACTGAATTTTTCAGGAAATCACAGAATTTTTCATATTTTGTTTGTAGTGGATCAGTGAGAAATGAAGTATAAGAGAAGCTTTTCAAAGGTTTTTTGTGAAAATTAAATTTTTTAGGTGAAGATTTGTGCTAGATTTTGATTTTTCTCGCTTCTTTTAAATCATTGAGAAATGGGAAGTTTAGGAAAAGCTATTCAAAGCTGTCGGTACTCTTTGAGCGGGCTTTTTGCTAATTCAAAAGAAAAACTGGGCAGTTTCTAGGATGGGGTAATTTCCCGATGAAACTTTGCTCTCTTCAGAAAAAAAAAAACTCTTGATTTTTGTCTTATATCTCATTTATGGAGCTTCAAAGATTCCAAACTACACAAATTTTAGAGAAAAGGCGTTATTTGATGCGTTTGAAGCGTAATTACTTGAAAAAAAAGAGAGTGTGAGACTTTTTCAGTGTATTTCAGCCACATCTCATGAAAAAATACCCCAGGCTGAAAAAAGTTCCCTTGTTGATTATAAATTTTCACTAGACTTGACCGTTGCCTTAATACCCTTGTACATCAGGAAAAAAAAACGGTTGGCCAGCCTAAATTTATCAGTTAAGAGAGCATAGCGAAACTGGAGAGTCCAGACTCGTTCCCTCCATTTTTACACGCTATTTTTTTTATGAATTTGAAACTGATCTATGCGCCCCGGCCTGCCATTTATTTTTTGACTTGCGTCTCTCGTTTTTCTTTTGAGAACTCAATTTCACGCTTTTTTGAACATTAAAAAAATTTGTAACCCAGCTCCATAATTACAAAGAGTTTTCTGGACGTTTTCCACGTTTCAGTGCCTTGGGACATCACGGAGACGGCTTTGAAGAGCTCGTTCAGCGAGTTCGGCTCCTGCACAGTAGAATGGCCGGGACAAGAGGCCCGATATGCTCGGGCGACAACTGTGCCAAAGGGAAAAGTTCGGGATCAAAACGGACTTTTTGATTTCCCGGTCGTTCAGGTGACCGGCTACGTCTACATGATATTTGAAGACGAAAAAGCCGTCGCGGCTCTTCTCCGCGAATGTTCGCAGGAGATCGGCGGCGCCGGCGAATGGTACTTTAAGATCCGCGCACAGAGAACAAAGTCCACCGAGATTCGACAGGTTTTGCTTGGAAAAAGGCTTTTTTTGAAGCTTAGGAATTGAGAGTTTCAGGGTAAAAGTTCAAGAAATGGGAGTTTCAGAAAATAACAAATTTTCATCTCTGTTCGAGTTTTTCCAACCAATGGGAGACCATTTTTTCGTGTTTTTCAGTTGAAATTTATTTTTTCGTCACTGCTATTGGACTGAGCCACTGAAAAATGGTCCTGACACGAAAAAAAAAAGTAAGAGATAGTGTATGGTTAGTGGAGAGCGCAGACAGTGCCGGGAATTTACTGTAGAAAAGTGCTGAATTTAGTTAGGCTTTTTTTCATTTTTTTTTTTTAAATAAAATTCAGATAGGTTTCTATTCGAAACCTTTTTTATTGAGGTCAGAACTTTGGAATTTCAAAAAGATGAATAAAAAAAAATAGATTTTTTTGTATTTCGGGGCTTCTTGCAAAAAAGCCATTTCTAAACAGTGGAATACCATTTTTTGTGTTTTTAGTTGAAATTCATTTTTGGGTTCTGTATGGTCACTGCTGGATTGAGGGACTTTAAAATGGTCCTGACACGAAAAAAGAAAAATAAGAGATAGTGTTTGGTTAGCGGAGAGCGCAGACAGTGCCAGGAATTGGCTATAAAAAGTACCGAATTTGGTTGGGCTTTTTTTCGTAATAGGTCTTATCTGGCTCAAAAATTGAGGGTTTTCAGTTTTTAGAAGAAAATTTGTGAAAAAAAATTCGGCTTCTTGCATAAACGCCATTTCCAGCAAGTTAGATGTGCAATTTGCTCCCTCGTTTAAAATTTTTGTTACGATTTTTTGAGCCACTGAATTATGGTCCTGACACGAAAAAGCAAATTAAGAAATAGTGTCTGGTTAATGGAGAACGCAGACACTGCCCCTGTGCCGAACTTGGTCAGGATTTTATTCGAAGCAAACTTACAGAAATAGGCTTGAAATCAAAAAACTTGCAGAAGACTTTTATTTAGATTTGATTCATGACAGTTGCTTCCAAAAGTTGCAGATTGAAACTAAAAATATGGATTTTAGGTGCAAATAATCCCGTGGGTCACTTGTGACTCTGAGTATCTCAGGGACATGGAAGTCTTCGCTAGAGGCATTGAACCCAAAAAGAACGGTAATTTTTGAAATTTGTTATTTTTTTCCCGGTGTATAGTTAATATTTGAATTAAAAAAACAGTTTACGAACGGAAATTTTCGATTTTTTTAACATCTGAGACTATTCATTACCAAGAAAAAAATTTGGCTTTCACAGAATTTCAAAGAAATTACAAGACGATTTTTTTACGTTTAAAAATTTTTTTTTGAGTTTGAAAAATTCTCCCGCTTGTAACCTAAATTCATGGCCGAGACGAACAGTTAAAAAAATTTTTTTAATAAGAAGTTTAAGAAATTTTTTTGAAAGCTCAAGAAATTTTTTTGAAAGCTTGAAGGAACCAGCTCATTACTTTTCACTTGAACTTGATCTAAAAGAAAAAGAAAAGAAACTCTGAAGTTGAATTTTTTTCCGAAAAACCGCTTTGCGCAAAGTATCAGCGTTCCAGTCAGAAATTTTAATTATTACGTTTTTTTTTTTCGAAAGAAACCCTGAAAAAGCTTTCAGTTATAGAAAAATTGTTGAAAAAGTGTTCAGGTTTTTGTATGAGATTGAAATTCTTAAAAAAAACTATTTTTTCGCAAAGTTGTCAAGTTTCAGCATGAGAATTATAATTAAAACTCGTTTTTCCGATGATATTTTTTATTTCAATCATAGTAAGGCCGCGAAATGAGTAAATGAAGTTACATCAAATGATATGGAACAATTTTGTCTCTTACAAATTTCTAGTATGAAGATCAGTCTTTCTTGAACTTTTTGGCGCCGTATTTTCACTGAGAGCTGAAATTTCACCTGTTTTGAAGTTCTCACGAATTCTAGAAAATTTGAGACCCATGCAAGAATAGATAAGTCTTTCTTTTCGGATCTGTATCCCACGAAAAGTTCAGGTTTTCGTGGGGGCCTTGCACGGAATGATGACGGCCCAGGTCCTCCATTCGATAATGGAAAATATGTTCGGCGAGGTGGAATGTGTGATGCTCGACACGGACAAGTACAAATATCCCATTGGTTTGGATTCCGTCGAAACAATTCCCCTCAAGTGATTTTCCTCCCAGGAAGTGGCCGCGTCACTTTCCAATCCCATAAAGCCTATTTCAACGCGATCGACGTCGGTTTCCTCGAAGTCCGCACCAGCAAATTCAGTTGGTCTTTCGCGTTTGTAGTCTGGTCAGATTTCGAATGTCACAGTCCGTCCAGTTTTCGCGTGTCTGCGTCTCTCTGTTCCCTCACCGGCGAGGTCAGAGAAACATAGAAATGAGAGGGTTGTTGAGAGACGAGGAGGGCGCAGAGAAGTGAAAAACGGAGTATACAATGACGTCATTAGAAAAGGCTCTCTGATTGGTTCATCGCGCTATTAGGGGCGGAGCTTAAGCGGCTCGACATTCAAAATCTGAACAGACTTGATTTTCACTCCATACGGTTCTCTATAAGTTTGACATTCGATTATAATTTTATGGATAATTCTTTAAAACTTTTTTTTTTCAGAAAAACGCGTCCAAATCGACCCGTTCCTGGAAGAATCTACGTGTATGCAATGCAATGGGCAAATTGCCAAATTCTTCTGCCGAGCTCGGATTTGCTTCAAATACTACTGTGAATTGTGCTGGGCGGTGAGTTGATCTCACCACAGAGAAAGCCGAAAAGTCCTCTTTCAATTGATTGAAATGGCAATGAACTTTTCACCTATTTGACCTTTGCCCCAGCTCATACTGTAGAAATGACGTTTTAATGCACAATCGCGCTCTTTCGAGATTTATTCATTCCGATATAAACTTTCCTCGGACCTTCTTAGGAACTCCAGAGTATAGGGGCAACCTTAGGTTCCCCTCTAAGGACCACTTTCTGACCCTTATAGGGCCCCCTAAAGCTTGCAACTGGTCGATAATTGTTATAAACTCTAATCATGCGAAAAACTGAATAATTAAAAGTTTCTGGAGCGAAGTTGAAAGACCTCTATAGGGATCACTTGAGCTTTAGGAGCTTAGGAGTCAACTCTTAAAACCCTATAGGGACCCCCTCAATTTTACCTCTGTAGGGACCACTTTAGCGGTGCCAGGTTCTGATTCCAATCATATAGTCTGTTCTTTGCGACTTGAAGGGACTTATCTGCGCTCTCCTAGTCTCTCCTATTCACGTGCTATTTCCAAGCTTTTCTGACCTTGCCGGTGAGGGAACAGAGGAACGCAGACACTCGAAAACTGTCAAGACCCAGAAAATGACGAACTTTTTCAGGCCGACCACCACAGCGGACCGAACAAGGCCCACCTGCCCGTCTTCGTGCCGACCTCGGTTCTGAAATCGGCGTCGCCGGTCAACTCGAAGCACTCGACGAGCGCCAACGCGTCGCCAGTCAAGTACGGACCCTGCGGGGACGACTTCTCGCTCGGCCAATCGCCAATGGCCCCATCGACCGGCTCTCAGTTCTACGGCTACATGCCGACTATGCAACAGCCAATCGTGTGTTTTGATACGAATCGGAGTATTTAGCTTAATAATAATAATAATAGTTTTTTCACTGCCATAAAAAAAAAATTTAGCTTCTTCTAGGGTTCCTGAGAAAGGCTGATAAATCTATGTGCTCCCAGCTTCTAATAAAACTTCCTTTTTCGTAGTTTTCGATGAGAATTTGAATATTTAGTTCTTTTACTCATATTCTTTCGGGAAATCGATTAAGTCATGCTCCACGGCCCAACTTACTGGTTCTCGGACGTGTCGGGGCATTTTAGTAACTAGTTTAGCAGCCTCAGCACTCTTAAGTGATCCCTAGAGACGTCCAGAAACGTCTGGAGCACGTCCGCTTTGCGTTACCAATGTCCGAGTTGAATCTGAACATTTTTCAACTCTGGAATTATTTTTTTTTGGAGCGAAGAGAAGGATTTTCATTTTCATCATAGAATAGCTAGGAAGATTCTACAAGATTTTTCAAAATGAATTGAAAATTTCGACAGAATGGAAAAAAAATGGTTATGCGTAGGTTTGGAGTTGATCAAAAATGTCATATTCCGTTATTTTTGAATTTTTTTTTTTCTCAGAAGTTTATCCAGAGATCCTCCAAAGTCGCTATTAATTTAAACTACCAGTTTTGCAGTTTTTGTTCATGAAGACTTCGACACAGTAAGCCTGTAATAATCCATAATTTTCAATTTTTATCTTCAAACTGGAGCTTCAGTTAGACCAATAATGAGAAGATTTTTCGGGCAAATTTCTAGGATTTTCCAAGCTTCATGTTGAAATGAACTTACCGGGTGACAGATTTCAATAAAATGGATTGCTTTGAGATGCCGCCGATGGGCCGAATCTCGCCGGCCATGTCTCCCCAAACTCGCAACTCGGTCTCTTCGGCAAGCGGCTTCTCGGCGTCGTCCTCTTCGCCCCGTCCGGATCTGTATCCCCACAGCTTCGGACCCTACAACGGATCGATGTCTCCACCGGAGAAGTCTCATCGGACTTTCAGCGGTTTGGAGTTTCTACTGATCTGAAGGAGTCGTGCTGAAAAAGGCTTTGGTGGGGGACCTTTAAGCTTCGAAGTTTATGAAAAATTTTCTCAGAATGATACGTCAGCTGGATCCCAAAATTTCAAAAAGTTCTCGAGTTTCAATAAAAGTCTTCTGTATAATATTCCGGAAAAGGCCATCTGAAATCTTCAGGAAAAAATGGTTTTGTTCATATAGTGATCCCAAGGTTTTTTTGTAGATTTTCTAAGGAATTTTTGGCATTTTCTTCAAGGTCACAAGGCTGTTTTCTAGCTCTTGAAACTCAAAATGTTCAGATTTTCCAGCTTCCAAAAACATGTTGTTAATTTTCCGAGACTTCCTGAGAAGCTTTTGTCTTTTTGGACCTTTTTTTGGATCTCTGAAAAATAAAAATACAAAAATCCAAGCTGATTGAAAAGCTAATAACATAACTTTTTTTCGCGGCTAATAAATTCCAAATACTGTTCGAAAAAAATAAATAAAACTTTGCTTGTCTCGCCATAAATAAGTTTTGCTTTTCGAATATTTGGTCCCTCAAAAATTTTTCAAGTCTGAGGAATTGAAGAGACGCCAGACAACGAGAGTGTCGCGTCTCTTCAGCCGCCTTTGATCTCTCGCTTCAAAATTTTGAGAGACTATCTAGAGCCGAACGGAAAAGCTTTTCAAAAAATTTTAAAAAAAAATTTTTATGGATTCCCTAAAGATTTTTTTATTTCACTTCTGCGTTTTTTTTCGATTTTTCAATAGAGAGGTGCCGGAAGCAACTTCCAAGGGATTCAAAAAGGAGCTCAAAAGACTTGTCCTATAACTTTTTTTAGCTCAAGTGGAATCTTTTCAGTTCCTTCTGAGGGTCTTTCAAGGAGCTTTTCCGCTTAACCTGTAAATTTACCTGCGCTTGACACGACGCCTTTCCGATTTCTTGAAAAAAGTTTGATAGGAAGGTCTTGCAGGCTCTTCCAAGTCGGACATCATGTCCCCAGGCGCGAGTCCCTTCTTCGGCAGCTACCCGCCGTCCCACTACCCGACGACGTCCTACTGCGGCGGCTACTATTATCCGTACTCGGGCCAGCCGTCGTTCTACTTTGACTACGGCAAGAACTTCTCGACGCGTCAGTCCTACGCCCAAAACTCGCAAAACTTTGTCTATTGCGAGCCGAATCAGCAGCCCTACGCTCCTTATTAGGATGTTCAATGTAGCAAGCCCTCTTTTATTTTCAGACAGATTCATCCATCAAGTTTTAGGATCCCTAATTTTCACGCTATAGCAATTTCCTTCTACTGTTTCCCAGCTTCATTTAGAAAGTTCTAGGAGCTCTATTTTTTCTGAAAATGAGGTTAATTCCTTGATGTGAAAAGGGTACAATAGCCGGATCCAAAAAGGCCTATAGTCAATTTCTCTCGAAAAACGCTTGATACGGTCATGAAGCGGCTTTTGGCGGGGGTTTTTTTTTCATAATACTTTTGATTTTTACGATTTATCATTCTTCTTTTAATGAAGAAAGTCCAAAAAGCCCAGATTTTTCCAAGCTTTAGTTTGAATTCGATTTTCCCGCCAAAGAGCCGCATCGCGACCGCATCACATCCCCGGGTTCCGTACGTTTTTTGGGAAAAACTTGCCTTTTTTGATTTTTTTTTTGCTGTTCGTCTTTTTCCACATTTTACACTTTCTAATTTGAACTTTTTTTCTTCCTAAATTGGTCGTCCTTGTTCCTTTTTAATAGCATTGTAAGTTTAAGCAAATAGTTGCTCATGTTTTAGCTGATTTTTAATAAGAGAGGCAGCTAAAAATTAAAAATCTTGGGGTATATGATGATCGGGCCGCGAAAATCGAGCCTGCGAAAATCGAGCCTCCATTTCTACACTATTTCTTTTTCTCTGTTCGTCTCGCCCCGTACAAAAGGCGGCTCGATTTTCGCAGGCTCGATTTTCGCGGCCCGATCATCATATACCCAAATCTTTTCGTTTCTCCATCGCCCGATTGTACAATGTATCTTTTAGGATTTTCGTTTATGTAGCAGAAATGGATTTCAATAAGCTCGTTTTCTTCTGAAATCAGTTTTATTTGTAATTTTCTTTCGTTGTTTGCATTGTGTTTCTGTCACATGCCCCATGTTTTATTCACCTCTCCAAAAAGTTGGACATCATGAACTTTGACAAAAATCTTTTCCTGTTGGTAGGTTTCGTGTGTTCTCTTTCCGATTTGTTTGAATGTTTCTTTTTCTTCGTTCTGTATTTCTCGTTCATTCTTTGCGTGTTGAATAACTCTGTTCCTTTTGTTATACCGTATCGCTTTTCTGCCCTTTGAACCCGACGAGAGTAGAAATTACGCCTCGATTGATACTTTTTGAGAACCCTGTTCTGCTTTTCACGTGTAGATTGACAATATCATGTTTTAAAGCTTCCCTTTGATAATATGTTATGTAATTTTATGAAACTTTTTCATGCGCGATTGAGTGAATTTGTGAGGAATCCGGTTTTCAACAGAAAAAAAGGCGGAAGCTAATCAGAAAAAATTAAAATTGAGTTGGTATAGTCGATGTACCACAAGTTCAAATTTCATGGAACGACACTCCGCTGTTCCGCTGCGTGCGTTCGCGAAGCGTCTTTCGAATCTTGGTCACTCTTTCAATTGATTTTTATTGCTGTATGAGCACATGAAAGTAGAGTACCTTGATGAAAGAAAACAAAATTAAAAGCGCTCGTACAAAATCTCCGGCTCTTCTGTTTCAAATTTTCAACACCTACGTCAGACCTTTATTGGAATATTGTTCTGAAGTTTTTAACCCACCTATTAACTCTGACCTGTGCTACAAGCTTGAATCCGCACTCAGAATTTTTTCCCGCAAAGTTTACATTAGGTCGAACCTATCTTTTGATTCCTATTCAGATCGTCTAGAGCAATTTCAACAGACCCCACTTTACATTAGACGAGTTATTTCTGATCTCCTCACTCTCCAAAAAATTGTTTCTGGTCATGATCACTTTCCTCAATTCGAAAATTTTGCCCTCAGATCTAATTTAAGGCGAAGTCCACTTCGGCTACGTTCTCAAGGTCAGTTTTCTAACAACTTTTTCTTCAAAACGATTCCTATTTGGAATAAACTTACATCCAAATATCAGTTCACACTTCCACCTAATTCTTTGAAAAAATTATTGGTCGTTTTACCTCGCAACGAATTTTTTACCTCTATTCCACCAAGACTTAACTGATCTCAATTTTTTGTTTTTTGTTGGAATATCACGTCTCTCTAATAAATACTCTTATCTCTGCGTGAGATGGGTATATAAGGCGGCCCTTTTACCTCTCTGACACTTCTTCATTCGACCAATAAACCTGCTCATTCTACTTCGACTTTGGGCTACCGCGGACACAACAGTGGCGATCAGGATAGCAGCTGCATCGACTCCTCTGGACGACTACAGCTGAAGAACTCATCGTGCTCCGCTACAACAACAAAGCTTCGAAACGATGCCGTCACCAACGAGGCAGCAGACGCCAACGTACAACGACTTCATCGCCTTCATGCACCAGATGCAGAAGGAGCAGCAGGACGCCCGGAAGGACCAACAAAACTTCCAGAAGAACATGGTCGACATGATCAAGACTCTGACAAGCAGCAACGTCTCCAGCCAAGCATCCAGCCCCTCAATCGACGTCTATGGTCTGCTGATGAACGAAATAGAATCGTTCAACTACGACGCTGACGGGACATCGACCTTCGACGACTGGTTTAAGCGACATGGCGTGACGATCAACGAACGTGGCAAATCGCTGACCAACGACATCAAACGCAACCTCATCGTCAACTACTTCAACTTTTTTTTTTCTTATTTAAATTGTAGATCGAAGTGAACTCGTTGGGGTTCACACTGATCTGTGAATAAATTATTATTATTAAAAAAAAAGCGCGACCCAGGTTCGTAGGCGCGCATCATGAAAATTCCTTCAGAAAAAGAAACGAGGAGTTTTTGGTACGAAAAGACCAAAAAGATGAGTTTTTTCTCCTTCTGAAAGCCTAAAAAATGCTTATTTTAGGCCTCAAGAACAATAATAATAGGTTTATTCACTGCATACTGTTAGAAAATAATAAATAAAATAGTTCAGAATACGAAAGCAGCAGAATAACCAAAACGGGAATTAGTCTACCCTAACGAGTAGACTATGACCCGGGGATAGAAAGGAAGTCAGAGCAAACGGGAAGGAATGGATTCGAAAAAAAGCAGAGTTAGGGGAGATCATTAAGTTTAACCCGTAGCGCATCCGTAGAGACGTTAAAATTTATTCTAGAGGTAAGTTTATTCCATAATGGAATAGTTTTGGAAAAATCTTTAGAGAACTGACCGGAAGTGCGAAGTCGAAGTGGATTCCTCTGTAAAGGAGAATAATTTCACGACGCAGAGAATTGATCGTTTTTGCTGATTTTATCTGAGAAGTTCAAATCTTCATTGCCTAGGCTAGTTTCGATTTTTTTTCTGATCCTTTCAATTTTCCATAATTCTTTGCTTTTTTTGTTTCATGTAGATCTTCCATGAAAATTTATCAAAGGCTTCGAAAATCCATTTTTTCGATTTTGTTCAAAGAAGAGCAGCGAGGCCAAAACTGAGGACCAAAGACAAAATGCTGAACGTGGTCTGGAATAAACATTTGAAATTAGAAAGCTTTTGGATTTCCGAAAACGAACTTCGACAGATGCGTTGGTTGTGGTCCTTCTGGTAGTCGTTGTAGTTGTAGTTTCAGGCTCCGGAGGAGGATCTGGTCGACGATTTGGAGAACTCAACAATTCGGGTATGCCGAAGGTCGGAAACTGAAATTATGAGTGGATCGACGGATTCCAGAGATGGCCCTCACGTCAAAGCAGTTCGCTGACGAAACAGCCTGAAAAAACAAATTTCAACTCGCCAAGAACAACCAAAATTTAATTAATTCACCCAAAACAACTGACGATATCGCAGGCGGTATCGCCGAAATCTCGCTTTCATTTGAAACTTCCAACAATTTTTTGCGTTGTTTGATAGATTAGAAAAATCAAAATTCGGAAGAAATTTCAAAAAGGGCGAGGCCGCGTTGTTTTCATTGGGTGTATAAATGACTATTTTCTTGGATTTTTCACTCAAAACTATTGTAAATGATACAGTATTCGTTTGATACGATGCAGACGACCTGTTTCTGTGCAAGCGCCTTTAAATTTGCGAAAAACAGAAGAGCGAGATTAAAGGCGCATAACCATGGAGTTCCATGCGCCTTTAATTCAACATAAAAAAGTGGGAGCTAGACTAAAGGCACATGCATAAGAAGTTTCATTCCATGCGCCCTAAATTTTGCGAAAAACGGAAATGCTAGATTAAAGGCGCATGCACAGGAAATTCCATTCCATGCGTCTTTAATTTTACGGAAAACATAGAAAGCTAGATTAAAGGCGCATGCACAGGGAGTGGCATTGGAGCAGACATGTACTGTAGCTCGGAGGCAAGCCGGCGCGGAACGGACTATACGATCCGGAGCCGAGCATTAGCCTGGCACAGTCGACAGCCCATTGGCAAACCTGAGACTCACCAAAAAGAGAAGAACGACTATCAAGAGAGCCTTCATCACTGAATGGCTTCAACTCGATGCTTACTTACGGCTTTCATTTTCACGCTCGAGAATTTCAGAACCTGGAAAGTTCTTTTCCAGTAGGAAAAAAATATTCACATGGAAGGACATTTTCGTTGGGAATTTTCTATAAATTGCACAAAAAATCTTTGATGGACTGGGAATCGATCCCGCATAGTCGCTATCTGCGCAAAATTTTTGTTTTGGAGATATGCTTTTTCAAAGTTTTGTCCTTGAACGCGTGCCACCGTTCGGAAGGAATGTCTCCGGAGCACAAGTCATTGCATGACAGCTAGGAGCGTGGTGCAGTGGCTAGCGCGATTGTCTTCGAAGCCTGTGATGAAAGTTCGAATCCTTTTGCCGCTGTCGTTTTTTTGCCATTATTTTTTCGACGGATTATGATGAAAATATCTAATTTCGGAGGTCCATCAATGATTTTTTGAGCAAATTCATAGAAAATTCCAAATCCTACGCAAAAATGACCTTCCTTGTTACATCGATTTCAGAAAATTTGCTTCAAACTTCAAGAAACCTCTCATCAAAAAATTACACTGAGGCGGTAATTTTTCAGATCAATCGAATTTTTCATTTTTTGTTTTGTTTTGATTAGTTTCTTTCAAGAAAACTTATCAAACGCTTCGAAAGTTCATTAAAATTATAAGTAAAGCGATGAAATCCCTAAGCTAACCTTTACCTAAAAGTATATTACTTTAAAAAATTTTTAAAGATCGAAAAGCTTTAAATCAGATTTTTTTTCCCTGGCGCTGATAGCTGAGATTTTTCGTGATAATGGCTAAAAGTTTTTTTTTCGAGTCTCTCAAATAAACTCTACTCTTGAGTTCACGTGCGGAAAAAAGAAATGAATGCCGTAAGTAAGCATCCGAGTTGAAGCCATTCAGTGATGAAGGCTCTCTTGATAGTCGTTCTTCTCTTTTTGGTGAGTCTCAGGTTTGCCAATGGGCTGTCGACTGTGCCAGGCTAATGCTCGGCTCCGGATCGTATAGTCCGTTCCGCGCCGGCTTGCCTCCGAGCTACAGTACATGTCTGCTCCAATGCCACTCCCTGTGCATGCGCCTTTAATCTAGCTTTCTATGTTTTCCGTAAAATTAAAGACGCATGGAATGGAATTTCCTGTGCATGCGCCTTTAATCTAGCATTTCCGTTTTTCGCAAAATTTAGGGCGCATGGAATGAAACTTCTTATGCATGTGCCTTTAGTCTAGCTCCCACTTTTTTATGTTGAATTAAAGGCGCATGGAACTCCATGGTTATGCGCCTTTAATCTCGCTCTTCTGTTTTTCGCAAATTTAAAGGCGCTTGCACAGAAACAGGTCGTCTGCATCGTATCAAACGAATACTGTATCATTTACAATAGTTTTGAGTGAAAAATCCAAGAAAATAGTCAATGAAAACAACGCGGCCTCGCCCTTTTTGAAATTTCTTCCGAATTTTGATTTTTCTAATCTATCAAACAAAGCAAAAAATTGTTGGAAGTTTCAAATGAAAGCGAGATTTCGGCGATACCGCCTGCGATATCGTCAGTTGTTTTGGGTGAATTAATTAAATTTTGGTTGTTCTTGGCGAGTTGAAATTTGTTTTTTCAGGCTGTTTCGTCAGCGAACTGCTTTGACGTGAGGGCCATCTCTGGAATCCGTCGATCCACTCATAATTTCAGTTTCCGACCTTCGGCATACCCGAATTGTTGAGTTCTCCAAATCGTCGACCAGATCCTCCTCCGGAGCCTGAAACTACAACTACAACGACTACCAGAAGGACCACAACCAACGCATCTGTCGAAGTTCGTTTTCGGAAATCCAAAAGCTTTCTAATTTCAAATGTTTATTCCAGACCACGCTCAGCATTTTGTCTTTGGTCCTCACTTTTGGCCTCGCTGCTCTTCTTTGAACGAAACCGAAAAAATAAATTTTCGAAGCTTTTGACAAGTCTTTTTGATTCAGAAAGACATACCGAAATTGTCAAAGGAATTTGAAAACTTCAAATGAAATGGTGGAACGAGTTGCTTTGAAGATCGTCTCCGAGACGACTCTTCTCATTTTTTCATACTTGGAATGAAAATGGAAGTTTGAACAATTTTGATCATATGCCGATAATTTCGTACCATAATCAATTTATTGAAAAAAAAATGATAATATAGTCAATGTTTCCCGAATTGAAAGGCGAGGGAGGCGGGGCAGGGGGCGGGGCGCGTAGCGTGTGCGTTCGCGGTTCTTGGCACGCGTTCAATTCAACTGTCGCCGACTATTTAAAAAAAGCTCGGCAACCGCTCTTTTTTTATGTGTTCTACTATGTTTTGATTCACAAATGAACATAATCAATAAATAGTTGAAAAAGGAATGAAAAAAAGCGAAAAAACGGGTTTTTCAAAGAGTAGATGGCGGTTGAATTGAACACGTGCCAAGAACCGCGTACGCACACGCTACGCGTCCCGCCCCTTGCCCCGCCTCCCTCGCCTTTCAAGTCGGGAAACCTTGACTATAGCTGTGATTCACACGTAAGGTGACCCGTTTTTGAAAGACATGTTTGGATAAGAAAAAAAGGTATAGTCTGTGCCACGACTTGAAAATTCACGGAACGACATTCCGCTGTTCCTCTGCGTGCGTTCGCGAAGCGTCTTTCGAATCTAGGTCACGGTTTCAATTGATTGTTATTGCTGTGTGAGCACATGAAAATAGATAAAAATAAAAAATAAAAGCGCGACCAAGGTTCGCAAAGGCGCGCAGCGGCACAGCGGAATGTCGTTCGGTGAAATTCCAAGTCGTGGTACACAGGTCTATATGGATTAGAATTCAAGGTGGACAATTTTCGACATCTTAAAAAAAATTGGAGGTAAAGGTGAAATATTTAGGAGGGGCGAAATCTTAGTCAAACATGTCGATACCCGAAATCTATAGGTACAGTACAGTTGATTCAAGGGAACTTTTTCTAGATCTGAAATTTGGCTGAAGTGTACTTCCGGACGTCATGTATTCAAAAAGAGTAACAAATGAAATTTTGCACAACTCCATCGTTTTTAAGGAAAAGTCAAAGAAAACCCATAAAAATAGGCTGTTTTGGGGCTTCAAGCCCTCATTTCTCCAAATATGGGAAGTTGTGAAGGCTGAGACTATCAGGGTCTTGATCTGGTACATCAAGAAGTGTTCTAGCCAATTTTCTGGGAATTTTCAATCGCAAAGTGGAATGAACTACCTTGTCAGGAGGTCTAGAATCCTGAGTCCACTTCAGCCAATTTCCATTTAAATTTCTACTGGACGCTAGGAGCTCGAAAAGCTCAAAAAGGTCGCCAAATGGTGGGTGATGAGCCGGTGGATGAGGCCGAATCCCGGCGACGTCGCTTCGAATCGACCGATTCTGGCGTCGCCTGCGTCAAGGAGATGGTCGCTGACGGTGACGTCATCGTAGAGCCGGACAGGGACTTGGGAGGGCGGATGACCGTCGAGCAGGGCGTCGTCGCTCGCGGCGACCTGTCCGACTCGGGCTCTGCGAGGCCGGAGCTGGAGCAGCTCGCGAGGACGGAGGCTGGAATCGGAGACCCGGACATGCTGCCCATCGCCACCATCAGGCTGAAGGGCCAAGGTCTGCAAAGAAAGTTTGGATGAAGGTGTGACCATCTGTTTCTAGTAACTTATAAAGATACTCTTTCAAATCTGCCTTTGTCGGGAAACATTGACTATACAGTATAGTAAAAAAACAGTTTTTTCGAAGTGAATTTCCACGGAAAGTTTGAGTAAAGATTTGCGGACATATTCTGATAAAAATAGCTAAATTACTTCAAATTTTTCTTTTTGAAATGGGCAATCTGTGCTATTCAAACGGCTCAAGGGTATGGTGGATGGAAGCTCCCCTCGCTAGACTTAACAGCTTGGCGCAGCGCGTGTGCTGCGAATTTTCATTTTGAGGTCGCGAGTTCGATACCCGCAAGCGTCATTATTTTTTTTTGTTTTCTGGAAAATACCGACTTTTTCGACAAACTAGCTGATTAGTATCATTTTAGCCCTCTATTTTGATTTCTAATTGCCCAGTATAAAAACTTGTTCTAGAAGAAAAATTGAGAAAAATGTGTAAAATGGATAATACCAAAATTTGCGCGGCGCGCCACAATTTTCGTCATAACTTTTTTCATCCTCAATCTTTTTCGAAAAACTAAACGATTCTGAGTTTTGAATCGAAACAGCTATCAAAGCATACAAAGCTTAATGCTGAAAACATTTTTTTGAAAAGTATACTTACTGTGGAATGATTGCAGGCAGCATGGGGAGGTAGGAGGCGATCGGAATCATGGAACTCGACGGCGTCATCATGGACGGCATTGGCGGCGTGCCGAGCAGCGAAGAAGGCCCGGGCGGGCAAGCCGGAAGTGGTCGCTTAAGGGTCGTTATCGGCTTCGGGATCCGAGCGTCACGTGGTCCGTCTACGGTCACCTGCATGTATTCTGATATTTTCCAGGGAAATTAATATTGATTACTCCTTTTTCCACTTCTTTGGCCTAAAAACTGTTAGAAAACCAAAATTATAAGATCAAAAGGTCGCAGGTTCGAGTCCTCTCCAGGTCATTCTTTTTTTTTTGCCATTTTTTAAACATCTCTTCTGATCTTTCAAGTGAACTTTATCAGTATAAAAAAACCTTTTTTTCACTTTTTTTAACTGTAATAATTGTATGATCTTAAAGTTCTTTATTAATTTTTTTTAAAAATTTTTGGGACAAAAATCACCTTGATAACCCTCGTCACCATGGCGACCATCAACGGTCGGCTGTGGATAGTGATCGTCAAATTGAAGCATTTTTCCTGGAAAAATCGTCTTGCGTTTATAAATTTAGTTGCTCCTGTAGATTGATACTTTGAAAATGAAGTTTTTTTAACTAAATTTTTTTAGTTATATTGAAGCTTCCGATTTCGCTCAATTTTTTTAAAAACATCGGCCAAAAATATTTTTGCCATGATAATCTTGCTGATTTTTTTGGTATATTGGAAAGGTAGATCAATGATCCATATGCATTTATGATCATTTAAAATAATTCTCAGGGAGATTTAGATAAAAAAATTACGCAAAAAAAGGTTTCCTAAAACTTTTTCAGTAGAAAAAAATTGCATTAAAGTTTTTTTGCGGTTTTCTATATGCCTAAATTAGCCCCCCTCCCCCTGTCCCCTGTGCTGTCGCGGACCTCCGTAACCCAGTACGTACTTCGGACTTACTGAGAAAAAGTTGAGAGGGACAAATTTGGTCCTTTGTAGGGGCCCCTGAATCAACCCCTATCAGGGGGTCCCGAAAATCTGGTTTAGGGTCTATAGGGGGGTAACATTGAATTTTTCACTGAAATTCGCTTCTCATGCTCGTCCCTTACTCTTTCAAACAACGGTCCTTGAATAATATTTGAAAAAAATTCACCCCCTAAAAAAATTTCCCCATCAGGGGCCCCTATTTTACCCCCTAACAGGCCCTTGGGGGGGGCGGGGGATATTTACGACCTTGCAGGACCGTTACAAGTCATAGAATTTCCCAAAAAAATTCGAAGCATCATTGAGAAAGGCAGATCACATATGTGTTTGCGTGACGGCGAAAGGTGAGAGGGGGGAATATTTGTGGGGCGATAAGAATCTGGCTGATCGTCCTCGTCGCCTTGTTCATCAGCAGGCAGCCACCGCCACCACATATGGTTGAAGAAACGGCCGTTCGCGCGCCCAGATAACACCACGACCGGTTTCGCAAAACAAGATTCTCTGTCCTTTTTTCGAATTTCCCGCGCGAATTCTATTGACAAGTACAAAACTTCAGAAACGGCTCTGAATTGACCGAAAGCCTCTCAAAACTTCTCGTTTTACAAGAGTAGAAGCCTAAAAAGTCATTCTTCCAGTCGAAAAATCTTGAAAAAGGTGTTCCAGCACATCTAGGAGGTTAGACGTTTGGATAACTTCCCGCAAGTTTTTTACCTTCAAGAAGTCTTCTGGAAGGCTTCTGGCAGTCATTTCAGATTTTTGAACTTCTGAACACCTTCTCCAGGCCTTCTAGCCTCCATACACTTCCCAACCTCCTGCTGGTATCATCCCAGGAAATTTCTGAGAAAGGCATACCAACTACCTTCTGAACACCTTCCCAAGGCTTTCTCAAGACCTTCTAGCTTCCATTCACCTTCCAACCACCTTCCCGAACCTCCCTGTGTATCTAGGCTCAAACATCTTTGACTCGCCCGAAAAAGACCTTCCAGCTACCTTCTGAACACTTTTCCCACGACCTTGTCAGGACCTTCTAGCTTCCATTTACCTTCCAACCTCCTTCTGGTTACTTTTCCAGATCTTCCTGAGTAACTATTTCCAACTATCTCCGACTCAATTTCACCCAGATTCCCTCGAAAGACGGCACGATCGAGGTTGGCCAGGCCGCCATTCGGCTGGGCGAATCTTGGCGCTTATCGACGTCGACGATCGTCGTCTGGACACGTATGCGTGTTATGAAGCGTCGGTTGGAACACCGCAAAACCTTGCGAGGGGAAGTGCGGCAGATATGCATCCTCCGCGATGATCACTATCGTCCAAACGGACTGGATCCGTGGCGGTCGCGCCAAGCTTTGATCAGAGGTTGGTTTGGCCGCGACGCGACCGCAAACGCTGACCAAAAAAGTTGAAAAAATTTTTTTTTTCATTCCTCTGGAAAAAGTCATCAGAAAAAAAATTATTGAACCTATTTTCTCATAAGTGTGCGGCACTTGCAGTTCCTGTGCACGGCGGTCGCGATGCGTTTTGGCGCCAATTCAAAAAAATTATCGTACACCCTTATTGGGAATCCACATATAAAAATTTTCAGACAACTTCTTAAAAAACTATTCAATGAATTTGTGATATCTTTATTAGACAACCAGAAAAAAAATTCAAACATGCGAAAATTTTTAAATTGGCGCCAAAACGCATCGCAAACGCTTTGCAGGGAAACGTCACGAGCCGGAAAAGAATATATTAAATAACTTCACGACTTGAAACCAAAAATGGACAGAATGTTTTGAAAAAGACCGCCCTCTCAAGTCTTCCTCAATTAAAGTCAGGACAACCTCCTCAAAACGATCTTGCAAGCTTAACCTTCTATCTTGCCTCTCCTCTTGGCAAAAATCTATCGCCTCGAAAAAATTTGTCGATGTTGTTTATTTTGACTTTGCCAAGGCTTTTGATAAGGTAAATCATTCTCTGCTTGTTCATAAGCTCAAGAACTTTGGTCTTGACGAAAACGTTGTTCGATGGTACAAAAACTTCTTATCTGAGCGTGTTTCTAATGTTCTGATCGATGGATCTCGTTCTTCTCTTACTTATCTCAATACTTCCGGTGTCCTTCAAGGAACTGTATCTGGTCCTTTGCTTTTTCTAATTTTCATCAATGATATTGTTAACTACATTGACCATGAAACCTCAATCTCTCTGTTCGCTGATGATATAAAAATTTACAGTTCTAACCCTGAATCTCTCCAACGTAGTATTAATTCCATATTTGAATGGTCTTCCATTTGGGGCTTGCCTCTTGCTGCGCACAAAACTTTTGCTATCAACCTTGGTCCCCTCAATCCCAAAACAACTTATTTAATCAATGGTCTGTCTATTCCCAGAAAAACCATTATCCGTGATCTAGGTGTTCTTATCGATGATAAACTAACTCTCGCTCCTCACATTAACAATATCGTTTCTTTAGCAACCCTTCGTTCCAATCAGATACTCAACTGTTTTCGTTCCAAATCACCTGATCTATTGTTCAAAATTTTTAACACCTATGTAAGGCCTATTCTAGAATACTGCTCCGAAGTTTTTAACCCTCCCCTTAATTCTGATCTCTGCTACAAACTGGAATCTCCTCTCAGAATTTTTTCTCGTAAAATTTTTATTAGGTCCAACTTATCCTTTGAATCTTACTCTGATCGCCTTGAACAATTTGATATCTCTCCACTTTACCTCAGACGAGCTATATCTGACATTCTGACCCTTCATAAAATTGTCTTCGGTATCGATCATTTTTCCCCAGTTCGAACTTTTTTTGCCCTCAGGTCCAATTTAAGGCGAAATCCACTTCGACTGCGTTCTCAAGGTCAGTTTTCTAATGATTTTTTTCTTTAAAAACAATTCCTACTTGGAACAAACTCACTTCCAAATTTCAATTCAGCCACCACCCCAAGTCTTTAAAAAAACTTACTGGTCAATCTACCATTGCACGAGATCTTCTTGTCTATTCCTCCACGACTCAAATGATGTATAACTGTATAATGTATTCTCTCAAATTCTAGATCCAAGTGAACTCGTTAGGGTTCACGCTGATCTGTCAATAAATTATTATTAAAGTCAAAACCAACTTTGAATTTTTTCAAATACCTCCCTGACAAGGAAGGTCATTTCAATTTGCAATCGATAGTTTTCTGAAAATGCCAGAAACTCCCTGATTCACCAGAAAGAGGTTCTGAAAGTCTCCACCTGCGCAACTATCTAGCTTTCAAGAAATATGGGCTCAAAGACCCAAAATAGCTCATTTCAGGGTTTTCTTCAACTTTGAGGTTTCCTTTCTCAAAAACTAGCAAATTGTGCAGGTTGAGACTTTCAGAACCTTCTTCTGGTGTTTCAAGCAGTATTCTGGCCAATTTTTGAAGAGTTCTGAGGCGCAAAGTAATAACCTCCTTGTGGGATTATTAGTGTGAAAAATGCCGTGTCTTTCAGAATCATTCTTTCGGTACATCGAGGGGAGTTCTGGCCAATTATTAGAAAATTAATTACCGCATAGTAAAACCAACTTCCTTGTGAGGTTAAAAGTTTTCTTCCTCATTTCTCAAAAATTTAGCAAGTCTATCCTTCTCTCGGAGCTTATGACCCCAACCCCTTCCTCAAAAACTTCAAAAAAAACCCGAGGTGGAACCAAAAGATCCTAGAGCCTTCCGGAACATGTTATAGCAGTCAATAACCAATAATGTCACCGTGGTGTTCACACCTGTCGGTTGGTCCAAAGGCCCACCGGCGGATGCATAAAAATTGTGTAACGTCAGGTATAACAACCGCGCGAAACGCCTTTGTTTTACCGCACTGGCGGGTCAACCGGCCTTCCTTTTTTCACACATTTTTATTTCCTTATTCCTTCGAAGGGCGATTGAAGCTATAGCTGATTCACGGCCAGCTTGGGACTCTAAGGGGGCGTGTCCTGTCTGCGCTCTCCACGAGTCAGGCGCTATCTCGTGCATAATCGTGTCAGGACCCTTTTTTTGATGGCTCAAGCCAGCCGTGAATCAGCTATATTAACACTTGGGAAAGCTTCTAGTAGTCACTTAAGAAGTTCCTTAAGGACAACTTGGAGAGGACACTAAAGTGGCCCCTAAGACCACCACTATAGAAGCCGCTATTTCGCGTTTTAGTGGCCACTATAGTAGTGTTTAATGGTATAAAAGGACTGCTTAAAACTTTAAATTGGCCACTAATTTTTTCGCCCCTTGAGTGGCCACTAATTCTACTTCTTCAGTGACCGCTATAAAGTCAAAACCCTAAAGGGTCCACTAAAAATTTTCCGTAATTTGAGATCTTTTTCCCCAAATATGCACTAAAGTCGCTCTTAAACGCGGTTTTTTTATCGAATCAAATTTTTTTAAATTATTAGAAATAAATAAAATAAATAAATAAATTTCGCGCCAAGATAACCAAAGATCGGTGTACAGAAAGTTACATACCGTAACCTGAGATTTAAAAAAACAAGATATTTGAAAACTCTATTTTTGATCGAAAGCCTTCACTACGAAGAAAGAAAAAAAGGAAGCAAAAAAATAAATAAATAAATAAATAAACGAAAATGATCAATTTTTTTGCAAAATTTAGAAGTTTTGTGCTATTTCCAGTAGACTTTCGTGACATAATATCTAAAAAATGAGAGTAATTTTTTTTGACTATATCCTTCAACTGATTTTCGTTCGACCACACTGTTGCAGGAAGGATTTATCATCTTTCAAACTAGAAAAAAAAAAGATGAAGCATCACTTGGAGGATGACAAAACGACAAATAATAATAAGATTCATTGAAAAAAAAGCACAGAAAAAACGTACCTCTGCCGGATCTTCCGACGAATCGAAGGTCGCTGAACCTGGCGACCTGCTGCTGAATTTTGGCCGTCTCGTTCCGGATCTCGCTGCACGGAGTTTCGTCGTTTCCCGCCGAAATCGACACTGAAACTTCTTAGTTAACTAATATAATGATGATTTGACAACAGATGATTGTAAATCCTAACCACTTGAATTAAAAAAAAAAAAAATGACGTTTTTTGGCGTTTTAAACGAGCTGAAGGGGGACTAATTTTTCGTCATAAAGCTCATAGAAAAACTTCAAAAATGCCTGTAGGAGTGAGAAAAAAATTAATCGACTAGAGCTCTAATAATTTAGGAGGAAAAAAAATAATTGTGTGAAAATGACGATTTTTAGAGAAGAAATTAGGCTAGAATCTCGCTTTTGTGATAAAAAAATCTAATCTAAAAAAATCTCAAATCACGAAAAAAATAAAAATTTCGGTTTTTCCTTGTAACCTTTTCCTTCAAAAAAATCAATCTGGAATATCTAATGACAAAAATTTTCGAACTAACGTCTCAAATGACGGACCAACTCAGGAGGAAAAAATGAATAATAATTGTGTGAAAATGACGATTTTTAGAGAAAAAATCCGGATAGAATCTCGCTTTTATGAAAAAAAAAATCTCAAAGTACGAAAAAATAAATTTTTGGCATTTCTTTGTGAGCTTTTCCTTCAGAAAATCAATCTGAAAAATCTCAAAAAAGAAAAATTTCAGAACAATTTCTCAAATGACGGTTCATCTTCAGATGAATATTCAAATTGTTTCGAACACACCTAAAAAATTTTTGGAAAATTTTTAGGATCGAACTTTGTTCAAATAAACTCAGCCCTTTTGCGTTTCGGAAAGAAACCTGTTTCTTTTGCAAAAAAATACCGTATACCAAATCAGAACAAAACTGAGCATCTTCGCTTCGAGACCTTGTTTTTTTTTTTGCTGTCTCTTAGCAGTTTCTTTTCAAAGTTCTAACGGCTCTTATGAATTTTGCGGAATCTCTTCGAACACGGCATTAATAAAAAAGCAAACCCAAGGTGTTATCCGGGACGGGAGTCAGAAGAACGACGAAAAACTGCGTCTGGAGCGATTTGTTGGAGCGCCAATGCTGCGGCAATTTGCTCGTCAAAACGTTGGGACTACTCGATTTCTGTATTCAAATCCTTCATTTACAGTACGGAATATAGACGCCATTATAGATAAAACTCCCAAAAGTCTCCTCTTGGCGCATTTCGCGTGCGTGCGCGCGCCAATTCAAATTTCGTCTCTTGGACTAGATTTACAGGCTTCCAGTAGATGGTTCAACACTTTTGGAAATAAAGTAAGCTTCACCAAATGAGTCAATATTGAATGAAATAAAACTGGAAATGAATAAGCAAGAAGTATACAAAAAGAACCATATACTGGAAGCCTGTAAATCTAGTCCAAGAGACGAAATTTGAATTGGCGCGCGCACGCACGCGAAATGCGCCAAGAGGAGACTTTTGGGAGTGCTTTCTATAATGGCGTCTTACGGAATATATGCTAATTTTTTTATTTTGGTTTTTTTATATATTTTTGAAAGTTTTTTTATAAAGAAAGGACGCTCAGAAATTTCCAAAAATGTTCTTAAAACGCTTGAAAAAAGGTCATTTTTGTTGCCTTTTTTTGGCAATTTTTTTAAAGACTTTTTTTAACTTTTTTTCTTGTCGTTTCTCACTTTTTTTAAGCCTCTAAAATTCTAACGAAAAAAATGAAAAAGCTCAATTCATCAAAATTCCTTAAAAAGACCATTTTTGTGGTCATTTAGCTGCCTTTTTTTCCAGCTTTTTGGCTAAAATTTTTCTATTTTTTTGAAACTTTTGTAAGTTTCCTGTTTCGATTTTTAAGCCGCTTCTAACGCGAAAAATTTAACAAATTAAAAAAATATCGATTATTACCGGACAGAAAAAGAAAAATTTCATGGATTTTCGATAAAAAAATTTCCAAAAAAACATTTTTTTGGACTGAAATTTGAATATTTCATGTTTTTTTTGTGCAGCAAGACTACTTACAAAAAAACTTAAAAAGCATTTTTTTGAAATAAGAAGTAAAAAAATCGAAAAAAATAAAAACATTTTTAGAAATTTCTTTCGAATAAAAAAATGAATTTTTGAGCATTTTCTACCTTGAAAATGTCGGAAAAAAACTCAAAAAAACTCGTAAAAAAACAACCTCAAGTTGTATACTCGGCGATTTGTCCATGAAATCTAGTATTTGCTTGTAGACCAAGCTCATCTCTGAAAATATAAAATCAATAAAACAAAAAAAAAAGGAAAATCGAAGAACCACGTTGCTTATAGTAGTTTTAATCAGCATGTATGACTAATAAGGACCGAAGAATTTCCGATTGATAAACAAAATCGCCGACCGCAGTTATCAGTCATTTTAAGTTCATTAACACGTACTCCAAACCGATAAAAATGATATCATTTTCGTGCGAAAAATATTTTTTTATCTCTTTTTTTGCAACTTGCATTGAAAATATGATAAAATGAGCAAAAACCGGCTCGAAAAAAGTTTCTAAATGAAGAGAAATTAAAGTCGTGTTCAATTTGATTCTGCGAAATGCAAAATGATCTCTGACTCTACAAAATTTAGTCATCTTTTCCTTTTTCTAACGGTAATTTTGCATTTCGCGGAATCAAATTGAACACGGCATAATAAAATGATACGTGAAAACGTGAAATGACTAAATTAGTCCCGAAGGTCCAGTTATTGTAGAAATCGCGTTGGAGCGCAATTGATGGAGTGAGGTTCGAATTTTCGATTTTGAAAAATTTTAAAAATGTAGAGAAAGAAATATAAGGTAGGGTTTGAAAAAAAAAACGAATTATATAAGGTATTAAAGCCCAAAAAGTGGCTCAGAAACAATTCATCAACTTTTTTTGTTAATTTTCATTATAAATCCATATTTTTTTATTCAAAAAAATTGTTGAATTCAATCGATTTTCATCCAAATCAATGTTATTTCTGATCAAAATTTCAAGGTAATCCTCTTGATCTTTGATAATTTCTAGAGTAAAAAAATCTTCACAGTGACTAATATTTTGAAACGATTTTTAACAACCCAGAAAGAGAAGTAGAAAATTTTCAACCGAGTCAAAAATTTCGACAGAATCAACAAAACAGAATAGTGCATAAAAAGGAAGAGGGAAACGACTGGAAAACAAGAAGGCAAAAAAAAAAGAAGGGGAATTTGATCGTTATCTCGCCACGATTTCCCTTTTTTACTGCGTGGTTTTGTGTGTGAGGCGAGGAGTTGAAATTCTGAATTTTGAGGTGGTAATAACTAAATAGAATAATGAAGAGTGAATCTGAGAGAAAACGAGTCTGAAAGGCACAAAAATTTGAATACATTCTGCCCCCGACCCAAACCGACTTTGAAATCATGTATGTGAGTAAAATTGAAGCTAACTTGGTACATAAATCACTCCAGAAAACCCCGAAACTCCTAATTTAATAAATTATTAGAAGAATGATCTCGTTATATTGAACAAATGGAAAATCTACAGATAATAATGAACCAGCTCAAAATGAAAAAAGCTGAAGAAAAATGGGAAGAATGAAGAGTTCCCTGCAGAGGAAAATATTGAAAGAATGATAAAATTAACAAAAAATAGTCCGAGGAAAAGAAATAATCATATCAGAGGCTGTTTTGAAAACATAAAAAATGAAAAAATAAAGAAAAATGCGAAAAATGCGAAAAACTGGAAGAATTGCGGTAGAAGCGGGGGCTGATCGCGGGAGAGTGCTTTTCGAAGTTGTTTTATACAAAATTTGCGCGCAAGTGGGGGCTGTAGGTCATTATAATCTAGACCTCCAATGAAGTTTTGAACAAATTTTCGAAATACTCTAAAGTTCATACCTTGTGGACCACTTCAAGGACGTCGCCCTTCAAAAAAAAGCTTTTGGAAAATTTTTCTTGGTATCAAGTAAAGAATAGAGAGGCAGATAAAAAAAGAAAACTTCAGAAGACTTTTTCAAAATGAAAAAAACTGCAGAAAAACTAAACAAGACGTTCGGTAGAAGCTGGGGGAGAGTTTTTTTCAAAAAGTCTTTTTACGAAATTTTTGCCCAAGGGGGTACTGGAAGAGCGGTTTCGGTATCATAATAACGAAAAATCGGCTTTTTTAAGTGAGAAAACCTAGAAAAATGAAGAAGACGTGCGGTAGAAGCGCAAGCGTATGGCGGGAGGGCTTTTTTCTTTTACGAAACATTTTTCAAAAAGTCTTTTACGAAATTTTTGCTCAACTATGTACGGAAAGAACGGTTTTGGCATCATAATAGCGAAAAATCAGCTCATGGAAGCTTTTCAAAAAGTAGAAACTCCAGAAAAATGAAGAAGACGTGCGGTAGAAGCGCGGGCGTATGGCGGGAGGGCGTTTTTCTAAGAAGTCTTTTACGAAATTTTTGCCCAAGTGAGTGCTGGAAGAACGGTTTTAATATCATATTATCGAAAAATCGACTCATAGAAGCGTTTCAGAACGTAAAAACTCCAGGAAACTGAGCAAGACATGCGGTAGAAGCCAGGAGAGGGGGAAGTTTTTTTCAAGAAGTCTTTTACGAAATTTTTGGGAAGGTGGATACTGAAAGAACGGTTTGGTATCATACTAACGAAAAATAGGATCATAGAGGCTTTTCAAAATGAAAAACTCCAGAAAAATGGGGAAGACGTGCGGTAGAAGCGTGGGCTGATGGCGGGAGGGCATTTTTCAAGATGTCTTCTACGAAATTTTTGCGCAAATGGGTACTGGAAGAACTGTTTTAATATCATATTATCGAAAAATCGACTCATAGAAGCGTTTCAGAACGTAAAAACTCCAGGAAACTGAGCAAGACATGCGGTAGAAGCCAGGAGAGGGGGAAGTTTTTTTCAAGAAGTCTTTTTACGAAATTTTTTTGGGAAGGTGGATACTGAAAGAACGGTTTGGTATCATACTAACGAAAAAAATAGGATCATAGAGGCTTTTCAAAAATGAAAAAAACTCCAGAAAAAAATGGGGAAGACGTGCGGTAGAAGCGTGGGCTGATGGCGGGAGGGCATTTTTCAAGATGTCTTCTACGAAATTTTTGCGCAAATGGGTACTGGAAGAACTGTTTTAATATCATATTAACGAAAAATCGACTCATAGAGGTTTTTTTAAATGAGAAAATCTAGAAAATGTGCGATAGACGGGGGGCTGAGGGCTCGTGTGGGTACTGAAAAAACGGTTTTGGGGGCCAACAAGGTTCTATAAGAACGGTTTTGGTATCATAATAACGAAAAATAGGCACATAGAAGCTTTCCAAATTTAAAAACTGAAGAAAACTGAACAAGGCGTGCGGTAGAAGCGGGGGCTGATGGCGGGAGGGTGTTTTGCGCGAAGACTTCCACAAAATGCCGCGACGAACGACGACAGGACAAGGATAGATGATGCACAGCCACACATACCGAGATGCGTGATGCCGATATGGACAGCCGCTCACTCTCCTCGGGCTGGCGCCAGTCCCGCCGGCCGTGTCCAGATTGCGGAACGGTCCCGACCGCCGGTTTTCGAAGATTTGTTGCGAAAATGATCACTTGAGGGGACAGTTCATTGAGTCTGCTAGGTTAGCTTGTCTTATAAAATACTCTTCATTACGCCCTCGGCGGTATGAAAAAAATACCAGCGAAAATTCAAATGGCGACTTTTCCGATTTTTTCGTATCGCCAGGGAACTTTCCGACGGCCACCTTTCCGACGAAACTTTCTCCGACGTTTTTTTCGATAAAATATTTGTTTTAAATCTTCCTATATAATGTAGGTAGTTGGTTCATGATTAAAACACAAACAAATAGGAAAAAAAAAATGTTTATAGATGTTTTATAAACCGAAAAAGGTAAGGGAAAAAAGTCGGAAAGGGGTTCGTCGGAAAGGTGGCCGTCGGAAAGTTCCCTAGCGATATGAAAAAATCGGAAAAGTCGCCGGTTGAATTTTCGCTGGTCTTTTTTTCATACCACCACGCCCTCAATCATCAAATTTTATATACAATCCAAAAAAACTCCCTGTGATTTATGATCTTTTTATGTTATTTGGCAACTTTTTTTGTCCATATAAAAAAATTCAACTTTCTCCGGGGTCACTAAAATCAGGTACCGCAACCAATTGCTCGAAGTTGGGGTTATTTTGAGAACGACAGATTTTGAATGAACTCCGAAATCAAAAAAATTCTCAAACTGCGTTGCTTATCGGAGTGGAAAAACTAACTTTCAGAACGAGAGCTGTTCTCCAAGCCAAATTAGAAAATAATAAATGAAATTATTTTTTTTTTTGCTCTGAGGATTAGACAATCAAAACCTTGAAAAATGTTCAACTTTCATAAATATTATTTCAAACAAAAAAATCGATTAGATAATCTGAGACAGGGTTGAAGTTCATTCGAAGCTAGCTTAAGCCTTAAGGTCACATTCACTGGGTGTTCCAAAAAGGTTAGGGAAAAAAACCCAGCAGCGAGCAGATTCATGAACCTCTTTTATCATTCTAAAAGTCTGTAGTGATATTTTTCTCTTAAAAAAATATTCCAGAACAGATCAGAATCGAATTTTATTCCATATTCAAGCTTCAATCAACGTTTTAAAAGTGATAAATGACTCGGGAAATAAAGAGAAAAAAAGATTTTTTTTTTTGGGTGACAAGGTGAAGGTGACAGTGAAAAAATATATTTTTCATGTCAAACCAGCGGCAAACGGAGTATAGAAGCTCCAACAAGTTTTTGATTTTTGAAAATGAATTCAAAAAATCTCAGAATCGAATTCAAATCCATCCCCAAGCCTTCATCCACGTGTTAACAGTGATAAATGACCCGTGAAATGAAAAGAAAAAAAAAATTTTTTTTTCTGGTGACGAGGTGCGGAGAAGCGGGCGGCGGTGGGGACGAGGATTGATGGTGCGCCTCCAACCGCAACATTTCGATGGAGGCCGACTCCTCAGGCCACGCCCCACGCCACAGCCACCACCGCTGCTCAATTTTGTTGACGAGCATTTAACACTACACGCGGCGTCGCGGCTGTCTTCTCTCACCTGCCTCATTAAAATCCCTCCCCGCAGGGCTCTTGATCCAACTCCGGAGCGATGGCTAATGTTCGGCTCTTTGCAGGGGGACCACTACGAATTCGTCAAAGTGGTCCCTAGAGTGGCCATGTAGGTCCCCCTCAAGGGACCACCCCTTCTTTAGGAGGCTCGGACCACAAACTTGGGACAGCCAAAGTGGTCCCTAGAGTGGCAGCCTTAGGGGCTCTTGTAGGTTCTTCTCAAGGAACCACCTTAATTCCTACTATAGGAGGCTCTTATCACAAAATCGAGAACGCCGAAGTGATCCCTAGAGTGGCAACCTTAGGGGTTCTTGTAAATTCCTCCTCCTATAGGAGGCTCGGACCACAAACTTGGGACAGCCAAAGTGGTCTCTAGAGTGGCAACCTTAGAAGCTCTTGTAGGTGCCCCTCAAGGGACCACCTCCTCCTATAGGAGGCTCGGACCACAAACTTGGGACAGCCAAAGTGGTCCCTAGAGTGGGCACCTTAGGGGTTCTTATAGGTGCCTAAAGGGACCACCTTACTTCCTATTATAGGAGGCTCGGACCAAAAACTTGGGAACCCTAAAGGGGTCCCTAGAGTGGCCACCTTAGGAGCTCTTGTAGGACCCTTAAGGGCCCACCTCCTCATATAGGAGGCTCTTACCACAAACTTCGAAACTTCGGAGTGGTCCCTAGAGTGGTAACCTTAGGGGCTCTTGTAGGACCCCCTCCAGGGATCATCCTCCTATAGGAGATAGTAAGCTGGCAAAAGTGGCCACTTTAGGGAAGAATGCCAGTCGTTTATTTGTTATGAACTCTATGAAAAAAGCCAAAAACTCCATAACAGGGTTATTTGAATGGAAAAATATCAATAGACGGTTAATCGATCAAGTTTTACTAATCACGTATTTTTAACTTTCAATTTGTCAGAATGAAAAACTGGACCCTATAAGGATCACTTGAGATTTTGGGGCTTAAAGATCAGGCCCTAAACTTCTATAGAGACCACTAAATTTAAGCCCTCTGCGGAGCCCTATTTTATCCCTTTATGGGGGGTTTTTTTTTCCCAAACTTCTATAGGAACCATTTTGACGTAGGAAACTCCGAACACAAAAAATCTTTCTACGAAAATTCCTTAAAAATTTAGAAACCACACTTTTTTCGACGCAAAAAAGTTATGCCGTAGAATGTCGGTTTGTTGGAAAACTCCGTTGCGCGAAAGTCCTACGTTCCGATTTGCTAGAATCATTCATAGCCGTTTCCTGGCCCTTATAGACCTTCCGCATGCAAATGCTTCATTTCATAAATTTCATAAAAATAATCGACTAGAATTTCTCCTATAAGGGCCAATTTCGCAAGCATTAGTGACCCCTATAGGGGGAGGTAAAGTCATCTCTGGACAGAGAGCCTTCTAGGGCCCCTAACGTCGCCCCTAAAGTTCTCCCTGGCGCCCCTCCCCTTTCAATAATCGACTAACATGTCCCTATAGGGGCCACTTCCGCAAACTTCCGTGGCTCTTATAAAAGGAGATAAAAATTTCCCTTAAGGAGATCCTTCAAGGGCCCCTAGAAGGACTACTCTAAAGTTCCTAAGTACAGTGTATATTAGCCGCCCTCTTCTCCCTTGAAATCAAAGGAGTATGAATAGCGACAAGCTTCCAAGGGAGCATGAAAATCCTAACTACTGGGAAATTTTTTAGTGGCCTCTATAGGGTTTTGACGTTTTAGTGGCCCCTTTAGGGGTTAAAAATTAGTGGCCACTATAGAGTTCTAAGTGGTACTACTAGACGACTAACTACTAAAGTTGCCACTAATGGACAAACTAGTGGCCACTTTAGTGTCCTTTTCAAGTAGTCTTTAGGGAGCCTCTCTAGTGGCCACTTTATTATTATATTTCGTTTCTTCTCAAAATCACTCATTCAGCTGGGATATGATGAGCCCAACCGAGGTCCAACACATGTCAAGGTGTGTACCCAACAGATGGGTAGCTGATTACACACATACACTCACAAGCGGGATAACGGTGATGACACGCCGGACACACCACAACATTTGTCGCGAAGACTGCGGTCGCCACCGCGGCTGCCCGCCGGCATGAATCCGGCCAGTCATCTTCCGGAGGGGTTCGAACTGAAAAATCAGAATTTCTTAAAAGCTTAGTTTTTGAAGGTCAAGAACCATGACGTCATTCGAAAACGCTCTGTGGATGGCTCGCTCTCTGATTGGTTCACCGCGCTGTTAGGGGCGGAGCTTGAGCGATGACTTGAAATTCATAATCTAAACAGAGTATAGTCCGTTCAGATTTTGAATGTCAAGCCCTCGCTCAAGCTCCGCCCCCTAATGGCGCGATGGACCAATCAGAGAGCGAGCCATCCACAGAGCGTTTTCGAATGACGTCATTCTATTCGACATTCAAAATCTAAAGGGCTTTGTAACCGTTTGAGACGCGAAGGGGCGTGGCCTGTCTGCGCTCGCTATCATCAGACACTATCTCTTTTCTTATCGTGTCAGGACCCTTTTTTTTTAAATAACTCAAGCCAGCCTTGAATCAACTACATAGACCGTGAGATTTTTAGAAAAAAAATCAGATTTTTGATAACTCCGCCCCGCTTCAGTACCTTTTCGCTTCGATTGACGATGTTCCTTTTTATATTTTTGATCTAAATAGCATGAAAAAGCCAGAAAAAATGCGGCACTATTAAAGGAACATCGTCATGAAAAATCGACACGAAATATACCGTAGCCAGTGGGGGCGGAGTTAGCTGCTTGATATTGGAAATCTGAACAGAATAAAAAAGCTTATTTCGCGCCAGCTTGTCGGGATTTTTTGTTCCGCCTAAAAGACCGTATACCGAATTCGCTTCAAGACCTTTTTTGCTGTCTTTTTAAAATTTTCTGAAAAAACTTTTTTTTTTAATTTTGCAGCTGAACGAAACTTTAAAAAATGGTCCCTAGTTATGAATCAAAAACTCAAAATAGTGCAAGATTGAAAAGACAGTATCGAGTAATAGTTTAAGTTAAAAGATAATGAAATGGTACAAATACAAGGAGATTTCACCCTTTTAAAAAATAAATAAAACCCTAGGGAACTTTATAACGGCCACGCTTCCGAGAAATCATTTTTCAACATTTTTTTGATAGTTTCCTCGTTTTTGATCTCTCTATACTAATTTGATGAAGAGACTACAATAAAAACAAGGAAAAAATCAAGGAGAAAATCCAAAAAAAGGAGAAAAAAGTGGGAAAACTCCCTAGGGGTATTAAAATACGGTAGAGTTCGAAAATTCATTGAACTTCAATTTTAACCATCAAAAGGTCAACTTAATCGACAATTCGGATGTTTAAACAGATAAAAATTGAAAATAACCTCCAATGAGAATTATTTTTCAAGCAACCGCAACGCTTCAAAGAGATTCTTTCGCATCTTGACTACACTTCAAAATGTTTCCTCTTACAAGTACCAAAACTCGAAAAAACACCAATTCCTGAGAGAAACACTCCCGTTAACGTTCCAATAATTTATGTCCAGGATATTTCATAAATAAGAGTACACGGAAAAAGCAAAGTGATATTCGAAGAGTGACACATTAAAAAAAAATAAAAGCAGCGATACTTTGGAGACCGATACAGAAGCCGTATGCATGGAATTAAAAAAAAAAGATTTTTCTATTTTTCTGAAATGCTTTAAAACTCATATTTTTACATCAAAAATGTGTTATCCAATATTGAAACACTTTCATTAGGCTAAACTATAGTCTAGTCAAATTTCGAATCTCGAGTCGTCTCTCAAGCTCCGCCCCTAATGGCGCGATATACCAAATTGAAGAGGTGGCCATTTACAGAGCGTTTTCAAGCGACGTCATTCAAAATTTGAACAGACTCGACATCAAAAATATGAATTTTAAAGAAATCAGACCGAGTTTTAGGCATTTTCCTAATTCAGAAACAGAAAATTCGTTTTCTTTCAAGCATACAGTCTCCAGATTATTTGATTTATTGTGATTTGGCTTCGAGGCGTCGGATCGCGGCGACACGTTCGACGACCGGCGGATGGGTGTGAGTGCACCAGGAGAAGAGCCAGTCGTTGATCGGCATCGACAAGTTGTCCTGAAAGCCTCATTTTACTACTGAAAGGCAAAACAGCGGGTGGATATAGCCTGATGTCAACTTCAAACGTCAAGCAGATACAAAGATAATATTATTTGATAAGTCTTTCATAATCCTGTGAGTTGGACGCTCAAAGGTTTTCTGTATTTTTGTCTAACTATTGCTGTTCCTCAATATAAAATAAAATGCGTTGACCAAAATACTGTAGAACAGGGTTTCCAATATTACAAGCAAGCTTGTGCGAGACCCGTCTGTCAGCCTCTCGGCCCTCGACCGTTTTCAAAGCCCGGAAGGCCCTTAGCAAGGCCTCAAAAAAGATGGCCAGCCTGGCCCAAAAAGCTCAAATTTTCTTCAAGTCGAATATCAGACTTTTTTACGTCAAAAGTCAGGTTAGGCTAATTTTTTCACATAGAGTAGAGAAAATAATTTTTCGGTGACCATTTTTTGAACAGTTCAAAATTTTTTCGAAGCTTGCCATGTCTGAAACAAGCTTTTTCTCAAACATGTGAGCCCAAAGCCTCATTCTTAATATGAACAGACTATATATCTTCAACTGAACACTGTTCTGGACCCTAGAAAACTTCAAAAAAAAAAAAAATTGGAAAATCCAAAAGTCGGAAAATGGTATCAAAAAGGGGAGAAGTCTCACGATGCACATGATAGGGGGTCTTCACGATCCTTGTGGACACATTATGGTATCCTCTCGATTCGCCTGTGACTAGAAATATAAGGACTTGAAAAAGGAACAGGCAAAAATGATACTTAAGAGCTGATAAAATGGCGCAATAAAACTAGATTTCATTCAGAATTCAAAAAAAAAATCTGACCACTCCAAGTTTGGTCAGCGCGCCGATCAAATTCTTTCCATGGCCGAGGTTCTGGGCGAATGCGTCGGCGGCAAATTCTGCACTACGGGAATGGACAATAACGCCCATTTGTGCGATCTGAAATTAATTCGCTTATTTGAAAAACATTACTTGAAGAAAAAGGATTACTATCACATTATAATTTTAAAAATACTCATTTTTAACAGAATATGTTTCAATGAACACAATTTTGCTAGTAAAAATCAAAAAAGTGATCTGAAAAGCTATTTTTTTGAGTTTATGACATGGATTCATCTTCATGTCAACTACCACCGAATCTATTTTTGACTTCAAATCCCTCACAAACCTGATTATAAAGGGCCAAAACGAATTGGAAGACCAAGATCATTCCGATGATCGTCGGCATGTCGTAGAATCCGAAAGCCTCAAATATTTCTATTTTTTTAATGAGAAAAATTCCAACTAAAAAAATATAATTATGAAAAAAATACCTTGTAGAGCAACTGCCACTTGTAAAAAGTAGGCGAAAACGGCGAAAGTGAACAGGAGATTGACTTCCGCTGTAGTAAAAAAATTACGTTTGCAAAAAATATGTGAAAAATTGAATATGAACCCAAAAAGTTGAAAAACTCTTGAAATACAGAATAATTTTTGTCAAAATTAAATGTAAAGATAATCGAAAACTCGAGAAAAACTATACAAAAAAATGGGCAAAAAAAGTGGATTTCGGTTTTTCCATTTTTGGAAACTACACATTTTTTTCAATGAACAAAGATTATTTCCAAAAAAACACTGGAGTGATTTTTTTTGGTTAAAAATCTTTACTAGGGTTTTTGAGACCTCGAAAAAAAGTGCAAAAGCGTTACAAAAACTCATATAAACCTCAAAAGACCAATCTTGAAAAAAATCTTCCTTTGATCATTTTTTTCAAAGACTTTTAAAAAAATTATAAACTCTTTAGAATCATGAAAATATCATTATTTCGAAATTAACAAGTCCTTGAAGAGAAGACTCAGTTAGAGAAAAATAATAAAGATTTTTCAATAATTTATTTTTTCCCTCTTTCAGAAATCATGCCATGTTCAACGTAATTTCCGCGAAATTCGAAATTATCTCTGACTTTCCAAAAATTAGTTATCTATTTCTTTCTATCTTTCTTTCACGGAATCTCTTTGAACTGCTGAACCACTTATTTTTCTAGAAAATGAAGAAAACTACTAACTAATGACCAAGTTGATGAGAGTGTGCCAGAGAGCCCAATGGCCCAACTCGTGCCCAAGCACCGCAACGACCTCGTCGTTGTTCATTCCGCGTTTCTTAACGAAAATGAATGAAAATATAAAAGCTATTTCTATTATATGAGAAATTCAAAAGAAAGATGCCCGGTTAATAATTTGATAGCAACTTTAGGCCTCCTGATTCCAAAAAATTCATAAAAACTGTGAAATTAGCCATTTTGTAGAGTTTTTACGGTCTAGAAACCGCGAAAAAAAGCCCATCGAAAAAAATTGCTCTCTAGAAGATTTTTAAAGTCTCAGCTCTAAAAAAAATAATTTCCTTCAAATTCTACAACACTTTAGTAGACACTTTAAAATCAAAAAAAGACAAAAAATATTATTTCAAGTAGAAAAAGTTCAAAAATTCAAACCTTATCCTTCTCATCTTGGACGACCTTCTCGCCGGCTTCAGCGTACAATTCCAACACCTAAAAATAAGAAAAATGAATAAAAGGGTCAGAAAACGGTTCAAAAACGCTTTTTCGTGAAGAGGTCTCCAAATTTTTCTTTTCCTGAGATTTCTAACGATCCAAGTGTTCATAAAAGTAACAGGTGAAGGAATTTTTTTTTGTTCGAAATATCTCACTGGGTCGATTGAAGGAGTATGATAAGATCTAAAAAATCGGAATAACTTTAAAAACAAGCTCTTCGCTTCGAGACCTTCCTCGAGCTAAGAAGGACTGTTTAGATCAATTTTTACAAAAAAAAAAGAAGAAGCCGCGAAAAATAGCTCCAGGAATCAAAAAAAAAAAAAAAGACAAAGAAATAACTAAATTTTTCCTTCTTGTCTTTGCATTTTTTAAAAATTTTCATGCCATGAATCTTAAGCAAAACGAAAAATCCTTCAAAGTGCTTCAAAAAAGTTTAAAAGTTCCCACAAAAAGGTTCAAAGATGATGGGGAACGTCTTTTTTTTTGCTCTCTGAAAACGCATCTTTTCAGTATCCTTTATATCGGAAGATAGAAAATAAGTAGAAATTTCGTAAAAAAACTTTTTCTTCCCGAAAAATCCTCAAAAAATTCATAGTTTTGTGCAAAAATCAAAAATCAAAATCATTTTTTCAACTTTCGAACATTCTGATCACTCTTTTCGTTCCAATTTAATTTTTATATTTCTTAAAATCTGTGAAAAGCTGAAGTGGGCCCTATAGGGAGTAAAAAAACCCCTGAAAAGTTCCTAATACGCTCCCTTTTGGACCCACTGAGTCTTATAATCCCTTAAGAAACCACTTCCGCTTTTCCCATATATGAAAAAATATGGAAAAAAATACACGAAAGGGCACAAAAACAGGAGAAAAATCCACTTTTTCCTTCTCAGCTCCACTCAAAAGCGTATCGTACAATACGATTCGTTTATTTTTCCAGAATCCGTACATGTAGGCGTTGGAGTGAGCCGATCTCTTTGAACCTGGAAAAATATTCATTTTCATTACAAACTATCGAAAATTTAAAAAAAACCGTTGACGACATAAAGCTTGGTGAGCGGATATTCCAGTGAGGCGGCCAATTCTTCAATTCTTTTCTGAAAAAAATCAATAATATTTATATTTCATACTGCCTGAGGCTGTCAAGTTTTCATGCACAGCACAAAAGGAGCTACCGTAACCTCAGCTTTTTGCGCTTTCGCTTCGAGACCCTCCAAAAAAAGAAGCTAAAAAAAGAGGGTCCCATAGAGAAATTCTTCACTCAAGGTATACGGTTTTTGGTGGAAAAAATGAAAACCTAGAAAAAAATAAAAATAAATTAATAATTTCGTTACTCTCGCTAATTCTTCATGAAAATGCGCCGAAAAATCCCAAAAAAACAATTTTTCTTTTTTTCTTTTTCCCAATTCAAAAAAAGAGCTGAAACAAGATTTTCCCTACAGAAAAACAAGTACTGAACCGTAAATATTTTTTTTCAAAAACTGTTTCTAAAAATACCTTTTTTTCGCTCATTTTTTTTGAAAAAAAGAGCTAAACTTGATGATTTTTCCTTCAGAAAAACTTGTACTAAACCATATCTTACAATTCATAAACTCTCAAAAGAAAAAAGCAACCTTCAAAGTTCCATCGGGAAGTGGGAAATATCGGTCGAAAAGTGGTGCAATATACGCCGGATAAATGGTCAGAAGGAGCAGGACAACCAATGAAACGAAAATCCACATGTAGACAAAGAAATAAGGTCCTGGAAAAGACAAAGTGTCGAGTAAAAGGGAATAAATTTTTCATAAAAAAAAACGTTTCAAAACGCAAAAAAACTGTTCAAAAAAACCGAAAAAAATCCTTCGAGGGCCCTTAAAAAGGAGCTGAAAAAGGATTCATAAAGACTCCAAAAATAATGGAAAAAATTTTTTTCATAGCTATAGAATTTTCTTTTTGAATCCTGAAGCATTGTTCCAATTACTTTCCAGTCATTTTTTTCAATAAAGGATGTGAAAAAAAATGCATAATTTGCATAAAAATTACCTTTTAGGGTCCCTAAAAAATCTCTTTTTTGAGAAAACCTTCAAGGAAAAAAACCTACATTTCCTGAATATATTGAGACCTTTTCTAGATCTTTTCTACTTTTTAGTAGAATCTCATAAATGGCCCAATTTTTCGCTGAAGAAATCTTGGAAAAAAAGTTTCAACTTAAAAAAATTTTTTTTGGAAGGAATTTTTTTGGGAAAAAAATTTTTTTGTCTCGAAATGTTTATTTCAAAGCATTTTCGTAGTTTTTTTGACACAATTCCTATGTTTTTTTTTCTGAAAAATCCCTTAAAAAGCTCTTTTTTGGAAAAACCTTGTAAGGAGCTTTTCCGTTTTTTCCCGGAATTATTTGGCTCGTTCTAAATTTTTTTCCACTTTCCAGTAAAACCTTATGAATTTTCAAAAAAATTAGCTGAAAATTCTTGAAAAAAATTTTTTTTGAAAAAAACATTTTTTTAGGAAATTTTTTTGCCTCGAAATGTTCATTTCAAAGCAATTTCGTTGCATTTTGACACAATTCCATGTTTTTCCCTTTGAAAAAAATCACCTCCGTTCTCCACAATCCACTCCAGAGCGAAAACGACAGGTGTAGTCAGTACAAATCCAATCAGCATTTTTTTGAACTGAAATATAATTTTTGATCCGTTGTATTTCAATAGGACATAGACAAAGTCGGAAAAGGTGGAAAGGGCTCCATAGAAATTTTCCTTTTTTTGCTGCCATTTTGTGCCATTTTCTCAGCCCTTATGCGCCCATTTTTGCTGCCTCTCCCTTTTTCCACCATTTCTTGAGCCTTTAAAGTCCCAGAAAAAATGAAAGGATTGGTAAAGGGTCTCTTTTTGCTGCCTTTCTGCGGCCTTTTTGCTGCCTTTCTGCGGCCTTTCTGCGGCCTTTCGGTTGCCTTCCAGCGGCCATTATCCCTAATTCCGACTTTGCCTTAGAACCAACCTTGTCCCAGAAGTAAAATCCGACGGTTTGCTTATTGAACCCGTGTCGTTCCTCAATGACGAACGTTCCGTACCTGAAAAATAGTTTTTGCGGTTTCTAAAGGACATTTTATTCTCTGAATTCTCGAAAAAGCAATCCTTTTATTTCTCTTTGTCGTTTACTGAGAGTGAGTTATTTTTTTAGGTTAAAAAAAAATCGAAAATAGCCCAAACGTCTTATAGAAAACTAATGAATTAAAAAAAAAATTTTTTTTCGGTTTCAAAGGACTTTTCTGTCTGAAAAAGATCTCTTTTTCTCTACATAGTCATAATTTCAAGTTAAAAAAATTTTAAAATGGCCTAAAAAAATTTTTAAAAATTACCCATTCAAAAAAATTTCTCGGTTTTTTTAGAGCCGGGAGCTTTTTTTGTCCGAAATTGAAAAAAATATTATTTTTTTATTTTTTTCTCGTTCGTTAATTTATTCTTTCTGCGCTTAAAAAAATTACAATGGCTCAAATAAATAAATAAATAAATAAAATTTTACCCACCTTAGACAATTTCAACTAATATTATCCAACAAGAGCGGTTATTTTTTTCAATTATGTCGCATTTAAAATATGAAAAACGCTGTTTTTCTGGAGGTAAGAGCATAGAAAAAGTTTGCAATTCGAACAAAATAAGAAATAAAATCATCAACCTTTCAAAATTGAGTAATTCTGAATTTTCGTGATAAATTTTAACTGCTTACGTGTTTTTTGATCGAATAGAACTCATTGAAAAAGTCGTTAATTTTTTTCTAAGCGAAAAAATCGAATGAAATGCCAAATACGTCCGTGGTCACATAGGGACATCCGAGACTTCATTTTCTCGAAAAATTTTATTTTATCATTGATTTTCTAAACTAACATATCCCAAGGAAGGTCGATGACAGTGTCGATCAGCGAATTGATGATGATAAAAGCGACGGAATGAAAGGGGAAAGATGCGGTTCCGTACCAAAGCCACGGATAATAACCGCCGACAAGTTGGACCTTCAAATCCAGATAGATAAGTTTCCTGTTTCACTCAATGAGGGGTTTTTTTTTCTAAATCTTGCTGCTTACCAGAAAATTTTTATATATTATTGGCTGTAAAGTTTCGAATTTAATCTCTTAAATTGGTCTTATTTGAAATATTGATTTTTAAGCTCCAATAAAAGAAAATTATAGCAAAACCCTTAATTTGAAGAAATATAATAGATACAGAACCTGGAAATGTTATTTAGGCTACTTTTTCTAATATTAAGTTTTTTTGCTACTGGAGTTGAAATTTTAGTTTTTAGTTTGAAGCGTGAATGCCTCCGATATGCCTTTGAAATAATTCCAGAAAGCTCTTTTTTTCAGAAAAAGATCTTTTAAGAGCCCTCCAAAGATTTTTTTCCTTTAAATTTTGCATCTTTTTTTCCGATTTTTTTAATAAAAGATGCTGGAAAGCAACTATGAGGTTATGAAAAAAATATGCTCAAAAAGCTTTTTTTCCGGACATTTTTTTGGAACCCTCCTATTCAAACGAACTTTCCCCGTTTTACCTATAAACTTTCCGTTTTTTTCATATTTTTCATTTTTCAAATCAGTGATCCTATAAATATCTTCAAAACGAACCGTGCTGAGGATCTGCATGAAAATGTCATGGGCGAAGTCGAAAGAGTGATGGTCGAGTTTGTAGTCGCGTGCCTTGGTGTAGTCCTACGGAAGATTATTTTAGGATTTCAAAATTACCAATTTATCTGAATACCCATCAAATGAAAAGTCCAAAATGCCTCAAAAAAAAAGAAGCATCTAGAGCTCCTTTTTGAGCTGCTAAAAAATTAAATAGCTTCTCTGAATCATCATTTTTTCTAAAAAGGTCAAGGTAAAAAAAAATTGTGAGGCCTTCTTCCAAAAGTTTCTTTTCAGGTTTTTCTAGAATTTTCCCGCCCAAAGAAATTTCAGAAAAAGAACCTCTTCACCGATGAGATCTTTAACTTCATCGGGCCGTTTCTCGTTCTTCAGATGGACTCTGAAAATTCTTTCCATTCAAAAAAATCGTTCAAGTTCAAAAATCCTCACTGAAATTGCTTGAAAAATCACAAAATTATTTTTAAGAAACTCTGAAAGTAAGAGCCGCGAGGAAACATTTTCAAATGGGCATTTTTTCATCGTTTTTCAGGCAATTCTTACTTGAATTTTATTTTTCTTTCATTCTTTTCAGCTCAAGATTCTGGATCCATTACGAAAACTCTAATTTTTTATATAAACCCCATGCCAGAACCGTTATTTTTACAGTTTATGATAGAATTTCAAATCTCACGCGTACTGTCGCCGGGAAATGTAGGTATTCCACAGGAAAAGCGCCCAATTCGTCGCCAGCAACGCATTGAAAAGACAATTTTCGTTCATTGTGATTGGTTTAATACACCTCAAGTCCTGAAAAACTCTTACGCTAAGAAAAAATATCATGAAGAACGGCAAAATCCATAAATCGGATCGACCGAAAATGAAAATACTCCTGAAGCTTTGTCGTGGCAAAAAAAACCGTTTTCCTTTTCAAAACATATTGCAAAGAAAAATGAAATGAAAGCCCGGAAATATTAAACGTGTCACATCATTAACTGTGAGAACCGCTGGAAAATATTCTCTTCAAACTTTTATTGATGCAATCAATTATTTCAGAACAATTAAAACTGAGTGGATCTTCAAGAAGAACGAATTGAACCTCACTAACTTATACACGTAACATCGTACAATCGACATCATCGAGATATATTCACGCAAAACTTGCACGGGATGAAATTTGTGGCCATTATATACAAAAGAAGGAAATCGACAAGAACATTATTACAAAAAAGGAAAGAAATGATAAGGTGAAGGGGAAGAATTCGATGGCGTTGTGCTCTCAATGACTCAGACTGTTTCCTTTCGAATGTATATACGAAGGAAAACAAATCATACAAGAGAAGGAATAAAAACTTTGAATATTAAAGAGTGAAATTTGAAAAAGTTTCTGAAATCGCGATGGAGCCAACATGCTGGCCTTGAGCCGCAAACTCGTTAACGGGATTGTACTAATTAAAAAATTAAGGAATAGGTATCGTGAAAACGCTAAAAAATGAAGAAGAAAGAAAAAAATAGAATCTTGTGTTGTCTAATCAAATAATCGTCCGTTTTATATACGTTCAGTAAAATTCACAGCTAGGCGAAAAAAAGTGATACTGAGAAAGTGCTACGTGCTGGAGAGCGCAAAAAACATGATAAGAACGTTTTGTACAGAAAGAAAGATCAGAAATCAAGAAAATGGAGAAAACACGAGAAAAAATTATTGGGTTGGAGGAAAACGGATAATTTCAAAGTGGTCCGTGGACGAATCGGTGTCTTCGTGATCTTGCTGAAAAGAAAGGTTGAATATAGTTAAAATTTTCATTAAAATCCTTTTTTCGGCTTCGAAGGACGGAAAGCGTGGTTTAAAAATTGCGTGCGGAACGGTCGCGCAGCGTTTTGGCGCCAAATTCGAACTACATCAAATACTTTTCAAAAAAAGGTACTTGGAAATATATATTTTATAATAAATATATAACACAATAATTCCACTAAAGCGATAATTTTTCGAATGAACTCCGAAAACGCATCGCGACCGCTTCGCACACATGTAGCTGATTCACGGCTGACTTGAGCCATCGGAAAAAGGTCCTGACACGAAAATGCACGAAATAGTACCTGGCTCGTGTAGAGCGCAGACAGGCTACGCCCCCTTAAAGCCCCAAGCCGTGAATCAGCTATATATTCTGTTCAGATTTTGAATGTCAAATCGTCACTCAAGCTCCGCCCCTTATCGCGCGATAAACCAATCAGAGAGCGAGACAACCACTGAGCGTTTTTGAATGACGTCATTGTATTTGATAGAGCGTTCTCGAGTGACGTCATTCTATAAGTTCACAACAGACTACCATTTAAACGCCACATTCCGCCAATTCAAGCCGAGAAAAATGGATTATATTGTACGTGTCGACCTTGACGCTGACGTTGGCAAAGGGCGTCTGGAGCAGAACATCGGCGCCAGGACGTTCGCGCGGGTCGTAGACGAAGCACATGTCGAGGAACTCGGCCACGTCTTTTCTGTTTGAGGCGATCGATGGGAACGTCGGCTTCAGCTTCTTCTCGCACATCTTAATTTTCAGGTTAATGTAGTTCCAACGTTGAATTTATCAAATTATCGACTTATAAGATTTCGTAAACGTTAAAATATCAATATAGTCCGTTTTGAGACTTGAAGCTGCTTTTTTTCTCTGCGCCCTCCTCGTCTCTCGACGACCCGCGCTATTTTCGCGTTTTTGTGACCTCGCCGGTGAGGGAACAGAGAGAGTCAGACACACAAAACCTGTCAATTCTCAACCACAATGAAAAAAAGCTTCTTTTTTTCACTTTATCAATATAAAGTATCTTTTTTTTCGGCTTCAAAAATTTCGAAAAAGACCTTCAAAAAAAGCTTTTAAATTTCAATATAATCGAGATTTTAACCAAAAAAATTGTTTATTGAAATCCTATTCGATGTCTAAAGGTGCAGAAAATTCGGAAAATCTAAAGAACTAAAAGAAAAAAGGCTGTTCGACCATTTTTATTTTTTCGGATATTTTAAAGGATCAAAAGAGAAAAAGATAATGGTCTTGAAGCGAAAAAACTTTTTATACCTAAATATCCACCTTTGTCTCATCATCTTCAAAACAAACCTGCCACGTCATTTGATACTTGTCCATTCCAGGCCAGGGTACATGACCGGTGAGCTGAAAAATGAATATTCAAACTTGGTCGGAGGGCATTTCCGTCCTACCATCTGCAAAACGACGCAGCCAACGCTCCAAATGTCGGCCATTCTACCGTACCCTTGGTACCGCCCATCTTCGCGCGCGTTTCCATTCGAAAACACTTCGGGCGCCTGAAATCGATGAACAGGATGATAAATGTCCTGTTTGGAACTGATTTCATAAAAAAATAAATCAGAGCGCGTTTTTTATTTAGAACTGCGCTTACGCTTACTAGTTAGCAAAATTAATAGTTTGTATGCAACGCGGCCGCGATGCGTTTTTTTTTTTGGCGCCAATTCAAATTTCCGGCATCTTTGTTTTTTTTCTCATGGTCCCTGTTGACCAAATTTATTAGTTTCTATTGAACAGCTTTCAAAGAAAGTTCATATCATTGAATGAATAAATAATTTTCCACAAAAATCAAAATTTTGAATTGGCGCCAAAACCGCAACGCGACCGCTTCGCACACTCAAGAATATCTTATGATTGATCTCGATTTATTGTGACTAAATTAACTTACATTCTCAAAAATTTTTCATTCCTATAACAGACGCTCAAAGGATGAATTATTGATGAAACTCGAAAAATCCTTTTTTTTTTGAGGCGGTCTTTTCTCGGGACTGGTTATTGTTTAACAGTGATTTAATAATTTATCACGTATTTTGAAGCCTAGAAAAATGGACTACACTATTCCTTACCATATACTGAGGAGTGCCGATGAACTCGTTGAACTCGCCGAAGACGGTGTGGGTGTCGGCGAGACGCGACGAACAGCCGAAGTCGCCGAGTTTCAGGACGCAGTGGCGGTCGAGGAACACGTTGGCCGGCTTGATGTCGCGGTGAACGATCTGAGCGCCATGTTATCAAGAAAATATTCGACGAATCGCAATTTTTTTACTCCTGACATTTCTAAAAAATCCTATAATCATTACGAGTTTGCTCAGACTTGATCCATCCCGAAATTTATTGAGACATTCTGAGCGATTGAATCTGGAGCCGATTATTTGAAAAAGGAAAAGCCGAACAAAATGCATCGAAGATGAAGAAAAAGAAAAGAACTAGAAGACTGATATGATAACTTTTTTCGCGTTAATAAATATGCAAGCGAATGGAAGAACTATTCTGTTGCTAAACTCATCATATGAAAGGGATTTTTGATTCGGAAAAAAAAAAACGTTATTCATCAATTTAACGATGTAAATCGACAGTCGGAGCCGCGGGACTCGTGTAGATTTAGGCGATATAGGCCACGCCCACTTCCACGTGCCTCATCGGTTTTGAAACGGCGTGACCAATAAATGAGGCGCTATTGAGTCAAGAACTGATCTGTTATCAGAAGTAGGTTGAAATTTAGTTTTTGACAAGGTTGGTCTTTCATTTTTTTGAATAATTCTTAGTGAGTTTGGTTCAATCAATTTTCGATAAAATACACTATTTTTATGTCTAATATTTGATCATCTTCACCCAGGTACCTTCATATCATGCAGGTACTGAACGGCGTTCAGCAGGCTGTTCGTGTAGCGCCGGACCAATTTCAGATCCATTCCCTCGCGGCAAATACGCTCCAACGTACCCTCCGAGCACAGTTCCATGAATATCACAACGTCGGTCTGAAAAAAAACCTTTTTTTGAAGTTTTCCTTGAAAAATCATGCCTTCTTTGTGATTCATGAAGAGATCTATATCACCTAAGCTTGTCATGTTTTTTAAAATCAAAAAACCGTATACATTTTGGTGCTAATTTCCCTTTGAAACCTAGGTTTTTGTAGTTATGGTCTCGAAGCGAAAACGCAAAAAAAGGCTGTGGTTACGGTAGCTTTAATTCTTCTGGATGAACTCTTGTGAAAGTGACCCACTTCTCCAACTTCAAAGTCGTAATACTTGACAAGATTTGGATGTTGTAAAGTCCGAAGGATGTCGATTTCAGCTTCGATGAACTGTAAAAATGAATATTTGACTAATTTTTTTTTATTGCAGTTTCAGGACTAGCTTGGGAAGCTGAAGGGCGTGGCCTGTCTGCCCTCTCCACCAGCCAGGCACTATCTCATTTTTTATCGTGTGAGGACTATTGTTCGATAAATGAGTACCTTGATGACATTTCTCTGAGCTGGGATCATTTTGGCAGCGACGAGTCGCCGTCGACCCGAAGCCTCGAACGTGAAGGCCCGGTAGACCTTTCCGAAGCTTCCAGCGGCTGGAAATTATGAAATTTTCTCAGAAAATCGACTTTTTTGAGGGGAGTTTCTGAACTTTTCCAGTTCCTTCAATCCAAAAAAAATCGTTTTTTTTTGACATCCACTAGCTAAATATATACACCCATGATGCCTTCAATTTTTTTTTTTGAAGGAAAAACGGAGTCTCCCCCTTAAATGACCACTGAAGAAACTTAAGAAATCCCTTAAGTGAGACTTCTTTAGTGATCACTTATAAAGGCCGGTTACTTCGTTTCCCGGAGACTGCCGCTGTTATAGCCCAGGAGACCTCAGAAAGATTTGTCCCTCCGAAAAACGAACCAATCAGCTCATTGAGGACCCATTCGAAGGTCGCCTTCTTCCGATGAACTTCCGTCGTTTCCGTGCTCAGCCGGAACTTGTGATTCTTCTGATTGAGGACGCGGCCGAGCCGGAGGGCGTCTTTTTGCTGAATACAACGGTGAAAACTATGAAAAGAATCAAATGATGAGATTTTTATAGTCTGTGTGGCACGACTTGAAATTTCACGGAACGACATTCCGCTGTTCCGCTGCGTGCGTTCGCGAAGCGTCTTTCGAATCTAGGTCACGTTTTCAATTGATTGTTATTGCTGTGGGAGCACAAGAAAGTAGAGTACCGTATTAAAAGAAAAAAAAATTAAAAGCGCGACCAAGGTTCGCAAAGGCGCGCAGCGGAACAGCGGAATGTCGTTCCGTGAAATTCCAAGTCAGGATACACAGGCTATAAAGTGATTTCGGCAAAATAGAATCTACAATGATCAGAGAAAGTAAAAAAAGATTTTCCCGACTTGAAAGGCGAGGGAGGCGGAGAAGGCCTTTTAAAGTCGGGATTAATTGACTAAAACAAAGTTCTGAAGATTAATTTCGCGGAATCACTTTTGACACGGCATAATGAAGGCTCAAGGTATCTCAAATTGAAAAATAGTCCCTTTTTTCAAATTCAAACGGCTGAGTGATCACTAAAGAGGCATTTGAACTCCGCTTGCGAAGCGGTCGCGATGCGTTTTCGGCGCGAATTTCAACTCCACGTTTTTTTTTTTAATTTTGCTCAAGTTTCCTGTTTCAGAGTTAAGCCATAGACATTATTGATCTTTTGAAGAGTGTTTTTAAGCTATTTCCTTGCTTTTGATCATCCAATTTCAAAATTTACCCCAAAAAACGCTTCGCGACCGCTTTGCACACTATAAACTAGCCAAAAAAATGACAAAAACCCCCTTTTTTTTAAAAATAAATTGACAATTCAATCACTACGTGGGACAGAGACACTGTCGGTTATCACAAGAACTTCGAAAAACCGAGAAAAATTTACTTTTTCTTCAATGACGCGGTCCAGTTCTTCCGCCGCTTCCTTTTGACATTGGACTCGAGTTTTTGGTGCTCCAGTGATGGGAGAGGAAGGTTTTGACAAGGAAGCTCTGGAAAAAATGAAAATTTCAAGGAGAACGTTGTATAATTCTCTCAAAGCTTTTAAAAGTCATAGAACTATCTGATTCTTTGACTTTATCACTATTTTTCATCGGACTTCGAAACTTCAAGCACAACATTTTGATCAAAACAAGTTCTACCCTTTTTGGAGCGCCAGAGTGGTCACTAGAGTGACTTTCACCTTCCTTGTAGGGGTTTTTAAAAGGGCAGAAGTTTTTATGCGCTGAAATATTCTTTTAAAAGGGGCTCATTTAGGTCCTCCTTGAAGGACCACTTCACCTTCCCCTATGGAACTTCAAGAATGCAAAAGTGACCACTCTAGGGGTTTTTGGTAGTGGCCACTCTAGGAGAGGAGCTAGACGTATATTTAACCTTCAATTCAGTACAAAAATCTAAAAGACCACTATAGGGAAAACTTAAGCTTAGAGGCTTGAGAATCAGATTCTAAACCCCTACAGGGATCACCTTAATTTCAGCCGTTTGGGGAGCTTTTTCTGCCTCATCCCTATAGTGACCACTCTAGAGTTCGCTACAGGGACCAGCCGAGCTTTAAGGGCTTGGCGGTCAGATTCTAAACCCCTACAGGGATCACCTAAATCTTAACCCTTTGGGAAGCTTTTTTCTCCATAACCCCTATAGTGACCCCTCTAGAGCTCAATATAGAGACCACACAAGCTTCAGGGGCTTGACGCTCAGATCCTAAACCCCTAAAGGGATCACCTAAATTATATCCTTTTGGAGAGTTTTTAATCTAACCCCTATAGTGACCACTGTTAAATTCACTATAGGGAAATCTTAAGCGTTAAGGGCATGGCGGTCAAAGCCTAAACCCCTATAGGGATCACCTAAATTTCAGCCCTTCAGAGAGTTTCTTTTTCCCTCATCCCTACAGTGACCACTCTAAAGTTCCCTTAAGAGACCAGGCAAGCTTCAGGGGCTTGGTGGTCAGATCCTAAACCCCTACAGAGACCACCTGAACCTCAACCCTTCGGTGAGCCTTTTCTTCCCAACCACTATTGTGACCCCTCTGAAAGCTCATTGAAAAAATCACCTTGAACGGTACTTCGTCTTGACCTGCTTGGAACCGGTCAAGAACGAGACCGAGTCCCGATTCCTGGCGACCAGCCTGTTTCTGCACTCGTTGAAGCACCGGGAGAACTCCTGAAAGCCTCTATTGTTAGTCACAAAAGGGTCTCGAGAAACGAACCGCATACTGTTCGTCGGTCATGATCTCGGGCGAGGTCCATTTACATTCGCTCAAAGTTTGCATGAAAGTGAAGGCCGGCACGGCCCACATCGGGACACTGTGCGTCGGTTGCATGTTCTTTCTAGAACAAAAAAAATGAATAATTTTCAAATTTCTATCAAAAATAGGCCTGAACCTCCTACCTCTAAGGTTTCCTAAAAAAAACTCCTAATCGATTAAATAAAGGTTCTTTTCTTTTTTAAAAGGGTCCTGACGAGAAAAGAGACAGTGTCTGGTTGGAGGAGAGCGCAACAGGCCACGCCCCTTTTCCTCTCAAACTTACCGTGAATCGGCTATACTTCTTAATAGTTCCAAAGCGGTCCCTATAGGGGTTAGGGAAACAAACAGCCCCAAGAGGAGGCCCTCCAAAAGCCCCTGAGGCCCCTATAGGGACCACTCTGGAGTTCCTAAGTTCGTTTATTAATTTTTTCTGCCTTGCACTTATAAAAAACTGAAAAAAAAACTGAAAATTTCTCTAACCATTCTTATCTGATCAGAAATTTTTTTTTTCTCGATTTCCTAAATTTTTTTTTCAAACCCACCGAGAAACGAAATCGGTCCACATGGAGACCAGCTTCAAACTTCGCTCCAAGACCACTTTTCCGTAAATCCACATGTAGGCATCGCTGACGAGTCGAGAAACGTCACGGTGCAACTGAAAATGATGGGTGACGTCATGGGAGAGATTTCGGCTATAAGCGCGTAGAATACAGAGACTATTAAAGGCGCAGGCGACAGCATTTCCAGCGGTCTTCGAGTTATCAATACATGACGGTATTTTTTCTGCGCGAAACCGGCGCGGTGCATGCACACTACACACCACATTTGACGTAAAAAAAAGGGGCGGGGCGACGCCAACAAACGCCGTTTAAAACAATTTGAAGCCAAGGCGACCACTCTAATACGCACTTAGGAAAGCTAGAGAGGTCCCTATAGGGATCAAGGACCAAAACAGTCCTTTTCAAAGAATTAAAAGTGCCCCCTACGGAGGAAAAACTTGAGTGACCCCTCTAGGGAATTCGTGTCTAACCTCTAGGCTTCTAAATATTTACTTCTGAGCCACCTTTTTGAGACTTTTGAGCCATTCTTTTGATTCTAAACCGTACCTGATAGCCTATCAAGAACTCCTGATCCATGGTGATGAAGAGGGCGGTGAGCTTCGAATTGAAAAAAGCCACCGTTTGGGCGTTATTGAGCTTGTCGAAATAAATATCGACCCATTTATGGATGAAGTCGAGGTGTGGGATGAGGGTGTCGCCCTGGAAAAAAAGGCTTTAATTTAAAATGGAGCTTGTTGTGAGGATTCCGAAAGTTCGCTTGAATTTCCGGAAAACCTTTTATTTTCCAAACAAGAAGCTACTCTCAAACTTCATGAACTATTACTTTTTGGATCGTTTCTATAGTCTTTTCAGATTTTAATCGTCAAGTACAATGACGTCATTCGAAAAGGCTCTTTGGATGGCTCGCTCTTTAATTGGTCTGTTCCGACAGAAGGGGCGGAGCTTGACCGAAGCCTTGTCATTCAAAGTCTTAGTAGACTACAAATATAAGTTAGGATCATAACGGAGAAAATAGATAATTTTGGAAATTTTTTGTAGAAAATGCGTAGAAAAGCATAAAATTTTGGAAAAACTAAACAAAAACTCTACAAAAATTGAAAACTGCGCGGAGCAAAATTTGATTTTTGACTCATCTTTTTCGATAACTAGAAAAATTTATGGATTTCAAAGCTACGATCTGTTCGGATCCTGAATTCAAGTTATAGCTCAAGCTCCGCCCCTTATGACACGATATGCCAATCGGAGACCGAGCCATCCACTGAGCGTTTTCGAATGACGTCATTGTACTTCAATTTTGAAATCTGAGCAAACTATATACAATTTTAACCCACAACAGCACCTTTCATTTTTTGTATGCCTTAAAAGTAAGAATATTAAGTTGAGCCAAGGAACAGAAGGATTTTTTAGCCTTTGAATCCTTTTCTGATCGAAGATAGCTCACCACGAGGCCCTGGAGTCGTTTATCAATGAGATCATTGGAAGAACACGAAGGAGCGATGGTTTTGAAGTAAGAAGCATGTTTGCCAGTCAAATCGTAATCGCCGAGCACACAAACTGCGTCCTGAAGAAACTTGATCGATAAAAGAAATTTCTGGATTAAAATCAGTATGTTATCAAGTGTCTCTCGAAGGTTTAGGGATTGCCTAGAATTGATTGAAATAAATTCTTGAAATTCCTGGTTGAATCGAACTTCAAAATTACTCAGTTTTCGGGTTTGAAGTCCGAAAAAGACCGGATTTTTCTAGTTTCCCTGAACTTTGAGTCCAGTTTCTCAAGAACTAGCAAATTGTTCAGGTTGAGAGTTTCAGGATCTACACCTTCTTCATCACGAAGTAATCAGACTGTATTTTGAAATTTTTCAAGTTTAAAAGGATATGGAGAAGCAGTAATCGTCGGAACGCTCGAAAGTTGTCTACTACTATCACAAGAGAGACGAGATGCTCTACGCGCCCTCTACGCTTGATCAACGACAGTTTCGCGAGCCGACAACCAACTCTTCAAGTATTTCATGAATCAGCAGAGAACCTACTATAAGACTGAATGAAATTTTCAAATTTTCAAAAAGAATATGACCTTTCTTGTAAGCTAAGGTCAAGTAAATCCTCAAAAATTCGCATTTTAAACTTTTCTGATAACGATTCTAGTAACAAAAAAAAAACTCACCCTTCGCAGATAAGTGTAGCAGATGCGTTTCTCCTCATCGATCGTCACTTTCACCTTCCGACCCGCCCATTCATTTCTAGAAACTTGGAAAATTCAAAAAACGAAAAATCATTTGTAGCTGATCCACCCCTGGCTTGTGGTACAATATACATTTTTGAAATTTAAAAAAAATTTCGCAAAAACACTGCGTTTATTATTGACCAACACCGAACTAGAGAGCGCTCAAAAACAAGAGATGCAGACATTTTTTTTTCTCTAAACGCTCTCTTTTTTATTAGTGCTATCTAGCTTTCACAGATTCAAATTTAGGCTATTTTCGCGTGTCTGCGTCTCTCTTCCCTCACCGGAGAGATCAAAAAAAAAAAATGAAAAGAGCACGTAAACATGAGAGAGACGAGGAGGAGCAGAGATTTTTCAAGTCGCCAAAAAAGGACTCAAGCCAGCGATAGATCGAGTTTAGAAGTACCACTGACCGGATCTTATGAGACATGTCTGGGACGACGATAATGTGACTGTCCCCCTCGATGTGACGTCCTTCGGACATGGCCAGGAGACATTCTTCGACGCCGGCTCGGTCGGCGGTCGCCGTGTCGACAAAAAGCGTCACCGCCAGGTAGACGGCGTCGCCGTCGGCCATCGCGTCGTCCGACTCCAGGTCAATCTTCAAAAACTCTTTTATTCTCAAGTGGGCCCGAGAAAGAAATTTTCAGAGGAAGGTGACAACAGGAAATGATTTTTTGAGCCTTTTAGTGGCCCCTATAGTGCCCTTAAGCCGCTGAAGTTATCCTTTTATGGCTCAGAAACACCCGGTACACTTCCATTTTCTTTAGGATCACTTTAACAGCGTAAGGGCACTCAAGGGGTCCCTGAAATCTTTCGCTTCATTTAGGGATCTTTTTGGCGAAATCAGGCTCTCAAAAGATGTCTTCCGGATGAATTTTAGGATCACTTCAGCGGCGACAGAGCTCTTAAGGGAACACTTGTATTTTCTCGTTCATTTAGGGATCCCTTTAGCGGCTCCAGGGCTTTCACGGAGCCCTAAATGATTCAGAGTCCGGGGCGCTTTCGGTTAATTTAGGGATCACTTCAGCAGCTTCAGTACACTCAAGGGATCACTGAATGTGACTCACTAGGGAATGGTCTCCATTCGCAGTGGAACATCTGAATGAGACTAGATTCACTAGATGTAGTTTTTCACGCTGATTCCAAATCTGGTCTCAAAAACTGCCCTCGAGACCTGTGAAAAAAGTTAGGGGCTCTCAAAGTCGAAAATTTCAATGTCTCCGATTGAGCTCATTTTTGGAGGGTATACAGTCTTTGTTCCCCCGGTCACGAAAAATTATTTGATTTTTTTCGAAAAGGTTCTGGAGCCCAGATATGATTTTTCAAAGCTCGGCGCGTGATAAGAGCATGCGAGCGCGGTGTCCTATTGCGATCCGGCGGCTGTCGAAGCAACGGCAGCGAGGAGCAGTGGTAAGGCGGCGGACTGGGGATCACGAGATCATAGGTTCGGTGCCCACGCTGTGCAAACTTTTTTTGCAATTTTTTCTTTTTTGGCAAATTTCGTCTAACTGCTCCTTTTTTGAGTTTTGAGGCGTATAAACACGAAAACACTGCGTTTTGAACCTATTCGAACAGCTGGACTTTTTTTTCCGCAAATTTTTTTCATGAACTTTTCCGTGATTTTCCATGTGTATGAGCATGGGTTGGAGTGTCAAAATTTTCAGAAAAAATTTTTTTTGTTTTTTTTTCTTTTTTTCTTTTTTAAAAGCTGTCTAGACCAAAGTCATCACAGCTACGCTAATGGACCACTGAAAAAAATTTGTTTTTCCTTCATGAGACTCTTCGTGATTTGCAGTGGGCTTACCTATGACCATCGTTTTTTTGCCAAAAAAAGTAAATTCCGCGATTCGCCGCAAATGGGAAAGATTGAAAAATGTCCAAAAAAACTTATATATCAAAAGAAACTTTATTTTTTTCTTATTTCCAAATTCTTTTTTTATTTTGAACCTTTCTACTTGCCGAAGTCTGACTATAACTTTTCAAAAATTTTTCATTGGACGGAAATTTTTTTAGGGAAACTTTTTTTGGTAAAAGGCAAAAAAACTGAAATAAATTTGAATGTTTTTTCTAGTAAAGAGGTAAGTGAGCACCGAAGTCTGAAAAAATCATTGAAAAAAATTTTTCGCATTATCTATCTGCGTAGCTGTGATGACTTTGGTCTAGACAGCTTTTTGAAAAAGAAAAAAAGAAAAAAAAACAAAAAAAATTTTTTCTGAAAATTTTGACACTCCAACCCATGCTCATACACATGGAAAAATCACGGAAAAAGTTCATGAAAAAAATTTGCGGAAAAAAAGTCCAGCTGTTCGAATAGGTTCAAAACGCAGTGTTTTCGTGTTTATACGCCTCAAAAACTCAAAAAAAGGAGCAGTTAGACGAAATTTGCCAAAAAAAGAAAAAAATTGCAAAAAAAGTTTGCACAGCGTGGGCACCGAACCTATGATCTCGTGATCCCCAGTCCGCCGCCTTACCACTGCTCCTCGCTGCCGTTGCTTCGACAGCCGCCGGATCGCAATAGGACACCGCGCTCGCATGCTCTTATCACGCGCCGAGCTTTGAAAAATCATATCTGGGCTCCAGAACCTTTTCGAAAAAAATAAAATAATTTTTCGTGACCGGGGGAACAAAGACTGTATACCCTCCAAAAATGAGCTCAATCGGAGACATTGAAATTTTCGACTTTGAGAGCCCCTAACTTTTTTCACAGGTCTCGAGGGCAGTTTTTGAGACCAGATTTGGAATCAGCGTGAAAAACTACATCTAGTGAATCTAGTCTCATTCAGATGTTCCACTGCGAATGGAGACCATTCCCTAGTCAGAAACGTCTGAAGAACTTCATGTTAATTTGGGGATCACTGTATTCTCCCGGTTGGTTCAGGGAACTCCAGGCGCTTAAGGGATAAATGACTCGAAGAAGTTCGAGGCCATTCTGGTTCGTTTAGGGTTCCCTTAAGGGATGTGAGGAAACTTAAGGTACTACTGAATGGGTCAGGACCTTCTAAAGGACATGTTTATCCAGGAATCACTTCCGCAGCTTCAGGGCACTTAAGGGATCCCTAAATGACTCAAAGACGTTCGGGGCGATTCTAATCGATTTAGGGATCCCTTCAGCGGTGTTAGGAAACTCAAGGTACCACTGAATGGATCAGGACCTTCTGAAGGGCAAGTTTATCCAGGACCTTCTGAAGGGCAAGTTTATCCAGGGATCACTCCAGCAGCTTCAGGACACTTAAGGGGTCCCTAAACGACTCCACCACCAAGCGATACAAAGGTGTAAGAAGATGAATTTTTATTTCTAAATATCGGAGATTCAAGAAAATTCCAAGGACCTACCAAACAATGGTCGGGACTCAAGCAATTGACGGCTTTCAGAATTTCAACGCCATCCGCAGTATCACACCCGACGGCGTCGTGCAACTCCTGCACGGCGCTGCGGAAAAAGCACAAAATACGGCATTCTCTTTCCTGAAAAAAAAACACTAATCTCACAGCTTATTTTGGTACTTTTACCTTGATTTCCCTGACAAGTTGGTAGATTGACGTCATGAAACAGGTCCTTTTGGTGTCCATTATTTTCGTACTCCGGCAACTAGAATATAGGTTTTTTTTTTCGAAAATACAGAAAAGGTCCAAAAAGACCTGAAAAGTTGTTTTTTGGAACCTTCCCACTGTTTTTTCTGACCTTGAGTTGAAAAAAATGATCTTTTGAAGGTAATGAAAAATGAATTTTTTTAAAGAAATAATGCCCAATTTTACAAGAAAAAAATGAACTAAAAAGCTCAAAAAAATTGACAAAAAAACGCCTCATAAGTAAAATTTTTGCAACCTTAAAAAAACACAAAAACTCGATGTTTCCCTTCTCTAAGTCTAAAAATGACCTTAAACGACTTTTAAAACTTTCCCTCTGATGAACCTTTCAGGTAAATCGAGCTAAAAACTAAATTTCCTATAACCATTATTCATTTCAAAGCTTCTACACCCCTTTTTTTAAAATTTTCATTCAAAAAACACAAAATCCTCCATTTCCCACCTGAAAACAGTTCCACGGCCCTCATCATCGTCACTCGAATCCGTGTCCAAGAAACTGAGCTTGATTTCGTCCGTTTTGTCCTCGGCGTAGTCGACGACGATCTTCTCCAAGAGTGTCGTGATGATGTCACTATAGATGGGAAATTCTTGAAGCTTCTGAAGGTCAAAAATACCAAATAGTCGAACAAAGGGTATCAACGCCCGAACGTATGAATCGCGCGCAGGTCAACGCGGCATTCCACTCATTTTCCAGTCTGAAAACTTGAAAGAATGAGAAGAGGTCTCTCAAGGACTACTTGGAGAGGAAACTAAAGTGGCCACTGAAACTATCTCTATCGGAGCCACTATTTGGCGTCTGAGTGGCCACTATAGTAGTTTTTAGCGTTCTACGAGTACCACAGACTTCTGAAGTCACCACTAATTTTTAGCCACTAAACCGTCAAAACCTTGAAATGGCCACTAAATTTTAGCCACCTAAGTGCCCACTAATTCGACAACTGTAATGGCCACTAACGTTTAATCACTAAAGTGGCCACTAACTATACTTTTTCAGTGTAACCAAACCGTCAAAACCTTAAAGTGTGCACTAATTTCCAGCCCCTTAAGTGCCCACTAACTCGACTACTGTGATGACCACTAAATCTTCAAAACCCTAAAGTGGTCACTAACTTCAAGCCACTTAAGTGCCCCCTTTTTTGACTACTGTGATGACCACTGAAACGTCAAAACCCTATAGTGTCCCCTAGTTATTCTCCTAAGCAATTTTTCTGAAAACCCCAATAGAAAATCCGCAATTTCGAACCTCATGAAAAGCCTCGACGGATCGTTATTGACGACCGCATCACAGGCGCACCAACAGCGCACGTAATGGACATATTTCTGAACACATGTGGAAATTATCTCCCAATGGGATCCTCGGAAAACCTTGAATACGTCCAAAACGTCGTTGTTGAACTGAATCGGGTAGAGAAACACGGGAAGGGCGCATCGGTGGCACATCGACTGCAGCATGTCCACGTAGTTTCGCTTGATTCTGAATTTTCATTCCTTCACGAAAATTTACTTGAGTCAAAGAAACTTTATGAAATCGCGAAAATTCACATGTGCGAGAGCGACGCAGTGCATGCACACGACACACTGAACTTACGGAACACTAGACTTTAGGCTTGGAGACCATTTTTCAGAGTCTTTTGCAGTCTGTGATGCAAATTTCGCTTTCAGACCTTTTTTGGAGCGTCTCGAAACGAAATCGCAGAGAAAAACAGATCTACGGTAGCTTTTTTTCTGCTTTATTGACGTCTAGAATACCTTATCGGTCGCCTTTTCCTTTGAAAATCAGGTAAAAAAGTAGTTTTTGATCGAACCACAAAAAAAAAAACCGATTTTTAAGTACCTTCCTCGATAATCTGACAATCAGTGTAGAAAAAACTGCACACGTTTCGATAATTTTCAAAATAAATTACGTTTTTTTCAAAAAAACGATTATGATTTTTTTCGAAAAAAACGCTTTCAGTGGAGGCAAAAAAATTCGAACTCGCGGCGTTTTTTTGACGACGCCCCTCATTTTTTTTTTTCCGTAAAGTCTGGTGTGTCGTGTGCATACACTGCGGCGCTCTCGCACATGCGAATTTTCGCGAAATTCAAAATCATTTCCGAATTTCCGAAATTCAGTTTTATTTTCAAGTCTCTGGTGGCTATTTTGAATTTCGCGGAATCACTTTTGACACGGCAACAGGAAAATAGCGTTTTTTTTTAAAATGAGAAATCGATTCGTTTCATGACCTATTAAACATGCGTCTTTAATATTTCCTGTGGTTGACGCTTGTTTCCCATGACGTCACATGAGAACAGTGAAGGTTTTGACCACACCCTCTTCATCTTTGGTTTTGCCTTTTCTTCCACTTATAAAAACGCCGTGTACAATCAAATGATCATTGTTTTTTACCTAACAGCCTCCTCGACACAATCCCGCGAATCTTCCATCAAAGCCTCCAATGTGAGTTCGTCCATTTGGGAGTATTCCTGCGCCGCCTCCGATCTTAACATTTCTTATTGAGGAAAATCAACAATGATATGGTCAAAAATCATCGATTTCTGATATTTTGAAACGTCCCCTGCCTGAGAAAGAAGCTAAAAAAAAAGAGGGAAAACAGTTCTTAAAAAATGAAGTTAATTTTGTTAGTTCAAATACCCGCTTTTCCATAAGCTCATTTCAAATCGTCAAGCATCATTTATAAATGAAAAATGAAAAAAACATTAGGCCTAAGCCTTAGAACTTCAAAAACCCGGTTTTTATTCAATTTTTTTTTTTCGGAGAACCCACCTAATGGTGAGCCACTGAGAGACGAGCTGCATCGGAACTCCGAGAACGAAGAAAAAAAGGGGTTCCAAATGGGGGAGCTTCAGGGAACGGGACAATGGCAGGGAGAATCTTGCCGACGAGGCAGCCATCTCTCCGAAACGCTCCTTCTGGAAATAAATTCCTTTTTTGATTGTAAGTATTTCGGATCCTGCTTTCAAATTCGCACCTTTTTGAGAAATTTCGAGAAAAATGGAAAAAATTAAAAGTTTCAAAGGCATCTTTTTTACTGACTCTATGCTTATGAAAGCTTAGGGACAGTAAAAACTTCAAACAATTTTCGAAACGGGGTTTTTCGCCGACAATCCTTGGGAAAAATGAAGTTTTAGAAAAGAAATCAAGCTCGAAAAAAAAAAATCTTTGAGCTTTTCCAAAGAAAACTGAAGACCTTTGTGTAAATTCAAGTAGATATTCAAATTCACAATCCAAACCCCCGGAAGCGATTTTTCACTCCCCCTCTCCCTCTTACTCCAAAAATGGCTGACAAACCATGGTCTCGCTGAGTTTCAGGACGCTCTTGCTGGCGATGGCCGCGGCGGCGTAGTTCTTCGGCGGCCGTTGCATCAGGATCGCCGACTTGACTACCGTAGTCTCGATCAGAGCTTCCACGCGCGTCAGGACCCGTTTCATTCCCTTCAAAGGCTCATATCACTTTGTTTCAGGCGTTTCACGTCAGCGGCCTTTTCAGGAAAAACCGTATGAATTTGGAACCAGTTCTTTGGGGCTTCTCGGAGAGAAAGAAGAGTTCTCACGGTACCAATTTTTTTTTGTGCTTACGGTAGCTTTTATTCAGCTGTGTATACACTGTAAAAACAATGGAAACCTTCATGTTCAAGCTCCGTTTGACGTAGGTCTCGAAGACGTGTTTGGCGTCGTCCAAGTTCTGCACCTGGTTGTCCTCACTTAGCGGTTTCAGCCACTTCGAGCGGCCGTCGTTCAGAGTCGCGACTTCGAAAAGGACGCCGAGCTGAACAGCACAGATGATTCTGGGCGATTCTCATGCAGACGCACACTTTCGATCTTCTCGTTCAAGTCGTGGAGGGTGTTGATCCAAGTGCGCAGGGCGGTGACCCGTTCATCTACGGTCGTTCTGAAGGCGAAACCACGTCGTTGGACGACGTCGTCCCACATGGCCGCCGAGTGGGGGAACAGGGAGGCGTAGGCGTCGAACTCTTTCAGAAGTTGCTCCACTGGAAAAAAAAATCTTCACTCTTCGAAATAACTGATTAGTGCTATCCGACAAACCTTAAAGTTTTTTTATACCTAGATGACCAAGAAAACTCCCACATATAGCTGATTCACTACTGGCTTGAGCCATCGAAAAAAGGATCCTGACACGATAATGCACAAGATAGCGCCTGGCTCGTGGAGAGCGCAGACAGGACACGCCCCCTTAGTGTCCCAAGCTAGCCGTGAATCAGCTATAACTCTTCCTTTTTGAAATTTTTCCAGAGAAGTGTTACAAGAAAAGTCATTATACTATCTGATATAAGTTACCTATAAAAAAAACATTTTTTCCCCCAGATAAAAATCCTCAAAATTATCATACTTCATTAGCTTTCCGAAAAAGCCCCCTCGAAAAATCATCACAATCAGATCGAATAGGCCTTTTTCTTGAAAACTAGTGAATTTACACTCCTAGCAACTTATTCTGGTCGAGAAAGGGGCGTGGCCTGTCTGCGCTCTCCACCAAAGAGACACTATTTCTTCGGGACCCTTTTTTCAATGACCTAATCAGCTTTAAAAAACTCTCAACAAATCCCTAACCACTGAGTAAATAGATTTTCCTTGTAATAACGAGTTTTGTGAAGAAAATCGTGCAATAGGGCGCACTAGCCAGAGTTGTGTGCGATGGAGCGCACATGCCATATTTGTGACTTTTTATTTTTATTTTTTCGTTTTTCTCATTTTTTACTCATTTTTCGTTACTGTGATCTCCTAATCACCTTTTTTCTTGGCCTCCACCAAGTTTTTGGAGTAATCCGGAGTTATGGACATCCTTTTGGAGCGCGCCTGCTTGTCCGCGTCTTCATTCGAATCGTTTTGAACTAGAAAAAGTTTGGTTGAATTTTTTTCAAGATTCTAACCCAAATGGCAAATCTTCTCGAAAGAAAACTCGGAAATTTCGTCCAAAATCAGCTCCTTCGACTGTCTTTCTTTGCAAATCTGGAAAAATGAATAATTTTTGATTTTTGAAGAAAAATTCAAACTTTGCTGTCCTCGGCAAGCCAAGGATCCTGTCCGTCGCATACGTCTCTAAAAAATTCAAACATGAATCAAAATTGAAAAAAAGACATTGAAAAGGGTCTCAAAAGTCCGTAAAAATGAATTTCAAGATTAAATCGATTCAATTTCGCGAATTTCAAAATATGTCGTATCGACTTGAATCCAAATTTGTAAAAATTCATAAAACAAGCATTTTTCGATCGCGATATTACACGAATCCGTCAAAAAACAACAAGAAAAAACGAAGAAGATTCAAAAATCCAAGGGCCAGAAATCCACTAAAGTAGAAGAAAAGGTCCAAATTTCCAAAAACTCAAGCCTTCACGAAAAAATAAAATAGAAGATTCCATTACAAACTATCAGAACAAATAAAAAATAGCGGAAGACTACAGTAATAAACAACGGTAATAAAATGAAAAAAAAAACAAACCTTCCAGAAAAGTAGGCCTGAAGGACCAGCCAGAGGACATTTTCGAATTTGTACTTTTTCGCGTCTTTGCCGCCAATCGTAAAACGCTGAAAAGTGCTTCATGAAATAAAATATACTCAATTCAGAAAGCAATGGTCGCATTGGGAATGGCTCAAAGCGTAGCGGCGGCGAAGCGGTTTATTTGAGATTAATCCGCAAAAAAACGCGACTTTGGTAAAGTAAAACAGGGTCAGGGCAATGTAAATTGCGAAACTTCCATTTCGAACAGCAGCGCGGCCGTAAGGAGAATGGCTCAACGCGGAACGGCTGCAAAGCGGTTTTATTAACGTGCACCCGGCCGAATGAAGACTTGGCAACAAGAAAAAAACGCCCGTCGAATACGGGTTTTGATTTTTTTGACAGAAATTATCTAATATGAGCAATAATGAGCAAACAAGAGGTGATAGATTTTTAAAAATTGAATGACATTATTACAAACTTTAGTTGAGTTTTGTTGAGTTTTTGTCGAGATATAGATTTTCGAAGGGTTCTACCGTATTCCTTTGAGCTACCGTATCTTGAAAACGGCTCGAGTGATGATATTCAATTTTTTTTTTTCAAAAAATCCTGAAAAACGTGTTCTACAACATATTTGGTTTAGGGAAAAATCTACCATAAAGCTCAATTTTTTCCAACTCTTCCAAAACCACCTCGGACCGCAGCGCGACCGCAACGCCTTAATAAGGAGAATGATCTAATAGGGAGTGATTTCATCAAAATGCATCCTGGACTCGAACTTTGCAAACTTTGCATTCCTAGCTCGAACCGCAACGCGACCACGACGCTTCGAGCCATTCCCAGTGCGACCACACAGTTTAAAACTCACGACAGACTGGCCATTCCTCTGGCAATCGACATTCCTTCGGCCGATTTGGACGGCGTCTTTGGCTTCAGCCTTTTTCATGAAATGGGACAGGTCGTTGTGAAGGGACTTTCTGAAAAATGGTACTTTAGAAAATTCAGAAGATACTATAATTATAAATGAAGCTTAAAGGACGTTAAAAAAAAGGCTCTTGATGTATTCAAAGGTTAAAAATTGGGTTTAAAGGCCGATTTTTGGATTTTTGCCGCTCTCAAGTTAAAGAAAGGCTATTTTGTTACTTCTAGAAAACAGTTCCTCTGGATTTTTGACGAAAAGTTGTTCAAGAGCACTGAGTGAAGCTTCAATGATAAGAAGGTTCGAACCGATCAGTGATGGCGAGTTTGGAGAAGAGAGACTGGGTGGGCGACTCGGGGGCCTCGTTGGAGGTGCTCGCCGAGTTGATCCGACTGGCGGAAGACGTCGTCGAGAGGCAGGCCTCCGACGAGTGTTCGCTCCGTTCTAGGGTCGGAATGCAGCGGTACGTCGAGTTGGGCGAAGCCTTTGAATTCTTGATCACTTTTGTGCACAAACTTATGTCCAAAAGATCCAAAAAGCTTGGATAGCGAAAAGCTTCTCATGCTTAGGGATTCCAGAGTGGTCTCTATAGGTGTTAGGAGAACAAACAGCCCTTATAGAGGCCGAAGAAGTGGTCCCTATAGGGGTAAAATTGAGTAATAGTGGTCCCTATAGTGGTTTAGGGTCTGACGCCTTAGCCCCTAAGTCTCTACAGGAGCTAGGAGAACGAACAGACCCTATAGGGACCGCAAAAGTGGTCCCTATAGTGGTTTAGGATCTGACCCCTTAGCCCTTAAAGCTTAAGTGGACCCTATAGGGGTCTCTCAACTTTCTTAAAAAACGATTATTTATCCATTTTTTTCCATGGAAATGGTTTCTCGCTCAGAGTTCATAAAAATTATCGACTAGCATGTCCCCTATAGGGACCAGTTTTGCAAGCCTTAGTGGCCCCTATAGGAGTTGGTAATGTAATCTCTAGAGGGGACCCTTCAAGGGATGCTTTTTTTTCTCAAAATATTACAGGAAAATAAAGGGAGGTATTCACTATGAAAGAAACTCAAGAGAAGACAGTCGAACTGGAAAAAAATTTTGAGATGATTTTTTTTTCATAGCCCAAAGCTCTGTGGATCTGAAAAAAAAGAATTTTTTTTCCATTAGTCTATTTTTTGCCTATTTTGGAATGCTCCTTTCAAAACATGACAACTCTTGTCTCAAAGCCTTCAATTTCGAAAAATCTCGTTATTTGTCAAAATTCGAGCTCACCACGTATCCCTCGTCGTCGTCGTTGTTCTCATAGTCGCCGTAGTCGTACTCGCGGTCGCGCTCCGTCTTGCTCTTCTTCCGCTTGATTTTCGAAACGTAGCCATAGCTGTGGCGGCCGGTGTAGGCGCGCGGGGCCTTTTTCTGGCGAATCGAAGCGAAACTTCTGGAAATTGCCCAGCTCTTCAAGAATTATCAGGGTCGAAAAAAATCGATCAGTGGTTTTTGAAGGCATAGGGGTGGTGAAAAAATGCATTCGGAGGCTCAAACTTCTAGGATTTTTGTGGTTCTTGAACTTTAACGAAATTTTCTAATTTCGCTTTTTTTTTTTAAATCAACCTACAGTCTTTATTGAAGTTTGTTTTGTTTTTACGCTCTGTTCACATACCAAAAATCGCTCATTTTTATCTCAATATCTTTTCTACTTCTTTGAAAAAAATCAAACCTAGGGCGTCAGAATTTGAAATTTTTTTGTTTCTGTGTCTTTCCCCGATAGGAAGAAAAAAATTTCAGAAAAAAATTTTCATTTTAGCATTAAGTTTCGTTTAAACTGTTTATTCTTTAATTTGGACCACTCAAAAGGGGCGGAGCTCCTCAAAACCTTGAGTAAAAGTTTCAGAGACTTGTTCAATTGTTGCGATGAAGTATGAGCTCAAAAAAAAAACAATATGAATGAAATTTTGAGCTCCAACTGTTCAGAGCATATCTCAGAAGTTAGAAGAGTTTTTTCGAACTTGCTGACCCTTTCCGACTGCCGGAGCCGGACGGAGGCTGATCCTGCACGATGTATGGCTCCTCGAGTCCGTCGATCTCGTTGTAACTCTGCGACCGTTTGATATGAATCAGCTTCAACGCTCCTTTGCTCATCTTTCTCGTCTCTACATGTGCGCTTTCTGAAAAATGGTCATTCTATTTTAAATTCGAAAAAGAGGTTCAACACGATTGGAGTTTCGAGACGAAAAAAACAAAAAAAATTCTGGGAAAATTTTCAGTGGCCACTATAGTAGTCAAATTAGTGGCCACTTAAAAGGTAAAAAACAAGTGGCCACTATAGAGGTCTAAGTGCTACTACTAGACACCTAAAAATTTTAGTGGCCACTTTAGGGGTCAATAGATCAACATAACTGGTCCAATCTGTTTCTTTGAAGTTATCAGAGTCACTGGAAGGAATACTAAATGAAAAAACTACTGAAGTGACCACTAAATAGAAAGCCTCTTTAGTGGCCACTAATACAGAAAATAGTGGCCACTACAGTCGTGGGTTTAGGGGCCACTTTAGTGTCCTTTCCAAGTAGTCCTTGGGGAGCCTCTACACTAAAATTTTCCCAGTTGTTCCATTTGAAATTGAGAAAAAAAAAAACAAAAAGATTCAAAATTCAGGACGAGAAAATTTTTTGTACCAAAATGAGAGAAATAACGAAAATCTGAAGGTCAAAAAAATACCGAAATTCATTTTGTATTAGCAGATGAAGTCCCTGAACGTCTTTAACTGCGAAAAAAATATTTTGTGAAAAAAAAAGCTTATAAAAATATCTTTAGCTTTTTTATAGTTTGAATTATTCGCTCAACTCGAAAAAGTCCATTTCAAAAATTCGTGAACATTGATTTTTGAATTTTATTTTGGAAGTAAGTTCAGGATCTCAATCTGGCACACTGAAGAGAACTGAAAAGAAGTAAAAGTCAATATTAAAACAAAAAAAAATGAAAAAAGGGAAGTATTTCACGGTCGCGATTTACCGTTGAAGAACGAAAAAAAAGAAAAAAAGAAAAAAAAAACTGATTTTATTCTCAAAAACCCGCGAAAATTCAATAAATTATTATTATGTATGATAATGTAATGGAATATGTACAACGTGCAGAATATTTTCCAAAAAAAACAGGCAGAAATTGAACAAGAATAGGCTTATCAAGAGCGCTCGATCATTATCAGAGCGGCTTATCAGTGGGGCAAACATTCCCGACAAAGTTCCTCAACAAACTTGGCACAAACCTTTTTTTTGACAATGGGGTCATTTCAGTTTGAATTTTTCGAAAATTTGGACAGGCAGAGATTTTCCTAGACATTCTTAAGGATTCCGCACAAAAAGTACCGTATCTCGAAAATTTCTACAGTAACCCAGAAAAAGCTTCACATTCATCTATAGACACCATTTTTATTGTGAAAATGGTGAAAACCAAAATTGGGAGCACAAAAAGTACCGTATCTCGAAAATTTCTACAGTAATCCAAGACGGTATGTACTGGAAAAACTCTTAAAATTGCATTACCTATCGATTGATATACAACTTAGATAGATAAAATCGTGAATTCTTAGATGCGCAGGTGGCCACCCGCCTACCGTAACCCGGTTATGGTTGGAGGAAATGGCTCAAAAACTGATCCTTTTTTCTGTACCCGCTGATTTTGAGGATTACAGAGACAGCGCGTTTAGATTTAGGCCCCTATAGGAGCCAGCTAAATTTCATCCCTATAGGGACCCCTCTGGCGTTCTTAAGTTCAGGAAGTTTCTGTCAGGCATCTCCCAACCCCACCCTAAACCGACTTAAGAGAAGGAAATTGAAAAGAGAAATGAGGTCAATAGCCAAGAGAGGAGGAGGTCCGTTGCTGGCCCAACTGCACGGGGAGCTGCTCACAGAGTTGGGCCAGCCTCGACGGATGCACTAAAACTGGGTCCACGCATCGTTTCAGGGCGGAGGACAACGCCTGGTCGACCATCGAATTCACCACGACCTGAAACAGAAAAGCTTCGTTTTTCTGGTCAATATAGAGGTCTAAGTGCTACTACTAGACCACTAAAAAACTTTAGTGGCCACTTTAGGGGTCAATGGATCAACATAACTGGTCCAATCTGTTTGTTTTAAAATTATCAGAGTTACTGGTAGGAATACTGGATGAAAAACTACTGGAGTGGCCACTAAAACGGAAAATAGTGGCCACTTTAGTGCCCTCTCCAAGTAGTTCTTGCCGAGCCTCTATAGTGGCCACTAAAAAGTTCGCACAACGTTCAAAAATTCATCAATGAAAAGGTGCAGGGGGAAAATAATCTGATGTGATTTCTTATCGATGATAAAAAGTCATAAGTTCGAAAAAGATAATGGTTTTTGAAGAGACGATTATTTTGGTCCAAAAAAGGTTTCTCACCTCATCGGCGACTAGGGAGGCGAGGCCACGTTGCAGGTAATAGCAATCGACCTGCAATGATAATTCAATTAGCAGGAAAAACTCGTTTTTATCTAATTTTTAAAGTTGAAAAAATTGAGAAAAACGTAATAAAAAAGGAAAAAGGTTAGGAGAAAAAACTAAACATGCAATTAAATATTGAAAATTTCCCGTTGCCAAGGACAGAATTTCCAACAAATAGGACTTCTTGGAAAAATAATTTTGAAGGCACAAATCACAAAAAAAGCAAAAATAAACGTGAATATTTTTTTAAAATTTGATTTTTTTGCACGTTTCCATCGACCTTTTCAACTAAAAAAACTTTCCGAAAAAGTTGAAAATTGATCGTTTTTTTCATCCCAATTTTTTTCCCTAGCGTTTGGTTCAATCGAAAAAAATTCTGATCGAAAAAAACTGGAAGAAAAATTTTTGAAAAAAATTTAAAAAAACGAAACAAAAATGAAAATTGAAGCTTGAATTATTAATTAAAATATTTGACTTGACCTTTTTTTTCAACTTCAATATTCAGATTAAATACTGAAAAATTTCCCAAGGACAAAAATTTTCAACAATTATAGGTCTTCTCGGCGAAAAAAATTTCGACGGCACAAATCACAAAAAAAAATCCCAGTGAACATAAATCATTTTGAATACTCTGAAAATTTGAACTTCGCACATTTCCATCGAACTTCTCAACCAGAAACCCAACTCTTTTCAAAAATTTGAAACTTAATCATTTTTGCATTCAAATTTTTACAGAGCGTTTGGTTCAATCGAATAATTCTAATCGAAAAACTGAAAGGTAAGAATCAAAAACTGATAAAAAAACTAAATTAAAGCTTGAACTCCCAAAATATTTACCCTGAGCTCTTTTTTCAACTTGAATTTTCAAATCGAAAATTGAAAATTTTTCAAGGACGAAATTTTCAACAAGTAAAGACCTTCTCGGAGAATAATTTAGACGCCACAAATCACAAAAAAAAATGTAAATGAACGCATATTTTTCCTGATTATAAATTTGAATTTCGCACATTTCCATCGAACTTTCCAACTAGAAACGATACTTTCTGAAACTTTAAAGTTCGAAAAAAATTGAAACTTAATCTCCAAATTTTAGAAGTATTTTTTTGGTTCAACAAATCTGTTTTATCAAGAAAATGAAAACTTGAAAAAAATCAAAAAAACAAAAAAACGGAAGGAAAAAGTGAAGTTTGAACTCTCAAAATATTCGACCTGATATTTTTTTTCAAATTCAATTTTCAGAGTGACCTCAAATCAATTTATTCCAATGAAAATAAAAAAACTTGAATCAAAAAAAGCCTAGAAATCTCATCAAACTCTCAAAAAACGTCTCAGAAAGTTCCCGAGTGCAAACTTCGAAAACCGCCGGGATGGAAAAGTGAGAGAGAGAAAGAAAAAATAAACCGCGAGACAAGGAAAGAAGGAGAAGAGAAAACGGCGCAGAGAAAGTCGCCAAGTGATTTGTCACCATTCCTCATCACGAGACCGAATTGCTCATGTTAGAGCTTAGAAAAAGCGAGAAAAACAGTCCGGAATGTAGAAAAAAGACAATTATCGACTTAGATACTCAATTTTGGTTCAAAAAAACAAAATTCTTTATTTGAACCTCAAATTTCGCGTTTGGAATGGCTTAGGCGTCGCGGTCGCGCTGCGGTTTCAATTGAAAATTTTACGTTCACCTTGAACAGTTTTAAATGACTTTTTGCGTAAGTAGATTTTGGTCGGGCGCAGTATCATAGTAACCGCTTAGCCGTCGGTGTCGCTCATTGTGTTTTCAACAGTTCAAACTTTGAAGGAGAAAGTGCTTTTTACGTCACTTAACTTGAATATTTTCTGATCACCTTTCTTGCTATTTCTTTTGAAAAATACGTTTCTTTTTTCAAAATTCTCCATTTTTGATTTGAGAATCATTCCAAGTCTGTTTTTGCCCAAAACGTTTCTTTCTAAAGTTCGTTCATTCAGTTTTTGAAGGTAAAAACTCGCCAATGAGCGTTTACGCAGCGTAAATGAGTTTAAAGACGGTGAATTAGTGATTTTTCACGTTCATAAGTATATTTTTCGTTCTAAGTTCAGTATGGGAATAGAAAAAAAAATTTTCTTTGAGGCTTCATTTACGCCTTCGCATTTACGCTGCGTAAACGTTCAAGCATATCCTAAGAAAAGACGACTAAAAAGGAGATGGAACTGAAGAAAAATGTTACTGAAAAGGTAAAAGTGAAAAAAAATTCCGATTTTTTTTTGTGCAAAACGTTTCTTTCTAGAAGTTCTTAGTGGTTTCGAAGAAGAAAAAAACTCGCCCATGAGCTTTACACAGTAAATTGGTTTAAATAAGGTAAACTTAAGATTTTTCACGTTTGTAAGCATCTTTTAGGCTCAAATGAGAGTAAAAGGAGTAAAGAGAACGAGATTTACGCTTCGCATTTACGCTGCGTAGACGTTCAATCATATGGAAAGACGGATGAAGAAAATATGGAACTTCAAAAATGTATCACTGGAAGGATAGAACTCAAAAGAAGAGTCTGAAAAGAAGATAATACTGAAGAAAAATCTAGTACTTGAGGGGAAGTCGACGTCGCCCAATGGACAATGCTGACGAGTCTTTCGCTCTGCATCTCTGGGTACACGAGGACTTATCTCATTCCTTTTCTACGATAACATTGCAAAGAATATATTCGAAAGGTTCTTTTAAAATGTTCTCCACACCTTTTTAGCTTCTTTTCCACTTACTATGACAAAAAAGTCTGGAAAAAAATCGAGAAAAGGAAAAAATGATTTTTCAAGTCGCCGAGAGGGCGATAACTTGCAGAGCTTTTACGGAACCTTTCAAGATCCATTTGAGGAAAAATTTTCTATTCCGCCCAAAAAAACAGAAAGAAAAAAAAAATCATTTTAATCCCAAAGACTTCCAAAAAATGCGCATTCAAGACTGATCCCGACTTCGGACCGCCTTTTAAAGGTTTCAAAAATCCGAAAATAACACTCCGAGAAGGGATCTGGAGCAATCCAGCTGCTTCCCACTCAAAAACAGCAAGAAAAACTATAAACACGCGCCAAGAATCGGCTAATAAGCAGATGGAAAATGTAAAATTAGGCGTCTGCGAGGTCTTAAACTACATCCAGAACTGAAATTGTTATAAATAAGTTCGAAGGGATCAAAGAACGTGAGAAGGAGAGCATTTCTGATATTCAAAAGTTGTGGATCAAAACTCAAGAGGACCAATTATGGATGTTTTTTTCAAAAGTACGAGCTTTTTTTCGAGCGTTTAGGCTCAAAAAAATTATAAAAAAATGAGATTTTAAAAATTTTTTTTCACGATCACAAATTCGAGTTTTGAACTTAAAAATTAATAAGTATAGATACATTTTTTTTGAAAAATACAACCTTTTTTTCAAATTTTTTTAGCCCATGGAATTAGGAAATTTATGAATTTATAAAAAAATTTTATTTGAAATTCGATAATTTGAACTCAAAAAAAGACACTTATCGATAAAGTTTTTAGAAAAAAACTTAATTTCTAACTTTTTTTCTTGGCTATAAAGACATGGGAAAGAGAACTTTTTAAATTTTGAAAAATTTTGAAAAAAATTTAAAAAACTTGCGACTTGGAATTCAAGAGATTTGAGCTCAAAAATAAAAAAATCATGAATGAAGTTTTCAAAAAAATGAGCTTTTTTTAAATTTCAGATCTTGGAAACATGATAAAGAGATGTTTAAAAACCGAGATTTATAGTAAAAAATTGAAGTTAAAGAAGGAAGCTTCTCAGAAAAATTTGCGAATCTTGAAATTCCATAACTTAAAAATCCAACACCCTCATTACCTATTCCAACCAAAACCAAGAAAATATGTTTAGATTTTGGGAAAAAATGTCAAATCTCAAGGACCAATCCAGACTATAAACACATACTTTGCCAGGGATGGAAAACAGACCTTTTTGCTTAGAAAGAGCGTGATTGCAAGTACGAAAACAGAAAATCTCTCTTTTTTTGGAAGAAAAAGCCAATTAAAGACCTTTTTTGGGAATCATAATTTTTTTTTTGTATGGTTATTGGACTCTTGAATGAAATAAAATCTAATTTTTGTACAACTGGGAAGATTTTTGGCGGCCACTTTAGGGTTTTGATGTTTTAGTGGCCACTATAGCAGTCGAAGTACTGGCCTCTTTAGAAGCCTTAGTAGTTCTTTGTTGAAACTACTATAGTGGCCACTAAATCGCAAAATAGTGGCTTCTAAATGGGTGGTTATAGTGATCACTTTAGGGTCATCTTTAAGAAGTCCTTGAGGGACCTCTTAAGTGGCCACTAGAGCATTATTTTCGAAGAGATAACCGAAAAATTATCTGTTAAAAAAAGCGAAAAATAAAAAAAAATTAGGAAAAAACAAAAAAGTAGCGCTTTTTTGCCAAGAAAGTATCAATTAGTATCACAAAAGGTACCTTTTTCAGGATTTTATGTCCCCTGATGACTATTGGACCTTTTGAAAAACCAAAAATCAAATTTCTGTGGATCATTTTTCACTTGAGATCCCAAAAAAAAATTGATATCGTCTCAAAAAAAGTGCTCAAAAAACATAAAAAAAACAAACAATTTTGAGCCGTTTCAGCCAATGTTCTCGAACTACTGAAGGGATAAGCTTGCAAAACGGTGTAAGGAATCGAAAAACGGGGCTAAATCCAGTGAAAATGATCGGAAAATATACACAAAAACGTGTTTTTCCAGCGTTCCCAGTGAGAAAAAGGGAAGATTATCCATATCTGGGAACATTAATTCTGGAAAAAAAGGTGAACGTTCACAAACATCTGCAAAAAAATGTGTAATATGTGACAATTTCTGATAGCAAAACCATGTCTGTTTTTAAAAATTTTTTTTTAAAGTTTGTAAAAAAATAAGCTGAATTTTTTTCATTTTTCAATGCAGTCTGTTTTCAGAAAAACCAAACGTTTGGAGTGAAAAAAAGGGACTTTTAGGAAAAAAATGATAAAAAAAGACATAAATTTTGCTAGAATAAAGAAGAAAAAGACAAAAACCAAAAGGTTACCCTGACAAAAAAAGTAAAAAAATTTCTGGGAGGAAAAAAAGCTTATTGAACTCAAAAAAGTATATCGAAAAAAAGTAATTGAAATCCTTATTAATACACTCTTCTTTCAGAAAACCATACTTCACAGCGTTACCAGAGCTACGTCAGCCCGTCAGATATGATGTTTCTTGTGCATGCACCCCACGCGCAATTTGATTGAAACCCGAAATTTTTTGAAAATTCCTGATGACCGAAATATGAGTTAATAAAAGCTAAAAAGGTGGAAAAGGAGTTGATTGTTCATTTATCTTCAAATAAATCCAACTTTTTTATGGGGATAAGTTTAAAATGTCTCAAAAAGTCACTTTAGAAAAACGCGTATTATGCTCTAGTCTATGGGAAAGTCGGTCCCAATTCACGAATACTCAATCTCAATTTTATTAACGAAATAAATATCGAAAAAAATGGGCGAAATTGACCAAAAAAATGGTGAGAAATTTTGAATTTCGCGCTCCAAAGCCAGCTTCAAAAATGTTACTCTCCGCTCCACGTGAAAACACTGTGACTTGTGAACCCGTAGTAGAGAAAAAATACAAGTTTTGCCAAAAAAAAAGCAAGAAAAGACAAAACCAAAAGGTATCCCGGACAAAAAGTCAACACAAAAGTGCGAAAAGAAGGGAGAGAACACTCGAAATTGCATCAGTTGAGGTCAAAAATCGCCGTCTCTTTGTTTGAAATCGAACGTTTCGATTGATTCGAAGCCGCTGACTTTGCAATGTTTACAACATTTCGCACTGAGATTCGAAAAAAGCGTTTCTCCGTTATATTATCGAATCATTTCAATCAGAAACATCAAGAAATTTGTGATTTTCGTGATCAAAGACAGAAATTCAGAGAAAAGACGAAAGTTCTTAGGAATCAAAAAAAAATGATCAAAAACTCGGAACAACTTGAAACACTCTTGCAGCCGACTGTAAACTACTTACGCGCGTTGGCATTCTAAAGCATGACATCATGGAAGTCGCTCAAGGTCGGGTGCACCTATTCTGCGCGGTAACACGCAGAGAAGAAAAATACCGTAACCAGAGCTGTTTTTTGCGTTTTCGTTTCGAGACCCAAATACTGCGAAAATGGTATTTTCATCAAAGATAAATTTTTTCGCAAGATTTCTTGAAAAATATAATAAACTGATCATACAAAAATGGAATTGAGATGAGATAAAACTACAGAAAATCAATAAAAACAGCCAAAAATGTTTAAAAGCTCCTTTTTTCATTCAAAAAGACCCACTTGAATCTGTTCGATGCCAAACTTGCTGTAGGTCTGAAGTCGGATCGTCTCGGTGAAGATTTTCAACAGAACCTTGACAATCGCGGACATAATCGACGCTTTGTTGAACTGCATAAATATTCATTTTTTGAGGAGTTGGGCGACTTGGAATTTTACCAAACGACATTTCGCAGGGCCGTTGCGCGCCTTTGCGAACCTCGGTCGCGCATTTTTTTTTTACTTTTATTAAGGTACTCTACTTTCAAGTGCTCCCACAGCAATAACAATCAATTGGAAGCGTTCGAAAGACGCTTCGCGAACGCACGCAGCGGAACAGCGGAATGTCGTTCCGTGAAATTTCAAGTCTTGGCACACAGACTATACTAGAAAAACGAACATGAATCTGTTGATGGAAATCAATCCGCTCACACCACAAAGAGTCGCGCGCCGCCTCCAATCCGCCGGCGCCCAGGCGACGGCTGAAGATGTCAATTTTTCGGTGAAAAAAAAAAGACATGAGCGAATTTCCCTTTTTCCGAGGAGTACTGTATGTAAAAGTCCGTGATTGTGTTTGCACAATTTAGTAGTCCCATTTCTGTTTTTTTTTTTTCCTTTTCGATTTATAATAAGTAAGAATGAATATAGTTTAATCCATTTCAATAAAAATATAGAACGAAAAATAGAAAAAAACGCGTAGATAAACCAGTCAAAAGTGCAAACGCGCACACGCCAAATGCGGACTTTTACATACCGTACCTTTCAGAAAATTCAGACTTGTTGTAGCACCAATTTTTCAGCTTTTTCTTTATAAAACCTCAACCGAATCGATGAAAAACAGATATTCAGAGAAATAGATATATAAAAATCTTCGAAATTTTTCAAAACTTTCCATTTTTTTTTCAAAATTAAATTCATACCAAGATGGCTATTCTTCTCATTTTGAAGAAACTTGTTTATACAAAGTTTTTTTCTCTTAAAAAAACTCAAACCAACTGCTTTGAGGTACTGAAAACTCGCCAAAATCTTCAAAAGACTACTTAAAAGTCTCCGAAAAGATCGAGAAAAAAATTGAGTGCCATACGAAAAATTGGTGATAGGATAAGTATAGCCTAGTATTTACACGGAATCTAAATGTATATTTATTAATTTCTTACCTCGTTTTAGTTTCTTTGACCTTACTCTCGCCACCAAGTAACTGGGTCAGCTCCTGGTCGCAAGCCAACGATTCTTCAACGGCTCTTCGAACTGCCGACCTGAAAAAATACGACAGTCTGAAACTTTTCAGCAAAAATCTGGTTACAAGTCATCATCACGTGTCTATCAAATTTGCAATAAATAAGAGGGGCGGGGTCCAAACTTTCTAGCGAAAAGTTAAATGAACCGTAAAAGGTTCCCTAAACATTCTTCTAAAAAAATCTGGATAAATTTTTCTCAAAAATAAGGAGCTTTTGCACAGTTTCAAAAAGATCTTCTGAACGGCCTAAAACTTCATGGCCTGAATTTCCAAAAAATTGTCGTCTTGGTGGCCTAAGTTTCCAAAAAAAAAACTATCTTCTAAATAGCCTAAATCTTTACAGCCGAGATTTCCGAAAAATATCGCTTTCACGGCCTAAATTTCCAAAAACTGTCGTCTTGGTGGCCTAATTTTCCAAAAAACTATCGCCTTCACGGCCTAAATTTCCAAAAAACAATCATCCTGTCCTCCTAAGTTGCTTTGACAAATGGGACCCTTCTAGCAACATTTTTCGACTCCTTCGATTTTGCCAAAGGTACGAACCTCACGGAAGACGGAGAAGTCGAGGGCTGGTAGAGGACCTCGCAACCTTTGGAAAGGTGCTCGCCGATTTCGTGGCCGTTCCGTTCCGCGTAGCCTCGGACCAACTTTTGGGCTCGGAGTTTCAAATCGGTCGTTACTTTTGTCGCACCTAAAAGGCTGAGATTTTTATGGAATCTGAAAATCGGTGTGCAGGGCTATTCAAAAAGGATTCATAAAAAGAATAAAAATAAATAAATAAATAAATAAAAAAAGATTTAAAAAAATAAATAAAAAGCAGCAAAGGATGAAGAGAGAATGAGAAGGTCAGAAGAATGATCAAGTGAAAATTAGCATTGGATTTGAAGGAGAAAATAAAAACCCACTGGTCAATTTATCAGAAGCGGCAGCCAAGGCAAATTGCTCTCGGCACAAGTTCAACAGGTAGACGGCCGATTTGTTGGACAGGTGCTGGAGAGCGAAAGCGAAGACGAGAAGAAGGTTCGGGCTGACGAAACGGAGGTCTCCTTTCGCATCGGCTGAAAAAAATATACAAAAATCTTGAAGAGTAAACACAGAATGTTAATAAATATAAATACAGGACAGAAATCCAAAAAAATTGAAAAAAAGTTGATTTTTTTCTAAATAAAGCTTTTCGTAACCCTAACATGATCAAAAAAATTCAAGCCAAATTTTCAATAATTTCTAAATTTCTCTGGTTTGTGAAAAAAAGCCTTTTTACTAGAACCTTTGCCCTTTTTCCCGTTCAACCCATCCTCAAGGCTGTTTTTTTGGCTATAACTTCATTCAAACTTTTTGGGTATAAAAAAATGCAAAAAAATGAAGAAAGTTTAGTGAGGACATAACTTAACTGAAATCAAAAATAAAGAAAAAATTTTTTCCATACGTCTTCAGGTCTGAAAAATCGGTCAAACTTTGAAAAATTGAGCCTGTTTCTCTCTATGCGCCTTTAAAAAGTAAGTGACGTCATTTTCTGTGAACAGTTTCAACGAAAAACTACGCCTTTTTTCTCACGTTTTTTATTTTCTTCCGAAATACAGTACCCTTCTCTACAAAATTCACGGCCTGTCTCTACACATGCGCCTCTAAAAAACCGGGATTTTTGGGCGATTCAGGCAATATCAAGCAAAGAAGAGAGTTATCAAGCTGTTAGGAACCAAAAAAATCGGCCCTACTGTACTCCGCCATGATTTCTAATCTACCGTAATCCTACCGTAATCATCGGCGAGCTGGAGCAGCTTGTCGAAAGCCTGAACGAGCAGCCGTTCATGGGCGTTCTGGGCGAAGCTGAGGTGGAAAAGTTCCGGCGGGAGGGCCGAGAAAGTGACGTCACTCGCCGTGAACAGCAACAGATTGGCTAAGGCCGTCTGGGAACGTTCGAATTTTACAGGTTTCAGAGAAAACAGTCCATACCTTGACTTGAAACGCGAAAGTGTGCTCGATTTTCGAGGCCAACGCGGCCAGATCCTTGGAATCGTTGTTCAACGCTTGCCGGGACTTGAAAAAACTGATTTTTCGTCACAAAAAGGCGTTTTTTGTTATGAATTTTATGAAAATTCTTCCTAAAAAGCTTCAGAAATGTCAGAAAAATGTCGCGAACTGTTTCAATTTATAGAAATTTTTTTAAAAGAATGCCTCGAAATGGAGATTTACCCTCATTAATTCTTCATTTTTTTGCCTTCCAAGATATTTATTTCTATAATTAAAAAGCATAAAACATATTTCGATATGGTTGATGTTCCGAAAAATTCATCTTTTTCTGAATTTCCAAGAGATTCCTGTCGATTTTAAAAAGCCTCGATTTTTAAAACTATGTGCTTGAAAAATGGAAAAAAACAGTCCAAAATTAATGTCACATTTTTTTTTTAACGAAAATACTGTTTTTTTTTTTCATCAAATTCATTCAATCAGCAGATTCTTTCTGATTCAACAACTGTTCTACTCAAAAACGCCAGATTATTCCCTAAAGGAGCCCTTGAAGGGACCCCTTTAGTAACCCCTAAACCATTCCCTATAGGATCCACTAAAGCTTTCAAAAGTGACCCCTATAGGGACCACCTAGATTTTACCCCTATGGACCCCTTTTTGGGTCTCTATGGGGGACCCTTGGAGAGGTTCTTCTGATGATCACTATATCAACCCCTATAGGGGCCACTTAAGCTTGCATAGGGGTTTTAGTTAGTGGCCTCTATAGGGGACTAGCTGGTCGATTATTCTGTTTTTAGAGACCTTTAGGAGCTAATGTGTCAGACCCTATGGCAACCACCTTGATTTTTCTCCTATAGGGACCACTTTTTCGGTCTTTAGAAAGGCTGCTTGTTCTCCTAACTCCTATAAGGACCACTCTAGAACTCCTAAGATCAAAGGAAATCTTTTTCTCGAACTTTTCAACTCCCAACCTCATTCAGGACGTTCCGCAACTCTTCCTGAATCCGAGTCAATGAAAGATCGATTTCATGGATCGAAACTTCGTTGATCAAATCAATCGTTGGTTTGGAGAACTCAAGGCCTGAAAAAGGCCGTTTTTTATTGGAATTCCACCTGAGTTACCTGAAACCACGTGTCGACAGGTAGAAATCTTGCGGTAGTACCTGTCGAGGGCCCTCACGACGATCGAGCAATCTTTGGCGTCGTTGGAGGAGAGGAAAACTCGGGAAACCAACGAGTGGAATGCGTCCAGCTCTATCTTTAATGACTTTTCCTTGGGAAAATCTTAGGTTCTCTTTTTTTGGGGTTCATTCCGTATATAAAATGAATTTTTACTTCAAAAAGTGTCTTTTTTTGAAAATGTCAAAAGAAAAAAACCCGGTTTCAGACAAGTTTTAATACCGTGAGCTCAAAAAAATTAGTAATTTCAAACTTGTTGATTTTTTTTCTTGTCTAAGTGTGAGTTTACTTCAAAATTCTGTCAAAAAAATCGCTTTTTTTCCGAAAAATATAGACGAAAAAAAAATCGAAAAAACTCAATTGGACACGAATTTTGATACCGTGATTAGAAAAAATTTTTTTTTCAATTCCGTCCCTTTTCAATTCGGGCATCCATTTCAAAATTCTGTTTCAAAAACGCATCTTTTTTTCAAAAAGTTTGAAGAAAAAAACAGAGGAAATTGCAGAATATAAATCTCTTTGATTTTTTTCTCTGACAAAGTGTGAAATAATTCAAATTTCGCTTCAAAATTACCGCTTTTTTTGAAAATTACAATGAAGTGAAATCGAAAAAAATTGATTCGAAACAAATTTTTTGCTGTTCAAAAAAGTACTACTGTTTTAATTTCTTGGTCTTTTTTTCCCTATTGAAATGAGCTTGTTTTAACAAAAATGTAATTACAAAAAAATTTTTCTTCGAAATATGCATTTTTTTCGGAAATTTTGGGAGAGAAAAAAACCAGGTTTGAGACAAATTTTTAAAAACTCAGTTAAAAAAATGCTACAAAAAAATTAAACTACTTAATTTTTTTCCTTTTTTTTCCTTAAATGTTCCCTTTTCGTGAATCTCAGAAAAAAAATACCAAAAAATGTTTGCTTCCCGTTGATATCACGTTATCAAAAAAATATCTCTGACTCTCCAAAAATGTATTTATCTTTCTTCCCTCTCTGACCGTTATTTCGAACATTTTGCAAAACCGATCCAGAATACGTTTCAAAAACATTTGAAAATGAAGAAAAATGATTGTTTTTCGTTCAGCTTAAGATTCACTCTTCAAAAAAAATTTTAAATTATTCTTTTTTTTAAGTCGCGAATACACTTCTGTAATTTCTTATCGAACGCTGTCCTATGCAAGATTGGAAAAAGAAAGAAAGAATTGAAGAATGAACACTTTTGAAAGCTCATGAGGTTGAAAAAAAAAGAATGAAATCTAGAGAATTCACCAATTTTTTCAATTTTAACATCTGACCAGGTTGAATAAGCTTTCAAACCTTGATCATGGCCAACATTTGGTCCTGCTTGTCGGGGAAAAGTCGATCGTGTGTGGTTGCGATTAACGTCAAATTCGGGATAAACGATCCGCAGCCCCTAAAAAAATGTAAATATTATGGAAAAAAAGTCGCAACATCATTTTTGAAGCGAATCCCTGTTTCTATGTCCATAAGTGATTCCGAAAAGTTCAGAATAACTTTCAGAGAGTAAAAAAAGATAACCGAATTCGGGAGAGTCAGGGATAATCAATTTGAAAATGACTCAAAATAAAAAATTCTTTCTGGTAAATCATTTCTGTCACATTGGCTTTTCATGCACCCACTCAAGTTTCCAATATTCTTGCCATTTTTTTAAAGATTTTCTTAATTTTTCTGTTTATGGTGAGACTCCAATAAACTATTTTTGAAAGGCTGTAAAATTTGGCTGAATAATGGTTCTAACATGGGAAAAAAGATCGAAATATTGAAAATTCATGAAAAATACTTAACCTGTTCAAATTTTTCCTTTTTCTGGATTACTTATAGCATAGTTAAAACAAGAAAATTCCTTTGAGGGCCCTCAGAAGGAGCTAAAAAGTCCAAAAAGCTCCTAAAATCATGCGAGAAAGCCTCACTAAGGAACTACTCGGACTCGGGTACGCGTTTCGAGTTGAAACTTTAATGGCTTATAGACCCGGGTGAGAGTACTTGGAAACATGAGAGATTATCTGCTAAACCCCATGGGCTTCTGAGAAAAAGTTTTTTGAAAATGAACAGCTTAGGCTTGAAAAAAATAATTAAATTTTTGTTTTTCCTTCTTCTTTTGGCTGGAAAAAAAGTTTTTTTTAAGTTTATCGTAGCCGGATCATTCAAAGCGAATAGATTAAAATATAAAATAAGGTAAAAAAATAAGTATTCTGAAAAATTTTTCAGGCCTAATTTTTCACATTTTCTACTAATTTTTTTCTCAGTTCTCTATTGGGTTTGGCAGATATTCTCACTTGTTTTCAGGCATTCTCACTTAGGTCTATAAACCACTAAAGTGTGAACTCGATCCGCGTACCCGAGTTCGAGTAGTTCCCTAGTCAGATGATCCTTTTTGAAATCCCTTTTTGGTTGCTTTCCAGAAATTTCCATTAAAAAAAGGGAAAATATGCAAAAGTAGAGTTCCTGTTGGAGACCCTTAGAAGCTTTTTTGTTCGAAACAACCTTTTGAGGAGCTTTTATGTTTTGCCCAAGGACTTCCAAATAAAAAACTAAATCTGAAACAAACTTGTCGACAAGATCGAGAACATCCGCGTGGTTCACGTCCAACTCCCGAAGGTCGCTTTGAAGCGACTGTTGGGAACAATTCAGCAACACTTTGTGGACCTGAATGAGCTCCTTCGAAATGAGATTCTGAAGAAAATCCGACTTCGTCTCGATTCCTCCCAATGTTCATCAGCAAATCGACAGCATTCGTGACGGATTCGGTGCTCGACGCCGGGTTTTTCAATTGCTCCATCAGCTGAAATTTAATCCCGACTTACACGATAAAACAGAAAGTGAGCCGTTATTTTGCTTTAAGGGGGTATAAGTCTCTTTGTTGTGGAGAAACTTGAAAAAAAGAGCTTAGAAGGAAATTTTAGTCATTTTGAGGATTTCCAAGTTTTGAGAACTCATTTTTAAGGTCTTTTAACAGCTTTTTTAATACATATAAACAAGTTTCCTTGCATTTTGAAACTAGCTTCGATTAGGGCATGGGCGGGAGGCCGGGCGACCTGGGCCGGCCCGGTATTGGGCCAGGCATCGTTTAAAAACTTTAAAAATCTTCATAAAAAAATTCATTTTCACTAAAATTTATCAATAGAAAAACTTTTTTTCTTGTAAAATTACCGTTTTTTTGTTGAATTTTACGTAGGAAAAAAAGAGCAAAAAAACGCTATTTTTTTGTCGTAAAAAAAGTTTGACAATTAAAGAAATTGCGCTTTTTTTGCTGAGCCGCTAGATTGACGATTCGGCCCTCGAAAAAACCTAAAAATAACTAAAACGTAAAAAGAGAGAGATTTTTCTTATCAAAAAGCAAAAAAGAGCGCAAGAATCGCAAAAGACATGACCCTCAAAACAGAAAATCGCCTTCAACACGTTTCATTTTCCGAAAAAAGACCCAACCTGTTCCTCCGTCGTTTTATAAACCCTCTCGCTCCGTTCCAAAACCCTTTTCACCGTCTCAACGTCGGAAAACTGAGATAAAGAAGCACTGGCGAGCTTGTAAAGACGGATCACTTCTCCGTAATTTCTCTCATCGTGGTGGCTCTTCAAAAAAATTATTTTTATTATATTATGAATCTAAAACAACCTGCAACACCGATGGAAGATCAAAAATGTGCTTCAAACTCTTGACGACCTTGTAGGAACTTCCCAATTGCAAGATATCTTCCCGTTTATCGCCCAGAACTCCTCCCAAATCGCCTATCAACGCTGATATATTTTTCATGCTCGAGCTCAGAGATTCCATCTCCTAAAAATTCTGTTCATTTTACCGACAAAACAAAAAGTGTACCGTGTCGAGCTGATTAAACTCGTCCTGAATTTTCCTGACCGTATTGGTGGCCGTCAAAAACTTGTTATAGTTTTCGTAAACTATCTGGTGGACGTCGGAATCTAAGCGTCGGACCTGAAAAAAAAAAAGAAATAATATTAGATATTTATAAATAAAAGCCAACTAACCGAAGCCACCATCTCTTCTTCCTCTTTTACCAGATCGTCCAATGATTTCTCTTTGAGAAGCCTTGCGACGTAGGCGTCCACGTCGAAATCGGCCTTGGTCAAATCCAAAACGCTCGGTTTGTAACTACCCATTCTGAACTTAATAATATATGAAAATAAAACAAAGAAAAATTAGAAAAGAATGAAAACGAAAACCACGTGCGTAAATCCTTCTTACGAGGTGTGCTCCACGGCAAATAATTTCGCTTGGGCGCGAACTTGCAACAAAATTTCCCGCCTCCTGGCGTCGTTCGGTTCCGAGCGTTGAGACGACTATTGCAAAGTGCTTTCACTATACAATAGTATATAAAAAGCTCCCTCAAAGAGCCACGATCAGCTTTTATCTATACCTGGCTCTGTTTTGTTTTTCCAGCTTTAAAAACGACGCCAAAATCATTTGAAAAATTTTCAAGCTTTCACCTCCTTCCTTGGAAATCATGTGTGCTTTTTTCAGGTCGGATGCCGAAAAGGGCTGCTCCGTTGCCGGAAATTAAGCTCGAACTTCACGGAGAAGAAGAAGAGGTTTACGAAGAAGATTTTGAGAAGACCGGAGTCATCTACCAGGCACCTGTAAGTTTTTCTCTCACACTCAAAACAACTGGGAAGTATTTTCCAGGGGTCTCCGTACAAAAACGGCTGCTTAGAAGAGGAGGAAGACTTTTCCCATTCGTCATATAACGATACAGATGATGGACAGGACGAGGAATTTTTTGCGACGAATATTGAAGTACGGATTTTCAGATTTAGGGTTTTTTTTTAGGGTTATCTTTTCAGGTGCCAGACCCGAGTATCGATTTCTTAGAGAAGTGTCATGGCTTGGGACTTGATCCCAACTCGCAGGTTCTGCTCACTTCCTGGGAGCTCTATTTTCGGGCTTCCCAGCAGGTTCTTCTCGAGGTTTGGCTGATAATTTATATGATTTATTCACATAGAGACAAAAAATGCAGAAAGGGCGAAAAAATTTTCTTCCTAATTGGGGAAGTCTCAAACTGTGAATGAACTTTTTTCCCTTAAAAAAAATGTTGAAAGCGTTTTTTGAAGCCCTATTTTCCGTGTAGCCTTGGACCTCTTGTAAAATTGTCCCATCGTCTGATTCTCTGCTTTTCACACGCTATTTCTTCTCAGAAAGCTCCACATCTAGTAATCATTTAAGTATTATATTTTTTAGGTTTTTTTTTTAACCAGTTTCTCCATTTTCTTCTTCAAAATTATATTTTTTACGAGCCTTAAACATTTCCAGGGCGATCCCAACGCCTGGAAAGCGGCCGCAATATACTATTATCTACTAAATCGAGGCATAAAACTCATCGGAAAATTGCCGAAAGTTCTTTGCGTCGCATTTCCCTTCGAAGCCGGACGAATCCTCACAATTTTCAATATCAGGTAGGGCTAATTTGTAGGTTAAAATATGATTTTCTTAGTGCAATCGAGCTTTTCGACAAAGTCGCGAGGTTTACCGAGATTTTGAGTACAAGGAAAACGAGGAGAATCGCAGAGTTTACAAGGAGAAATCAGGTTGGTTCAGCTTCCTTATAAGGAGGTTATTTCACTTTTTGGTTGGAAAAATTTGTGAAAATTGGTCAGAATACTCTTTGGTTAACTAAATGAAGGTCATGTGGGTCTTAAGCTTAAAAAAATTTTAATTTTCGCAAAAAAAAAATGTTCCAAGTTGTAGAATGGCTAATTTTAACCGATTTTGAAGGTTTTCTTTGACTTGGAGCTACTTTTTTTCAGAGAACAGATTTTTGAAAATTGGAATTTCCAGGGTCTTTATAAGCTTCACCAAACAAATTCCTAGGAAAATCGAAAAAAGGCCTTTTTTGGGACAGTTTTTGACACTTCTAACCCCTCCAAATTTTGAAAAAATTTTAGAAAATCATATAATTTCCAGGAATCCCTCGCACTGTCTTCAGTAGTCTTCAAAAAATTCCTACCGATATTCCGAAGATTATTCTGTTTGGTGAAAGAAGATGAAGCCTCGAAATCGACCAATCCAGTTTCGACGTCTCAACTTTTTTCCCTCATTTGGGTGTCCTACCTCATGATGAAAAGTTTGTTTTTTGTTCTGAGAGCCCAAAACTTCTCAAATTTCAATTCGTTATCATTTTATTATTCATTTTTCCCACACAACTCAGCCTTTTCTCATAGGTTAAACTAAAAAATTCGTTTGGGGACCCTCAAAAAGAGCTGAAAAAGATCCGCTAGAAGCTCCTAAAATAATAGAAAAGTCATTTAAGCTTATTTTTGATAGCCTCAGGATTTTTTTTGAACAGTTTTTCCAGCATTTTTCAATTGCGGAGAATATGTAACCATATGAAAAATCGGAAAAGGCTCCATAAAAATGTTTTCTTGTGCGGCGAGAAATGTTTCTTTTTGTTGCCTTTTTGCGCCATTTTTTCAGCCCTTATGCACCTTTTTTGCTGCCTATCTCCTTTTCCACCATTTCTTGATCCTTTAAAATCCTAGAAAAAATGGAAGGCTCGATAAAAGGACCCTTTTCGCTGCCTTTCTGCGGCCATTAACCATCATTCCTATTTTGCCCAAGAAAGATCTTTTTCAAAAGATCTTTTGTAGGAGTTTTCCGTTTCGACCGAAATCTTGGCTTCTTTCAGAAAAGTGCAAAATAATGTTTTATTTTAAGCTAGATGCAATATAACTATCAATTGAAGATGAGGATTAAAAAAATAGTGAAAAATAGACAAAATGCAAATTTACTTGAGGCATGTTTCATAGTGATAAGATTTCCCATATCGATCGGATTATACAAAAAAAAAAATTTGAACGATTTTCTTGATTTATTATCTTCCTATCAACATTTTTCTCAGGATTTCTACCAAACGAGGAGCTTCTCAACGACTTCCAACTTCTGCTTTGTATAATCGACGCCATTTATTGCGACATGTGCCAAACCAGTCTCGACGTTCATTTTAATAACGATTTCGGTACTTTTCTTCTTATCGTTTTTGCAAGATTTCTAAAAGGTAGGGGGAAAATATGACGATTTTTGAAGTAACATATAGTTTTGTTCTAAGCAGCAGTATCAATGTACTTCAAGAAAAAAATTTTTTTTAAGGTTTTTAATTTGAAGGCTTTTTCTTCTGAAATAAAACAGAAAAATAGTCTCTACAAGCTAAATTTGAACATTTTTTTGAGTTTTCTGAAGCTCACAGTTTTGAAAAAAAGTTTTATGAGAATTAAAAAAATTTTTTTTAATGTTTAAAAAAATTATAAAAAATAACCCAGGATGCTTTTTCGGTGGTATGAAAAAAAGACCAGCGAAAATTCAAACGGCGACTTTTCCGATTTTTTCATATCGCTAGGGATCTTTCCGACTTTTTTCCCTTATGTTTTTCGGTTTATAACACATCTATGAACATTTTTTTCTTATTTCTTTGTGTTTTTAATCATGAACCAACTATCTACTTCATATAGCAAGATTTAAAATAAAGATTTTATCGAGAAGAAAAAGTCGGAAAGTTCCCTAGCGATATGAAAAAAATCGAAAAAGTCGCCGTTTGAACTTTCGCTGGTCTTTTTTTCATACTACCGCTTTTTTTTAGTTGAAAAAAATTATTTTTTTCAGCCCAAGATTTATTAAATCGGAGCGAAACAGTACTGGAAGCTCTGTGTTCGGAATTCGACGGCGCGATTTTGGAGGCGAAATTGTTCCGCGAGAATTTCTACTGGAAACGACATACGTGGTCGTGGCTCCCAGATCGTTGGGACGTCGTCGAAAATTGCGCCCCCGGCGGATTATTGTTCGTTTTTTACAGATTTTATTCCAAATCAATATAGATATGAAAGTTAATTTTGCCACAACTGAAAAAATACGGAATTTCTTTTCCAAGAGCCATTATTTTTTTAATAGACTCTCTCACTTACTCCATAAATCCTATCAAAACCGATATTCCGCTGAAATTTCGGGTATCTGGAAGTCCGAAAGTACACTGAAGGAGAGTTTCATAAAAAAATTCGACGAGGGGGAGGGGTGGGCTTCCTATCTTGAAATTGAAAGTTTTAAAAAAATAGTAGAATAGCCGAGCTTTTTAAATAGTCGGTGGCGCTTTATTTGAACTTTCGCCAAGAACTCCTTCTCCGTTTTGACGTTTTAGTGGCCACTATAGTAGTCAAAATTAGTGGCCACTTAATTGGTTAAAAATTAGTGGCGATTATAGAGGTCCTAGTGCTACGCCGCTTTTGAAGTTGGAATGAATCGACTAGGAAAATTTCTAGTGGCCACTATAGAGGCTCGCCAAGGACTACTTGGAGAGGACACTGAAGTGGCCATTAAACCCTCCTCTATAGGGGTCACTATTTTCCGGTCAAGGGGCCACTCTAGAGGCTATAGAGGCTTGGAGAGGACACTGAAGTGGCCACTAATCCCACCTCTATAGTGGTCCTATTTCACGTTTTAGGGGCCACTATAGAGGTTTTCTATTTAGTGGCCACTTGAGTAGTTTTTCATCCAGTATTCCTTCCAGTAACTTTGATAATCTTAAAACAAACAGATTGGATCAGGTATGTTGATCCATTGACCCCTAAAGTGGTCACTAAAACTTTTAGTGGTCTAGTAATAGCACTTAGACCTCTATAGTGGCCACTAATTTTTGACCCCTTAAGTGGCCACTGATTTGACTACTATAGTGGCCACTAAAACGTCAAAACCTTATAGTGGCCACTAAACTTTTTCCTAGTAGACAACGAGAACTTTCTATCGTCTGAACCCACAAACTTTTTGAAGAGATCGGCTCAATGAAACGTACAACACGCTGCTTTTGCGGCGAGGACAGCTCGACGAGCGACTTTTCGTCCCGGACAACATCGAACTGGTTTTCGATGAGGCCTACGATGGTTCGTTTCCTTTTGTAGTTGTCCCAGAAAAATTAACTCTAATGCCTATTTCAGAAAGTATTTTTTTGTTCTTGAATGTTTTTCTTGTCCTTGTGTAGCCTTTAGGAAATCTTGTGTTCCTGTGAATAGCTAAAGTTGTCACTCTAGGACTTTTTTAGGGTCCTCTTGAGGGAGGCACTCTCTTCTATAGAGGTCCCTAAAGCTCGCAGAAGTGGTCACTATAGTGGTTTTAGCTAGTGTCTACTCTAGGGACGAGTTAGTTGTTACTAGACGTTCAAATCAGAATAAGAAGTTTCAAAGGCCGCTATAGGGGCCACTTGGGTCACAGCCGAACTACTAAAGGGACCGCTTAGATTTTAGCCCTCTAGGGTGCATTATTTTGTTCACTTTTGGGACCACTTTGGCGATCCTAGGTACAGAAAAGCTGCCAAATGTTTAAGGTCTTTTTTTAAAGCCTTTCATTTTTCAGCTCCAAAAAAGACCATAATGCTTTTGGAGCTGAGAAAATGACCCTTTCTCGTAATAAAGCCAATTTTTTATTTTTCGATTCAGAAAGTGCGGTTGAAGTATTGAAAAGAGGGCCTGATAATCGGGTTTTCGAGGATGCCCAGCTTTTGATGACCATTTCGGCTCAGGTTTTCCGATTTCAAATCATTTTTAGAGCAATATTAGTCTTCAGAACTGCTTGGAACGGGTAACCGAGGGAAAGTTCACGAAACCTTTGGAATACACAAGAAAGTTGGTCCCATTTGTTGTCCCGAAAAGAAAATTGTTTGAAGTTGTACCATGCCGATCGACAAACTCTGCAACTCGACCCTCCTTGGGGAACAACACAATATCGAAATCTTGAAGGATTTCGTCGCCGAATTCCAATTGGACACGTCGAGCTTGAAAAAGTTCTCCCAGGGATTCCCCGAGAGCCCTTTGAATCTGATCATCGAATTTTACGATCAATTCCAGGCGGAGTAAGTTTTATTCAAATGGAAAACTGGCTCCAAAATCGCTCTAAAATGAAAACTAGGCGATCATACATGGGACAGTCTCATTGGGACCTGAAAAGGAAGGAGACTTGGCAAAAACGAGAAAAAAAGGGGGGGTGGCAAAAAAACTGTAAAAAAATAAATTTTCTGAAAAAAAGCTCTTTTTGTGAAGTTCAGTTGATTAGCAGAATCGATTTTTCGAGTTTTTTTGGGGGGCGGGGGGCTTGCTAGTTTCGCTCATCCCATGTATGATACACCGGCTGGGTCCCACCTAGCCTTTTTGAGCGCGAAATTGGAAAAATTTACTGAATTAGGCCGCACTTTTTTTGGGGGAGGGGGGAAGGGTAGACCGCGCTTTTTTTAAAGGGGGGAGGGTAGACCGCACTTTTTGGGGGAGGGGTAGGCCGCACCCCGGGGTAGGATCCAGTCGACGTATAGAGATACAGAACCTTCCGGGAAGCTTCCTTTCAATGCGCGCGGCCTGCTTTTTTGCATGTGCCTTTAATTTGGCCTAGTTTCCTCGATATTAAAGGCGCATATCCACAGGTAGGCCACGCGCATCGAAAGGAAGCTCTCCGGAAGGATTCGGGACAAGATTGCCCGGAATGGACCATAACACCCAAGGAGGCCTGTCTGCGCTCTCCATCAACCAGACACTATTTCTTTTATCATCGTGTCAGGACCCTTTTTTCGATGACAGCCGTGAATCAGCTGAACTTTTAAAGTTTTGACTGTATAGTCTGGTAAAATTCAAGTAGAATGACGCCATTCAAAGACGCTTTGTCTTGCTCTCTGATTGGTTTATCGCGCCATTAGGGGCGGAGCTTAGGAGAAAATTCAAAATCTGAATTATTCGAATATTGCGAATGAAATCTAATTTTTTGAACTTTAGGGCCTCATAAAGCGCAAAAAAATCACTTTAAAGCTATACGGAAATTCAAATTTCAGTTTCGCGGGCTTTATCAATAGAGCATATTTTCACTTTTTTGTAAGCTTTCTTTTTTTTCATAGACTTTAAATAATCTACCATGAGTGAAAATTTTTTAAAAATCTAATTTGAGTCTTCTTCTAGAAAAGGACTCATAAAAGTCTATTTTTAAATTATTTTTTTTTGGTCAGAACCTCAAGTTTTTTTGCAGATTACTGCAGCGAGTCGAAGATGATAATAAATGGGATCCCAATTTTGACACCGATTTTTCCGACGGGTTGTCTGAAAATCTGGAACTATTGAAGTCTCTTTACTTGGTTCGTTTTCCTAGCCTTTTTTCAAAATTTTCTTCTTTTACAGAGGTTCGTCGATCTCGTTGTGGTGACGGAGGTTGAGCGCGGAACTTTGAATATTTATATTTTGGTAGGTTTTTCTTGTGTCGCTGGAAATTCGAAAAAATCGGTTTAGGGGGTCTTGAAACGAAAAGAGTTTGCAAAATGTATTTACGTCGCCGCCTTGGAGTTGGTCCTCTTCGCAAACTCGAGCCAACGACAGTTTCCTTGGAGCGCACAGGTTATCATTTTTGAAGACTTGAAAAGCTTGGTCGCATTCGGAATGGCTCTGCGCGTTGAGCCATTCCGAATGCGACCATTTTTTGCAAGTGGAGAAAATCTCTTGTGAAATCACAAAGTTAAACCTGGGGAAATGTTTAGTGGCCACTATAGAGGCTCGCCAAGGACTACTTGGAGAGGACACTAAAGTGGCCCCTAAACCCACTTCTGTAGTGGCCACTATAGAGGTTCTCTATTTAGTGGCCTCTTCAGTGGTTTTTCATCCAGTATTCCTTCCAGTAACTTGATAATTAAAAAAAAATATTGGACCAGTTATGTTGATCCACTGACCCCTAAAGTGGCCACTAAAATTTTTAAAGGTCTGGTAGTACTACTTAGACCTCTATAGTGGTCACTAATTTTTTTAACCCCTTAAGTGGCCATTAATTTGACTACTATGGTGGCCACTAAATCGTCAAAACCTTATAATTACCACTAAAAATTTTCCCAGATATTCAATTTCTACTGGAAAGAATAGAAAATTTCCGAAATTTGTGTTTCCTTCTCATAACCATCACAAGGAACCTAGAAATTCTCTTAAGGTTGATATTTTGAGATTTTAAAAAAGAAATACTTCGTAAATGAAGACGAAGACTTTTTTAGTTTATTCTAGTATTTTTTCCAGACTTGCGGGCTGGAACCCTTCGTTTTCCATCGGATAATCGACGTCATTCTTCTCAACGAGACAGATTTGCCGCGACCTTTGGTGGACCATCTGAATCAGGTCTTCATAGCCTTCTTTCTTAAAAAAATCCATGAAAGATGGTAGTTTAGCTTTCCTTGTGATATCTCTTACGGAAAAAAAGCTGACTATTTTTTTCACATTTATATTTTTTTGTCACTAATAACACCAGTCGTAACAATTTTAAACATACTTTTTTCTTAGCGTCCTTTTTCTTTTTTCGGTTTCTTTTTTCTATGACGTCACCGATAAGAGAAAAGAGACGCAGACAAGTCAGAATATTTCAAGTACATTTATTTTATTAATCCATCAATTTTTGCTTCAAGGTCGAAGAAAGGATACTGGAAGAGTTGGGCTGGCTTCCCACCAGCAATATTTGGGTGTACGTTTTAAGAACGCCCCTTTCCAGATGTCCGCCATTCGATGAATCCTTCTTTGATATCGGTTAATTCTTTTAAAAAAAATTCATTAACTTTCATAACTTTCAGACTCAACCCCCCTATTCTTCACCCCCTTGAAAAAATCGAAACTCGATGATGATTTCGTATTACCCAGGGAAAAACATAACGATCTTGCAATTCCGAAAGCGTTGAAGCTTTTCCTGCGGCGGGTGAGAAAATTTTCCGTTAAACTTGAATTTTAATATCTTTCAGATCCTCTACATAGCCTCTGTGAGGCTCAACGATTTGTGTGAACGGATAAAAAAATGGATGAATCGTGAGTTATTATTCATTATCGACTTTTTGTTTTTAAAAAAGACTTTTTTGCAGAGTGAAACCGATGGTGTGGACCCTTTTCGACCATATTCTACGAAATGAAACGAGTTTGATGGAATGCCGGCATCTGGATCAAAACTTGCTATGTTGCGTGTGAGTCTTTTATTATTATTTTCTTTTTCCAAGGAGCGTTAATTTCAATATTTATCACTTTAGTTGTTCATCAACCCAATATCTCTGCATTCTAGTTATAATATATAATGTTTAAGTACTTGAACCTCCTGGAAAAGTTTTTACTATCTTCTACAAGCTCTAACGACCAACTTGATTTTTTTTTCACACCTTCGCGTTTAAACGATTTTTTTTTCATCAATCGTTAATTTAAAGTTATGTGATCACGAAGATCGCTTATATGGAAATAACGTTCACGGATATCATGGCACACTACCGACGTCAGCCACAAGCCAACAGCCGGGTCTACCGAGAAGTTTCTGTTCAATCACTGTAAGTTTATTAATTTATATGTCAGTCTGTACCTGCTCGTTTTCAGAGACGACGCCACGCAGAACGAGGACAGCAATTCGCGAGACTCGGCCCTTTCAAGAGCAAGCTCCTCACGTGGCGGCGTCATTCCACCACCTGGAGTCAACTCGGCTCCCCCGACGCCCGATCAGGCCGAAATGGGCGATTGGAGCCGCGTTGACATTATTAAGTACTACAATGAAGTGTTCCGCGTCAGGTTTTTTTCTTTATACTAATCCGCAACTCATTTTTTTCATCAGAGTGGAAGACTTTGTTATGCAAATGGACGCGAAAAAAGTGGAAATTTTGCCGATGCCAGTGCCAAAGGCCATCGGCGCGTCACCGTTTAAGAAGCAGTTGACTTCAAGAGTAGGCCTTTTCAATTTATTTTGAAATCTATCTTCATCTGTTGAACGATCGCCACCGGAGACTTATTTTTCTCAGGCCTTATTATTATGAAAAAAATTCCAGGTGCTCATTCAAACACTTCAAAAGGGCTCTTTCGAAATAAATTATCATGGAATGTTGCGGAAAGTCATGTCGTTCAGCCTACAAAGAAGCCCACGAAAGGTAATTTTTCAGTCTCTTTGTTTTAACTTCAATACGCCTTTTTCAGGATCTAATGGCTTTGAATAAAAAGATAAGCATGATTCACACTGCTAGGAAGTCTCCGATAAAGTCAACAATGTCCATCAAGAAAGAAATGGCTTGAGTATTCTACCACCAACTTTTTGTCTATTCCTTGAAAAACTGAACCGCCGGGCGGTGTCTAATCGACTTTGATTCTTTGTATTTTTTTTTTCATGTTTGGGTAACGGTTTTTTTTTTTCCATTATCATCGACTTATATTTTATTTTCTGGTCATATTAACACCTAGATTGCTATCTTTTTTCCATCTTTGAAGCTCAGTTCTTCTCTCAACAATTTTGCTTGAAAACATTCCATGAAGATTTATATATTTTTTTTTTTTGGCTGTTCAACAGTTGTTCATAATCGTCTTTCCATTTTTCAATTTCATTAACAAAGTTTGTGACCTCATTAACAATATTTTTTTCTAATATAAAACACAAGATTTCTGCGAGCATCTATGAATGAACCATATTTTTTTTCTCGAATTCTGTATAAACTCTTCACATTTATTAAAACAAGAACAAAGTAACAATAGAAAAGCTTAAATCACACCGATTCTGTTGGCAACATCGAGCGCGTCGTAATCAGGAGACAGACGAACGTAAGCTTTCTTCTTGTGAAGGGGAGTAATCAAGGTGTTGACCTGAAATTTCAACTTCTATGAAAAGAGTTTCATAAGTTTTGAAAAATCAATAAGCGTATCAAAATTGACAAGAGAGGTTAAAAAGGTCCCGCTTTGAAAACTTGTTAAAGTAAACAGAAGATTGTTCTTTCGGAGAATTTGCGAAAACTCAGACCCAAACGAAAAAAAAATATTTCAGAGCGGAACGACTTGGCGCGAGATATTTTAATGACGTGCTCAAAAAAATTTTCGCGGAGTCAGCTCTGACTCTCCAAAATTTGGGAACTTTTTTTTCCGTCTTCTATTTCGGATTTCGGGGAATGAAGTTTAGCACATCATCAAAATTTCTAACGACAACGAATTTGTGGTTTCTACGAAAAAAAAAGATAATACTTCAAACTTTGAAATCGAGATTATTCACACAGGTTAATAAAGAAATCGTACCTTCATAGCTCGAACGTTGTAAAGTTTCTTGACAGCTCTCTTAATGTCGTGTTTGTTGGCGCGTTCATCAACAATGAAGACCAATGTATTGTGGTCTTCAATTTTCTTCATTGCGCTTTCGGTGGTATGTGGGTGCTTGATGATGGTGAAAGCATCCAACCTGTTGCGACCTGGAGCCGAAAACTCGCGGAAACCTGCAAACTTTGTTTATAACAAAAAGACACTTCAGTTTTCAATTTTTCATTCATCAAAAAAATTTACCAAAAAAATTTTTGAGTCCATAACAAGTTTTATCAGATTTTTTTGTCATATTGTTTGTGGCTGTTTTTACTTGAAGAAACCAAAAACAAGTTTTCAACTAATAGAGCCTAGATTCAAAAATAAATTTTTTTATAGAAAAAAATCAATGAGGTTAAACAAAAATTTCGTAAGAAGAAACCTTGGTGAACGAGCAAGCTTCAAGGTACTGGGACGATGGAAGCGGACGTTCGTTCGGACCTTCTTTTTTTAGTGACAGTGTTGCCGCGGACCGATTGTTTCTTCGCGTTCAACGCTTTTGAAATTTTGCTCTTGGACTCTTTAGCCAACTTTTTTTCGTTTGCGGAGCCATTACCTGAAATTAATATGGAAAAATGATAATCAAAAGAAAAAAAGACATAAAGTATATTATGATATAGCGCGTTCAATTTTCAGATACAACTATGGTGAAAAACCACAAAGAAAACTGAAGACCTTTATTAAAATTGCTCTAGATAATTTTTTTAACTTCAAGATTCATTTTGACATCATTAAGATACTTTTCAAAAAAATTTCAATGACAACGAATTTATACATTTGGAAAAATCGGATCCGTTTAACAATTTACATAGTTTTATGACAGGAACATTTTTTTAGCTTATAGACTTCCGATTAGCGATTTTTTTATTTTTTTCTAAAAAAATTAAATCATTCAGGTCACGGCCATCCCAAATTCGTAAAAAAATTAGATATCAAAAATCCAGATACGTTTTTTTCAGATTTTGATTGTTAAATTTTCACCTTTCAAAAATTTGAAAAAAACTAATATTCGGCTTTGTAATTTCGCGAAATCCAAATTTTCTTTAGTTTTTTTCAAAAATTTTTTTCGGCCCTTTTCAATCATCCATGGTGATTGCGAAATTTGCGGTGAAAGATTCTCTGAAAAACCAGGGCTTCTCGGCAAACAAAGTTTGATTGCTTTTTCTAGAACCAAAAAAACTTCAAAGAAAAAAAGAGGTCTCAAAAAAAGTCAAAAATTGGAAGTTTCATTGACAAGTTAGAGCATGAAGTCTCTCTTAACGTAAAAAGAATATTTCTAAAACATAATTAAATGAAATAATGGAAAAACTCAACAAAACTTGCACGGAAAAATTGAAAAAAACTTGAAAAAGAAAAATTTAGGAGTCGAAGGCGGAGCTTCAAATCCACCGTATATATGAAGTCTCCTTTGAAAATCCTCTGTAAATGTTCACATGCGCCTTTAATTCCGGCTCTTGAAATCATCACAAAAATCAGAATATTTTTATTTTATATTTTGCGTTTTTTATACGATAACAACCAATTTTGTTTGTAAATTTCGGTGTAATATTTTAAAGTGGAGAAAATTCTATATGATAGGTGGAAAAATTTATAAGTAGAAACCAAAAAAATAAGCTCCATTAAAGAAAAATAAAAACTAAATCTATTTTCTACATTGTAGGTCAAAACAGGGCTGTATTTTTTGTTAGTAAGAAGTATAAATGCAGAAATTTCACGGGGTGGCAATCAAAAAAAAATCAGGCAAAGTATAACAAAATCACAAGAACTGAGCAATCAAGGCTTTTCTCTCTGGCAATACGTAAGAAAAATTTGTTAATTTTATCCGTTTAAGCGTTTTTTGGAGCCGAACAACGAGTTCTTCAACCGGGCGCCCAATCCCGTCTTTTGTGAGTTGTTGTTCGCTTAAATCAGTAAAAATTATTTTAGTTTTCTGGAAGTTTGTTACCCTCTCTCGGCAAGCTACGTCCCGTGTCAAGTACATGTTTCTTCCAAGGCTCTGTGCTCAAGCTGTTGCTTTTCATCAGGCCGGCTGGCTTGACGATTGTCTCATTTGCAACCTGCAAACTCCTTTTTCAGTTTGAAGTTCTTTTTGTGAAATTATTTTCACGTCATTTTTCATAAATGTGCTCAAAGAATTTTTAATGGGCTGGTAATTCCTCGCGAATTCTAGATTCAAACTTTTAAATACATTCTTTCTTAATTTTCGTGATTGAGAGTTTGAGCAAACTCCTAAAAAATGTCCAGAAAAACACTAAAATGACTCTTCATCTTGAATCAAAATTTCAACCTTATTGAGAGACATGAGACTGGCGGCACTTCCGGGCGGTCTGTTATTGCTGCCACCGATTTTGCGTAGGAAAGAGCCGATGCGGTTTTTGCCGTGGTTCGTGGGGGGAAGCTGCCGCGAAGACACCGAAGCGGCGTCGAACTCGCTTCCACGTGAGAATCGGCGGTCGTCGAACTGAAAATCGAATTTCACGCGTGAATATGGCATGCCGTCAGGTCAGGTCAGAAAAACGAGCTTTTCAGGAATTTTAAAGTGGTCTCTTTAGGGATTAAGGGAAAGAAAAACCCCTATAGAGGTCGGAGAAGGGTTCCCCATAGGGGTAAAATTAAGGTGGTCCCTAGAGGGGTTTACGATCTGACTCTTTAGCCCCTAAAGCTCAAGCTTAAGGCCCATAACTGAAACCCCTATAGGGACCACTTTGCTAGCGTTAGTGGCCCCTATAGAGGTGGGTAAACCTACAGATACCCTAAGGTTGCCCCTATAGAGACCACTTTGGAGTTTCTAAGTTTCGCCACCCGTCGGCAGATTTTTCAGGCTCATTTTTACCATTGCAAAATTTTTTTTTTAAATTTTGATGGTTTTTTCGTTGAGAGTTCTCTGAAATTTAAAGATATGACTCACAATTCCGATGTTGTCATAGAATCCGTCGTCGTCGTCTTCCATCGAAGGGACGCGGGATGAGACCGACTGTCGCTCGATTATCGAGCTTCGGCGAGGGTTCTGGAAAAGTCTTTAGAAGGCGAAAAATAAATATCCGACCTGCTGGGGATAAGATCCGACACCAGAACTGTTGGAAGAATAGTAACCGCCCTGCGATGAGTTGGCAGAGCCGGTCAGGGCCGTGTGGTAAGTGGCTGGCATTTCTGAAGGTTCCGTAATTTTAGAAAAGTCGGATTATTCTAGAAACATTTCTAACTTATTATTCGATTTACAATAGAAAAGAAAATTTTAAAAGTTCTTGGGGGATTTTCTAAAGCTCATCAAAGAGTATTTTAGGAAATTTTCAGAAAATTCCGAGCTCGAAAGGCTCTTTGTGAACTTTTCTACTACTGCGAAGTTCGAACTACTTTTCTTGAAGCTGAAGATAATGAAAGGTGCCACTGACCAGGGGGATGTTGTGGCGGGTTGGTGAGGGGGACCGCTGGGACGTACTCCGGCGCCTCGTTCTGCTGATGGTGCTGCCGTTGGACTGTGTAGGAGGCTTGTTGGGGGACGCCGCCGCTCGACGGAGAGTACTTGCGGGAAGTCGCGTGCATTTCTTTCGGTGGTGAGACTCTCTGAAACGTTTTATACGTTCAGAAATGAAGTAATCGATTTCGAATTTTGAATTTCGTAACTCGGGCAAAGTCGGAATGGTGAATAATGGTCATTAAAAAGGAGAGGCTCAAAAAAGCCGCAAAGAGAGCCCCTTTATCGAGCCTTCCATTTTTTTGGATTTTAAAGGCTCAAGAAATGGTGCAAAAGAGCCGATGAAATAGCGCAAAAAGGCAGCAAAAAAGGAACATTTCTATGCAGCCTTTTCCACCTTTTCCGACTTTGCCTATGAACAGGAAAAAAAAAATAAAACTTTTAAGAAGTCTTTAAAATAAGTTCTCTTGACCCCGGATCAATTTTTGATGAAACTTTGCTTTAAAAAAGTTTTTTAGAGCTTGGTTCCGCTTTATAGTAGAGTTATGACGGCTAAAACGCCTCAAAAACCCCTTTTTTTCCAAAGTTTGTTAAATTCTCGAACTGTGAAACGCCTTAACTCAATTGTAAGGCAAAATTTGCCAAAAATTCTTTTTTTTTCTGGATATAGGAGGTCCCTAAGTGTGCTTCAACAAAGTTTCCCTGGAAATTTGAGCGCGGGGCTGAAAAAACTCGCCTTTTAAGGTCATCGCCTAGTGAAATTTCAAAACTAGGGTTTTTTTTCAATGCTCTTCACGCTTCTGTGGACAAAAAGAGCACAATAAATTTTTTCGAAAAATACAAGTTTCTATTAGAACTCAAAACTCTCCGACCTTGTAAGGCTTGGAGGAGAACTCGTTGATCTCGTAGTAGGTTTCCTCCTCTTTGGACGGCGATTTGTAGGGTTGAGGATGTTGCATCTTCCAGGAGGTCGGGACTGAATTTCCATCTCTTTTAAGAGAAACGGGGAAAAAAAAGAAACATAACAGAAAACGATAGTTTCTATGAGAAGAAAACTATAGCATGTGTACCACGACTTGAAATTTACCTAAACGACATTCCGCTGTGCCGCTGCGCGCCTTTGCCAACCTTGGTCGCTTTTAATTTCTTTTATCTTTTATTAAGTTACTCTACTTTCATGTCCTCCCACAGCGATAACAATCAAAAAAAAAGCGTGACCTAGATTCGAAAGACGCTTCGCGAACGCACGCAGCGGCACAGCGGAATGTCGTTCGGTGAAATTTCAAGTCTTGGCACACAGACTATACAAAAGCCTCTCGATTAGTCAGACTAACGGCTACGTGAGGAGGAACTACAACGCGAGCTTTTTCTCACAGTGATTTTTATCGAGTGGGGTGAGGCGTTTGTAGCCGCTCAGCACTCTGAATTCACCGTTTACTAAGTTATAGATGGATGTTGTAGAAAAGTTAATGTAGATTCACAAAAACTTGCTGGAACACTGGAAATACACACAAAGAAGGTCAATTCAGTTAGAAATTCTTCTGAAAATTGTTCAAAACTCTCTGAGGTGCGGTTCCTGAGAGCCTCAACCTGCCCAAAATCATACTTCTAGAAAAGGAGCGCCTTAGAATCCGAAAAACCATCAAAGCCCGCAAAAATAAGCCATTTTGAAGAGAAAGATACTGAAAGTCTTAACCAGAAAAAACGCCCCATAGTCAAAGAAAGACCACAAAATCCATAAAAATAGGCCATTTTGAGGCTTTGAGCCGCCATTTTTCGAAAACTAGAAATTTTTGTAGGTTGAGACTTTCAGGATCTTCATCAGGTAGATCAAGGAGTATTCTGGTCAATTTTCACAAATTTCTGAACTAAAATGACCTCCTTATAGGACCTTTCTCCATTCCGACTATCATTTAAAGATCTCAACAAGTTTTTGTGAATGAGCCACTCAATTTCGACTTGTTAAATTTTTGAATAAGCCGAAGAGCGAACCGGTGTTCTTCTCGAACATGTTGTGCATGGCCTCGACGCGGCTCGGGTTGATCTTCTCCTGGTTGATGGTTTCAAAGGCGTTCGATTGCCCGGCCTGCCCGTGTAGGGCGTTGAAGGGCTGGCCTGAAGGCAGAAAATGTTTCTTATATTCTCAGGATGCAGTTTTCAACGAGAAAAGTTCAATAATACCTGAAAAGGAGATTTTAAAAGGCCCTTCCAGTACCCTTATATGACTTTTTATGAGATCCCTTTTAAGGAGATAAAATATGTTAGAAAAAAAAGACGCCCTTCCTTGAAAAAATGAAAAAAATAGCTTGGACACTTTTTTTGACGACGTCCTGCCCCTATATTTTCCGTATAGTGCAGTGTGTCGTGTGCATGCACTGCGCCGCTCTCGCACAGACGGCTATTTTGAACTTCGCGGAATTACTTTGACCATGGGACGTGCTTTAAAAAAAATAAAATAAAAAAATTGCGATTTTTTAAAATGAGAAATAGATTCGTCTCATGACCCATTGAACATGCGCCTTTAATATTCCCTGTTGTTGACGCTTGTTTCTCATGACGTCACATGGGAACGGCGGAGGTCTTAACCACGCCCCCTTCATTTTTGGTTTTACATTTTCTTCCACTAACAAAAAAGCGTTTTTCTTCTTTCAAGGTCCTTAAAAGGTCACTTGTATTTGACCCGTGTACTTCGCATAAACACCAACTCGTCTGTTTTCGAACAGGTTTGTGTTGCTGGCTGAACTGGTTGACGACGTTGTTCAACATCGTCGTCACCTCGTCTAACGACTTCTGCTGCCGGTTGGCAGGTCGCTGTGGCTGAGCGTACAGTTGAGACTGGGAGTTGTTGTTCAGAGCCTGGGCGTTCGTTGGCGCGAAGAAGCTGGAAATAAAATAGCTAAATCACTTTTTTCGACTTTTGAGAGCCCGTAACTTTCTTCACAGATCTCAGTGGCAACTTTTGGGGATACATTCGGAATTAGCATGAAAAACTACATCTACCCCTGCAGTTGCTTACCCTTGAGCACGAGCTCGTGCCGGAGCCGCGCGAAGCTCTGCACGCTGTCTGGTCGGTTGCTCGTAGTCGTTGCTCTGCTGCTGTTGCTGCGGGACGGCGATGTGGGCGGCGCAACGGCTGGTCAAGGTGGTGGGGAAGGACATGCGCTTGTCGGACGCCGACATTGGCTGAAAAATCATTGGTCATGCATTTTTAAGACAACGCCGTTTTTTTTTCAATTCGTTTACCATCTCTCGAGGTAACAAGATAAGTCAGGTGTCAAAAAGTACAAAAGCTTCTGTTTATAACCGAAAAACCTTATTCAGCTACTGGGAAAATTTTTAGTGGCCACTATAGGGTTTTGACGTTTTAGTGACCACTTTAGCAGTCAGATTAATGGCCACTTAAGGAGTTAAAATTTAGTGGCCACTATAGAGGTCTAAGTGCTCCTACTAAACCACTGAAATGTTTAGTGGTCCCTTTAGGGATCAATGAATCAACATAACTGGTCCAATCTGTTTGTTTTGAAAAATCAGAGTTACTGGAAGAAATACTGGATGAAAAACTACTGAAGTTGCCACTAAAACGGAAAATAGTGGCCACTATAGAGGTGGGTTTAGTGGTCACTTTAGTGTCCTCTACAAGTAGTTGGCGAGCTTCTATAGTGGCCACTAAAAATTTTCCCCAGCGCTGTAAAATAACTAGCTTAAACTCCTATCATTAAAAATTGCAAAATCCTCTGAAAAAGTCTCCAGTGTATCTCAAGCTGAAGCTCGACAGACCTGATCGGTGTTGAGTTCGAGCTCGGCGACGAGCTGATCGATGGCGAGCACTGGATCGCGGACAGTCTCCTGCTGCTGCCTGGGTCGAACCGGCGAGTGGTCAGGCAGTGATCTGAATCAAATTTTCTTGAACAGAATTTCTTTTCAAGATACCTCAGTGAGGCTCTCATTTGGCTGCCACGCGAGGGGAACGCCGAAACTTGTTGGAAAGCCGACGGCGATGGTCTAGTCGATCCATCGTCGGATCTTTTCGAGTGCAGAGTGTTGTAGGGTTCCTGGAAGAGGCAAAATGTGGGAAAAGTGTCTGTTTTTTTTTAAATGGACCTAGAAAGTTTCCATCAATTTTCAAGCTTTCAAAGATGTTATGAAAAAGACAAGGAAACTTCCAAACCCGGAAAAAAGTAACCTTGGAAAAAAAAAATAGAATGTATGCCTTTTTCCTTATTCTGAAGGTCAAAAGACCTTTATGACCAGACTTCGCACTGATCTGGTCGCACGAAGAGTGGCTCAAAGCATCGCGGTATTGTTTGCGATTAGACTCCGTTCTACCGTCATAGAAATGATTTTCTACCTTTGGAGCCCCTCGAGGCTACTTCTACGCATCCTACAGCGTTTTATTAACGACGCCCATACTTTGCCCGTAAAGTGTAGTGTGTCGTGTGCATGCACTGCAGCGCTTTCGCACATGCCGTGTTCGAAGTAATTTTCGCGAAATTCAGAATCATCTCTAATATTCCGAAATTCAGGTATATTTTTCACTCTCTGGCGGCTGTTTTGAACTTCGCAGAATTTCAGAAACAACATGGACTTTAAAAAAAAACAGAAAAATTGCGTTTTTTAGGATGAGAAATAGATTCGTCTCATGACCCATTGAACATGCGCCTTTAATATTTCCTGTTTTTTACGCGTTTTCCATGACGTCACATGGGAACGGCGTGTTTTGGCTCCACCCCCTTCATTTTTGGTTTTAAATTTTCTTCCACTAACAAAAACGCCGTGTTCCATGAGCTTAAGAAAAGTGCCAACAAGCGTAGAAAACCAAAAAAAAAATCCTTAATCATGCAACTTCCTCAAAAATCCCCAAAAAACTCCCGGATCTTCTCATAGGACCCGGCCGCGGCAACGATTGCCTCACACACCGCAAAACGTCGTTACACCGCAATCTCCTGCAAAGTTCTCGGAAACTTGGCCGTTCGTTCCTCGCACTCGGCTGTGTGTAATCGTCGTAAGGGCCCCGTGGCTCTCGAGCTTCTGACAAATGTTACGAAACCGAAAGCCTCCAGCTTTATCGATAAGCCTGCCCAATTTTTCTCGATAAGACAAACTGCGGTGTGTAAAAACGAAACAAGCAAGAAGAAAAGAGATCTTCGGGAGATTTGTTGACCCGATTGGTTCCAGAGAAGATTCGAGGTCCGGGGGTTCAAAAAGATCCCGATTTTTCTTTTCTATGTGTTCCGTAGAACACTCGGATCTCGGTAACGGAACTAGAAGCACTCCGGACGCTTCTGAGCGACTCTAGAGATCACTTAAGGGGGCTAACGCTACTAAAGTGGTCACTAGAAATGCTCCAAAAAGTTCGGTTTTCATTACCAAGGTCCAAGCAAGTAATAAAGAGCAAAAAAAGGGTTGCCTAGCCACAAAACTGCTCTTAAATCGTAAAAATGCTCCTTTTGGAGCAGTTTTGTTGCTTTATTCCCATCAGACACCAAAAAAAAGTTCAGAAAAAGTAATCATTCCCGTGAACTTGCGCTCCACGGAGAATGGGCAGGGAAGTTAATTCAAAATCGCATATTGGAAGAAGTCAGGCCAGGCATAAAAGCTTGATAAAATCTTTAAAGAAAGATTGAGCTTTTTGGGCCGGGCCGGCTGTTTTTGCTTGAGGACTCCCTAGGGCCGAACCGGGCTTAAATAAAGGCCGGGGGGAGGGCGATAGGCTTACGGGCCGACCTTCGCAGAAGCCCTACACGAGACGTGGCATTTGTAGCGACCACTTTAGTAGCGTCAGCACCCTTAAGTGACCCCTAGAACTGATCAGAACCGTCCGGAGCACGTCCAGTTTTCGTTACCAGAAAATTTAATACTATAGTGATTTTTTTTTTCCATAAACATCACATTTTTAGTTCTACTCGCCTTTTCAAATCATGTTTAAAACAGACCGCTTTTCAAGTTTTTTCGTTACACCTTGTCTTTTCAAGTTTTCAGCTAGTATTTTCAGGGTTCGAACTTTTATGCAGTATTTGGTTGTAAAAGAATGTACCTGAGATCCGGAACGTCGTTGGAGATTTTCATTGGATACGCGATCGAATGAAGCGACGCGAGGCAGGGAATTCGAGGTTCCCAGCGATCCGTCGTATTCTGTCGGGTAGCCGTTTCTGAAAAATGTGGATATATTGTCAAATTCGCTTTCATCAGTCGGTCAGAATGATGGATAATGGCAGCTGGAAGGGAGAGGCTCAAAACAAAGCAGCAAAAAGGCAGCAGAAAGGCAGCAAAAAGGCTGCAAAAAGGCAGCAAAAAGGCAGCAAAAAGGCCGCAGAAAAGCCGCAAAAAGGGTCCCTTTATCGAGGCTTCCATTTTTCTAGGATTTTAAAGGCTCAAGAAATGGTGGAAAAAGAGAGAGACTGCAAAAATGGTGCATAAGGGCTGAGAAAATGCGCAAAAAGGCAGCAAAAAGGAACATTTCTATGGAGCCTTTTCCGCCCTTTCCGACTTTGCCCATGTATCCAAAAATGGCCATTTTTCAGTTCGATTTAATTTTCACCTTTTTTTTTCTTCCATCAGATCAAAATTGAATGAAAAGAATAAAATTGAGTCCAAATAAGAACGCAAAAAATCAAAATAAAGGACAAAAAAAAGGATAAAAAAGTTATTTTTGTTAAAATAGGTAAAATCTCAAAAAGTTATGACAATTTTCCATTTGAACTAACTCCTTTCAAAAAAAAAAAAGCCCAAACTGACCCATTGCTGCTGCCGGGGACTCCGTAAACCGGCTGAGGTCGGAACGGCCTCGGCCTGATCGGCTCCGAGGCGTCCGACTTCTTGTGGTTCGCGCCGTTGGTCATACTGCAATACAAGATGATGTCAAGACAGAAAAATTCAAAATGAACCTCTTCTTCTTCTCTTTTTTGGTATTGATGGCAGCGACTTCCGCGCTACAGCTTCCTAACGAATGCTCGTCGCAATCCTGGTAGATGGACTGAAAAAAAGTTTTTTTCTCACTTTACTAAAAATAAAAAAATTCATGAAGGAATTAATTTTTCTTCAATTTTGATACTAAAAAAATACTACAAAAAAAGTCTGTAATTCTCAAAAAAAGTATATTTCAGCCCAATTTTATAGAAAGTCTTCCACTAAGCGGCTTAAAAAGTCTCGTTTTTTTCATGAAATTTGCTCAGAAATATTTAGAAAATTAGAAAAAAATAGATATAAAAAAAGTAAATTTCAGTTCATTTTTTTCATGGAAAGTCTTCCACTAAGCGGCTGAAAAAAAGTCTCGTTTTTTTCATTAAATTGACTCAAAAATATTGCGAAAAATAGAAAAATAGATAGAAAAAAGTAAAATTCAGTCCAATTTTATGGAAAGTCTTTCACTAGAAGGCTTAAAAAATCTCGTTTTTCATAAAATTTGCTCAGAAATGTTGAGAAAAATAGAAAAATGGATGGAAAAATGTACACTTCCGTTCAGTTATATAGAAAGTCTTCCATTAAGAGGTTTAAAAAATCTCGTTTTTCATGAAATTTGCTCAGAAATATTGGAAAAGTTAGAAAAATGCATAGAAAAAGTGCTCACGAAAAGGCCCATGAAAGTTAAAATTTCCGATTTTCATGAAACTGAATAAAAAATTTTCAGGAAATCAGGTAAATGAATAGAAAAAGTCAACGTTATCCGAGTTTCATGAAAACCCCCGTTTTTCATAAAAAAATGACTTGTAAAATATTTTAAAAATCATAAAAGTGAGGCCCAAAAAAGAAAACGGACAGCGGTGGGAGCGATGTTGGGCGGTGGCATGTGGGCCAACGAGGCGAGGTCATCGTGAAGCCAACGACGAGTGAAATCCAGCTTGTCCGTCTTTTTCGGCAAGACGATCGTCTCAGCGACGTTCGCCTGAAAAATTTATATTCCCAGTCTGATTTTAAAAAAAAATCATTCGGTTCAAAATCCATATTTACGTGATTTTACAAAAAATAATTCGGTTTGAAATCCATATTTACGTGCACGAAAAATGCAAAATTATATTTTAAAAATTGTTTGGAAGTATTTCGAGCGAAATAAAAAGTTTTTAGCGCTCTCCGTCTTTTATTCTAGTTTGGAATCATCAAAAAAATTTCAAAAAAATCCTCATTTTTCTGACAAAATTTTTGAATACTAAAGCATAAAAAAATAATAGTTGTATTGATCTATTTCAGAAAAAAATTTCAATTTCAAGGCTTGAAACTTCGATTTGATCCATAATAAGAGCGTCCAGAAAAAAATTTAATTTATGGCAAATAAATTGAAAAAAACAGAAAAAAATAGGAAATTTTTTTAATATATGACTCCCAAATTTAAAAAAACTTTGAAAGAAATTCCATTTGTTTTTGAAAAAGAGTCCGAAATTAATTTCTAGCTTTTTCCCAATTTTAAATGAAAAAAATGGAGTATTCATTAGTGCGTCTCGGTGTGTTTACACCCTAAGCACCATAATTCACGAAACATTTCTTGGTAGCTTATTTTTCTCAAAAAATTTCTTTTGATTGGAGAAAAAATGACCTCAGTTTCAGTAATGTTGGCAGGCGCGTTGACCTGCTTCACAGGGATCACCACTTCAACCGGCGATGGGGGGCTGAAAAAAATTGAAAAATACGAACGAAAAAAATCATCAAATAATTTAAAAAAATTCAGATATCCATTTCAAAAAGTCGACCTAAAAGACTATCAGTTCACTCCTTTCCAACAAAATTGACTTCAAATGAAGTACCTGAACTGGTCGATGTTTCTGGGCCGAAGAGCGGGTCGGCAGACTGTTACTGTTACCGTTCGAGGTCTTCCGGACTACCGTAGGCTTGATGACGGTAGTTTTTCTTAAATATCAAGATTTGCAGCTTCTTGATGAAGTTTGGAATTTTCATAAATTATCTTCAATGCTTTCTGGTGGGTCAGAATTCTTCATAGATCTTGCCAAACTCTTATTTTTGATGATATGAATTTTTAAAGGGTCGTTTTTTAACACATATGGTATTTTTTTAAAGCTCGCCCAGGTAGAGGCACCTTAAGGAATTTTTCCAGGATTTTTTGGGCATAATTATAGAATCCACCGGATTCAGGAAGAAATATTTTTATTTGAATTATCCCGTCTTTCACTAAACTCGTCTTGAAACTATGGCTATATCTAGTTTCTTTGAAACGTACTCAAAATGAGTTCAGAAAAGAGGTCTTTTCAGTTTATTTTTGTTGTTGACAAGGAGGGTTTTCTTTCTGAAAACTTGTCAGAATATCATTCAAAGTATCAAGTTAAGGTTCTGATAGTCTCAATCTGCACAACTCCCTAGTTTTTAAAAAATAAGGGCTTAAAGCCCCAAAAATGAATTTTTCGGCGGATTTTGAGGGTTTTTTTGACTTTAAGGTCTCAAAAACTAGGAAGTTGTGCAGGTTTGGACTTTCATAACGCTTTTTGGTACTCAAAGGAGTGTTTAAAACAATTTTCAGGTATTCCAAAAAGTAAAACGACCTTCCTTGTCAGGATTTTCTGAAAAATTGTCAAAGCACTCTAGAAAAAGATCCTGAAAGTCTTAAAAAATCCAAATTTTCCGTTTTTGAGCCCCTCAAAACCGAAGAAAACCCTTAAAAACGACCAATTTTGCGTCTTTGAGTCATTATTTCTCGAAAAATAGGAAATTATAAAAATTGAGACTTTCAGAATCTTCTTCTGGTACATCAAAAAGTGTCCTGGCCATTTTTTAAGGGATTATTTTCACACAAAAATATTCCTACTGGCTCCAAATGTTGTTTTAATCTTCTAAAACTGTTTTAAAAAAATTAAAAAAATTAATCTTCTAAAATTGTTAAAAAAATAGTTTAAAAAAAGCTACACCTTTTTCAAAATCAACCAATACTCCAAGAGAAAAGCTTCCAATAGACAAAAAATCAATGACAGAATCTGGACAAGAGTGGGGTAGAAATCGCCAAAAAGACGTCGGAGAAACAGCTGCCCCGGGTCATCCGCCGACGCCGTTTCAACCCAATTTACACTTCAGTAACCGGCAACTAAGCAACAAAAAAAGGCTTTTGGAGAAAGTTGAGAGGGTCAAGTTCGACTACAACGGCTGTTTTTAAAATTTTTTTGAGGTTCAGAAAGATGAGAAGCTCATATTTCAAGTCTCTTTTTTCATACTTAGTGACCGTCTACATCTAGTGACCCGGTGTAGGTTTCATAAAAAAAAATCCGTTCAGAAACTGAATTTTTAGTATGAAGACGTTAAAAAACTACCTTTTTAGAACTTTATAAAAAAATTCTTCATTAAATGCCTCCATATAAATGCCGCTTCTTAGCTGGTTCAGCAACTTAAAAATTGAGATTTGAAAAATAGGATCTCAGTAACGGAAACCGGGCACGTCTTAGACTTTTCTGAGCAATTCTAGTGACCACTTAAGGGGGCTAACGCTACTATAGTGGCCACTAGAACACATATCACGCCATTTAGATAAAATTTTTCAGAAGCCAAAAAATAAGTCGTGCGCGCTCCACGGACAATGTGTGCAATGATTTTTTGAATACTTAATATTACTCGGACTTTGGTAACGCGGGCCAGACGCGTATCGGACGTGTCGAAGCGCTTATAGGGATCACTTAAGGGTTCTGAAGCCACTAAAGTGGTCACTAGGAATGCTCAGTCATGTCCGAGGTTCTAGGAGATCGCAGAAGACATTTGAGGGTGCTCTAGTGATCACTTAAGCGATTTTTTCCTAATTCTCTCTGAAGACGTCAAAAAACCGTAAGAGTATTCAAGTGGCATTTTTTCCAAAAAATAATTTTCCAACTTTCTAATAATTCCTGTTGTTGTTTACTAACTGTTACAACGTTAAACTAGTCAATTTTGAGCTTAAAAGCCAAAAAATTACACTTATATCATTTAAAAAATGGAAGATTTTCACTGAAATTTCAACCAAAAAAACTTCTACAATTCTAAAAAAAAAGAGGTATATCTTTCTATTACTCAAAAATGGAAGATTCTTGCTGATTCTTTCACGGAAAACCTCGATAAATCCTGAGGTAACAGAAAAATCTTTCTATCAGCCATAATACACGGGCAAAGTCCGAAAGGTCTCAACAAAAAGGCTTCAAAGGCGCCTTTTTCTAGACCTTTTAAGGAGGTGTAAAAAAATAAGACAGAAAAAAATATGGAAAAAAGGAGATTCTGAGAAACTTTTTAGGAACTTATTGAGGAGCTTTAGCCTCTTTTTTCAGACTTTTTTGAGGTCGTTTGGACTTTGCCTGTGGAGTGAGGAGTATCTCCTTCTATCCTTCAAAAATAAGAAGTTTTCGCTATAATTTTGACAAAAAAAAAATGAAAAATCCAGGAGCAAGAGGGAAAAATGAGGAAGCCAGAAGCAGCCCCAAAATGAGCGCTTCTGCCTGCCCGCGTTCCTCCCGTCGGAACCGGAAAATTGGCGACAAAACAAACTTGACGCCGCTCAACCATCCCAATATCAACACCAGATGCCTTATTTTCCCCTTGGCGAACCGCTTGATTTAACAGCAAAAACCGAAAATCTCAGCGAAATGATCGTGAAACAAAAGATGGGGTAGGCGAAGGCAAAAAGTGTACATTTTGAGTGACAAGATGTCTCGGGGCTTTCTATACGAAACTATATGATATAGCTTATCGATCAATGCATTTTCTTGATGAAGACCGATTTATAAAGAAAATTGGCCAATATAGAACTGGTTTCTTGAAAAAATGAAAAAAAATCAAAGATGATTTAAAAAAAATCCCTAGAACCTAAAAAAGCTGTTGTCTTTTCAACATAAATCGCCTTTAAAATGACGCCCAAATTTCTACCGAATAACTCCCTCGGGAGATATAGTTAAAAAAATTCCTTAAAAATTAATACATTTTTTTAAGGTGAAAATGGTCGAAATTTCATCTAAACAATTTCAAAAAAACGCTCATTTTGAACAAAAAAACAAAAAAATAAAAATCTTAAAAAAATAAAAAGAACATCTGGTTCAATTCAACAGATTCTACGACTAGGCTCAAAAAAAAACCAGAGAAAAAAATATAAGAAATTTTTTCCATCAAAAAAGCTTCACATAAAATTCACAACTTGGCATTTTCTTAAATTTTCAGTTCCTTATGATTCCCAGAAGCTTCCAAGAGGTCACTTAAGTGATCATCGGCCGCAACTCACTTCTCAGAAGCGATCGGAGCCTCGGAAATCTTCGCCTTGTGTTTTTCGGCGGGTTTTATTTCCGGCGAACAGCTCGCCCCGCCGTTCTCCTTCTCCGATGACGAGTTATTGTTCTTGTCATCGCCGTTCTGCAAAAAGTGATCTTTGAAGGGTCTCGTAGCGAAAGCGCAGGAAAGGCCTGAGCTTACGGTAGCTTTATTTTTACTGTTTCAACTGTTTTTCTTGGAATAAACTATGCTGAGATTTAGTGAAGATGACTCAATCTCTCTAAAATTAACTCATACTGGGAAAGTTTCTAGTGAGCACTATGGGGTTTTGACGTTTTAGTGGTACCTATAGTGGTCAAATTAGAGGCCACTTAAGTGACTGAAAGTTAGTGGCCACTTTAGGAGTCTAACCGGTGCTACTGGAGCACTAAAAACTACTATAATGGCCCCTAAATAGTGGCTTCTATAGGGAAGGCTTTAGTGGGCACTTTAGTGACCTCTCCAAGTAGCCCCTTAAGTAGCCACTAGAGATTTTCCCAATAAAACACGGATTTTTTTAATTTCAGGTTTCTCCTAGTGCTACTGGACCTATGAAAACTACTATAGTGGTCACTAAGGCGAAAAATAGTGGCTTCTTTAGAGGTGGCTTTAGTGGCCACTTTGGTGACCTTTCCAAGTAGCCCCCTAAGTACTCACTGGAGATTTTCTCAGTGAGTATGAATTTTTTTATATTTCGAGCCCTTTTTTCAAAGCCTATTCTCCGAATGCTGTTACTACTGTAATCTCTTGAAAAGTTCCCCCAAAACATGACGAACCACGTCGCACTCCTTCTTGAGGTCCTCGAAGATCTGGTCGAGGTAATCGATGGCCTCCTTGAATTTGCTCCGGTGCTGGTGATGTCGGTGCCTGGCCTGGTCGATCACGTTGTCCAGCTTCTTGGTCGCCGAGTCGAGTGCCCCGCTGGAAAGAAAAAAAAATCAACTTGGTCTTCGATTCATCAAAAATTTTTAAAACATCTGTTTTGCAGCAACCTAGATCCATAGAAAAGATCATCATTTTTTGAAACTCTCTAATTTTGAAAAGAACCTTTTCCCCGGCGTCGTTTCCCATTGGCAGACGTAAACCATCGTGCCGAGAAAGATTACCGTAACCGCCACAAGGTACAGTACCACCATTCAAAGGCTATTCACATTCGTAGGGTCTACTTAGGTGAATTTGGCTTCAACCTGAGTGAAATTCGGTGATAAGGTGAGAAGGAACGGAGGAAATAGAAAACCTAGAAAATAAGCGGCATGATATCAGTGAATCGACGAGAAAAGGGTGATAAAAGAGCAGAAAACGCGGATTGGACAACAGTTGCTCGTTTCTGCAGAGCTGCCACTCTCATGCCCCGGGGCGAGAAAATCGACGCTTCTTTACGTTTTTCTTGGAGGACAATTTGTTCTTCTTAACTATGACTAATTTGTTAACTATAGTCTGTTCAGATTTTGAATGTCAAGTCGTCGCTCAAGCTCCGCCCATAATGGTGCAATAAACCAATCAGAGAGCGAGCCATCCACAGGGTATTTTGAATGACGTCATTGCACTTGACATTAAAAATCTGAACAGACTATAGCACTAGTTTCAATATGTGATACTCAGGCGAAACCTGGGAAGCTGTTGGGAAGGTATAGTCTGTTCAGATTTTTAATGTCAAGTGCAATGACGTCATTCAAAAACACTCAGTGGATGGCTCGCTCTCTGATTGGTTTATTGCACCATTATGGGCGGAGCTTGAGCGACGACTTGACATTCAAAACCTGAACAGACTATAACCAGCAAGTGGTTGGAAGGTGAGTGGAAGCTAAAAGGTCTTGAGAAGACCTTGGGAAGGTGTTCGGAAGACAAAAAAAAAAATGGAAAATGGCTGTCCGGAGCCTAAAATATTTCAGGAAAGCTTCCAGTAGGCTTTTTTTCTATTAAGTATAAGGTGTTGGAAAGCTATGTGCAAAGCGTTTGACTACTTGCTGGGAAGCTTTCAAACGAGGAAAAAAAAAATTCAAATTCACAGAAAAGATTTTTCAGATCATGGTTCAAAATCTCGAGATCGAGATCGGAAACTCAAAAAAGTCTTTTCTATCACTACATATGATAAAATAGCCAAGGAAAGAAGTATAATTTGATTTCAAAACAACAAGTGAACTTGGAAAATTAAAACAGAGTTTTAGAAAAAAAAACACGCTTTTACCACTTCAGTTCAAAAAAGAAACTCTAAGACCTCTCCAAAAATTTTTTTATGTTTATTTTCAACACGGGTTAAAGCCCCAATTAACTCTTCGACAACAAAATCCAAGCTTTTGAATTTTTTTTAAAATTTTATGTGCCTTTTTAACGATCAATATGGATATATTTCTATTACGAGAAGGCTAAAAAAGACTTGGAAAAAAAAAGACAAAAAAGAAAAAAACAAGATTTTCGATGTTAAAATTGAAAATTGAGAAATGGCTTCTATCCATAGGTCCAAAAATCTAGCCTTTTTTCTACATTCTATAAAAAAGTAAAATTTGCAAAACTACAAGTAAACCAAAGCAAAACTCGAGAACAAGGTCGAGTGGCTCCCGCAAAGAACGAAAAAAAACCGTGTGCGCAAGCAGTTATTTTAGCCCCGTGTAAACACGGATCTACCTAGATGAAAGAAAATCTTCCGAGGTGTTTTAAACTGGTTTTTTGAGGGATTATACGGTTTCGAAAACTTTTAAACGACCAAAAAGGGTAAATTTTCGAAGTTTTTTGAAAAAATAGTACCATTACAAAAAAATTGGGAGAAGATGTTCAGCTTTGAAAGTTGACTAAATTCTTCAAAAATTCATTCAAAATTTGTTTCAAATTGTATCTAAAGGAAACTTTATTTTTTTGAATTGAACCAGATTTTCATACAAATTTTTCAAGTTTTTCTATTTTTCTAGTAGGTTTCGTATCGTTTTTTTCGTCAAAATTCACTGAAAATTGCTGAAAATGAATATTTTTTTCTGTCTCAACATTTTTTTGAAGAAACTACTTCAAAGGGATAAATAAATATCCTCAAACTCCCTATTTGGGAATTTTTTTCGATTTCTGATGAATGGGCTCGAAATAAGCTTTTTCAAAAAAATCATAGAGGAATTTTTTTAAACTTTCAATTTTCTTTTCTCGAAAAAAATAAAAAAATTCTTTCAGGTTGGGACTTTCAAAATTTTCATCTAGTACTTCAAGAAGTAAACTGGTCGATTTTTAAAAATTCCGAGCCGAAAAGTGAACCTTCCTTGTAGTTTATCCCCTCAAAAAATCATTTTTAGCCAAAATAAAATTTTATTTTTGAATGTGGCTATAATAATAGGCTTTTTAACTGCATACGGTAATGAAATAAATAGTTATAAGTAGTTATAAAAAAAAACGATTTTCCATCCAGATCTCTAATCATTCACCCTGCTCTACGAACCCTTTGATCATTGCAGAAAACGAAAAAGAAAAAAAAAACAAGCGTCTCCCCGCCGATAAATCAACATTGCTGAGCAACTCATCAAGTGGGAAAGATAACACAAAAAAAAACAGCCAGACTTCTTTTTTTTCCATCGGTGTGTAGTTCTTGGCTGAGTCACACAGTAAAATGGAGAGAAAAACAAAAGAACTACAGCTTTTTTTTTAGAAGGTGATCTATGGTGAAGTTTGAAATGTTCTAGGAAAAGTCTGAAAAATTAAAAATTGGTTCAAAAACGCGCAAAAAAGTGTTACGAAACTCGACTAAACTGGGAACTTTTTCAGTGGCCACTATAGGGTTTTGACGTTTTAGTGACCACTGCAGTAGTCAAGTTAGTGGCCACTTAAAGGGTTAAAAATTAGTGGCCACTATAGAGGTGTAAGTGCTACTACTGAACATTTTAGTGGCCACTTTAGGGGTCAATGGATCAAGATAACTGGTCCAATCTGTTTGTTTTAAAATTATCAGAGTTACTGGAAGGAATACTGAATGAAAAAATACTAAAGTGGCCACTAAATAGAGAACCTCTATAGTGGCCACTAAAACGGGAAATAGTGGCCACTATAGAGGTGGGTTTAGTGGCCACTTTAGTGTCCTCTTCAAGTAGTCCTTGGCGGGCCTCTATATAAATTTTTCCCAGTAGTATTATGAAATTTTTTTCTTAAAAAAATGTTGTTAATCAAAAATGAATATTTAACTTGAAAAAAACGTTTTTTTGAACCGAAAGACCAAGTTTAAAGCGATTTTTTTAAGCTCCATTTAAGGTCATGAATTTTCTAAATGCCTAAATTCTAGCTCACATAAAAAAATGACTGAACATCATTTTTTTCGTTTTCTAAAGAAAAATATCTGATTTCAAAGAGAAGGCACTTGGAGAACGCTCAAAAATATTGAAGTTAACATTTTTCAGCTTTTACTCAAGGTCAAAAAATTTCTAAATCTCGAGTTTTAAGATAAATTTTTTTCTTCGAAGCACAATATCATATTTTTCAAACAGAAGTCTACTGTACAAGATTAAAAATTAAAATATAAAAAGTCAAAGAAAGGAGCTGAAGCTGAAAAGAAATTCGAAATGAAAAACAGATTTGGCCAGGATTCATGTGATCCTCACGATTCGACCTTTGTCAGTTGATTTTTGAAACAACTGCTAGAGAAGCACTCAGGTAGAGCTTCACCAAAACACTTCCAAAAATCTTCTCAAAAAAAATATTGGTCAGCTCTCTAGAAATTCTTTTTCAAATGGAACCTAAAAATAATTATGGCAGGTTTTCAAAAGCTCCTTCTTCTTTCGAAGAAGGTTTATAAAAATAGCATAGCCATTTTTTGAAAGCCAGAGTGACCCCTATAGGGGGCAAAGCAGTGTCAAGATAGGGGACAGTCTGACGTGTCTGCGTCTCGTTTTCCCTCACCGACGGGGTCAGAGGAAAATGAAAATAGCACTTGAAAAAGAGAGCGTTGCATAAATATCAGATTTTTTCAGAACTTTGAATAGAATACGGAAAAAAACTATTAAAAAAAGTCCACTTAAAAAAATGCATTCTTAAATTTTTTTCATTTTTTTAAAAAAATGGACATCAAGATACTCATCATGACTCTCCTTCAGTCAGCTCAAAACTGCATTAAAAGCAGTGAAAATCTTTTTCCATTCGATAAACTATCAGTTGAAAAACTTTGAGGCATACTAAAATTCGAAAAAAGTCACCAGCAGGGTACCCTGAAAATTTCATCAAAAGTTCAAATCCTAACCCTTTGAAAATTCTCTAGACCCCCAATTATCCCTTTCTGTTTCTCGAATGCTCCTTTTTCGGAAGGAACCGAACCTCTGAACGCTGTCCAAGCTGGTGGCGCTGGCTCGGCCGCTGCTTTCGGCCCGGTTGACCGGAATGTGGGCGGCGTACCGGCCGGCCGGCTGGGAGTTCACCGCCGCCGCGTTCGTGAACTGCTGGCTGATCGTGCCCATACCTGGAAATGATTTCTTGGGGGAAAATTCTTGTTATCCTTCAAAAAAAGAGCCGAATTTCCTCTTGATTTCCTCAAAAATTCCTATTATCCTTCGAAAAAAGAGTCAAGACCCTATAAGGCTCTTTTTAGCGGTCCTCTTGCATCAGCTTTCTTCTTGGGAAAAAGCTAGAAAAGTTAAAAAAATTCATTTTTTTCGTTTTTTTAAACCTTCAGGTCTGTAAAATTTAGAGAATATTTAAAATTAAGTGCCACTTTGACAAGAAAGTTTATAAAAAAACAAGAAAAATTTTTGACTAAAAAAAGTTATAAAAAAAGTTTTTAATTTTAAATTTTTATTAAAAAAAGAAAAAAATGAATTCGTGAGCTAATTTAACCATTATTCGCTAAAACTTCACCCTAAAATCCAAAAAACTGGTTATTTTTTTTAAATAATCAAGAAATATAAAATAAAACTTGTCAAAGAACATATTTTGAAGGTAATATTGAATTATTTATATTTTTTTAAGTTATGACGGAAGTTTTGGTAATTTTTTTCACTTTTTCTTAAAAAGTAAATGGTGAGTTAATAATGCTCAACTTCCAATAAAAAACGACCGATATTATTCAAAAAATCCCAAAAATTCGAAAAAAAAACGAACCCTCGCCCTGAGATCCGCGACGTGGAGATGGATCGCGCCCCTGAAAAATTTCCATTTTTTTTCAGATTTCAAAGTCAAAAAAGAATGATATGAGATCATTGTGACTTTTGTCGGGAAAAAAAATGACGAGGATCGGGGGGAAAACGACGCGCCCAGTGAACAAACGGATACATTTCGTTGTTTGGGGTTGGTTCACGCCGGGTCGACGTCGGCAAAAAGCACTCCACGGAATGAAAATAGATCCGACCGGTTGACATTACTGTTAACCGGGGGCTTCGAAACAAGAAAAGGGATGATTTTTTCTTGGGCAAAGTCGGAATGGTGGATAATGGCCGCAAAAAAAGGAGAGGCTCCAAAAAGGTTGCAAAAAGGCAGCAAAAAGGGTCCCTTTATCGAGGCTTCCATTTTTTTTTGGGATTTCAAAGGCTCAAGAAAGGGTGGAAAAAGGGAGAGGCAGCAAAAATGGTGCATAAAAGCCGATGAAATGGCGCGAAAAGGCAGCAAAAAAGTTGGAAAGAGAAAGTCATAATACACTTTCAACAAAATCATAAAATAGACCTTTTTCATAAATACTTTGATACTCGATTCTTTATAGTCAATGTTTCCCGACTTGAAAGGGGAAGGAGGCGGGGCAGGGGCGGGACGCGTAGCGTGTGCGTTCGCGGTTCTTGGCACGAGTCTAATTCAATTGCCGCCGACTCTTTAAAAAAGCTCGGCAACCGCTCTTTTTCTATTTTCCTACTATTTTTTTGATGCACACATAAACATAATCAATAAATAATTGAAAAAGGAATGAAAAGAGCGAAAAACGGGCTTTTCAAAGAGTCGATGGCGGTTGAATTGAACACGTGCCAAGAACCGCGTACGCACACGCTACGCGCCCCGCCCCCTGCCCCGCCTCCCTCGCCTTTCAAATCGGGAAACATTGACTATACCAAAAACTTTGTTGCTAAAATAGACCTTCTCAAAGACACGTTTTGCCCCCAACAGTATTTTTCTAGGTTTTCAAAAGGGCGTTTGAACGTTTCTCGAGGGAAAAAAAATGTTTTGGAAAATAATTCAATAGTTTTTGACCTTAAAAAGTAGGTTGAACTTTCTGGAGTTGATCTTAAAAACCAGCGAAGCTCTGGAAAAAAGTTCAACTATTATTTTTTTTAATTTCGGAAATTGACCTTCAAGCTGCTGAAAAGCTCTCAAAAATGAATAATCTGGGAAAATTTTTAGTGGCCACTATAGAGGCAAGGACTACTTGGAGAGGGCACTACAGTGACCACTTCAGTAGTTTTTCATCCAGTATTCCTTCCAGTAACTCTGATAACTTCAAAAAGAACAGATTGGACCAGTTATGTTGATCCATTGACCCCTGAAGTGGCCACGAAAAATATTAAAGGTCTAGTAGTAGCACTTAGATCTCTATAGTGGCCCCTAATTTTTAACCCCTTAAGTGGCCACTAACTTGACTACTATAGCGGCCACTAAAACGCCTAAACCCTATAGGGGCCACTAAAAATTTTCCCAGATTCGCATATAATAAAAAAATCCCGAGAAGAGTGAAAAAGAAGCTTTGACGACTCATATGACAGAAACAGAGGATCAAGACAGACGTTTCGTCTCGCTCAATCATTATTACTCGTGCTTTCTGTCGACATCAAACCTCGGGACGAAATTCAAGATCACGGAAACGGGAAAGAGGTATTTTCGTCAACAAAATGAGCTTTTTGAAGTCCGCAAAGTTGGTTAGGGGGACTTCGGTTCAAGGGAAAACAAAAAGAAGGGCATCGAGGGGAAAAAATAGGTTCTCAAGGGTCGTATGGATTACCATTTTATCAGAAGGGTCAGTAAAAAAGATGATCTTAGTTCCTAAAAAATCTGAAAATAGCTTTTTTGAAGCATTTTTTTGGGGAAGTCGTTTTTCGAAAATTAAAAAAAAATTACTTAAGTGATCACTAAAGAGAAAAAATTAAGGAAATTCGTCTTTTTTCCGAGATTTTTGAGGTCTTTGCAAAATTTAAAAAAATCCCTTAAGTGATCATTCTCAGATTTTTTCAGGGAGCTCCTAGGACCTTGGTAACCTTTCTAGTGACCACTTAAGTGGCGTCAGAACCCTTGAGTGACCCCTAGAATTTCTCAGAAACGTCCAGTTGCCGTTACCAAGATGTGAGCTAATTTTTTGTTTTTTTTTTTTAGAAAATCTCAGAAAAATCCAAATTCTATCAGCCTTCGACTCATATCAAGGATCGATTAAAACAGATGGAATGACGGATAAAATGATCTGTCACAAGACTGAGCCGCTCGGGAAATAGCGCCGCGGGTCAGGAGAAGCCGACAAAAACAGCCGCCTGAGGCACTCGTCGTGTGGTCACAAGAGCTCAGGCGGGCCAGCTTTTCCGCCTTCTCCTACGTTTCCCAATCGGAATAGCAGCGCTATTTAATGAGACATTTATTGGGAAGATTTTTGAGAGTTTTCTGAGAATTTCTTGAAAATTTAAGTCTGTTTTTCTGTCAAAGAACTATGAGAAATGTCTGGAAACTGGCCGGGATGCACTTTGATGCATAGAAAAAAAGGTACCAAAAAGTCTCAACTTGCGAAATTTTTTAAAAGCCTTTTTAAACGACTTTTTCATGGTCTTATTTAATTTGGAGATGTTATTAAAATTGACCAGGATGTACTTCAATGCACAAAATAGAGTATATAATGAAATTTTCAACTTACTCCAGCTTCTTAGTTTTCAAGAAAATAAAATTGATTCCAGGTCAAAAAACACCTCTTTTCAAACGGATTTTGATGATTTTCTTTGAGTTCGAGCTCTTATCAAAAATCAGTCAGAACACTTTTTTCTTCTTCAAAAAGGCCCTAAAAGTTTCAACGTAAAAAAATATTTATTTTTCGAAAAACAAGGGCTTGAAGCTTCAAAATAGCCTATTTTAACGAATTTTGAGGGTTTTCCTCGACTTTAAGGTGTCCTTTTTTTAAAAACCAGGTAGTTTTGCTTGTGCATTTTTCGAATATTTGATTTTTTCAATTGAAATAATCTCAAAATCATTGCAATCGTGAAGAAACTACAAAGTGCCAAAACCATTTTCCAACTTTGAAATGCGAAAAAAAAGTAATAAAATTATCAGAACCTTGGAAAAAAAGCCATCATCATCCAAGTTTATATTATAAGCAATAATTTTAAAGTCCATGATTATTTTTTTACCTGGAAAAATGTCAGAAACCAAGAGATAAGTGTCTTTTTGCGATCGCGACCCTTCAAGTCGGCAGATCAAAAGAGCAAATCTCGCCGTAAAATCGATGAGAAAAAGCTCATTTTTTCAGTCAGAGAGGATTTTCCTGCCAATTTTTCTAGAAGTTAGTTTATTATTTTTGAGAAAAATCGCTTGCAAATTGAGAAAAAAATGAAAAAAAATTATTTTAATTGTTTTTCGAATGATTCTAGAAAACAAGCTTTTTATCAAAATTTTGACGTACTAAGAAAAAATAACGCTAAAGGCAACAAGGAACGTCTAAAAATATAGCTATTAAAAAAGTTTGAAGTGATAAAAATTCAAGACACCAATGAAAAAATCCATTTTTAAAGGCATACGGGCAGTAAAAAACGGGGTTTCCGGTGAAAGCAGTATCTTATATACTTTTTCATTGCAAATCGAATTTTGTTATCAAAAAATTACAGATGTGACTAATTTTGAAGAAAAACGCGATTTTACATTCCCGCCTTTAATTTTGAAAAAAGCTTTGGATCGGTATGCAGACAACTGATTACAGTAGCTGTGCACGCGATGTTGCGGACGTCTCATTAGACTCGCATTTTGTGAGAAATAACCGGATATCTGCTTCAAATTAAGGGTTTCTTTTCTGAAAAATCATTTAGTCAAACAGAAAACACTCATTGATAATAAAGAGAACACAAAATATCGCAATCCCGATTGAAACCTGTGTAAAATCATCATTTTTCACCAGAAAAGCATTTTTGTGATCAAAGCTTGCAAATTATACATAAATAGAAAGCTTTTGTGACGAAAAAAACTTTGGTGACAGCAGAAAAAAAAATGAAAATTGAAAGAAACGAAGAAAAAAGCGAAAATCCGAAAAATGGCGAAGCCTGTTGTCCATAGAGCAACTTTACTGCAAAGCGCCCTTTTCGCGGGAACTTAAGCTATCCTTTCTCTGACTTTGAATTATTTTTTCTCCAAAACTAGGAACTTCTGTACGTTTCCAAGTTCACCGTTCGATTCGCAATGAAAAACTCTACAAAGTACTGCTTTGAACTGAAACACCGTTTTTACTGCCCCTATGCCGTTAAGCCTCAAGTTGTTCAATACATTCAGAGAACTCCAGAAATAAATCCAAAGACCTGGGAAAATAAGTAGTCACCTTGAAACAACAAAGAAAAATTGGAAAAAGATAAATTCTCACCCTTAGAACCATATAATCGCGCGCCATGGCGTTATAATGGCGAGGGGGCGGAGCCGAAATCCGGAGTGTCGTCGCAATTTTCGATGACTTTAATTGGAATAAAGCAGTGAATTAAAAATAGGAGAAGTGCGGAGAGAGGCGTGGTTTTCAGGAAAGTTTCGGTTGAACTGGGCGACACCGGGGGGAGAGCCGCGCCGGACGGCAGAAGCTTTACACTTTCTGGCTTGGCGTGAGCTCAGCTCACCGTGTGAGTGCTTGCTTTTGCTTGCACTTTGTGCTCGACAGGTTGGTCGAGTGAACCAACGGGCTTTTTAGGTCTAATGAAGCTGTGAAAATCGGATATTTCAAATGAAATGAGCCATTGAAAAACGACTTCACAATAGAGATCAGAACTTCCTGAAAATCAGTTCCAACTCAAAAAGAGCTTCGAAAATCGGGTCTTTCGAATAAAATGAGCCATTGAAAAAAGGCCTATACAATGGAGGTTTTCAGTGATGGTCAGAATTTTTTGAAAATCCGTTCAAACTTCAAAGGTCCTACCAGTGCAAATGTTCATTTTTAAGCTTCTAGTAGCTTTTAGAACGACTTGTTTTGTTCTTTTCATTTTTCACTCTCTCAAGCAGAAGTCTTGGATCAAAACTGGGAAGTTTCATGGATTAATGTGATTCGAAAAATGTCATTTTTAAGCTTAATTTAAAGCGTACGACATTCAATTCAAAGCTTCTCGCAGCTTCTTGGCCAAAATTGAGCGATTTTACTCAAACTGTCGCTATTATAGTAGTATTTTGTGCGCTTCGGTTTGAAAAATAAATCGAAGAGCTTATTTTTAGTCCAGAGAAAATTGAGAACACGGAGAAAGCGGTTTTTTTGAATCTTGAAGCAAAAATTTTTCGCAAAGAACTTCAATTCGAAGCTTTTCGCAGTCCTTCTGACCCCGGAAAAAAGCGAATAGACTCGAATTTTCGCCTCGATGTCGCGCCAGTATCAAGCTACTACTTTTGAATTTTCAGACTACAGCATCGAGGAAAGAACTTCAAATCAAAGATTTTAGCAGGCTTCCTGGCCCGAATTGAGCGATTCTACTCAAACTTTAGCTGAAATAAACCTTTAATTCAAGCTTTTCCTGATTGACTTTCCTGGTCCGAATTGGACGTTTCCACTCAAACTGTAGCGATCGTTGGCAAGGATAATTCCGCTTTGTTTTGAATCTCCAGGCCTACAGAATCGAGAAGAGAACTCAATTTCAAAGCTTTACGCAGTCTTTCTGGCTCAAAATAAGCGACTCTACTCAAAATGTAGCCTTGATGTCGCACCAGTGGCAGGGATGAAGCCGATTTTTCGAATCTCTAGGCCTACAGAATCGAGGAAAGAACTTCAGTTCAAGCTTTTCCTAGTCTTCCCGGCCGAATTTGAGCGGATTTACTCGAACTGTAGCTGGAAGAAATTTTAGTCAAAGCTTTTTGCAGCTTTCCTCGAATTTAGCGAATCTACAGAAACTGTAGCAGAAAGAAACTTCAATTCGAAGCTTTTCCTAGCCTTCTAGGCCCAAATAGAGCGATTCTACTCAAACATTAGCAGTAGAACTTTCATACGAAGCTTTTTGCAGCCTTACAGACCCGAAATGAGCAATTCCACTCAAACTGTAGCAGTAGAACTTTCATACAAAGCTTTTCGTAGTCCTCCAAACCCAAAAAGAGTGATTCCACTCGAACTTTAGTAGAAAGAAACTTCAATTTGAAGCTTTTCGCAGTCCTCCAAACCCAAATAGAGCATTTTCACTCAAAACTGTAGCCTCGATGTCGCTATATATTGTGACAGAGGGGGGTTTCCGGCAGATGCACCGCGATCGGAAATGTTTACGGCTCAAAAGCGCGCGTCTGTTGTCGACATTCCCTCTCTCTCCCCTCTCTTTCTTATTCAACACGACAACTTCCAACCACCGAGAATCTGAGAATTTACATAAGGTGACCGTCGTAAAACCGCTTTATTGCCGCAGGGCGATGCTGTCGTATAAACGCCAAATATGGGTCAGGGGTTGGAAATTTTTCGAGAAAAATGATAAAAAATTTCCTCACAGTGGGACTTCTGAATGAGGCTAGGGTCACTAGTTGCAGTTTTTTCGAATCTGTGCTCAAAAGTTGATCAAGAGGAATTTAGGGACTCTCAAAGTCGAAAAATTCAATTTCTCCGATTGAGCTCCTTTTTGGAGGGTGTACAGATCCAGTCCCATTAATAACAGAGAAACAATTATTTTTGAGCATAGATATGATTTTTTTTGAAGCTTCCTGTAGAATAAGGAAACGAGCGCGCGATGTCTTGTTCCGACTCGGAGGCTTTGAACGGCTATGGCAGCGAAGAGCAGTAGGAAAGCTGCGTAATGGCATCAGCGAGGTCACGGGATCGGTCCCCACGCTGTGCAAAGCATTTTTGCAATTTTTTCTTTTTCGGGAATCTTCGTGTTTTTCGTTTTTCGAGTTTTGGAGCGTAGAAACATGAGAATACCCTATTTTGAATCTATTCAAGCACCCGGAAAATTTTCTCATTTTTCTTGACTTTACATGTGTAAATTTTCAAAAAAAATTTTTATTTTTTCATTTTCCTCCTTAAAAATCTATTCCGTCTGTTTTTCGGAGCATTTTTTCAAAACTTTATTCATTAACGCCCTTAAATTGCCCTGGAACAGTACAGACTTTTTGGAGACTTTTCGAGATTTCAAAGTCAGATGAACATGATAAGAGTTCAAAACTAACCTTACTGAGGCAAAAAAAAAATCACATCTAGGTACCCAATTTATAATCAAAAGTTCAAAAATTCAAGCTAAAAAATTATTTCAGACATCTTATTCGAGACAAAGGCAATGAAAAAACGCCCAAAACTCAAAAAGTCATTAGAAGATGAATGAGAAACCTGAAAAGTCGCGTCGAATCGGAGAAAATGTTTCACTGTTGGCAAATCTTCTTTGTCGCCCCCCGTCCTCCGCCCGCACATAATAAATATACGAAAGGCGGCCCCGATTAATTTGAATGGAGGAATCTTTTTCACGCAAAACTGGTAACCCTGCTAAGAGGGGGACAAAGAATGAGTTTGGGGTACTGTAAATGAAGGGGATGAGACTAGAGTTCATTTCAAAAAAGTGTGAAATTCTGATCAAAACACCTGTTTTGCGCTTATTTTTGATAATCTGCTAAAAATCTCATATTGATGATGGTAGACCAGCCGTGTTAATACGGGCTTCCAGCGAGTGTACCCGTGTTTAACCCGGTAATAGGGCGTGCCCGTATTAAGTCCAGCTGGTAGAACCATTGACATTTATTACAACAACTGAGGCCCCGTTTTAGCCCATTTGTGTCCCAGGTTTTCGAAACGAACACTTTTTACCTGTTTTTCGTCCGTTTTAGCTTAGCTGAATTTCGAATTGCATTAAAAAAACGGGCTCATTGCGGGTACACCCTTTGAGACACCTGGCTGAGAGGAAAACTAGAAATTTTCTTCAAAATTTGGGCCACCTCAGGTGCTGACGGGTCGTCCCGGGCTGACCCGTCCCGCAAAACGGTCACATTGTTGAAAGAACCAATTTTTCTTAATATTCCACCAGTTGGTTTTTTCACTTATTTTTCTAAATTTTGAACTTGCGGGTGGTCCCGGGGTGTACCCTCAACAGCCCTGGGTTAACCTACAAGAAATAATTGAGACAAGTCTGAGGCTTTTCAATCTTGTTTTCGGTCCATAAATCAATTTTTTGGTTAAGGTATAGTGAAAATAGAGAAAAAAAGGAGAGTGACGAGAAAAAAAAAACAAATAATTGTCCCACTTGCAGGAGAGTGATCCTACTTTCTCTTCAAAACTTCAAAAAAAAAAGGTAGATGAGCATGGAATTTCGAACAGTACTATTTTATGACCTTAGATGAGCAAATACAGGACTCATACTGGAGAAGGGGTTGGCCTCGAAAGTTTTGGAAAATTAGGGAAAAGGAAAAGAAAATCAAGTTTTCACCTCCGGAAGGCAGTTTCGACCATAATAAAACAAGCTCTAGCCTCAGGGAGGAAGTATATACTTTGAGTTAGAAAAACTTGGCAGGAGAAGGTGACGGCCTTTGAATACGGTCTGCCCATGTATGGTTATGACCAACCTCATTGTCCGAATTGACGGAAAGCGTCGAGGCGACTGAGGATTTTCGTATCCGATTCGCCTGCTGTTGAAGTCGCTCCTGGAAAAGTTTGGGTGCTACTAAAAAAAAAAATATTTTTTTCAGCTAAAAATCATCCGTCTACCGCGACTTGACCCTTGTCTGCGTCTCTCTTTCCCTCACCGGCGAGGTCAGAGAAACGAGAAAAAAGCATGAAAACATGAGAGGGTCGCCGAGAGACGAGGAGGGTGCAGATAAGTCCCAAGTCACGTAAAACGAATTTCGCTTCAAGACCCGTTTCACAGTTTTTGAAGGGTCTCGAAGCGAAGAAGCAAATAAAAGCGGTGCTTACGGTATTTCTCTGTTTTGATTTATGAACGTACCTCAAACGGTGACTTGGGTGCGTCGAATTGGATTGGCTTGGCGATTTGTAGCCGGGAAGCGACGTTTCTGAAAAAAGGCTTGGAAGTTTAAAATTTCATGAAAAGTTGAAAAATTAGTTCGATCCAAACTATTCTATGCATTCCATAATCAGGAAATCTATGATCCAGAACACTTTTAGCTCGGATTTCTCTGATGTCTGAATAAATTGAATTGGAATGAATTGAACAGCTGAAAAAAACTTTTCGTCATGTTCAATGTAATTAATTTTAATTTTTTTTTGTTGTAGTTAATGATGAAAGCTGACAGGATATCAATCATCAATTTTCAAGAGAAAATTCCAAAAAGAAGGAAAAAGTCTCAACTTGTGGTTTCTTGGCACCTTATTGATCTTGGCAGTTGATTTATCAGATTCGAACTATCCTCGTATCAAAGTAGCAAACTGTTTTCTACCATGGTATAAACGGTAATTTGATCGAAGCGGACAGAGCATCGATTTTTTTAAACTTAAGGCGGACTTGTTGAATCCCTGAGGCGTTGAGTTGAAGTTGTTGAAGACGTGGGGCGCGGCGTCGAGCATGTGGACGGGCGTCGTCGATTCGACGCTGCTTCTTCTGGACGGCGCCGTGATGATCGGCACGCCTCGCGGCGACGGCTCGTGCACACGAACTAAAAATGCATTCTAGAAAAAATCAAAAAAAGAATCTGAAGCAGGAAAAAGGCAGAGTAACGCAGAAGGATGGTAATTTTTGTTTTTAGTCCGGATTTTTCCGAAAACTAGTCAATCCTCAATGTACCTGATGAAGATTCTGAGAAATTCCGCTTTTCAAACTTCCTAGTTTTCGAAAAAATACGGCTCAAATCCTGAGAATGGCCTATTCAACTGAATTTGACCTTGTCTTAAGATTTTTTTTCAGAAAGTTGAGCTTCAAGACCTTCATCTAGCATACCAAAAAAAAAATTTCATTCAGTATTCCGAACAAATGAAGCCCCCTTTCTTTCTCAGGCCTTTAGAAGCTCAAAAGTCATGAGCTTTATGTCGATAAGCAAAACACACAACTTTCGCTTCGAGACCTTCATGAAATTTGTCTATGCTCCTTTAAACGTTCCAACTTGAGTAGAATCCTTCAAATCGAAAAAAGGATGCGATTTGGACATTTTCAAGGTTTTCAAAAATTAAGCTACTCTATACCTTATAAGCCCCTACGGAGGTGTACTAGGAGACCCCTACCCCCCTTTTTTTTGCACCCCTAACCCCTAAAGGACCGACCCCCCCCTTTTTTGCATTCATATAGGATCCCCTGAATTTTCATCTAGAAGCCATTATAGTGATGGTCCTACATGGGAAAAAAGCCCCTACGGAGGTGTACTAGGAGCCCCCCCCCCTTTTTTTTTCACCCCTATAGTACTCCCTTAATGGTCATTTATAGGCCACTATAGGGAGGGTCCTGCATGAAGTAGAAGAAAGTCCCTAAGGAGGTATACCTAGGGGCCTTCTTTGTCACCCCTATAGTACCCCCTAAACGGTCATCAAGTAACCACTATACATTGCGTTCAATAAGGATAGGACCCCCTCGATTTTTGACTTTTTGGCAAAATACGGAAAGATATCAAAAATCTTTGAGTGCCATTCGATTCAGAGTACAAAATAACTCCCAGAGCCAAACTTTCATTATCCTAGCACTTTTCCTACGAAAATGCCATCGAAAAAACGGTTTTTCGACCGTTCAATAAGGATAGGACCACCTGGAAACTTTGAATTTCATTGGTAGATTTTGGTCAATTTCTCTTTTTGATCAGTGGTTTTTTTGTTCTCATATTATTTGTTTTCAATTTTTCTACGGTTTTCCTTTCATATCTTCCAGGTTTAAAAAATATTTTATATCGAAAATAGGGAAAAATGACGTTTTTTGAGTTTGCATAAAAATATTTGAGCGAGTGATTTTTTCCATTATTTCGAATGAACTTATCTGATTAATAAAGACATTTTAACATTCAAAAAAACAAAAAGAAGTTTGAAAAACATTAGTTTAAAAGTTAGAAAACCAGTTACAAGATGGTGTATCATGACCGAATTTCGGACTGTCGTCGTTTTCGACCGTTTTTCTTTCTGTATGTAGTCGGAATGGCGGTGTACTTTTTTCAAAGGATTTGTGGAGGTGCTCCCATCACAAAAAGACATTTAGTTGGATTGGATAAAAATTGGCGATCCTCGGAAATCAAAGGAATAAACACCCTTCCGACTGCTACTCGAACTTTTTTTGGGGTACATGTAAATAAATTATAAAAAAAGTTTTAATTCTAATTGAAATTGTTTTTATTGCACGTTTTTCATTTTTTTGTTTTTATTTAGTTGACAAACTAAAAAAATCCGCCAAACGCTCTATTTGAAACAATACCTTCGATGAGCGCGGGTACCAATTTCTCTCCACATTTTCTCGGCATTGTAGGTAGTAAATGAATTTTTTTTAGATTATCTTGTTGGTGAATTATGTTTATAGCACCTTCGCAAATTCAAAAAAAAAGTACACCGCCATTCCGACTACATACAGAAAGAAAAAAACAGGTCGAAAACGACGACAGTCTGAAATTCGGTCACGATACACCATCTTGTAACTGGTTTTCAAACTTTTAAAGTAATGTTTTTCATTCTTCTTTTTGTTTTTCTGAATGTTGAAAAATCTCTGTCAATCAGATAAGTTCATTGAAAGTACTGGAAAAAATCACTGGCTCAAGTATTTTGATGCAAACTCAAAAAAACGTCATTTTTTTCCCTATTTCGATATAAAAATATGTTTTTAAACCTGGAAGATATGAAAAGAAAACCGTTGAAAAATTGAAAACAATTAATATGAGAACAAAAAAACCACTGATCAAAAAGAGAAATTGACCAAAATCTACCAATGAAATTCAAAGTTTCCAGGTGGTCCTATCCTTATTGAACGGTCGAAAAACCGTTTTTTCGATGGCATTTTCGTAGGAAAAGTGCTAGGATAATGAAAGTTTGGCTCTGGGAGTTATTTTGTACTCTGAATCGAATGGCACTCAAAGATTTTTGATATCTTTCCGTATTTTGCCAAAAAGTCAAAAATCGAGGGGGGGTCCTATCCTTATTGAACGCAGTGTAGTGATGGTCCTAATGGGGGAAAAAAAGCCGTCATGAAGGTGTACTAAAAGTTTCTCTTACTAGAAGCCCCTACGGAAGGTCCTATATGAAAAAAAGCCCCCTCAAATGGCCATCTAGAAGCCACTATAGGGAATTCGCAGAAAGTGGCTAGTAGCAATTCGTGACATAGCCAATGGTCTGAAAAGTGGAAAGGAGGACGAAACGTGTAGTAAATTGACAGAAACTTGAGCTTTTCTCTTTCTCCGTACGTTTCGAGGAAAACAAGGTTTGCAGAAAAATCTGTTCCATTCATAAATTTGGGGATCGAGAAACTTTTGGACTAATGGAAAAGTTTTTAGTGGTCACTATAGGGTTTTGACGTTTAAGTGGCCACTTAAGGGGTTAAAAACTAGTGGCCACTGTAGAGGTCTAAGAGCTACTACTGGACCACTAAAAGTTTTAGTGGCCACTTTAGGGGTCAATGGATCAACATAGCTGGTCCAATCTGTTTATTTTAAAATTATCAGAGTTACTGGAAGGAATACTGGATGAAAAACTACTGAAGTGGCCACTAAAACGGAAAATAGTGGCCACTATAGAGTGGGTTTAGTGGCCACTTTAGTGTTCTCCAAGTAGTCCTTGGCGAGCCTCTATAGTGGCCACTAAAAAAAACTTATCTCAAAGACTTTTTTAATGAAATGCCTGGGTTCTTCTGAGATTTTAGAAGCAAAATAACCATCAGAGAGTGGAAAAGATAATTGAATTTTGGAGGGTCAGAGATAATTTTTAACATGTCATGATAAAATAAAATACTTAAAAGGTGAAAAAAGTCATTTTTTCAAGGAAGAATCTCAAATATAACCCAGCTAAAAACCTTATATATAATATTCTTCCCAACTGAAACAGAAAAGTGAGAAAACTGGCGAGAGTTCCCGGAGTATGATTCAGCGCTTGAGGCAGACTAAAATAAAAGAACACGAAGCATATGTGCCTAGGAACACCTTTCGTTCCCCCCTCTGAAACTTTTGCGTGGTTTAACAATTTTTCGAGAAAAGTCGAAAAATCGGAGATTTCAAAAAAACCTGAAGATGGGAGGCAAAGTTCGCTAATGGTAGAGTTGCACGGCGAGTCGCAGCCGCTGGATTCGTAGCCTGAAATTGAGAGAAAATGTGTCTTTTTATCATTAAGGTGTTGAAAATGATAGAAAAAAGGCCATTGAGATGTTGAAAATGATAGAAAAAGGCAATTTTTCAGAAAAAAAAATATTACCGCGCGCCGAGCAAATGGAAGGCGGTCGATGGGCGCGATGTCGTTCCAACCGTCCGCGTTTTCTGAATTTCTCACTGTAAAATTATTCAGTTTCTATCAAATCTACCTGGAAAGGGCTGTTTAATAAAGCTAGTCATTTTCCTAAGAATTTATAGATTTTCTTTATTTTTTCCCCACAAGAAGATCAATATACTTTGCGGTTGGGAGTTTCTCGAAAATTGGCCAGAAGATTCCTTGATGTACCAGAAGAAGGTTCTGAAAATCTCAACCTACCAAAATTCCTAGGTTTCGAAAAAGAAAGCTTTAAAGTTAAAGAAAATCTGGAAATGACCTAGTAGATGTAAAAATGCGTGCTGATCACGATTTTGCTAGTTTTGAGCCAAAAAACAGGACATAAAAAAGTTTATTGGAAACTTTACCCAAAATTACACGTTTTTTGGATTTTTCGGGTCTTAGATGGAAAATTCGCCTAATCCATGTTTGGCTCAATAGATAGAGTATTTTTTTGTGGTTTTGATAAAATCAAGAAAAAACGCCGGACCGCAACCTCATATACTGGTTTTGATTTTTTTGAGAAAAATTATCTAATGTGAGCAACAGTGAGCAAACATGAGATGTTAGATTTTTAAAATTTGAATAAAATTATTCCTTTAAGCTACCGTATCTCAAAAACGGCTCGAGTGATGATATTCAGTTTTTTTTTTCAAAAAATCCTAAAAGTCGTGTTCTACAACATATTTGATTTATAGAAAATTTCACCCTAACCCTCATTTTTTTTTCCAATTCATCCTAAACCCAAATGGCGCAGAACAAGTTTGCGCCTAACCGTTGAAATTGGCTATTTTTCAGCTTTAAACCCCTATTTCTCGAAAACTAGAAAGTTGGGCGAGTTGGGACTTTCAGAATCTTCTTCTGGTACATGAATAAGTGTTCTGGCCAAATTTCAAAAAAGTCCCGAGCGCAAACTAAATTGATCTTTCTTGTGAGGAGCTGAGGGAACTTTTTGGTTCGAGGATATAATTTTTTTTTAAGTTGCAATTTGATTTTTGACCTTCTTTTTCAACTTTAGACCTATTCTTGTAGTAAAAAGAGCATTCTTCAATAAATTTTCTGCAAAATATTGATTTCAGGCGTTTTAAAAATCAATTTCCGGCCTCATTTTGTAGTGAAAATGAACTTTCGAAATTCATTTTTCAGGAAATTTGAAGTTTGAATAAAAAAATACCATGAAAAATTAATTAATTAGGCTTTCAGGAAGTACTCCGACAAAATAATTGCGAATTCAGAACTTACACGTCAGTGCTACAATTACTTCCCTTGTCCGCGGTTTCCTATTTTGAAAGTCACTTGAAACTGGAAAGTGTCTTTAAAAATCATTTGGGACGAACCTCTTGACGTACTCCTCCAGAATCGACCTGTCTGGCAGTATCAGGCCCTCGTGTTTCTCTTTTTTTCATCCTGGAAATGGAAATTTAAAAAAATCATAAAACTTTCTAAAAAAATCTATTACAAAGTTTTGCAATTCACTGACAGTTCTTTTTTTCCACGCATTTTCTACAAAAAAAAATGGATTATTCTTTTTTTTGCTTATTCCTCATTTGGAAAAATCGAGGCGAATTCTCTAAAAACTGAGCGATTTTCTCGTAAAAATGAAGATTTCGTAGGATTTCAAACAGATATTCGGAATCCTCGGATCAAGCTTTATTTGGAAACTTTTTTGCCCGAGAATTTTTTTTCTCTACTCTTCCTGTGCTTTTAATAGTTAATATCAGAGTTGCTAATAAGACGGGCCGACCCGGGAAGACCGCATTACGCCCCGGGGCGACCCGCGAAGCGGTCAAACTGCCCAAAAAGCCATTACTCCCGATTTTACACGGTTTTTTGCTTCCTTTTTTTTCCCATTTTCCTTTTTGCGGGCCGGGCCGGCCAGGGATCACCGCAAAGCTCCCCGGGGCGACCCGACCCAAAATGGTCAAATTGTCAAAAAAGTCATTAATCGCAATTTTTCAACAGCTTTTGCAACATTTTTTTTCTTTAATCAACTTTTCGGGCCAGACCGCATGGAGTGCTTAAAAACGCGGGCCGACCCAAAACGACCTCAAGGCGCCCTGGGGAGACCCGATCCAAAAATATGGTCAAAATGTCAAAAAAAGCTATTGTTCTCATAAGCTTTTGCTTCATTTTTTTTCTCATTTTCAACTTTGCGGGCCGGGTCGCCCGGGAGAGACTGATTAAAAAGGCGGGCCGACCCGGAATGACCTCTAAGCGCCCAGGGGCGACCTGAAAGCAAGTAGTCCCGATGTTTCACCAGCTTTTTGGGTAATTTTTTCTCAACATTTCGGGCCAGACCGCCCGGGACGACACGGTGAGCTACGGGTTAACCCTATGCAAAATTCCTGAAACGGGAAAAAAGTAGGACCCCGGAGCTGTCGCGCGTCCACTCGACGGCGGCCTCCGTGTCGCGCATCTCGTCGAGAACTTCGGCGGCCCGCGACTGCGACGCCCGCGACATCGACCGGGACTAAAACGGGCAGAAAATATATTGATTTCCGAAAAAAGAGGTACATGATCATCACGCTGGCTCATCCGGCTCGGCGGCAGAATCTCGACTGGAATCGGCTCGATTTTCGGAGCCAATTCTGGGAGTTTCTCCTTGATCTCCGGCCTAGAAAATACTCAAATTGAAATTTTAAAAAATGAAAGTTGAAAAAAGTGTCAGCCAAGTTCCAATAAACATGGAGGATTTCTGGAAAACTGATCATTCCGGTGAATTTTGAGCACTTTTCATTCCATTTTAATCAAATTATGAGGTTTTTCGGGTTCTTCTTGATCCAGGTTGTATATAGAAAACATTGAAAACGTGTCTTTTGAACAATTTTCCTTCTGACACAATTTTCGACTGAAAAAAAGGTACTAATTCATTAATTTTTTTTTTTTTTCGCAACTGAGGTAAGATGAAACCCGAGAAGATAATGATAAAATTTCAAATTTTTCAACTTATTGGAAAAATTCCATGACTTAGAAATTTTAAAAATTTCACAAAATAAACTTGAAAAATTCAAAAAAATTTTTAATCAAAAAAATTCTTTTTCCAAAATTGAAGGTTTTTTTGAATAAAATCGGCGTTTTATAAAAAAATTACTATTTCGTGAATTTTTTTCTTTTCGATTTTTTTCCTCTACAATGGTCATTTTACTTTTCGACCCAAAATTTCCTCAAAATGGCCAAAAATCTTCTCGATGTACCAAAAAATGTTTCTGAAAGTCTTAACTTGCAAAACTTCTCAGTTTTCGAGAAATAATGATGCAAAGCTCAAAAAAAGCTTATTTTTGTGGATTTTTAGGGGTTTTTTAACTTAAAGATGTATTTTCCCGAGTAAAATGACCTTACTTGTTAGTTGAAAATAAATTTCAAGCATAACTGGTCCGAAAAAATAAAACAAAAAAAAAAACGAACATGGAACGGCGTTTTTCGCGCAAACGAAGCCTCGCCCGGGCCACATTGACATCTTTAGTCGGCGTATCGACAATCACCTAAAACTTCAAATAATCTCCAAAAAATCAAGAAAATAGAATAAACTATCTCACGTCGTAAATACAACGCAAGAAGGTCGGTACAAAGTCGTCAATCATAGACAATTTTCGGGATGAAGAGCGGGGAAAAGTGAAAAGATTCGCACACGCTTGAGGATCGATGAAAACTCGGAAAAAAACACAGAAACAAAAAAAGGTTCGGTTTCGTGATAGGTGTAAAGTTAGAGTCGGTGCTCCGGAGCTCAATCTTATTGCTCAAAAATCTTGTTTACCGTGATCCGGTGCAAAAAAATCCAAGGTTTTTCGAGGATAATTTCTTTTTTTCATGAAATTCGACGACTTTGACTTTCTTCTTTGAAAATATAAAAGTAATTCGAAGAGCTGACGCCGCTTAAGTGATCACTGGGAATGCTGAAGGGTATCGAAAGTGCTAAAGTGATCACTAGAAATGCTGAAGAGTGCTGATGCCACTAAAATGGCCACTAGAAATACTGAAGCTTGCTGAAGCCACTAAAGTGACTACTAGAAGTACAGGTGTGTTCTGATGCCACTAAAGTACTCACTAGAACATTGAAGATTTCAATCAAGGAAAATTTTTTTAACTCCAGAAAATGCGCTCCATTGAGAATTACTCCTCTCAAAGAGTTTATTTGGACGTTTGTAACGCAAAACGCTCCGCAGAGCATTTCTAGTGATCCCTTAAGAGATCCGAAGCCACTAAAGTAATCACTAGAAATGCTGAGAAGTGCTGAAGCCACTTAAGTGAGTACTAGAAGTACACATGAGTTGTGATGCCACTAAAGTGCTCACTGGAACATTGAAGTTTTCAATTAGGAAGAATTTTTTTTTATTCTAGAAAATGCGCCCCATTGAGAATTCTTCCTCTCAAAGAGTTTATTTGGACGTTTGTAACGCAAAACGCTCCGCAGAGCATTTCTAGTGATCCCTTAAGAGAGCCGAAGCCACTAAAGTAATCACTAGAAATGCTAAGAAGTGCTGAAGCCATTAAAGTGACCACTAAACATACAGAGAAGGGCTGAAGCCGCTAAAGTGACCACTAGAACTACTGAAAAGTGCTGATGCCACTTAAGAGATCACTAGAGCTATTGAAGAGTGCTGGAGCCGTTTAAGCGATCATTAGAAAGGCTGGAGAGTTTTGAAACCACTATAGTGACCACTAGAAAGGCTTATGAGTGCTGAAGCCTCTAAAGTGACCTCTAGAAATGCGCTACTGAGGTCCGAGTTCACGCCGCAGTTTCTATAACTACGTCTTTCAGACGATTTTGAGCCATTAGTGATCACTCAAGTGACTTAATTGCCTCTTAAGTACTCCCTTGAACGTGTCATACTAGCACAACCAGTAAAAAGGCATTTTTCCCTATTTTCACCTTCTCAAAGTTCCGTAGCCCTTGCTACAGATTTCGCTTTGAGACTTGTGTTTTTGGTAGATTTTGGAATGGTCTCGAAGCGAAAGTGCACAGGAGAGCTGTGGTTACGGTAGATTTTAACCTTTCGCACAAAAAAAAAACTCTAAATCCCTAGAGTGAGCGCTTAAATAAACTATACTATCAGGGTGCGTTCAAGGAGGAGTATAGTCGATTCACGGCTAGCTTGGGAGGGGCGTGGCTTGTCTGCGCTCTCCACTAACCATACACTATCACTTACTTTTTTTTTTATCGTGTCAGGACCTTTTTATAGTGCTCAAGCTAGTCGTGAATTGATTACAAGAAGAAAATCCAGTAAAATGCTTTTTTTTTTCTTTGAGTTCCAGGAAAAGAAACCTTGGCTCTTTCATGCAAATCCTTCCGTCTGAAGTGATCATCGGAGACGATGTTCTCCAAACTGCTCGCTTTACACTTCAGGGACGCCTTCTTGGTAACCTTACTGAAATTCCAACAAAAATAAGGGAAATTTGGAAAGATCCGACCTTTTTTCTTGTAACGTCTTCCTCGCAGTTGCAGGCTTCTCCGCGGGTTTCTTCATAACTTCCACCAAATTCGTCGTTTTCAGGGGGAGGATCGCTTTGATCTTCTTGCCGTGGGTCACAGGGACACTTTAAGAGAATCATTAACTTTTGAAAGATTTTTTTTTTGAGAAAAACTCAGATCAAAGCTTCATTTTATACTCGATTCACAGTAAGGTTAGGCAGATATTTTTTAGAAAACATGAAAAATTAAGTTTGAACAGACTTTCCCGCTGATAAACCAGCCTTGATAACACGCGCTGTCATCGGGTGTGCCCGTATTGGACCCGTCAAGCGGGTGTACCCGTATTTAGCTCGTCAAGCAGATTCGCCCATATTGAACACGTCAAGCGGTGTGTCCGTATCGAACCCGGGTGTGCCCGTATTTAACCCGTTGATCGGTTTCGCCCGTACCCGTTAAGCGGATGTGCCCGTATTGAGCCCGTCAAGCGGTGTGTCCGTATCGAACCCGGGTGTGCCCGTATTTAACCCGTTGATCGGTTTCGCCCGTACCCGTTAAGCGGATGTGCCCGTCTTGAGCCCGTCAAGCGGTGTGTCCGTATCGAACCCGGGTGTACCCGTATTGAATCCGTTGATCGGGTTTACCCGTATTGAACCCGGGTGTACCGTTATTGGGCCCGTCAAGTGGGTGAGCCCGTATTGAACTCGGGTGTGCCCGTGTTGAACCCGTTAAGAGGGTGTGCCCGTATGAAACCCGTTGAGCGGGTTCGCCCGTATTGAACCCATTGAGCGAGTTTACCCGTATTGAACCCGGGTGTACCGTTATTGGGCCCGTGAAGCGGGTGTGCCCGTATTGAACCCGGTGAGCGGGTTTACCCGTATTGAACCCGGGTGTACCGGTGTTGAGTCCGTCAAGTGGGTTCGCCCGTATTGAACCCGGTGAGCGGGTTCGCCCGTATTAAACCCTAAAAAACCCTAACCCCTGGTCGAAATTTCGGCATTTTTAGCCACAGCTCAGGCCCCGTTTTAGCTCGGCCCGTTTCCGCTCCACAGCTGTGTAGCCTGTTTCTCCTTGTGCCCGGTTTTTGCCCGTTTTAGCTCGAATGAATTACCTAAAATACACGGGCACACCCGTCAAGACATCTGGCCAGCATGAGAGAAGTTCTAAACTTTTTTTGACTTTTTTTAAAGGCATAAAGAGGTCTCGAAGCGATCAGAAGTTTTCAGCCATTTTCTGCGTGTCTGCGCCTTTAAAAAGCGCTTTAAAAATCTGAACTTTTCATAAATACTTCGAACCTTTTTTCCTAATTGAAGTGAAAAAGGAATTTTTCTCATACTTCATAAAAAATATCCTTTTCATTCAAAAACCATTTTTTCTTCAAACCTGATCTTGAGCTTGAAAATCTTCTCCGTTGTGAATGTGGCCGGCTTCTTAGCGAATGATTTCGATGCCTAAAAAAACTTTAAATTCATTTTCTTCAGTAATAAAAACACCTGAGTTGTTTCTTCTTTTTGGTGGGATGACCTTTTTTTGACCGGCTGGGCTTTCTGAACTTTTTAAGTTGGAAAAAAATTATATGAAAAACCTTGTCATCTTTCGGTGGCTCAGCAGCTTTCTTTACAGGCTCCTGAAAAAAATCAAATAATAATAATTTGAAGGAAAAATGAGAAAAAAATGAACCTTTTTGTCGATTTCGGTTTCTGCTTTTTTTGGAACTGCTTTCTGAAAAAGTAATATTGGATTTTTGAGAATAATAAAAAAATTCAGAAAATTTGAATTCGCGGCAAAAAAATACCTGGGCTAACCCCCTAGGCGCACGGGGGCAGGGGCAAAAGTGATAATTCAAGGATTAGTACTGAGTCTTGAGATTATTGACAATTTCGAAATCGCGCCAAGTTATATCTGGACCTACACCCCCGTCATCTTAATAGTTCAGGGGGGCAAAAGTGATAGTTCAAGCGCTTCATTCTTTCAGAACAGTTTTCAAAAAACACCTTTTTCTCATCGGAAGCCACTGGACTTACAGGTTCCTTCTTCTCGGCCGTTTCTCTGGCTTCGATGACTTTCTTTTTTCGGCCGAGGAACTGAAGGGACAGTAAAAGTCAGAAAAAATTCCCCGATGACAACCAATTTCTTGATGACGTTGGTGGATTCCTGTGGCTCTTTTTTCACAGGAACTGAAGCCTTTAATTTTTTCTCGACCGATTCGAGCCGGGGAATCGATCGGACTACGCAAGCGCTCTCGTGTTCTTCTTGCCTGAAAAAAATTCGTTTGGAGACAGGAATTTTTCATTTTTTTGTAGTATTAGAAACCAGTAGAGCCTTGAAAGAATTTAAAATTTAGGTTTTTTTATATCGATATTTATCTGCCAAAAGGTGTCCCGTTTTTTTCTTTTTTTGCTTCGAAAAATTCAAACTTCTTAGGAATTCCAGAGTGGTCCCTATAAGGGTTAGCGGGGACACCTATAGGGGTAAATTTGAAGTGGTCCCTATGGGGTTCAAGGACTGATCTCTTAGCCCATAAAGCTCAAGTGGACCCTGGAGGGGTCTCTCATTTTCATTCAAAAAACGCTCATTCCTTCAGTTTTTCCCACAGAAATGCTTCTTCGCTTAGAGTCCATAACAATTATCGACTAGCATGTTCCCTATAGGGGCCTCTTTTGCTAGGTTTACTCTGGGGGTTGGTGAAGTGGTCCCTATAGGGATCTCACTGAAGTTTGTAAGTCAAAAAGTCGATCGGAGGGAATTTATATAAAATTTCGAGAATCTGCCATTCCCTTGTCGTTTTGCTAGCCATATCGAAATTCGTTTCTTACAACCTTAAAAAATGTTTCAAGCTGTGAATAAATATAATTTCGAGCGAATTCAGCTGTTGTTGATGCCATCAAGATTCCTTGTCTGAAAAAAAAAAATCATTTTCTGTCTCGAACGTTTCCGAGCAGTTCTAGGGATCACTTAAGAGTACTGACGCCACTAAAGTGGTCACTAGAAATTCTCCGAGACGTACTGGTTGCTTTACCGGGGTCCTAGGGCTTAAAAAAAACAAGGTTGAAACCATCGTAAATTTTTTTTTGTCTTCAGTGAGTCATCATCAGAATTTTTAAAAAAGTGTCCCTTATTCTTTATTTTTATTCGCAATAGTCCGTCCGCCGCGACTTGACAGTTTTAGCCTGTCTGCGTCTCTCTGTTTCCTCACCGGCGAGGTCAGAGAAACATGGAAATAGCATGGAAACTTGAGAGAGATGTCTAGAGATGAGGAGGACGCAGAGAAGTCCTGTTCTTTCCAGAACGAAATATATTTTTGATTTTTTTCTCTATTCTCTCTGTGCTGCTTATAGTTACTACCAGAGGTGCTGATAAACGGGCCGAACCGGGATGTCCGAACCAAAAAACGGACTATACTCTTTTTTCCAGTCCCCGAGCCATCGTTTCGAAAGAATAATCAGGGAAAACCTGGCCATTTTTTTTTCTGAGATGACTCATCCTTACAGAATCTGGCCGAGCAAACAGACTTGATATCATTGGAAGTTGGTGGGGCGGGGGGCGGCGAGAATAAAGAGAGGAAAAAAAGGGAACAGCTCAGAGAAGCCTCTGAGTCTCTGCCCAAAAGGCCACGCCCACATTTCGAATATGACACATTGGGACGGTCCCCCGCTGATAACGTTCCAACGCTTAAGAGCGACGCCTTCGAGGTGTTCACGCCATATTTCTGATCGGTTTATCTGTTTTTCTCCCCTTCGAAACGTCCGGTGAGTTAAAAACTTTGAAAAAAACGTCCAGGTTAATTTTTCGAGTAGTTTCAAAAATCTTTTGAATAGATATATCTAATCAAATTTATCTGGCAAGGGATCATCAGGAAAAAGCCCTTTTCAGGTCCTTCTGAACCTTTTGAAGCCCTACAAAGAAACTTTTCCCTGAAAATTCCTCAGAATATTTCTTTATTTAGTAGTTAAAAATCCAGGAAGTTTCAACCTCCAGAACTTCCTGATTTTTGAAAATTAAGAGCTCAAACTCAGCTTATTTATTTTTTCACAGAGGAAAATTGTAGTAAACGGAGGAATTTTGAAGATTTCCTTTCTGAAAAATTAGGAAATTCTGAATTTTTGAATTTTGTTTAACCTGAAAATCTAACGAAATTTATCTGACAAAACAAATTTGATGATTTTCATCAGGAAAAAGCCATTTTCAGGTCCTTCTGAACCCTTTGAAGCCCTACAAAGAAACTTTTCCCTGAAAATTGGTCAGAATATTCTTTGTGTAGTAGTTAAAAATCCAGGAAGTCTCAACCTCCAGAACTTCCTGATTTTTGAACAATTGGAGCTAAATCTCAGCTTATTCATTTTTTACAGAGGAAAATTGTACCTCGAAACCTCGAAAAGGATCCTCGGAAAAATTTAGAAAATACTAAAAAATTCTCCATCAAGCTACTTTTTTCACCCTTTTCAAAGCTCCTTGAAGAAAATTTTGAAATGTTTCATTAGTCCCTCTTCAAGCGTTTTCAAAGGACCTTTCAGGTCATACAATTTTCCTGCACCTTCACAAATTCTAGCAAAAAAAATTTTTATACAGATTTTAGTGCGATCCACGTGAGGCGGTCTTATTTGAACAAAAAAAGTAAAATTTCGAAATAAACGCTTTTTTTCAAAACGCTTCAAAAACTGCGAGAAAACGGTCTCAAAGCGAAATTTTTCCCAGAAAAAAAAGCTTGAAAATGCGTAAATTATCCCATACGCACTACTTCAAAACATAAAGTTAAGCATTTTTGCGAAAAAGTGCAAATTTTTGAAACGCACGACAAAGAAGATAGATTAAAATTCCCACTTAAAATTTTTTGCGTTTTTCACTGTTAAAAAAATGACGTCATCAAAAAGCCGACTAGACTATTTTTCTCTGCGAAGAACAAACAGTCTTCGCGATTTTCCGGCAGAAAAACAACTGATGAACTTTTATTTTTCTCTTTTTTATGGACCCGTGGGGGGGGGGAAGTTACTTTGAGGTTAGGAATTTTCTAAAAATCGGCTAGAACACTCCTTGATGTACCAGAAGAAGGTTCTGGAAGTCTCAACTTGCAAAAATTGCTAGTTTTTGAGAAAGGTCACCTTGAAGTCGAAAAAAAACACTAAAAATACATAAAAAAATAGGCTATTTTGAGGCTTTGAGCCCTTATTTCTCGAAAACTAGAAAAATTTTTGAAGGTTGCTACTTCTAGAATTTTCTTCTGGTAGATCAAGGAGAGTTTCAGAAAAATCCCCAGCACAAAAAATGACCTACCTTATTAGGAAATGATTCACAAATCAATAAAATGATGACTAGAAAATTTTCAAATACAAAATCCCTTTGTTTAGGGCGTCATTTGTTATCAATCGGAAAATGATAAAATGATAAATCCTTCCCTTCAACAAAGATGTTTCATTGATAACGAAAAATGATGTCTTTTTTCTCCGGTTCGAATTCAAAACCGTGCGATTCGGGACAATTTTCCCATCCCAAGCCCATAAAAACCTCGCGTTTTATGACGGGCCCGCGAAATTCAACATCTTCGACCAAAAATAGCTCCTCCCAAAAGTTCCCTTTACAATTCTGTCGGAGCAAACGATTTCATGAAGATCCGTTTGTACGATTAGAATTGCGATGGGCGCTTTTTGGCATTTTTGAACAGTTTCCAGGTGAGTTCGAGGGGAAGAAATTGAAAAATTTTGAAAAAAATGACGGAACTGGGAAAACTTCTAGTGGCCACTACAGGGCTTTGACGTTTTAAAGGCCACTATAATAGTCAAAATAGTGGCCACTCAAGGGGTTAAAAATTAGTGGCCACTATAGGGTTTTGATAAAGGGTTTCGACGTTTTAAAAGCCACTATAGTAGTCAAATTAGTAGCCACTTAAGAGGTTGATAATTAGTGGCCACTATAGAGGTCTAAGGGCTACTACTAGACCACTTAGTGGCCACTTTAGGGGTCAATGGATCAACATAACTGGTCCAATCTGTTTGTTTTAAAATTATCAGAGTTACTGGAAGGAATACGGGATGAGAAACTATTGAAGGGGCCGCTCTAGAGGTGGGTTTAGTGGCCACTTTAGTGTCCTCTCCAAGTAGTCCTCGGCGAGCCTCTATAGTGGCCACTAAAAATGTCCCCAGGAAACACGTGGCAATGTCTACGTTTCCACGTATTCACCTTCATTTTATTTTTATTTTTTCGTGTCAAGACCCTTTTTCCGTTTTTTTTTTGTTTCCGATCAGAAAAAGCTTCCGAATTAATCCAATAAATATCTAAATTCAAAAAATCTCCTAAAATTCACTTAAAATCTTGATAATACCATAGAAATCTGAAAAATCGAAAAAAAGGGACAAAATAGTGTTCCCTATAGGGGTAAAATTGAGGTGGTCCCTATAGGGGTTAAGGGCATCTCCTAAAGCTCAAGTGACCCCTAGGGTTCTTTCAACGTTTGTTCCAACTTGAAGACTTATAAATGCCACTACCTCCCCTAAAGTGGCTACTTTGGTAAACAACAACTGAAAAATTGCACAAAAAAGGTTTTCCAATGGAAACTGTGCCTTGAAACTTATGATTTTCTACAAAAATCCAACAAAAATACCTATAAAAGGCCTTGTTCTTGCTGATAAACTCTTCGCCTTGTTCTCGAACCCACATGCCGGGCACGGGAGCGACGCGTTTCGTTTTGATCTGAAATTTTCAAAATTTTGGAATCAAAAAGAGAAAATCTGAAGTTTGTAACGTTTGAAGGTACAGAAAAACTCGAAAAAGAACCTGGAAGGGCCGGAAATAAGCGACGGCGCTGTACTGGCTCTCATCGTCGTCGTGCCGGGAAACGTCCGCACTCTATGAATAAAATTTGTGATTTAAACATCTGGCCAATAAAAAAGGCACATGACAAAATAGCCTTTGTGGTGTGAACCATAAAAAAGGCGTTGAAAAAAAGAGCACAGAGAGAAAAAAAAAGGCAGGCTATCTTTTCCGGTGAAAGTGCGCTTCACGGACAACTCAAGAAAAATGGGATAAAGCATTGGAAAATTCAGAAATTGGAGGCGCACTAGTCTAAGGAAAGTGTGCTTCACGGACAACTTAAGATAAAATGGAATAAAGAATTTTTAAATTTTTGAATTCGAGGCGCTCTTGTCCAGTGAAATCGTGCTCCACGGACACTTCATTAAAAAAAAATAATAATTAAAAAAATTGGAAATTGGAGGCGTTTTTGACCAGTGGGAGTGCGCTCCAAGGAAAATCCACAAAAAAAAGAAAAACTTGGAAATTGAAGGCGCTTTTGTCCAATGAAAGGGCGCTCCACGGATACTTCATAGGAAAAAGAAAAATTCGAAAAATTGGAAATTGGAGGCGCTTTTGTCCAGTGAAAGTGCGCTCCACGGAAATTCCATTAAAGGGAAATCAAAATTTGGAAATTTGAGACGTTCTTGTACGGAGAAAGTGCGCTCCAATGGTATTCCACATAAAAAAAAATTTTCTCGGGATTGAAAATTTCTGAAAAGTTAAACATTACCCAGTTAGCCTTGGAGCACACTTTCTACTATCCTAGATATTTTTAACGCCCTGTTTTTTTCTAAGGCCACACGAGCTATTTTGTCAAAAAAATTTAAAGAAAAAAAAAAAAATAGAAAAGAAAAAGAAAGAAAAGGATAGAAGCAAACCTCATCGCTAAAGGACACATCAGGCACGTCCTCTTCTACTGGGTTAAACTGCAAAAAAATCTCTTTCTATATTAGGTTTTTCTAAATTTCATTGTACTACTTTGATAGAGCATGCTTTTTTCTGAGACAAAGGAGAAATACCGCGGAAAAAAAAATCGCTTTTATAGTCGATGTGCCACAAGTTGAAATTTCATGGAACGATACTCCGCTCGGTGGCCTTGTGGCCGTGAAGAATCAATGCCTTTGCGGATCTCGGTCACGCTTTCCCATTATATAATTTGCCGTTTTCAAATACATTTTCTTCGATAATTCTTAAGTTTTATGAACTTTTTGAGATTTGTGCGGTAGCGCGCATCTTGCGAATTTGCCAACCTCGACCACGCTAACTTTTATTTGTTTTAATTCTAATTTTGGTCGTTTTTTAATTGTTTTATCTCTTTAAAATGTATTATTATCGTTGAAAAAGTGTATGTTTTGATTTTTTCATCGTTTTTATCTGTTTTTTGCAGTGGTTAATGGATTTTTTTTCAGAAAGTGAGTGAAATGAAGACGTGTACGCAATATGAAATAGAGAGATCGGTTTCAGTCAACATAAGGTTTTTCACTGCTTATTTATCCCCTGGTTAAATTATTGGCATTCCGAAAAACTTTATTCGTCCATTGCACTGCCAAAAAGTTCATAAAACTAAAGAATTATCGAATTTTGAAAACGGCAAACTATAAAATGGGAAAGCGTGACCGAGATCCGCAAAGGCATTGATTCTTCACGGCCACAAGGCCACCGAGCGGAGTGTCGTTCCATGAAAGACACTCCTGGCACATCGAGTATAGCGAGTAAAAAAAAAAATTACTCCTGAACCATCTTTTTAACTCATTCATGACTGTTTTTCTTCATTTTAAAATTATTTTTGACCTTTTTTTTCGATAAATAATGAGATCAAATACCTATTTTCAAATTAAAATATTAAAAATGTTTTTGAACGTTGATAAAAAGATAAAAAACTAGAACAGACTATAAAATAGAAATTGAATTTTTTTTTAATCCATAAAATTCTGTACCCGGTAGTGCGAATTGTATTTGTAACATTATACAAATTAGAAAAAAAGCTCTATTTTTGAAGCATCTATCTAAAAAAAGCAGCACAAACATGCTCATGCTTTGAAATTGAGTCTTGAAAAAAAAAAAAAGAATTTTGAAACCTTCAAGCTGGTCTTCGACTCGCTCTTCGGCAACCCCCGCACCTCCACAAGTGATGGGCTTTCTGGAAATAGTTTTTTTCATTTTTTGACTTGTCAGGTTCATTAAAGAACAAAATGGTAAGGTGAAGCTTAACCAATTGTTCGAAAATGACAAATATCAGATCTTATCTTTAAAAATTAGACTTTTGAACAAATTTTCATAGAAACTATCATTGAAACGCACAAAAATAATGCCAAATTCGCATTTAAGTTTTTCAAATATCTCACCTTTTGAATTGTTAAATTATAAATTTTTTGACTTCTTTGGAACCAATTTAAACGAAAATACTTCCTGATACATCCAAAACTTTTTGGTACACTGTAAAAACTCGTTTCGGACAGTTTTGCAATGAAAAAAAATAATAAGTTTGAGCAAAAAAATTTTTTTTTCAGATTCAATTTTTTTGAGCTTGAAATTGCGTAGGAATCTGACATGTGGACGGTTTTTTTAAGTTTCAAAAAAAAATCGAAAATTGGCGGTCCCGTGGTATTTTGACAAAAAAATTTAGTTCAAATATTCTCAATAGAGCAAAAAAATGGGCATATTTATGAGCAAATAATTATTAACAAGAGTTCAAAGCTTTTTTTCTAAAAAAAGATGGAAAAAAATTGAGAAAAAAACCGAATAAATGGACGTAATTTTTCAAAAAAACCACGAAAAAAATACCCAAAAAAACTTGTACGAAAAAAATTTTTTTCGGAAGAAAATCTGAATTTTCCTTAAACAAGTACCCAAAAAAACTAACTGATGATCTGATTCTTCATGACTCCATTCTTGGAGCTGCTTCTGGACAACGACGGCGCCAAGGGAGACGTCGCACAAGATTGGAATCCTTCGCTTTCTGCCGTTAATTGGAGCATCAGTTGGTTGAGTTCTGAAAATAAAACATTATTTTTCAAAAAAATGTGGAAAAATACCGTTGATGGCGCTTGGAACGGCCGCTGGGGTTCTGAAAAAGTTCAATTTCAGACTTTTAAAAATCAATAAATCAATAAACTTTTTTTGATAATTTTTTACACGGTTTGAAACCCCCTTTAACCGGAAAAAATAGCTTCTTCAAAAAATCTTTCAGCGCGCCCGACTAGAAGCTACTTGCGCCCAACGGCATCATATAGCAAAGTCGCTTCAAGTCGGGCGCAGTTGACAGAAAGAAAAATCAAAAAAAGGCAAAATTCCGGAGATTTTTCCAACGTTGTATGGCCTTCCAAGAGGTAGAAAATTGTTTAAAACTTGATTTTTTTTAGAAAATTCAACTCACGTCGCCTTGTTTCCGTCTTCTTGACCGGTTTCATACATTGACGATTGCATCGATTTGACCTTTAAATAAAAATATTCGAATCTCAAAAAAACAGGCTCTATTTATTTGAAAAATTAAATAATAACTGAATGAAAATGATTAGAAGGAAACTTTCTCATATGTTCAAGAAATAAGCTTAAGCGACTCTCCCCCATAATTTGCTTATTTTTGCGGACTTTGAAGCTCATGGCTCGAATAAAAAAATCTGTTATAAGAATTTTTTTTCTTCTTCTGCAGGGGGTCCTAAAGTACACTACAGCGAAGTTTCATCAAGAAAAAAACTAGGGGGGATATTCAAAAAAAGTTCTAAATTGAACTTGACAGAAAAAAATAAAGATCTCAAAACACGGAATTATGTTCAAAAATTGCTCCGAAATGTCCCTGATTTTCGTTGCATTTTTTTCATGTGTTTTAACTTTTTTTCATGGGAGAGCGTTAAAAAAAATTTAATTTTTTTAAGTGTAATGATCACATCACTCTAGAAAAATGAGGGGAATTAATAAATAGTAAATTTGGAACGTTGTAGTCGTGTAACAAACGAAATATTTATTTCTCGTTGAAAAATATATTTTTTTAAAGAAGACAAGTTTTAGTTTGAAATATTCAGAAAAAAAAAAAAATGAATCAAACGTTTTTTTCTTCTTTAAGATTTATGAATATTTGATTGATTTTTTTCTCCAGGTAAATATAGTCTAAGCATAAAGATTAAAAAAAGTTTTTTTCTCCAGGTAAATATAGTCTAAGCATAAAGATTAAAAAAGTAAAAAAAATGTTACAATTGAAAAGAATACCTCAATTTATGAAAAATAAATGAATTAAAACGCCCAAATTTTTTTTCCCGATCCAGAGATACTTAGAAACGGCAGAGTGGCCCCTAGAGGGCAACCTTGAAGGCTCCCCTCTAGGGACCTCTTTACCTCTTTTTTTTATGGGCAAAAGTTGGCTCTACAAGGGCTGTTTGTCTCAAAATCCCTATAGGGGCCACTCTGGAGCTCCTCAGTATCTAACAAAAAAGTCTAATCGTCAAAAATATCCGCTTAAAACCAACACCACCGACGGGCCCATCACTCTCCGCCGTCTTCAGATTTTTTTTCTCGGAGAAAAAAAAGTTTAAGGTGCAGAGAGGAGCCAGAAATTTACGAGTTGTAATGTTGGTTTCGGGGCAAAGTGTGCGGACGGCTGAACGTTGGTCAATCAAAAGGCTCATTAAAAGTTTGGATAAATAATTTAGCGTTTGCGGTCAGATTCTTCTCAATAAATTGGTTTTTTTCTTGGAGTTCAATATAATTTTTCTAAAAAAGTATACAAAGCCGGAGGGACCCTTTACGGACCCTTCAAGGGACCATTATGGGTGCAAAAAGGTCCATTAACTGTTCCTAAACGGGCGGCAACGGTTCCCTTTTTACAGCCTTTTTGCACCCTTTCATCGGCCTTTATGCTCCCTTTTTGGACCCTTTTGAAAATCACTGAATTTTTCAAATTGAGAATAATCTTTACCAGATCCTGTGTATGAACCAAAATGTGCTACAGTTATAAAATCGGAATCAATGGCCGAGAAAAATGGCTCAGAAAAGGCCGCACAACGGAACCCTTTTAGCAGCCATTTTGCACCCGTTTTCCGCACTTAGGCAGTGAAACGATACCTGGAGAGGGTCCGGTGCCGTCGACGTTTTCGGAGTTGCTGGGGGCGTGGCTGAAAATAAATAGTTTAAGATGGTTAAGCCATGAGGTTCAAAAAAAAAAAATCCAACAGCGCAAAAATTAAAAAAGATCGAAAATTTCAAATAGTTTGTTAAAATTCCGTTATAACGACCAACAATAATGCCATCTAGTTCATAATAAATTGCTTTTCCGAACCGGATCAAGAGAAAAGTTTGAAAAGAAGCTTCAAACGGTTTCGTTTCTCTGCGTCTTCTTCTCCCTCGTCATTTTATAAGGTTGGCTGGTTAGAAGTAAACGTTTGTATTTAGTTTTTTCTAATAAAAAGAATTATAAAGATAGATAAACCATTTATCCAAAAAAGAACTATCCATTCACATTTATGAACTATTTCTATGCATGCAAAGATAAATGTCCTCTTCAACTCTCTCAAACAAATAAAAATCGATAAAAACGAATGTCATTTCAACCAGACCATCCAAAAATTATCCGCCTTTGTTTGGGGTCCGTGATTTTTCCACTGACAGTGTTTTTGAACTACTTGGCTGGGATCGAACTTGTGACCACTTGGGCCGTAGACCGGCACACAACCTATTGCGCTAAGCGCACCCCTCCAATATTACTTAGGAATTCCAGAGTGGTTCCTATAGGGGTGAGAGGGGGGAAACCTCAATAGGGGTCGAAAAAGTGGTCCCTATAGGCTATAGGGGTTTGGAGTCTGACCCCTTAGAATTCCAGAGTGGTCCCTATAGGGGTTTAGGGGAGAAACAACCCTAAGTGGTCCCTATAGGGTTCTAGAGTCTAACCCTTAGCCCCTAAAGCTCAAGTGGTCCCTATAGGGGTCTCTCAAATTCATTCAAAATTTTCATTTTTTGCCATGGAAATGCTTCATCGCTCAGAGTTCATAACAATGATCGACTGATATGTCTCTATAGGGGCCACTTTCGCAAGCTTTAGGGACCCCTATAGGGGCTTGGTAAAGCGGTCCCTAGAGAGGACCCTTCAAAATACTGCGCTCTTTTCCATACCGGTGTCATTGAGGTCGCTCTTCCTCCGCTTCTTCCTCCGTTTCGACGCCGACCGACTGTGTGTGACGTCTTCTCCTTCCGAGGAGCTCTCCTGCTGACTCCGCTGCCGCGAGTTCCGTCTGGCCGCTTCAAATTCGCTATTAACTTCTCCAAAAGCCCCCCTTCAAACTTCTTTCGCGACTGCTCCGGTGCTTCTTGCGTTCAGCGTCGCGTTCGCGGCTCGATTCGCGTATCGAGGGATTTTTCGGTGGTTGCGAAATGGCGTTGAACTGGCGATTCTGCATGAAATAGAGGAAGTAATCCGTTTTTTCTAGTCATGACTCACCTCCTCTCTCAGCGACTCACGGCTCGAGTTTCTTTGAGACAGCGGGGATATTGACCTGATAATATGAATTTAAAGGAACATCATCATAATGGAAAAATGGTCTAAGGACTTTATCTGCACATTTTAGAGCTTTTTGTCTTATGAATTATTTTATAGTCCATTTTTCACGACTTGAAAGGGTGGGACTTCTCTGCGCCCTTCTCTTCCCTCAGCGACTCTCTCATGTTTACGTGCTATTTCCATGTTTCCCTGACCTCGCCGGTGAGGGAAAAAGAGACGCAGACACGCGAAAACTGTCAAGTCGCGGCATATGGACTATATTAAATTTGCTTTAAAGTCTTCAATTTTTATCAAAAAAGGCAGAAAGACAGAGTGAAATCAACAAAAAAGGTCAAAATTTTGGCCGAAAACCTCAAAATTCCATCCTCAAAGAAAGCTGTCGCGATGAGCAGTTCAATGAAAACACCAGAAAAAATAAAAATCGCAAGAAAATGAAAATACCTGGAAACCGGTTCCGGGGGCTTGGAAACGGTTGAAGTGGACGGCGTTCTGAAGACACTGCTGCCAGATCGGACCGGCGAGTAGCTTCTGCTAATAAGAGCGTTGGAAAAAGAAGACCTCATAAAGAAGGTAATTTCAAAGTCTCAAACTTCACAACTTCAAAAAAATACAAGTCAAAGTCAAAAAAATGTGTAAAACCACTGATTTTGAGCCCTCGCTTTTCAAAAAATGGGAATCGGTTCAGATTCAACTTTCATATTTTTAATACATTTATAGAAGTACGGAATTCTTTCAGCCCGGGAAGAGAGATTGGCTTACAACACAGCTCTTATTAACTTTACTTACTGGAAAAATTTTTAGTGGCCACTGTAGAGGCTCGCCTAGGATTACTTGGAGAGGACACTAAAGTGGCCACTATTTTCTGTTTTAGTGGCCCCTTTAGTAGTTTTTCATATAGCATTCCTTCCAGTAACTCTGATGATTTTAAAACAAACAGATTGGACCAGTTATGTTGATCCATTGACCCCTAAAGTGGCCCCTAAAATTTTTGTGGTCTAGTAGTAGCACTTAGACCTCTATAGTGGCCACTAGTTTTTAACCCCTTAAGTGGCCACTAATTTGACTACTATAGTGACCACTAAAACTTCAAAAGCCTATACCCCTAAAAATTTTCCCAGTAAGGAAAACTTGGGAGGAGGGGTCGGCGGCCTTAAAAATGGTCTACCCATGTTTTTCTGTAAGCCAATCCTACTCATGATTTAATTTACATTCTTCAGGTGCCCAAAACGAAAAAGAACCTGGACATGTAGGAGCTGCGGATCGGGGGGTCGTCGCGTCTGTAGGAAGTCGCCGGCGTGGCGGACGTCGTGAACCGACTCGCCGGAGTGTAGGCCGCGCTCTCCGCCGAACTCTGCCGCGACCGATACTAAACACCTTGCCGTCCACACATGTTGCCAATCGTCGGACGCAGTTTCGCGCCGTCTTTCGGTGAGAAAGTATTATGATTGGTTATAGGAGTCGCTTCACCGCTGGCTTTTTTTAAAATTCCGCTAAAAATGGTCTTGAAACGAAAAAGATGTCAGTTTTGAAAAGCTCGCGGTGATTTGAGTAACATTAGTTTCAAGCAAACGTTAAGCTTTTAAAAATGCGGTTGAAAACTCCAATTCAGTTGCGCTCCATTGAGAAAACTCCTAATTAACAACTTTTTCAAACTATTTATCCATAGTAGGTACTTAAGATCGCCAGAGTAATCCCTATAGGGGTTAGGGGAGAAACAAATCCTAAAGAGAGGCGAAGGGGTAAAATTAAGGTGGTCCCTATAGGGATACAGAATCTAACCTCCAGGTCCGTAAGTGTTCCCTATAGGAGTAAAAAGTCTAATCTCTATGGCTCTCAAGCTTAAGTGGTCACTATAGGGGTACAGAGTCTACCTTTTCGGTCCCTCAAGCTCAAGTGATCCCTACAGGGCCTACTTTTTGAGTATTCTAATAAAATTTTTTTTTCTCATAGAACTATAACAATAGTCGACTGGCATGTCCTCTATGGGGGCCACTTTTGCAAGCTTTAGTGGCCCCTATAGGGTTTTTTTTCAAGCCCCCTAAGGTAACCCCTATAGGGACCACTCTGGAGTGTCTAGGTAGTTTTGTCTTTTGTTAATTTCCTAATTTTATTCGTTATTATTCGTCCTAACACAGCAAAAAAGTCAACCGGAACGTTTATAAGTCGTTTTAAGTATGAAAAAACTACCGAAACGCATCCGCAAGCGCAGCGGTTGCGTTGCAGTTTCTCATTCCAAAGCAAAAAAAAATGAACGAAACTCGCAAAAAACCTCTCAACTAGAACTGAAACGAACCAGCGCGCTATCACTAGGCAAACACAGTGAGAATTCGTCTTGAGACGCACTCGAACCGCGACGCGACCGCGACGCGGAACGAGCCGCCACGTACGCGGCACTCACTTCATCGCCGAGGGTGGCCCGAATTCGGGACGATTCGGCCATCCGCTGGCGCCAGGGACGCTCCATACGCAGGGTGCTGAGAAAATGGATTTTTCGGGGGGTTACGGTAGTCGGGCGGGTTACTGTGACTGCGGAGTCGGGGAAGCCGCAAGAAGACTCGCTCTTTCGACGGAATAACGAGAAACGGCGGGGACTGCTGACCGGGTCGGGGTCAAGGAGGTCGCCTTACGGTAGGCTGTAAGATTAAAAAATTATAAGGAGTTCTATAGTCTGTGTGCCACGACTTAAAATTTCACGGAACGACATTCCGCTGTTCCGCTGCGTGCGGTCGCGTTGCGTCTTTCGAATCTAGGTCACGCTTTCAATTGATTGTTATTGCTGTGGGAGCACATGAAAGTAGGGTACCTTGATAAAAGAAAAAAATTAAAAGCGCGACCAAGGTTCGCAAAGGCGCGCAGCGGCACAGCGGAATGTCGTTCCGTGAAATTCCAAGTCGTGTTACACAGGCTATATTATCAATTTATCCCGTTCTATAAGGTGAAAAGGGTGACGCGTTGCGTGTGCGACGCGACTTTTTGGCGGGAAACTCAACATCAAACTTGAAATTTTATGAAAAAATGTGTTTTTGTTACATTTTTCCATGATTATTCGTTCAATTAAATCTTTTCAAAACCACAAAAATTGAAAATCTTTTAAAAAACGTCAAAAAAAGACAAAAAAGGTGGCTCGCGTTTGAATCTAATTTTGCCGCCAAAAGCCGCGACGCGTACGCAACGCGTCGCCCTTTCCATCTCGCCTTTAAAATCAAGAAGGATTGACTGTAAAGCTATCTATGTTTATAAAAAGACATCCATTTTTTTATGAAAAAAATAAATTTTCACGCTTTTTTTCATTTTTTTGCTAGAAAAAAATATGACTGAAAACCAGTTTTTTTCAACCTGAACATGGTGCTTTTAAAACGCCTTTTTTTCGTCGGCACAAAAAAAATTGGACTTCTTGACTTGAAAATGTCCTTCTGACAAGAAATAAGTCCAAAAGTTAGAAACATACGAAACGAATCGCTGGACTTGTAGGCCTGGCTCGGAGCCTGAGAAGTGACGCCGATGACGTCACTGTACCGGCTCGACGGCTTGTAGGAGCTCTCGCCTGAAGGAAAGTCATCTTATTTCGACTTCAAAGGCTTCTCGAAGGTTCTAACTAACCAAAGAACAACTAAATCAATCAAAAAGGGGTATTATTTAATCTAATCATGCTTCGACTTACACTAAAAAAGCTGACCAAGGGGAAAATGACCGTTTCTACACTTCAAACACTTCCCGAGAATCCTAACTACCCAGGAACTTCAAAAATTATAAAAAAGTGTTTTTTTCTAGTCTGAGTAACACCGAAAAGACCTAACCAACAGGAAAATCATATTTTTTCGACATCAATCACTTTCCAAAAATTCTAACGATTGTTTGACAATTTAATATATTGAGAAGGGGTGTTTTGACTTACTCATGATCGAGCTAAGAATAAAAAAACAGGCTAAACTGCAATAAAATCGTCTTTTTTATCGCAAAAAACAGGTTAAACTTCAGAAAAATCAACATTTTTGGACTTAAAAATGTTTTTCAAAAGTTCTAACTACCAAAAGGTCTACTAAAACTATTCCTGAGTGGGATTTTTCCTAGTCATGCTTCAAGAAACACCGAAAAAAGGGCTAAAACTGCAAGAAAATCACGTTTTTCAACACTAAAAACAAGTTAAGCTTCAAAAAAATCGTCATGTTTTTCGACTTAAAAATTTTTTTCAACAGTTTTAACTACCAAAAGGGTTACTAAACCAATCACTAAAGGGCATTTCTTCCAATCATGCTCTAACTAAACACTAAAAAACGGCTAAAAACTAGGGCGCAGACCAATTTTGTGAGGCTCAAAGTGCCGCGAGTAGAATGGTGTGTGGGTGACGCCTTCAAAGTTACCTTTTCCAGAAAATAAGCAAAGTCGGAATGGTAGATAAATGGCCGTTAAAAGGCTGCAGAAAGGTCGCAAAAAAGCTGCAGAAAGAGTCCCTTTATCGCACCTTCCATTTTTCTGCGATTTTAAAGGCTTAATAAATGGTCGAAAAAGGGAAAGGCAGCAAAAATGGTGCATAAGGGCCGATAAAATGGCGCAAAAAGGCAGCAAAAAAGGGAGCCTTTCCCACCTTTCCAGACTTTGCTTATGTTCATAAATGATGAAAAAAAAAGTTACCCGTTGTTCTTTCACGGTTCGACCACTTGCTGATCAACTCTCGAGCCTGAAAATGGGAAAGAAAAATTAATTTTAGTTGATTTTTTTGTCGAATATTCAAAAGTTGCATTCTAGAAGGTCCTTTTTTCGTATTGGAGTCATTTTTTTCGGATAAATTTTCAAAATTTGAAGTTTTAGTAAGTATTCAGGTTATTTTTACTTGGAAAATGTTTAGTGGTCACTATAGGGGCTCCGCAAGGACTTCAAGAAGAGGACACTAAAGTGGCTACTAAACGCACCTCTATAGTGGCCACTATTTTCCGTTTCAGTGGCCACTTCAGTAGTTTTTCATCCAGTATTTCTTCCAGTAACTCTGATAATTTCCAAACAAACTGTATAGTTATGTTGATCCATTGACCCCTAAAGTGGCCACTAATTTTTAACCCCTATAGTGGCCACTAAAACGTCAAAACCCTATAGAGGCCACTAAAAATGTTCCCAGTTTGTTTCAAAAACCTCGTTTCGGTAGCGATCCTTGGCCGCCGCAGAAGCTGAGTCGAACCGCGACGCGCGCGACATTACTGACGGGCCGACGCTGAAAAAAGTTCTGAAAAACTGTCAAAACGACCAAAACTAAAAAATGTACTGTTTTGGAACACATTTGAAGCTCTGGAACAATTTTAATGTCTTCAAACATGTCCCTTTTTCCAATATCGCGAAAAAATCGACAAACCTGGCTACATCGGCTGCGTTTTTAGCTGCAGAACTGAGCGGCGTTGAGGTATACCTAGTAATTTTACTATTAACTTCTCTTCAAAAATGTTGATTTTTATTTTATTGGAATACAATTTGAATCTCTCAAAACGTTATAAGGAAGGATGGTAAAAAAAGAACGACAAAATCAAAAAAAAAAGTCAAAAAAAAAAATTCAGATAACTAGTGCGCTCCAAGGATAATAGAAAAGTGATCAGTGAAGGGCCCACTCACATTTTTGTGTTTTTTCATGCCGTGTTCAAAGTAATTTCCGCGAAATGCAAAATACCCGTTAGAGAAAGGAAAAGATCACTAAATTTTGGAGAGTCAGAGATCATTTTGCATTTCGCGGAAATTACTTTGAACACGGCATCATATTTTCTATAAAACTTCGGGGAAAACTTTAGTGGCCACTAGAGAGGTTTCTTGAGGGTTACTTAAAGAGGACACTAAAGTGGTCACTAAACCCACCTATATAGTGGTCACTATTTTCCGTTTTAGTGGCCACTTCAGTAGTTTTTCATCCAGTATTCAATCCAGTAACTCTGATAATTTTGAAACATACATATTGGACCATCTAAGTATCTAAGTAAGTAAGACTTTTAACCCCTTAAGTGGCCACTAATTTGACTACTATAGTGGCCCTAAAAATTTTTCCGGCTTGGTAAGCCTTGGAGAGCACGTTTTTCAGGGTTTTTAAATGATCAAAAAAAACTTTCTTCACGTTACTTGGAACTGTCTGGCTTGTCTGTGCACTCTTTTTTCTCACAGTGATGAAAGAATGAAGAAGGAGATAAGTCTGTTGAGAGATCAGGAGGGTACAGACAGGTCAGATTGATTCCTAACAAGGCGCACACATGAGAACCGAAATCTCTTCTTTCAGTGGTGGTATAATATTAGAGATTGAGAGGGTACAGACAAGTCAGATTGTTCAAAAAATGACAAAAAAAAAATCTCACTTGGCCGCCACTCCACGAGCAGCTGGCGATAAGGAGTACGAGCTTTTGTTCTCGAATCTGGACGCCAAATTGGCCCGATAACTCGTCGAAGGCTTGTTCCAGCGCACCGAGTTCCAGCTAAAATCAGGTTTGAGAAATTTTTTTTAGATCAAGATTTTCCTCTTCAACCAATGAGCAATCTACACACGCTCCCCAAGATTTTCGATTCAAAACAAGAGAGTTTTTAGTTTGGTCACAAAATAGTCAATGTTTCCCGACTTGAAAGGCGAAGGAGGCGGGGCAAGGGGCGGGACGCGTAGCGTGCGCGTTCGCGGTTCTTGGAACGTGTTCAATTCAACCGCCATCTACTCTTTGAAAAACCCGTTTTTCGCTTTTTTCATTCCTTTTTCAATTATTTATTGATTATGTTCATGTGTGCATCAGAAAATAGTAGAAAGCATTGAAAAAGAGCGGTGGCCGAGCTTTTTAAATAGTCGGCGACATTTTAATTGAACTCGTGCCTAGAACCGCGAACGCACACGCTACGCGTCCCGCCCCTTGCCCCGCCTCCTTCGCCTTTCAAGTCGGTAAATATTGACTATACATAGAAAAAGGTTCAAAAAAAGTAATAAATAAGACTGAGACTGGCTCCGCCCTTTTTTTAGGTTACGGTAGCGAAAAATATTGGAAAAAAATCTAACCTTTTCAGTGGAATGAAACCTATTCGGTGAAAAACACCCTTTATGATAAAAAAATTTATTACCCCGCTACCGCCCCCACCCCCAATTTTGGGATAAAGTGACCTATTCTGGGGAGCGGTTTCAAAAAAACTACAGAGTTTATTGAAAATTTAAGCAGATTTTTAGAATCTTAACCAAAATCCTATGTTGGCGGACCGAAAGAAAAACACAAAATGGGTCTTGAAGGGAAGTACGGTCCGGTTTAATTTAAGTTATACAGTATTTTTAAACAGGATGTATAAAAAATAAAACCAAGGGTCAAGATGACACGAAATGGGCTGAATCAATGAGACCAGGGCGCCTGCGGGCGCACCCGGGCGAGGACGTCCCGCAACGCGAAAAAACCGTTTTTTCTCTTTTTCACTCATTTTGTGCATTTTCAACCGTCAGAGGCAAGTCGGAAGGGTACCAAAATGCTTCCACAAAGATACCTCTCAAAATGGGTCGAGAAAAATATGTCCATCGTGAGACCTCCGCATACCTTTGAGCTCTATCTGAGCCATCTTGGAGGTACTGCAGAGTCTCCCTCAAGTCCAGAGAAATTCCCCCGACTCCCCCCGCCCTCCAGACTACCATTTTTTTGAACCCATTACTGCGGGGGAACACTCTTCTTCTATTTCTTCATACTCGAGGTACCAACAGAGGGTATAGCTGATTCACGGCTGGCTTGAGCCGTCGAAAAAGGGTCCTGACACGAAAAGGGACGAGACAGTGCCCTGGATTGTGGAGAGTGCAGACAGACCACGCCTTTTTGCGTCCCAAGCTAGCCGTCAATCGTCTATATCACTTTGAGCCCCCGAAGACGGTTTTTTAGTACCTATCCTTCACGCTTTCAACTTTGGAGTTCAAATCTTTTTTCCTCACCTAGTTCCGATGGTCGACGGCTCAATATTGGAGGTGACCGAATTCTGATAACTCGAGGTCAAAGACGTCGGCGTCGTCCTCCCGGTGGTTCCCGTAGAAGACCATCTTCATCAAATTCTCCATATTTATAGTAGATTCCAAGACAAAAACCTTTTCTGATACGGGTTGCCCGACATTCCAGCAGTTGGTTAAGTTAATGATAAATATTTACTACTAATCAACTAATATAGGATAATATATCAAGCGGAGAGCTTGGTCCGAAGAAGCTGGCCGCGTTTTCAGATGACGACGACGCTTTCTCCAGCGAGGACGGCTCTGAAAAATCGATTTTTTAAATTGAAGATTATTTACTTTATTGTTCATCTCACTCAAACACAAAAATAAAAATTAAAGAAAAAAAATTATTTGAATGAAGTGGATCCCGATAGGTTATCATTATGTCTTCTAACAAGGAAGGGCATTTACTCATGCAAAGTCGGAATGGTGGATGATGGCCGCTAAAATGGAGAGGCTCCAAAAAGGCCGCAGAAAGGCAACAAAGAGGCAGCAAAAAGGGTCCCTTTACCGAGCCTTTCATTTTTTTGGGATTTCAAAGGCTCGAGAAAGGGAGCGGCAGCAAAAATGGTGCACAAGGGCTGAGAAAATGGCGTAAAAAAGCAGCAAAAAAGGGAGCCTTCATCACCCTAAAAGGAAAATTTCTATGGAGCCTTTCAGCCGCCTTTATGACCCTTGGAGGGTCCTTCCGACTTTGCCTATGTAATTTGTATTTGGGAAATTCTCAGAACTGGCCAACATTTTTCTCGGTGAGGTGATTCTGAAAGTTTCAGCCTGCACAACTTCCTCGTTTTTGAAAAAGGTCACCCAAAACTCAAAGAAGAGCCTCAAAAACCGTTGAAACAGGCCTTCTAAGCCGTTATTTCTCAAAAACTAGGAATTTATAAAGCCTACAGGTTGAGAATCCCTTAATCTTTACTTTGTGCCTCCAGAAATATTCTGGCCGGATTCCGAAAAAGTCCCAAGCGTAACTAAAATGACCATACTTGTAAGTTTGGAAATGGAAGGAACTTTTAAAATAAAATTCCAGAAAACCTGGTGAGTTTGAGTTCTTTCAAAGTAGGTGTTTTTCAGAGATTGAGAGTTTTTAGTTTTAGATGTCATGCTCCTATATCTCAAGTCTGTCGGAAACAGTTTAGAAAATCAGACTTTTAAATTTTTGATACCCAAAGAAATTCGTACATACAAGACGTTCGAAACTTATAAACTCACGAAAAAATTGATAAAAAATCAATTATAAGAACCGAACCGACCAATATTTAGAGGGAGACTTGAAAAAATAAAAAGAGGGTCGTGTAACGAGGGAAAATGTACCATTACAGTCATTCTCACAAAATGGTTAGAAGAGAAAAAAAAAAATTTAAAATGGATCAAACACCTAAAAAAAGGAGTTTTTCTTTGGAATCCAAAACCATTTCAAAAAATCTAATTTTCAGATAAATGTTTTATATATATGTAGAAAAATATGAGTCAGAAATTAATTGTGAAAGAAGGAAGATAAGTTGATAGTTATAAAAGAGCAAAAGCCTTGAAAAACTACTTCGCTTCGGGACCTTTTTGAAAGTACACCATGCTCCTTTAATTTTTTGAAAATAAGTCACGAGCCAAATCTTCACGATTCTACATGAAATCCAGAAACAATCAAAATCAATTGATTACAATGTCATTCGCGGAATGACGCGGAATCCTCAAAAAATCGTTAAATCGCTCCCGTGAGCAAAAACATGAGCCCGGCGTGGACACATGTTGCGCTCCGACGCGTAAACCCACGAACGAATGGCCTCTCGGACCAAAAATCTTCAGGAAAAGATTTTCTCCGGATAAAATCAATCAATACAGGAGAAAATAGACCGACGAAAAGGAAAATTGATGGAAATCGATGCAAAATTCGAATTTTTTGAGCTCAAAATTCATTGAACGGAATTTTTTTCAACTCTCCACGATTTTAAATGATATTACTACTCGAAAATCATCCGTTTTTCCTGATTTACTAGTTTATTTCACTCAAACACGAACCATTCTTGACTTATAGCTTTCAAGCCGTTGAAAATCCAGAAGGAAAAAATTATTGGAAAGGTTTTTTTTTTTGAAGAGGAAAAGGAAATAAGACGCAAAAAAATAAATATTTACAAGGCATTTTAGACTTTGCCCGTGTTCGAAATGAATTGAATCAAATGAAAAATTCAAACTTTTCGAAAAAAAATTTGCTATTAAAACCGCGTATCTGAAGCGAAAGGAACTTGAAAAAAATCAGCGTTCTTTTTTTTTCAGCGACTTCTCTATCATTGTCAAGCTCATTTTGACGTTACTGTGACAAGAAACTCAAAGCTTTCACAACAGCAGGGAAAAGAAGCATTGAAACTTTTTTTTTCTCTTTTTTTAAAGTAAATTATTGAATATTCAATGGACAGACTTGTACACAGCGAAACAGAAAATGAGGCATTTTTAAGAGCCTAATATTAAAAAATGAGTCTAGGCTGAGTTTGTACGTGATAGGAAACACTAAAAGTAAATAAAATGAATGAAAAGCGTATGTGGTTTTACGAGGGCGTGCATGCGGACGGAACACATTTGCGCGTCAAAAAATGTTTTTTTTTTTCTTGCTTTTTTTAAATTTTGAAACTGTTTTTGTTAGTTTGAATCAGTTTTTTTTCATGATTGAATTATTGAAAGTGAATTAAAAATTAAGAAAAAAATAACCTCTCTTCGTGAAGTTCGGTAAAAAAACCGATGAGAAACAGGACAGTAATAGCGAAGGAATTCGCCAATGTTTTTTTTTTTTCTAAGAAGAGAGCTTTTCGAGCTTTTCTTCCCCTCTGACAATCTCTAACCAAGATAAACAAGTCATCGAGTGGCGGTACAAGAGAGGATCCCTTTTTGAAGAGGAACATGGTGTCAGAGCGTCGTCCATGAGCTCCGCGGAACACTATTTTTTTGTTATTTTCTTTTAAAAATAAATATTTTTCAGAACAAAGTCCACTGAATGATTTCACAAAAAAATTCTAGAGCCGGCTTAATTTTTTCCAGAAGTAGCCGTCAAAGATGGCTGAATCCTTCATAAAAAAATATTTTTTTCTTTATCCCGGAATATTGAAAAAAATTTTTCTATGGGGCGAAAAAAAGTCATAGAAATCATGAATTCCAGAAAAAAATCTTCACAAAAATGGAATCAAGGCTTTCAAAAAAACTTTTTTTCATTTATTATTTTATAACCCCTGGATAAAACTTTGATAAAAGTTGGCGAAAAAAATCTCCCATTTCAAGAAAAAAACTAATCAATTATTTATAAATCAATCAACCAATCAGTTTATTCCTTCCGCAAGAAAAACCACAATTTCCGATTTATAATCAAGTTATACGGCTTTAAAATTTTGCGAATGACACAAATAATGGGGAAAAAGTCGTTTTTTTTAATTTTTAAAGCTTTCTCAAACAAGATTTCGTAGTTCTAGCAAAATCAATCGATCAATAAATCAATCAGTTAATTCACTTTTCAAGAAAAAAGTCTCGACTTTTGACTTATATATATCAAGTTAGAGAGCTTTAGAAAAACCGTTTTTTGAAGCTTACAACTCTACTGTACCGGAAAAATCGAGGATCTCATTTTTTTTTTTTTCGAAATTCAGAAGTTCTCAAGTACAATCCAGCAAATTTTTATCAATGTTTCAACCGGGAATCAAAAAAAATCTCATCTTGTAAGTCTATAGGTTGAAATCCTTGCAGAAAAACAGTGGGAAGGAAGAAAGTCTCGAGAGAAAAAAAGACGGATTTTTCGGGGAATCCACAGCCTCCGCAAGTTTTCGGCACCTCTCAACGAGTTGGCCACTAAAAAAAAGCATGAGACGAACTCTGCAGGTGCCGCTCGAACTCTGTTTTGTTTTCTCGTTATTACTCTTCTTTCAGTTCACGGAATTTCATAATTCTGTGACTCAACGGAGGTTATTTTGAACCGGAAACGAATCAGAGGAAAAACAAGTGTGAAATTTATTTCATAACCATAAATTTAGGGACCGCAACCAAATTTTCAAAAAAAATGTTCCAGCTTCAATATTACTATGGTTGGATATATGCTCCAATTTACTATTCAAAACAATTTAGTTTTTTCAAAAAAGGTTGAGAAAAATAAATCGCTTCAATTTCTTATAGTCGATGTGCCACAAGTTGAAATTTCATGGAACGACACTCCGCTGTTTCGATTTGTGCGGTCACGCGCATCGTGCGAATTCGCCAACCTCGGCCACGCTAATTTTTTTGGTTTTAATCTTCATTTTATAAGCCACTCAAATTTTGAAAAAATCCATTAACAACTGCGACAAACAGAAAAAAAAACCATGAAAAAATTAAAACATGGCTTTAACAAAAACACTTTTTTATCGCTCTTTTCGAAGAAGATCATGAAATTTACTGTGTTCTTTCGTTTACATTTGAACAACGCAATCCTTTTCAACGATTATAATACACTTTAAAGCAATAAAACAATAAAAAAACGATCAAAATTAAAATTAAAACCAAAAAAAAATTAGCGTGGCCGAGGTTGGCAAGTTCGCAAGATGCGCGCTACCGCACAAATCGAAACAGCGGAGTGTCGTTCCATCAAATTTCAACTTGTGGCATATCGACTATACATGGCCAGGACATTTTTACCTCCTCTCGATTCTCAAAAATTGAAATCATTACTACCCAACCATTTATCCTGGATTTATTTAATTCTGTCCTTGCCCATTTATAATCAATTTTAAGTTTTTGAGAGGCTCTAAACTTTGAAAACTATTGGGAAAACATGCGAAAGAAAAAAATTACTTTAAAAAAAGTCCAAAAAGCTATGAAATAATAAAGAAACAGCACTCGAACCAACAATTTTAGGCTTTTTCCCCAATTTTTTGAGTCATGTTCCTGAAAATGAATAAGGCCTGAAACTACATATCGATTCAATAATATTGACTTTTTCGCGATTTATTCAAGTTTTTAAAGGGAGTCGAACACGCAAGAAGAAATTTCAATTCAAAAAAGGCGGATTTATATATTTTTCGAGGTACAGAAATGTCGTGGATTATCATTTCATACGTCTCTCAGGGAAAGAAAAAATGTCACTTTCTGTCAAATTTTGAAAATTTTCTAAAGATGAATCCGAATATTATTGAAAAAAGTTTGAAGCAAAAAAATCTTCGAACTTCAAAAAGATATATGTATTCGAAGCAAATAACCAAAATAGGTCACAAAAATATTCTTTTTGACGAAAAAAACTTTGAAAATAAATCTAAAAACCCGGAAAACATTACACACTATCGATCGGTTCTGAAAATACTGAGGGAAAAAAAATAAGTGAGCTCGAGGAATTGAGAGGTCAGGATTGATGAGCGCCGACGCTTGTGCAACCGAAGCAAGAGACAGCTGGTGGTCAGTGGAACGAGCCCGAAACTGAGCTCCGCCAGTTCTTGATGTCATTCCAATCGAGAAACAACTCTTACTTCTTGCTCGGGCCTCGGTAACGAAAACCGGACGTGTCTGGGACGTTCCTGACCAGAGAACGGTCTGAGCTCACAATGAGACCAAAAGAGACCAAATCTTCTAGATGGAGTTTTTTACGCTGATTCCGATTCCGGTCTCAAAAGTTAGCCCATACGTCTGTGAGAAGAGTTAGGGACTTCCAAAAGTCGTGTCTCACAGGATCACAGAAAATTTTTGAGCAGTGAGCGGTGAGCCCTTAAGTGATCCCTACAACTAATGGAGAGGTTTAGGGGTCCCTAGAAATGCTTAGAAAAATTCCGGGGCGCGTTCCCGAGGTCCGACTGATTAGAGGAAAAATGGGACCTTTAAATTAATGGAAATTTTTTATACTTGTGAAACATATCTAGTATAATGAGAAGTCCAAATGAGATCGGAAGTACGGAAAAACTATCTATCCTGATTTTGAACCATCTTCTGTTCAAAATTAAGCTTTTTCTGATGCCTCAGATGACTCAGAACCTCCAAAAAGGACAGTTTTGAGATAAAATTTTTCAAAATCTGCAAGAAAGTTGAACGGTTTTTTCGCATTTCGAACGAAATTTGAAAAAATGGAAATTTTCTGCTCTGCCTTAAAGTCCTGCATGGTGAAAAATGAAAAATCTCAGGATTTATTAGGAAAAAAAATTGGACAAAAAAGCGTTTCAAAAGCCGAGAATCGACGAGTTAAATGTTTTTTCTGAAATCCCGTCCCCCCTATGAGTCATTCTCATTGTGAGATCTCTCTAAAAATGGTTTTTTTAACATCCGGATTCACATTTTAGATGAAAATAAAGATATTTAAGAGAAATAAGGGTGAACCAAGTTCGTAAGATCCCAATGAAAAAAGAAAAATTGAAAAAAAGTAAATATTCAGAAAATCTTGAATTTTCAAAAATCAGGCATGATAGGACAATGAATAAAAACTCAGGAAAAAAATTGATAGATTCAAATTTTTTTATCCGAAAATGGGGCTTATTTCGATCCACTAGGGTCTCCAAAACAGGTACTTTTTTGAAAGCATCTTTTTCAGTCTCATAAAAACGACAATATTGTACCGTATTTTCTCAGAGACTTTCTTAGCCAGAATAAGTAACGAGTTCAGAGCAGAAAGTTCGAAAAAAAGTCACTTTTTCAAGCTTGAAATAAAGAACTGTTGTTTTCCAATAAAAAAGCTCCGGAAAGCCGACCAGACCTATGGAACTACAGATTGGAACGATAATCAAGCTACACGCAAAAAGGTTGGGAACGGAATCGATGAGTATCGCTTGACGGAAAGAAACGCAACGGCGTCAGGTGGCGTTTGGCCGACGGAGCTCTTCGTCAAGCCCGACGAAGAGCTGTGTGAGATTACGACGACGGAAACGTCCAGCGCCGCCCTGATTAGACTATCACAACTTTAGGGGTGAAAAATGGTTGACACGGGATCTCGTGAGGGAAGTTCCTGACTAGGGATCAGCGAAGGTCTGGCCAAAACGTAAGCAGACCCCCAAAAAATAAAGTTCAGAACTTCCTCCATGATGGTAAAAGTTCCCCTCGTTCTCCCGAAAGGGAAATGAATGCGTGAAAAAGTGTAAACTTTAATAGAAAAATCCAAAAAAACCAATGGAATTTGATCATTTTTTTCAACCTCCTAGTGGACTGATTCACTAGCCATTTCTCCAAAACTAAGATTTTTTTGACTTTTTTTCAGTTCTTTTTTTGTAGAGCAGTTTCTAGTTCAGAATTTTCCACGAAATTCAAAAAAATAAAAACTCTAATCTGAAAAATTCACAGAACGAACAAAGTTATATCACTTGTTAGACCCAAAAATAGGCCAAAAAGCAATTTTTGAAAAAAGAAAAAAATTCCTTTTTCATGTTATTTCAAGCTTTTTCCTACGCAAAATTCCCCCCTGGATTCAAAAACTTGTTTCTCAACGACCATTCCGTGAAAATAACGTCGTTAAAAGGCTTTTTTTGTATAAAAAATTCAGTTAAATACGATTTTTAGGACATTATTTTGCGCTATTTCAGAGTTTTACTACAGTTTTGCTTCATACTGTTTTAAATATTTCTTTTTCCAAAGTTTTTGCCGTTCCTAAAGCGTACAAAGAGCGTTCTGGCAAGTTTAGAAGACAACGCGACATCGCGCGCGACGTTGCGCCGCCGCCTCGGCTCGTCCGACTTTATGGATGGACTTTAGAAGGTAGAAAATTTTGAAGGTTTTGAAAAGTGTCCAGAAGTACTTGGAAGTTTCTAGAAGGATATAGAATATTTTGGAATAATGTGGAATTTTCTAGAAGCCCAAGGATACAAATAGGACTTTTTTGACGTAATACAGGCGAGAACTGTGTAGAAGGTTCTAGAAAAAGATGAAAAGACTTATCAAAAAATAATTGAAATAGTTGAAATTTGTGTGGGAATGTATGAGATTGAGAGGAGCTCCAACATAGAAAAAAATTAACAAACTTTGAAAGTTTTTTTCGTATTAATAAATGGGCTGGTCTATACATAGGCAAAACGGAAAATTCATTTTAAGGACCCTCAAAAAAGCTGAAAAAGAAATTAAAAAGGATCAATAAGAAAAGAAAAAGAGAAAAAACAGCAATAATATAAATAAAAACTAAAAAATGACCAACCTGGGGAAAAAAGCCGTCCGTCGAGCGAGAAACGTCGTCTTCTGTTCTTGGGGGAGTCGTTCGCTGGAAAAAAATTGAATTGAAATAATTTCAGAGTGAAGTTTACAACGCTAAGCAGTGAAAATTTACTGAAGAAAAGAAAAAAAAATGAATAAAAGGCATAAAAAAGTTTTTTTTTTCAAGTCGAATCTTTCAGTCAATTATCATTTTCCGTCTTATTTTACTCATATTATTCTTGAAATCATTATAGGGAAAACCTTGTTTTGGTACAACTGAACATAGAAATTAAAAAAAAGGAAAGAGAAAAAAAATATCGTTCGGTGTGCTCTATCGCACTAATCCAGTTAATAATCCCTTCAGTGCTCATTAGTTTCAGCTCCCGCTCGCGATTTAACATTCTTCTTTTTTTGTTTTTTCTTCTCTTTACCAGTTTTAATGATATCTAGCTATATGTTTTCAGTGAGTATTCTTTTCAAAATCAAAAAAGTAAACTAATTGTTTTTCAATCATCTTTTTCTTTTTTCTGAAAATATGCACGACTCCGGTTTTCGCTAAAGTTTTCCATTTTCTTTTTTTTTCATGCAGAAAAATATGGCTTATATCGCTTTTTTCTCTGCTAAAACGGAGGTTTTGTTTCTTTTTTATTCGTTCTCTTGAGATAAATGCATGTATTTCGAAAACTGAATAAATCGTGAAAATGCTATTTAAAACAGATATTCACCATTCAAATCACGCTTAGGGAGCTGAATGGTCTTAAGAAAAATAGGGTTAGCTTTTATTTTAAAGAAGACAACTTCATTTCACTCAATTTTCAGGAAAAAGCCTAACATTTTGCATGATGGAATAAATACTAATTGAAAATAAGAAAAAGGAGATTCAAAAAAACGGGAGAAAACGATCGATTGGGTGAAACTGAGCTCTTAGATAGGCAAAAAAAGCGGATGCTGCTGATATCTAGGAATTTGATCCGGCTGACGGATAAAAAACAGCGAGTGAGAGGCGATTTTTTGCTCTTGACTTTTGCGTTTGACGATCAAATAGCTCGTCTCGGGGGGCCGCTTGATTGCAAACATCTGGAACGGGATTATCTACCGTTTTACAATCGCTATCAAGAACAAAAATGTAGATCAAGCTGAGAAAATGTTTCAGGTAATAAATAAATTGTTATCATTTTTGACATTTAGCTTTTTAGAGTGAGAAAGAAGGCCTTGATTTTTCGATAAAAAATCGCTATAGAACAGAAAATCCAAGAAAATGTTCCTATAGTGTGTTATAGTCGATTCACGGCTACCTTGGGACGGTGAGGAGGCGTGGCCTGTCTGCACCCTCCACCAACCAGGCACTATCTCTTTTTTATCGTGTCAGGACCCTGTTTTGATGGTTCACTGGGAAAATTTTTAGTAGAGGCTCGCCAAGGACTACTTGGAGAGGACACTAAAGTGGCCACTAAACCTACCTCTAGTGGCCCCTAATTTCCGTTTTAGTGGCCACTTTAGAGGTTCTCTATTTTGTGGCCACTTCAGTAGTTTTTCATCCAGCATTCCTTCCAGTAACTCTGATAATTTTAAAATAAACAGATTGGACCAGTTATGTTGATCCATTGACCCCTAAAGTGGCCACTTTTTAGTGGTCTAGTTGTAGCACTTAGACCTCTATAGTGGCAACTAACTTTCAACCCCTCAAGTGGTCACTAATTTGACGTCAAAACCCTATAGTGGCAACCAAAAGTTTCCCCAGCAAGCCAACCGTGAATCACGGTCAGTTTTCAGAAAAATAGCGGAAAACAGCTTATTTTTACATGCACAACTGCAAAAAAGCGGGAAGAATAGGTCTTGAAGCGAAATTTGCTCAATTTGCAGAAAAAAAACGTGAAAAGCTGGCGAGGATAGGCTTCAGCTACTGTATAAGTTATAATCTTGATCTTTTTTTTCATTAGTCCAGATGGCTGCAGACGAACAAAGAATAATAATATAAAAAAATTTTTCTTGAAGACTCAATTTTTTTCGATTTTTGTCTAAGAATCGACTTATCTTGCTATAGACAAAAAAAAATTTTTAAACTGTCTGAAGCTTCTTAATTCATATTTTTCGACTTTAAATATATTTTCAGTTGCCAAGAAAAATAATGAAACCTGGGTCAGATTTTTTTAGAACTCTCGCTACTTAAAAAAATAAAATTTTTTTCTAAAAAAATCGACTTGTAGATGAAGTAGATGAAGGCCGAGAAAATCTTCATCTTTTTTTTTTTGGAAATTTTGGACTGACAGGGAAGAAAAAGGGCTAAAAATGTTCATAAAGACTTCTTGATCCCGGAAAAAGAAAATTTTCTCGATTTTTTCCCTAAGAATCGACTTATCTTGCTTCAAAGTTCGTAAACTACAAGAATTAGAGCCAAAAAACGTTTTTTGAACTTTTTGAAGTTTCATAATTCATATTTTTCGACTTTTTATATATTTTCCAGTTGCCAAGAAAGTCAGTAAGCCGAGGGAAAGAGATTGATGAAAGGCCCAATAATGGATCGTCGCCGGAGGTGTCAGGGCGGATCAGATCAAAGCCTTTCGGCATCCTCAAGCCGAACGGGTTCCCTCAACTTTGCGAATAAGTGTGGAACACATCCATACTTTCGCCACGGAAATGGCTGGTTTCAATCATTTGTTTGAAGAATATGATCCTTTAGGCATATAATTTGTTTCGATGACAGAAAAGCTTCGATATGGTTTTAAATAAGGATTGAGGGCGAAATTTAATACAATTGAGACTACAAAAACATTGAAAAATAGCGCATGAAAAACGCGAAATAAAAAAAGTCGTCAGGTATGATGTTTCTTGTGCATGCGCACTCGACGAAAATTTGCATACTCTAACATTTTTTTTTCAATATTTTGATGGAAAAGAAGAAATTAAATAGGAACAGGGTTAAGTTATCTTCAATATAAAAAAACGGTAAATACTTGAAAAAAACCAAATTTTTTTGCTGAAATTGGTTTCAAATACTCGAAAAATATACCAGAACATTCATTGCCACTGAAAGTTATCATTGGTTGAAAATCGGTCGATCACTGAAACAATTTTTAAACGAATAAAGTTACATTTTTAAGTTTTGAAGTTGCTTCGAAACAGTTATTTATTCAGTTTTAAGGCGATTTCTTTGAATTTCAGAACAAGTTCCGTTTTCCGATGAACGCTCCATTGAAATTTTAAAGTACTTTGAAAATTCACTTTTTTTCACAGTTTTCAGTAAAATTGAAACGAATTGAACGTTTTTTGAGAACCAATCTAAAGAAAAATCGAAATTTCTGGGAAAATTTTGTTAGTGGCCACTATAGGGTTTTGACGTTTTAGTGGCCACTGTAGTAGTCAATATAGTGGACGCTTAAGGGGTTAAAATTAGTGGTCACTATAGAGGTCCCAGTACTACTAATAGTCCACTAAAAAGTTTCGTGGCCACTTAAGGGGTCAATGGATCAACATAACTGGTCCAATCTGTTTGTTTGGAAATTATCAGAGTTACTGGAAGGAATACTGGATGAAAAATTACTGAAGTAGCCACTAAAACGGAAAATAGTGGCCACTATAGAGCTGGGTTTAGTGGCCACTTTAGTGTCCTCTCCAAGTAGTCCTTTACGAGTGGCCACTAAAAATTTTCTCAGTTCGGCTCAAATTAAAACTTGAATAAAAACAATGCCATTCGGAATTGGAAAAGCCCTCAGCAAAAGCCAGAAAAACGGATAAATCAACATTGAGGCAGAAAAAAAGGCGTTCAGAGAAGGGATAAGCGACGGCTAAATCAATGATTGGGAAGGCGGGCGAACAGCTGATGTGATATGCCGGCCGGTTTTTCTTTTTGAAACACCTTGTAAGTGTCCGTTCAGTTCATCCAGCAAAGCTCCTTTTTTTGATAAAAGGTAGCGTTTCGAAATACCTTTTTTACATTTGGAACCTACTTCATAACAACAATCGTCTAGCATTTCCACTATAGGGAGCACTTTTGCAAGCTTTAGGGACCCTATAGGGGAGATTGAAGCGGCCCCTAGAGGGGTACCTTTAAGAGCCCCTATAGGGGACACTCTAGAGCTTCTAAGTAGGTTGTTCAAGTCGGCTTTAAAAATGGATATTTTTAAAATTTTTTAATTTTTCCTCGTTTTGAAATTTTTATTAATTGCAATAGAATGAGTCTGATATCGAGTGTTGGCAAGTTTGATGAGCACCCCTAGAGGGACCACTTAGATCCCTCAAGTGACCTATTAGGGAGGAACGTGGTTTTCAGACAAAATTTCCAGTCAATCTATTCTATTTGAGCTTGAAATCGGATATGTTAAGTGAAAAAATGATTTTTTTACAGATATTTAAGAAAGTTTTTTTGGTAAAAATATGAAAAAAATTGAGATTAAAGTGAGTATCTAAAAATTTAATGGCATGGAAAGTCAGACTTTGAAAAATGCTCTTATTTTATAAAAAAATATGTAAATTTGGACCGGTAAAATCTTGAAACCGTAGAAAAAAATCCTCTTAAGAGTTTCAAACTTACAACCTACTACTGGCTCAATTGAAGACATTGAAATTTTTGACTTTGAGGGTACATAACTTTTTTTACAGACGTATTGGACAATTTTTGCAAGCAGATTTGGAATCAGCGTAAAAAACTACATCTAGTAACATTGGTCTCATGCAGAATTCCTACTGCCTCCATATACCATTCCTGGTTGGAAAATAAAGCTTTTAGAACAATTTTTTTTATAAAACCAAAAAAAAGACAGAAAAAAGTAGTAATGTAAGGGTTTATGGTCAGTTACAAGATTTGACGGAGGCCGTGTTTGCACGATCCTTCGCCTCGGCCCTCGAGAGAAAAAGTGACTGATCACCGGCACTTGGTTGCTTTTGCCGAGTTCAAGTGTTCTTCCAGTGAAAAATCATCAATTTCTGTTATTTTGTACCCAAAATGAAGCTATTAAAAACTTGTTCCAGCTTGTTTTTGAGACTTTTTTGTGGAAAAATCATTTTTTAGAAAATAAATAGGTTTTAAAAGTGGTCCCTATAGGGGTTAGACTGAAAAAAATAGCATATTGGGGTCGAAAAAGTGGTCCCTATAGGGGCTTCAGGGTCTGACCACTCAGTCCCTAAAGCTCAAGTGGTCCCTATAGGGGTCTTTAACTTCATTTAAAAAAATAATTATTTATTCAATTTTTTTCGCATTGAAACGCTTCGTACGTAAAAAGTAATCGATTAGCATATCCCCTATAGGGACCACTTTTTGCAAGCTTTAGTTCCTCTTATACTGGTTGGTAAAGCGGCCCCTAGAGGGGGCCTTTCATGGGTTTTTTGCCCCTATAGAGACCACTCTGGAGCTCCTAAGTAAGTTATAATACTCCACCGTGAAGGAAAAGTTTAAAAAAATTGATCCAAGGCTCTTTTTTTTAAATATGTGAGTTAGAAGGACGTTTTGGCACTTTTTGAGAACTGAAAAAAAAAATTTTTTTTTTGATGATTTTTGAAAATGGTACTTGGTCAAGCTAGTGTATGAAAAATTGCGAAGAAATCCTGAAATTAAAAAAAAGAGAAATTTCATCGACACGGAGCAGTTCTGAATATTGACAGATTTCGAAGAAAAAATAAAGCTGGAAAATCGAGGAAAAACGACGGGGAAAGCCGGTTCAGACGCCGCGTTTTGTGAAATCCGAGAGGCTTCGCTGTACTTTTTGTGCTCGTTTTTGTTCTGTACAACGTATTTCCGACATTATTCTGTTGGTTTTGAGTTTTTCCCATGTAATGTCGGAAAGAAAACTTGAATCGAGAAAAACGGATTTTATTCGGTTTGCCGGGAAGGACCCCTATAGTTACCACTTTTTCGACCCCAGGGGCTATTTTCCCCCCGAACCCTATAGGGACCACTTTCAAAGCCTATTTACCTCCTGAAAAATGATTTTGAGTTGTTCTTAAAAGACTGATGTCCCACTGGTCTCGAAGAACTTCTTTTAAAATATAAAAAAAAGGTCAAAGAAATTTCTAAAAGATTTTATTGAAGCACTTTAAAAAAAAAATCAAAAAAGAGGTCACTTTAGTGAAAATTCAGTTACAATTTTTTTCGAAAACTTTCTGTTCTATGAAAATTTTTTAGTGGTCACTATAGAGGCTCGCCAAAGATTACTTGGAGAGGACACTAAAGTGGCCACTAAACCCAGCTCTATAGTGGCCACTATTTTCCGTTTTAGAGGCCACTGTAGAGGTTCTCTATTTAGTGGTTACTTCAGTAGTTTTTCATCCAGTATTCCTTCCAGTAACTCTGATAATTTTAGAACAAACAGATCGGACCAGTTAGGTTGATCCATTGACCCCTAAAGTGGTCACTAAAAAATTTGGCGGTCTAGTAGATTCTCTATAGTGGCCCCTAATTTTCAATCCCTTAAGCGGCCACTAATTTGACTACTATAGTGGCCACTAAAAGTTTTCCCAGTAGAGACGAGATTCTGGTTATTTTTTCGAGATTCAAGAAATTCAACAGCTTGAAGTTTCGCAACAAGGAAACAGCACGCTTCATGAGAAGAAATGAGAATCTTAATCAAGACCTCAAAACAATTTTTAAGAAAATTCTCAGCAAAATTCAAACTTTACAATGACTATAACATATTTATGAAACACTTGACAAAATGAGCCAACAAAGAAAAAATTTAAGAAAAAACGTTTTACTCGAAAAATCAGGGCAAAGTCGGCGATAAATCGAAGGGCAAGGGTGTTGGGAAACACGCAATAAAAGCGAATTGAAAGAGAGACGAGTGAATGGGGTGTGTTTGCACCTTGTTTCTCAGCTTGGACGGAAATCTTCCCTTCGCCTCGATCTCATCCGAGGATAGATCTCTGTCGAAGTTGATCCCAATTTTCGGTTGAAAATGCATTAGAAAAAAAGAAAAACCTTTTTTTTCAATCTCTAGACGAAACAGTACAAATATAGAAGGTATTCGAGTACCTTTTCCAAAAAACTTGGAAGAAAATAATTTTAGAAGTTTATTTCAAAAAAAAATCATGAAAAAGGGCAATATTGAAAGAATAACAGTACAGTTTTCAGATAATCAGGGGATTATTTTCCCTTATTTTGGGACTTTTTTGCGAATATTGGAATCCACTCTTCTTCGAGCTCGTCCAGCTCCATTTCGAACTGAAAGTCGTCAAACTCGTCCTCGCAGACCTGATTTATTTGAACTGACAAGGGAGGTCATTTTACTTTGCGGTTGGGATATTCCTGAAAATTGTCCAGAGTACTCCTTGATGTACCAGAAGAAGACTCTGAAAGTCTCAACTTGCAAAACTTCCTCGTTTTTAGGAAGAGACGCCTCGAAATTCACAAAAATAGGCCTTTTTTGGACTTTAAGCCCTTATTTTTTGTAAGCTAGAAGCCTGCGCAGGTTGAGACTTTCAGGATCTTCAACTGGTACGTCAAGAAGTGATCAATTTTCAGGCAATTCCGATCTGCAAAGTAAAATAACCTTCCCTGTTAGAAGCACTAAAGCGGTCACTAGAAAACGTCCGGTGAAAAGGCAGCACCTATGGAGGGGGGACCTGTAAGGGTTTAAAGTGTGATCCATGAGGCTCTTAGACTTAAGTGACCCCTACAGGGAATTTTTTTTTAAAAGAATCAATCAATTTATCCTCTATTATAGACTATTGATATTTTTCATGCAAAAAGCACTAACTTTTGAGTTTTTCACGTGAAACGGCTTTTTCTCAATAAATTCATAACAATAAACGACTAGAATGCCCCTTCCTAGATGGGCCACTAACCAAAACCCCTCAAGGGGCTCACATTTGCGAGATTTAGCAGCCCCTATAGGGGAAGTAATGTGGTCAAGAGAGGAATCTTCAAGGTGATTATCTAAAGAATCCTTCATAACAAAGCTTTTCAAGCAGTTTCAAAAAGAACGACATGATTCAACATATAATTTCGTTTTTTTCAGATTTTTAAATATTCCGAGACGAGGAAAGAAGAGAAAAAAATTAATTCAAGGAGAAGATTTTTGGATTGGCTCAAAACGCTAAAAAGCATGAAAAATGCTTTCAAACTTTCTAGTGCCCTAGCGCGAAAAATCGTTTTTCTGTCGGAGGCTCTTTGAAGCCGTCAGCCGCCTCGGGCTCTTAAAAATATAAAAAAATTAAGTTATTGACCAAAAATTTTTTTGTTGATTTATAATATATATACCCCTTTAATGTTATCAGGAACACTGTGGTTGTAACCGCATTGATTTGAGCATTTTTGAAAAAATGTAGGCGCTCTGAATTCCTTCTCAAGGCCTCCATGCGCAAACCGATTTGGGTCGGGCGCATGATATCTTGTTTATTTTTCCTCCACCGAGGAGCTTTCAGTTTTTTTTTTTCGCATTCTCCACTTTTCGGACAGAAGAGCCAACACTTCACTGATTAGAACTGAAACCTTAACTTTTAAGGTTTTTCGAATCTTACTCTTTTTCCTCTTTTTGTCTTCCAATTATCAAAAAGTTCCTCTCTTTCATCTTTTTTTAACCCAGTTTGAATAAAATTGTAGCTTTTATTTTAACTACGGCATTCTCTGTTTCATGGAAACGAATTGGACTCTTTCACCTTTCAAAATCCGTTTATGGTTGTCTTTAGTGTGGAAATTCGATATTATTGTACCATTAATTTATTTTTCCACATTTATTGTGCTTGGAAATCTCGCCCGGATCTAAACTTATTGAATAAAAAATTTGAAAATGTTTTGCAGTGAAAAGATGGGAAATTGCGAAATTTGAGACAAGTGCGCCCTACCGCGAATCGCCAGGCTCATTTTAGGGATTTCCTAAAAAGGCTGTTTTTTTACTCTTTTTTGTTAAATTTCTGTTCCAAACAGTTTTCGGAAAGTTCAGCGAGTTTCCTGAATAAATATTTCACCTATTTTTGAATCGTTTATACTTTTTTTGAAGCGAAATTGTTTAAAAATCGACTTTTTTTGACATACTGTTATAAAAATCGTTATTTGTTGTGAAATCGCAATTGTTATTGGACCTACAAGTTTAAAAAAAAAAATAAGCGATGATCAATTTTGAATTCAGATGGCTTCGAATGGAGAAACGGCCATCGAACAGGATGATGAAGATAAAGAGGTTTGACTTGATTTTTAATTTTATTTTTTTGTTTTTCAAGATATGATGAAACTAATTTTATTTACTCAACTTTTTTTCTAAAAATAATGGTGTTTTGTGTTTCAGAAAGAGGAAAAGTAATTTCGAAAAATTTAAAAATAATTTAGGAATTTCATGTTTTTTTCTGATTATAAAAAAATACAATTATTTGCTTTTTTAGTGAAATTTTTTTACAAAAAAACTTGGTAATTTACCTAGGGAAAACAATTTAAAGTCATTTTTTGATAGGAATGTTTTTTTATGAGGAAATATAGTCGAAAATGTAGGTCGTTTTTTTCAGTTTTTGAAAGCAAATATGCAAAAAAATCTGCGATGCTTTTAACATGTGATCGTCTCGAACAGAACTCCCGGAGTTATTAAAAAATGATTTTTACTTCAAAAAAGACCTTTTTCGGTATTTTCTCAGTTCCAATTGAATTCTACTTCAGGACGTCTCCTGTGAAGGCGTAATTGGATGTTTGCCAAACGTCTTGGACCCCGTACATCGTCAAGAATTGGAAGATTTGGTGGAGAATTTGCCGAAAGTCGTCGCCGCCAAGGAAAATGATCCCAGTACTTTCGAGGTATCGTTGAAATTCATATCGTTGAATTTTAGGTTGTTTTTTGAAGCGATTTCTGTAATTTTATCTCTACCTCTCCAAATTTTAGTTATCTTTTTCACTCTCTGACGTCTTTTTTGTTGCTTTTTGCGGGATCATGTTATTTTTTCTGCAGTAGAATTCGTAGGAATATGTTTTTTTAATGGAAGTTCCCAGTTTCAGTCGTTTCTTTTATATCTTCAAAAAAAATTTTTCTTACTTTTTCGATGGGTGTGATAGATCAATAATGTTTAATCTCAAGAACCAGTCTTTTTTTTCTACATTTGTTGGTTTTGTAAAAAATGATGATCACGTTTTTTTGTGAAATCAAAAAAAGTGACGAAGAGGTGTTTAAAAAAATTTAAAAAAACCTTCTTTTTTTCGGATTTAATCGGTAAAAAAATGCATATAAAAAGGCTTTGATAAATAATTTTTTTCTTCCGAAAAACACTTTTTTTCTGCATGATCCTGTTTAGAACAAAACGGAGAAAAATCTTTTTTTCTTTAAAAAAACCCAGAAAAAAACCGCCTCAGAAGGTTCATCTAACAAAGATTTTCTGTGGTTTTCCAATACCTTTTGATTTCACGTTTTTTTATCAGCTTCATAAAAAAATATGACTAAAAGTACCTGAAGATCTACTGTGGCTTGGAAAAAGGAGCTCAGCAGGCTTTTTTCCATCAATTTAGGATCTTCTAGTGGGTCACTTTCATTTCCTTCCGAGGGTCCTTAAAGGAATTTCTAAGCTCCAAAACTTAAATTTTCTTTTTTTTTAATCAAAAATAGTATATTCCAGAAATCGATCGATCGTTTCTCGAACCTTCTCTACCTCTACCACGAACAATCCAACCTTCTGGATTCCCTAATTCCGTCGATGTTGAAGAATTTGTTGGAATATGTGACCCTGCCAAGTTCTGGTGATCCTCATAGATTATTCTGGATTAAATGGATTTTTTAGATTCGAAAAAAGAGCTCGATTCGCTGTCCAACGAATCTTTGGCCTATATTGCTCATCTGAGCATTGTTCGAGGCTATAAAGTCATCGTTCGGCTTTTGCCTCATCAGGTTGGTTTAATTATTATTTTTTTTCATATTGGATTCATTTAGATTTATTAATTTATCCATTCATTTTGAAGAAATACAAAAAATGAGTTAAAAAAATAAAGAAACAAGTTTGAAAATAGTATGAATATGAATCTAACCCATTTTGGGTTGAAAAATGCGGAAAATATTGACTTTAATCTTTTTTTTTCGAAGTTTTTTTAGTAGTTTACTCATTGGAAAAATGCAGAAAAATGAAGTTACAAAAAAAGTGAAGCTCAAAAAAATTAAAGAAATAGTACGAAAAACAGTGGGATTTTTTTACAATTTAACGTCGTTTTTTTGGTCAAAAAAATTGGTTTGATTATCCATTTTTTTGCCTTTTTTTATTATTGAAAAAGGTCAGAATAAGGCATTTTACTGCATAATCTTTCATACAGACCGTAATTTTATTTTTTTTCGAAGCTTTCAACAGTTTTTTTATGGTTAAATGAAGTTCTGAAAAAGAAAGTTTGAAATTTGAAGAAATAAGTTTTGAAAAAAAGGCTATATTAACAATTTAACTACGTTTTTTTAGTCGAAAAAATTGGGTTTTTTTCATTTCTACTACCAAAAATGTTTCTTACTGAACAATTAGAAATGAGTGAGAAAAAAATTTTTTTCTTCTTTGTTTCGAAAAATTCTACTTAAGTAAAGTCGGAATGGTGGGTAGGGGCCGCTAAAAGGGGGAGGCTCAAAAAAAGCCGCAGAAAGGCAGCAAAAAGGTTCCCTTTATCATGCCTTCTACTTTTTTTTGGGTTTTTAAAGGCTCAATAAAAGGTAGAAAAAGGAAGAGGCAGCAAAAATGGTGCACAAGGGCCGATGAAATGACGCAAAAAGGAAGCAAAAAAGGAAAATGTCCATTGGGCCTTTTTCCACCCTTTCCGACTTTGTCTATCTATAGGAATTTTCAGAAATTTAGGAATTGAAAGGTCTTTATGCCGTGTTCAACGTGATTTCGCGGTAGTTATTCCATATAATTATTCCTAGGTTCACTATCTCGACAGACTTCTCCTGGCCTTGGAAGGCTTTTCCGGGCCGGTCGGATCGGATCATCCGCAGCGAAATATTTTGCTTCTGTGGCTTTGGATCGTCGTCAGGAATCCGTTCGACTTGAGGAGGTGATTGGAAAAAAAAACATAGACTATGTTTTCACTGCTTTCGGTGCTTTGATACAGAAAAAAATGATTTAAAAACTATGGTTTCTTATAAAAAATAAAAAATTAAGACGTGGCCAGCATTTTTGGCATTTTTTATCACAACTGAGGTCTCGTTTTAGCCTACTTGGGTCTTTGATTTTCAAAATGCTGTTTTTCCGTTTCAAAAAAGTCAGGTTCTAAATTGGCGCCAAAACGCATCGCAACCGCTTCGCACATTAACCACAACTGACGAAAATTGTTGAAAAGACGGTTTTTGTAGATGCCATTTGACTATCTTAGGAGCTTCAGAGTGGTCACTTTAGGGCAACTTTTGAGGGTCCTTGAAGGTGGAAGGTTCTCCCTCCCCCCCTCCACTCCAAAGGACCACGAAGCTTGAAAAAGTGGTCCCTGTAGGAGTTTCTGTTGGTTGAACCTATAAGGAACTTTTTTTAGTCATTTATTGTTATAAATTTATGAAAAAAATTAAATGAATTGGCTTTTATTTTTAATCGAAAAATATGAAAAAGAGGTTCTATTGAAAAATTTTTCTCTTTTTAAATTCAGTGTGTTTAATCAATATGAAGGGTGAGAAGATACATATGAGGAGGACATTACTATGAAAAAGGTTTTAGGATTTCTGAAATTTCTTAGAGGAGAAAGGGTTTAAAGATGAGGGGGGGGAATGTAGTCATCCATATCCGATATCGATTGTTGTCGGCAGAGGTCAAAAGTTACGAAGAGGTAGATTAAATTTATGTTCTTGTGGAAGTCTATATTGAAAATATAAAGGTAGAAAATTAAGGAATTTTTATTCAGATCCAAATTTTTGGATCTGAATAAAAATTTGAAAGATTCCTATAGGGTACACTTGAGCTTTAGCGGCTAAGAGGTGAGACTCTAGAGCGATTACATTAAATTTACCCCTAGAGGGACCACTTTTTCGGCCCCTTTAGTGACTGTTTTATCCCCTAAACCCTATAGAGGCCCCTCTGGCGTTCCTCAGCTTGTCTGGTAAACATTTGAAAGATCCCTATAGGGTCTACTCGAGCTTTAGGGGCTGAGGTGAGGCTCTAAACCCCCATAGGGACCACGTTGAATTCACCCTATAGTGATCCTTTTTTCGGCCCCTATAGGGGTTGTTATATCCCCTAAACCCTATAGGGACACCTCTGGCGTTCCTCAGCTTGTTCTGGTAAAAATTTGAAAGAACCCTATAGGGTCCACTCGAGCTTTAGGGGCTGAGGTGAGACTCTAGAGCGACCACATTGATTTTACCCCTAGCGGGATCATTTTTTTTTCGGCCCCTTTAGTGACTGTTTCATCCCCTAAACCCTATAGGGACATCTCTGGCGTTCCTCAGCTAGTTCTGGAAAAAATTTGAAGGATCGCTATAGGGTCCACTCGAGCTTTAGCGGCTAAGAGGTGAGACTCTAGAGCGACCACATTAAATTTACCCCTAGAGGGACCACTTTTTCGGCCCCTATAATGGCTGTTTGTTCTCCAAATCCCTATAGAGGCCTCTCTGGCGTTCCTCAGCTTGTTCTGGAAAAAATTTGAAGGATCGCTATAGGGTCCACTCGAGCTTTAGCGGCTAAGAGGTGAGACTCTAGAGCGACCACATTAAATTTACCCCTAGAGGGACCACTTTTTCGGCCCCTATAATGGCTGTTTGTTCTCCAAATCCCTATAGAGGCCTCTCTGGCGTTCCTCAGCTTGTTCTGGAAAAAATTTGAAGGATCCCTATAGGGTCCACTCGAGCTTTAGCGGCTAAGAGGTGAGACTCTAGAGCGACCACATTAAATTTACCCCTAGAGGGACCACTTTTTCGGCCCCTATAATGGCTGTTTGTTCTCCAAATCCCTATAGAGGCCTCTCTGGCGTTCCTCAGCTTGTTCTGGAAAAAATTTGAAGGATCCCTATAGGGTCCACTCGAGCTTTAGCGGCTAAGAGGTGAGACTCTAGAGCGACCACATTAAATTTACCCCTAGAGGGACCACTTTTTCGGCCCCTATAATGGCTGTTTGTTCTCCAAATCCCTATAGAGGCCTCTCTGGCGTTCCTCAGCTTGTTCTGGAAAAAATTTGAAGGATCCCTATAGGGTCCAATCGAGCTTTAGCGGCTAAGAGGTGAGACTCTAGAGCGATTACATTAAATTTACCCCTAGAGGGACCACTTCTTCGGCCTCTATAGGGGTTTTTCCACCAAACCCCTATAGAGGCCCTTCTGGCGTTCCTTAGCAGATTTTCTACGGTCATTCTTGAGGTTTGACGCTACTGGCGACGCTGGAAGGACGCTAAATCGAATTCTGAACGTTTCGTTCCCCTACTTGGACTGGGAATGGAACAGTAGTCAGGTTAATGATCCCTCAATAATTATTCAATTAATATTTGCAGTATTCGGCGTCCCTGGTGATCGCCCAATGCTTGTCCAGAAGCGACGGGGTTCCCTTGATTCCTGATATTTTGGATCGGCAGCTTAGGAGAATTTCCGAAGGCCCCAGGCAAACTCTGTCTTCACTTCTGCTCCTTTTGGCCATCTTGAAACATGTCAGTTGATAAGTTTTCAATGGAAATGGAGTACTAGTGGAAGGAAAAAGCTTTATATTATGAAATAATTTTTGGCAATTTCAAAAATCAATTTCTTAAAATGATTCAGCGAAATGCGCAAAATTGAATTTATAGCCCTTTTTAGAAAAATTGAGCTCTACAACGATATAACTACAGTGCCTTTTGAGCGCGTATTTGAAATTTCCGTTAAAAATTTCCAAATAAGTTCAAATTTGAAGTTTCGCGGGTAAAATCGCTATCTCGTTGTAGGACCCCAATTTTTTTCAGGGATCATGAAACTTAAAATCTAGCTTTTTCCGTTAAAATCTTCTATGAAATTGGCTTTTCTCCTTGCTTTTTGGGCTTTGGTACCGAAAAACTGTTGTAAATTAGTTATATTTGCTAGGAAAAAAAAATAAACGACTTGAATTTAAATATATTAAAAACGATTTAGGTGTTTAGGAAAGTTTTGCGAAGAATTCAAATTTGAATTAAAGCACTTTTTTTAATTATTCATTAATTTTAGAGATATCAAATGTTTGAATTCGAGTTGTTTTTTTTAATTAATAGTGGCTTTATAAAGGCATGGTAATGTTATTATTGAATTAAGGGACCATTTGAAGGTTTTTTTGAAACAGTGAAGTTAGTTTGTAAAAAAAGAAAGAAAGTAAGCTCGAAGAAGGGCGAAAATCCGCGATAAATAGATAAACATGTTCCGCTTTCAAATAATTTTTTTAAAGGGTAATTTTTCAAAAAAATACGTTTTTGACTTTATGAGAGAAATGGTCATGTTCTGTACAGTCTGTGTGCCACGACTTGAAATTTCACGGAACGACATTCCGCTGTTCCGCTGCGTGCGTTCGCGAAGCGTCTTTCGAATCTAGGTCACGCTTTCAAGTGATTGTTATTGCTGTGGGAGCACATTAAAGAATAGTACCTTAATTAAAGAAAAAAAGAATTAAAAGCGCGACCGAGGTTCGCAAAGGCGCGCAGCGGCACAGCGGAATGTCGTTTGGCGAAATTCCAAGTCGTAGTACACAAGCTATAGATGAGGTAGGCGAAAAATCCATGTTATTTTTCAATCCGATTTTCGCTAATTATGATAAATATGATAATTTTTTTCTCCTTTTGAATTTTCCTATATAAAAATAAGAAGTTGATTTATGATTAAAAACACAAAGAAAAGGGAAAAAAATTTTTTTCTAACCAAAAAAATATAAGAAAAAAGTAAGGAAATAGTCGGAAAAAGTCGCCATTCGAATTTTTCCCTTTTTTTCTCAAACCACCAGAAAAAAAGCAAATTTTTTTTTGTTTTTAATAATAACCTTTCATTGGCATTGTAACATTTTTGTTGAATTCATAAAGAATTTGAAGGTTTTTTTAGAATCAGTAAACATAGTTTATTGAAGGAAGAGAGAAAGTAAGCTTGAAAATTTGGTGGTATGAAAAAAAGACCAGCGAAAATTCAAACGGCGACTTTTCCGATTTTTTCGTATCGCTGCGGAACTTTCCGACTTTTTTCCCTTATATTTTTCGGTTTATAAAACATCATTTAACATTTTTTTTCCTATTTCTTTGTGTTTTTAATCATGAATTATTAACTGTTGTATATAGGAAGATTTAAAACGAAGATTTTATCGAGAAAAAAGTCGGAAAAAGATTCGTTGGAAAAGTGGCCGTCGGAAAATTCCCTAGCAAAAAAAATCGGAAAAGTCGCCGTTTGTATTTTCGCTGGTCTTTTTTTTCATACCACCAAAAATTTGCTGGTTTTTTTTTCGTATCACTCATTTTCTCGCAAGGAGCGCAGTATACACAGACGAATCGAGAGGGTACCATAATGTGTCCACAAAGATACCTTTCAAAATGGGTCGAGAAAAATATGTCCATCCTGAGACCTCCAGCATACCTTTTAGCTATATCTGAGCCATCTCGGAGGTCCTTGAGACCCTCAGTCTATCTCATTTTGCTCAAAAACCTCAGAGATATATTCGAGGTACCAACGGGAGACTTCAGACCCTGCGATATACCTCAGAGGGTCTCGCGAGACCCTTCCTCAATTCGCCAATGTACCCGAAAATATACAGGTGGACCGGCTCCACCTCGTCAACCACGTTGACAAGATTGTCGACACCGTCGCTCCGTTATTTCCTCTCGAACCTTCCAAAGGCGTCTTGACGTGCAAAAGCCTCGTGAAAGTCGCCCAACGCGTCGCTTTGGTCCTTCTCAGGCCCAAACTCGCCGCTTGGAGATATAAGTCAGTTTTTTCGTTGTTTAAAAATAAAAAATGTATCTGAAAACAAAAAATGGAGCCCTTAATAGTGACGTCATAGCGACCCCCAAAAAATTATGAAATTAAAAAAATTAAAAAAATCCACTATGGAGCTCAAAAAGAACTTTTTTTACACCCTTTGTAAAGAAAAAGGCCCAAAAAGAAGGATATTTCTAATTTTGCACGACGAGATTTAAGTGATTTTTAAATTCGAACGATTTTCGCGAATTTTTTTTCAGAAAGATAAATATATCAAAAAAATCAGATTTTGAGGTTTTTTTACCAAGGGAGTTAACTTGGCAAATTTAACAAGAGATGATAATTTTACTAAATTTGGTTGCTTTTTTTGACCTTTAGAAAAATTGTCAGAGTCTCGCCGCAAGGTGGTTTTTGGCTCTTGTTTACGAATAAACCAAACTTTTGTGAAGGAAATAAAATGCAAAAATGCGTTATTATAAAAAAAGAATCAAAAAGACAAAAAAATTGGACCACGAATTTTGATAATTTTGAAGTCTGAAAAAGTATCTTTGAAAAATCTGAAATCATCATAAATCAGTTATTTGAGGCCTTTCGAAATAAATGAGTTCACTTTTTTTATTCCTCAAATTTTTTTTATCTAGTTTAGTTGCTTTTTTTATAGTTTCTAGTTCAAAGTTTCTCTTTCTTGGTTGAAAAAAATTGCAAGAAAAATAGTCAAATTCCAACATTTTATCTTGCAGAAGAGGAAAGCGAAGGCTGGATGAGAACTTGAATAGTGTGGATGGGAAAAATTTTTGAAAAAAATGGGACGAATGGAAACTCGCCTCCGGATCGTGTCAATGGTTCGTTTGTTTTGTGAAAAATATGATTATTTTACTGGATTTTTTTATAGAATATTCTCCTTAAAAATGCTTTTTTTGAAAATTCCTATCTTCCAGTGTTAAAATAAGCCGAAGGTTTAGATTTGATGAGTTTTTATCTAGAGCTGATTCTGACTTTTGAGTTATCCAATGAAGGGTCCTGACACGATAAATAAAGAAAGTGTCCCTGATTTGTGGAGAGCGCAGACTGGCCACGCCCCCTTAGAATCGGATTTTTAAAATTTTTTGAAGCTTGCCATGAGATTTTCCATAACAACATCGGCAAAGTCGGAAAGAGTGGAAAAAGCTCCATAGAAATTTTCCTGTTTTCCTGCCTTTTTGGGCCATTTTCTCGGCTCTTATGCACCGTTTTTACTGCCTCTTCCTTTTTCCACCATTTCTTGAGCCTTTGAAATCTCAGAAAAAAGGAAGGCTTGATAAAGGGACTCTTTTTGGCTCCCTTTCTGAGGCCTTTCTGCTGCCTTTTTTGAGCTTCTCTCTTTTAACGGCCATTCCGACTTTGCCCGAGACTATTTCAGAAGATTCTAAAATTAATTTCTTCTAAAAAGTGCTCGAATTTTCCAGGTTCGGCCAGAGTTGAGGAAGTCGACGCCGACGACTTTTGTCTGGTCGATCGTGACGACGAAAACGATGAAGATCCTCATGAACTGGTAAGGAAATGAAGTAACTTTGAGCGAAAAAAATTCCTAGAATTTTTGAATTTTTTCTGTTCCTAAGCACGAAAATGATATTTTTTGAAGTTGTTAGGTGTTCAAAGTAATTTCCGCGAAATTCACATTTATCTCTGACTCTCCAAAATCTAGTGATCTTGTTCTTTCTCTGACGCCTTGAGTTTGGCGGACTCAAGGACCTCTTGACAGGTTTTTGAGAGAATTAAAAAGAAAAAAAGTCATATGAAGCTTAATGAACGAATTGCAGCATTTTTTTAAAAAAATTTAGGACCAATTTTTTTATCAATAAAAGTTGTGTTTCTCAGTCTAGTTAAATATTTTTTTAAAGGTTTTCTTACGATATTTTTCGTATTTTTTTGGTAAGTTTAAAAAGTTTAAAAAAATAATATTTTTCTAACTATCCCATGAAGACATTCTCCACATAAAAAAAAACGGTTCAGAGGTTTTTAAAGTTCAATTGCTTTTTTTGTGACAATCTAGTGGCCTTTTTTATAAGTTTATAAGCTTTTTTGCGAAAATTTTCAAATACTATGTTATTCTCAGCATCACCTTGATTATATTCGATTTTTTTCCAGGTTGAATGGTCCCTATCCCAAGTTTTGGCGGCTTTGAGCGATCCGGACACGGCGGTTCGATGGTCGGCGGCGAAAGGAGTTGGGCGGATATCGGCCCGACTTCCCAAGGACTTCGCCATGCAGGGTTCGCTTTCAAATTAGAGAAAAAGCAGAAAAACTGAAGAGTTATCGAAAAATGTGTCCGTCCAAGGAAAAAAAAAGTCCGCTCAGAGATTTCATGATTCCCGGAACGATTAGCGAATCAGGGACACGTTGGTTGTAGTATTATTATCTGAAAAATTCAATCGATGTCGTTTTTTTCAACTTGGAAATATCAAACTTTCATAGAAATTTAGAAAAAAACTTGTTTTTTTCCGTGTGAAACTTTCAGTTGATTTGCACCAAAAATATTGTTAATATTTCTTAATTTTTGAATTAAAAATCGAAAGTTAATGAGGGTGGATCAACTTTGGTCAAACGTCAGTTTTGTGGAGCTCCGTTTAGTTTTATTTTATTCGAAAGTTTCTTATTTTGAATTCAGGGACATTTTTTCGGTAAAATTTCTCCTGAGGATCAGGACCAAACTCTAAGAATATGAAGGAAAATAAAAAAAGTCCATTTGAAGGTGTTAAGAATGGTTTTTCTGTCTAATTTTTGACTTTTTCGAAATTTTCTCACTACAACAAGTTAGGTATAAAGTGCTGAATTCGAAAAAAAAGCTGAGAAAAATTCCAAAAGCAAAGACATTGATACATTAAAAATCGTTTGGTTTTTAACTGAAAAAAACAAAAATTATTTTTCCACTCGAAACTGCCCATATGCTGTGAAAATTATATTTTTTAGTTCAGAAAAGTTCTGAATTTTGTGAGATCCATCTTTTTTTTGATGAAAATGTTGATTTTCTCTGCTTTTTGAGGGGTTCCAGCTGACATTTTTTCTCTTCTCCTGCGAATCTCAAGTGTAAAAATTGCTTTTCAGTGGTGGAATCGATCCTGAACTCGAATTTCGACGTCCATTCCGGCTACGCCTCTTGGCACGGCGGCTGTATGGCGCTGGCCGAACTGGCCAGACGAGGATTTCTGCTTCCCGAACTCCTTCCGACGGCTTTTCCCATCGTCCAGAAGGCCCTGTTCTATGAGGAACCCATGGGCAAACATCAGAATGGCAATCAAGTAACATATTAAATGTCGCGTTTGAAGTAATTTCTGAACGAAAAATTGCAATTTTTGGTTCGAAGTGACGTCAAACTTGTTCCCGACAGTGAGCAAGAAAGATGTGGAAAAAACGGGATTTTGAAATTTTCGCATCATCTGACAGCATTTTTTGTTCAAACGATACTTTGGGAAAGTCCAGGCCGTGCTATAAAGTATGGACGTTCACAAAATGCGACCGGTACGACCACCTATAAAATGCGACCACTTTTTTTGTGCCCCACTGCAAATTAATAAAATACGGGCGTTTCTTAATCTTATCATTTTCTGGCATTTTTTTCAAGTTTTTTTTATTTTTTTCCTATCTTTTCTAATGAAGAAAAACTGTTCAAAAAACGAAATTAATAAACTGATTATGATAAATTTTTCTTTAATCGCTCAAAAAACTTCTCATTAGGAGCTTTTAAAAACGATTTTATACATGTCATGAATCTGTAATAAACCGGAAATAAGGTGAATAATTGACTACGTGACAAAATAAATCTTGAAAAATATCAAAAATACAAAAAATGACATCACTTTACGGATCAGGAAGCTATCGAAAAATATTAGAATTTCGTTGAATTTTAAAAAAATAATGAAAAATTTAAAAAAATGCCCGTTTTTTTATTAATTTGCAATGGAGCACAAACAAAGCGGTCGCATTTTCTAAACGCCCGTACTTTATAGCATGCCAAAATCCAGAAAACAAAATTAGAGTTTTAATTGACAGTATAATTTTGCTTTATCTATAAATTAATAGAATTAATTTTTAATAGGGACTACCACCAAACAGTTTTAAAATGACCCTTTTACCTAAAAATATGGAATGAAACGTTAACTAATTCTTTCTCAGGTTCGAGACGCGGCTTGCTACGTTTTGTGGGCGTTCGCCAGGGCTTATGAACCCGAGGAAATGGCGGAATATGTCAAGAAATCGGCGACTGGCCTGGTTCGTCTTCATTTTGGGGGAAAAAAGTTCATAGTACATCATGAAAATTGGGTTTAATGTACTGAAAATTCTTTCACTGTGAAAAAGTTTAGTGGCCACTATAGAAACTCGCCAAGGAGTACTTGGAGAGGACACTGAAGTGGCCACTAAACCCACCTCTATAGTGGCCACTTCAGTAGTTTTTCATCCAGTATTCCTTCCAGTAACTCAGATATTTTTGAAACAAACAGATCGGACCAGTTATGTTGATCCATTGACCCCTAAAGTGGCCACTAAAACTTTTAGTGGTCTAGTAGTCGCACTTAGACCTCTATTGTAGCCACTTAATTTTAACTCCTTGAGTGGCCACTAACTTGACTACTTTAGTGGCCACTTGAAAATTTTCCCAGTAAGTCTCCAAAATTAACTTAAATCATGCTCTGTGTATGCTAACGTTTGAGAAAAATGTGGTCCACATTTTTTTCTATCTTTTTAAAAATTTACTTTTTTTGGGCCAATTCAGTTATAGAAATATAATTCGCTTTGAACTTTTTAAGAAAAATAATTACTTTAAGGTTTTTTTAATGCAAATGTGACTAATTTTCTTCAATTTTTGGGTTAAAAAAAATTTTAGATACCATGATTCAGCAGAGATTTTCTACAACTTACTCTGAATATTGAATTAATTGAAAAAAAAAAGTTTTAGAGTTTTAAACCCGTTATTTTCTTATTTCCCGTCAAAATTCAGTTGCTTATCGTTTCATTTTATAGTCAATGTTTCCCGACTTGAAAGGCGAAGGAGGCGGGGCAAGGGGCGGGACGCGTAGCGTGTGCGTTCGCGGTTCTTGGCGCGAGTTCAATTCAATTGTCGCCGACTATTTAAAAAAAGCTCGGCAACCGCTCTTTTCTCAATGTTTTCTACTAATTTTGATGCAAATATTAACATAATCAATAAATAATTGAAAAAAAGGAATGAAAAAGAGCGAAAAAGCGCGCTTTTTAAATGGTCGGCGACAAATGAATTGAACTCGTGCCACGAACCGCGTACGCACACGCTACGCGTCCCGCCCTTTGCCCCGCCTCCCTCGCCTTTCAAGTCGGGAAAAATTGACTATATCTTGCAAGAAAGGAATTTCAATGAAAAAAAAAACGTGTAACTAGTAAAATTTCAATTTAATAATCTTCCCTTGCAAGGCCTCCATAAAAATAAAAAAATAGCCGGTAAAATAAAGTAACTTTAGAGTTTAAAAAAACCTAAATTTCAAATTTTTTTGATTGAAAAATCAGTTCCCTGTCATTCTATTTAATTTTTTTAAAGATTTGCGCCGCCCTGTTCGATCGTGAAGTCAACTTGAGAAGAGCAGCTTCTGCCGCTTTCCAGGAAAATGTCGGGCGGCAGAGGCATTTTCCGGATGGGATTGCCTTGTTGACTATTGGTGAATAATTGTTTTTTTATCGCAGAAAAAAATCTTGATAATAATATTTTTTATTCATAACAAATCAGGAATGAAGGTTCGATTAATAAAGTTTGATATTAATGAGAAATTGTAATAATTCATTTTGAAAATTTGAGAGAAGGGAAATTTAAAAAAAGACAAAATAATGGCTCTTATAGGGGTAATGATTAGGGACCCTTATCTTGGTGTTAGAATCGGACGCTTAAGCCCCTAAAGCTTGAGAGGCCCCTTAAGGGGTCTTTGAACTTTTTTTATGATTTGAAAGCTGAAAAAGACGAACTTGATCAATTCTATAATTATACATTTTTTTAAATTTAATTAACGGTTTTTTTAAGAACTAAACCGCTCTAGCGACCACTAGAACGCCCCCTGTAGGGATCACTAAAACTTGCAGAAAAGTCTCTTATAGGGGAAGGTGAGAAGGTTTTTATAGTGGAACCTTCAAGGGCCCTAAAGTTGCTTCTTTTAGGACCACTCTGGAGCTCTTAAGTAACTTTTTCAGCCGATTATTTCGCCGTCGGGAACCGTCAGAGGTGCTACACGGATGTCTGTGTGAAAGTCGCCCAATTTCCGGCTTATTCCTTGCCCATCGTTGAACACATCGTTTCTATGAAGGTAAGAAAAAAGTTCAAAACGAGATTCAGTGCAAAGTTTTAGTGAATTTAGCGCGAACTTGTAATTTCTTTGTAAAAAAAATTGAGAAAAAAAAAATGCAGTATACAGAGATTTTTTTCGCTTCAATAACCGCCCATTTTTGTGTCTTCGCTTTAAGACCCGTGAATTGAAATGGATACGGTATTTTCCAGAAAAAACGTGAAAAGTTGGCGCGGAGTAGAGTCTTACAAGTTTTCAAAACTTACTGGAACTTAGGAATTTTTTTTTTGCGTTCAATTCAAATTTTCATGCATATTTTTCTCAAAGATTCTCTTCAGCTTCACCGGAAAATTTTTAGTGACAGGTTTTACTATCACAAAAAGAGTTCACAACAGTTTTTTTCTTCAAGATTTGACTTTTTTAATTTTTCCAAAACGAATCATGGTATATATTGTAGTTTGAAGATTTTAAAACCAGTAAGCTCGAAAAATATTGAACAATATTTTATTTTTTTTGGAGATTGGAGGTTTTCAAGTACGAAGTTCTGTTAAGTTTGATCCGAATTTTAGCCAAAAAACTTTTTTTTTCGAGGAAAACCTTATTTTCTTCTGCCTAGAATGGAATCTGGATGCTCAAAAGTACGTCTCCGAAAAAGTCCTGAAAAATTCTGAATATTTTTTTATTTACGTTTTTTTCGCCTTCGAAAAAAAGTTTAATAAAGAAGACAAATGAATTTAGGTGATCCATTGGGACGAAAGAGTTCGGGAGCAGGCGGCTCTGGCGTTGGAAAAACTCGGAGACTCGATTTCTCGCCTTGGCGCCGACGTTTATGAAAAGATCGTAGAACGGCTTTGTGATGGATGTTTCTCGACAAACCCGGTACGAATCCTAAGAAATTCTGGATTTTTTGAAATTAGAGAGCGTTGAAAAATAAGAGAGTAGTCGTTCTTTTCTTCTCTAACCGCTCTCTCGTTTATCAGTGCTCTCTAGCTCTCGCAATTGCGACGAGCCCGGGGAAAATTCCAGGAATGTACGACTGGATCTTCGGAAGTTAGAGAGCGTTTAAAAATGAGAGATCGTTCCTTTTTCTCTACTCTATCTCGTTTACCAGTGCTCTCTAGCTCTCGAAACTTCGACGAGCCCGGTGAAAATTCCAGGAAATTCTATGCCTGGATCTTTGAGAGCTAGAGAGCGTTCAAAAACGAGAGAGCAGGCGTCCCTTTTTCTCTAAACGCTCTCTCGTTTATCAGTGCTCTCTAGCTCTCGAAGCTTTGACGAGCCCGGTGAAAATGCCAGGAATCTCTACATCTGGATTTTCGAGAGCTAGAGAGCGTTCAAAAATAAGAGAGTAGTCGTTTCTTTTTCTCTACTCTCTCTCGTTCACCAGTGCTCTCTAGCTTTTGAAGCTTCGACGAGTCCGGTGAAAATCCCAGAAATCTACAACTATATCTTCGAAAGTTAGAGAGCGTTGAAAAATGAGAGAGCAGTCGTTCTTTTCTTCTCTAACCGCTCTCTCGTTCACCAGTGCTCTCTAGCTTTGAGGAGACAGACGCAGGCTCAGTTCTAGAGATATTCTTCAAGTTTAATGGAGCAAAAAGGAAATTTTTCGAAGAGAGAGATTTATGAATATTAATGTTCCTACTGCTGAAAAAATTGTACACCTTTTAAGAAAATTTCGCCTTTTTGCAATCCTTAAGGGGTTTAGAAGCGAAAACGCAATGAAAAGTTGGGTTTACGGTAGCTTTTTTTGTATGTTTTTTACCGTTAAGGAATAAATTTCACAATATTTTTTTGACGGTCTTCAGAATTTTTTTCGCTCTTGAAGTTCATTTCAAAGAACTTTAAAAAGCACGCGAATGAAGTGAATTTGACGGAAAAATAAAAAAATATATGAAATTCTCGAAAAATTTATGTATTCATCTTTTTTTTTACCTTGAAAGAAATGAAGAAATTCGGAACGAACCTATATTTTCTCGAATGTTTTTAAAACAAAAAAATGAAACAGAAAAATCGCGTTTTCCCCTTAATTTTTGGTTTTGCATTTTCCACTAAAAATAACGCCGTGCTGATCAGCAAATGATTTTACACCTTTTGACTATTCTCGTATAAAAGTACCAACACGGGCAAAGTCCAAAAAGTCTCAAAAAGGACTTTTGGAAAAAAGCGCCATTTTTCTAGACCTTTTTTCTGAAAAGGACCTTTTAAGGAAGACTAGAAAAACAAGGCAGAAAAAAGAAGATTCCGAGAAACTTTTGACACCTTTTTAGGAACTTAAAAAATGAGCTTTAGCCTCTTCTTTTTAAGGCCTCTTTAAGATCGTTTGGACTTTCGCTGTGAAACTGTTTTCTACCACGGTAGAAACTGTAATTTGATCGAAGCGTTTTCTCAACTTTCGATAGTCTGTTCAGATTTTTAATGTCAAGTAGAATGACGTCGATCAAAAACATTCTGTGAATGGCTCGCTCTCTGATTGGTTTATCGCACCATTAGGGGCGGGGCTTGAGCGACGACTTGACATTGAAAATCTGAACAGACTATAGAAATTCAGCAATGAATACATGGAAATTTTCCTTGAGAAGTTATTCATAACAATAGAACGTTTTTTTTCTCCTTCAGGTGCATCGCCATGGTTACGTGCTCGCAATAGCTCATACTATCAAAGGATTGTCGATTTGTGGCATCTCGGTAAATAAAAAGGTGATTTACAACACTTTTATGTATCTCACATTATTTATAATTTGTTTTTCAATATTTTCTCTCATTTGAGCAGTTTTTTGTGAAGGACATGTTATAAATATAAAGTGCGACCGCTTTTTTTGTGCTCCACTGCAAATTAATAAAATACGGGCGTTTTTGAATTTTTGACGAAATTCAAATTTTTCCCATAGCTTCCTGACCAGTATAGTGAGGTCATTTTTTTGTGTTTTTTTGATATTTTTTTCAAGATTTATTTTGTCACGTAGTCAATTATTCACCTTATTTCCGGTTTATTACAGATTCATGACATGTATAAAATCGTTTTAAAAGCTCCTAATGAGAAGTTGTTTGAGAAATTAAAGAAAAAAATATCATAATGAATTCATTAATTTCGTTTTTTAACAGTTTTCTTCGAAAGGAAAGGCAGGAAAAAACAACAAAATTGAAAAAAGTGCCAGAAAAGAGAGAAGATTAAGAAACGCCCGTGTTTTATTAATTTGCGGTGGGGCACCAAGAAAAGTGGTCGCATTTTAAAGGCGTTCGCACCGGTCGCATTCTACACAATCACGCGGAACAGCCTATATGATTGAAAGCTTTAAAACATGGAGTATTAAAGGCATAGGGGCAGTAAAAAACGGTGTTTCAGTTCAAAGCTGTACTTTGTATAGTTTTTCATTGCGAATCGAACGGTGAACTTGGAAAAGTTCAGAAGTTCCTAGTTTTGGAGAAAAAATAATTCAAGTTCGGAGAAAGGAAAGCTTGTGTTCCCGCGAAAAGATGGTACGATTTAAACTCAAGTCCGCAATTCTCCGGAGCCGTTATCTCAGAGTACCGTAATCTCAAGGTCCATAATCTCCGAAACCACTTATCTCCGAAAACAAAAAACTTCAATTTTCTTTCTCTTTTTTGCATAATGTTTCCATTTTTTTCTTGTGTTGTGCTCAGAATACAATCTCCGAACAAAATGTTCCGCCGAACCCTAATTTCTTCATCAAATCTCTACTTTTATTGAGAAGCTGAACAATTTTAAGTGAAGCCGCTTCGAAGCTCGAGTTTTACTCTTTTTTCTTTGCTGTCTACATGAAAAAGTGATCAGAGAAGCTGAAGGACAAGAAAGAAAAGAAAGAAATATCAGTTCGAAAAAAATTGAAACTTATTTTCACTCAGTGGAAAAAAATAAAAAAAGTTTTAAAAAAACGAAAGTATTTGGATTTTTGTACGCAGTTTCGATCGGAGATTGTATTCTGAGCACAACACAAGAAAAAAATAAAAAAATAAAATGCAAAAAAAGAGAAAGAAAAATTGAAGTTTTTTTGATTTCGGAGATAAGTGGTTTCGGAGATTATGGGTCTTGAGATTACGGTACTCTGAGATAACGGCTCCGGAGATTTGCGGACTTGAGATAAAATCGTACCATCCGCGAAAAGGGCGCTTTGTAGTAAAGTTGCTCTATGGGCAACAGGCTTCGCCATCTTGCGGATATTCGCTTTTTTTCTTCGTTTCTTTCAATTTTCAATTTTTTCTGTTGTCACCAAAGTTCTTTCCGTCACAAAAGCTTTCTATTCATGTATAATTTGCAAACTTTAATCGCGAAAATGCTTTTCTGGTGAAAAATGATGATTTTACACAGGTTTCGATTGGGATAGCGATATTTTGTGTTTTCTTTATTATTTCACCTGAAACCCCGTTTTTTACTGCCCCTATGCCTTTAAGGTCCTCTATGAAGATTATGTTTCAGGTGATTGAACGGATCGCCTGGCTACCACGAGACTTGGCCGCTGAAAGTCAAAAACTGAAATTTGCCGGAGGATTACTAACAAGGAAGTCGCTTTGCCGTTTCATGACGGCCTGTGCCGAGGCGGCGATTCCCCTGACGGAAGATCAGGTCGACGCGTGGCTCGAGAGGATTCTCGCCTTGGCCAGGGATGACTTGGAGGTTCTTGTATTTTTCAGAAATTAGAAAAAAAACGTGAAAATTCATGTACTGAAGAGATTTTTCGAAAAGAAGTTACTAAAAGTAATTTTTTTGGTCTTTTTTTCGCTTTCCAAGCTTCTGTCAGAATTACCTACAGTAATACCGACAGTAATCCTACAGTAATTCTACTGTAATAATTACAGTAATCTTGTTAGAACCTACAGTAATCCTGTGCTTTCTTCGAAATTCCACAAATTATTGATTTTTTTGTTTCTCGACCTTTTTCTATTTTATTACGGAAGCTTTGAAGTCGGTTTTATTAAAATCAAGTTTTTTTGGGGATTTTTCTGGATTAGAGGGTTTATTTTAGAATTAATTTTTTTAATTTGAAAAAAATGATATAATTTTTCTCCGTTTATTAATTTTCAAAAGTTCAATTTTCTCGGGAAAAAAATTCTAAAAGCTCTTTTTTTAAGAAGATTTTTCAGAAGTTGAGCCTGAAAATGACACTTCATAATTTTTTTCAGTTTTACGTTTTTTTATTGGAGGTGTTTTTTTACTAACTAGGGATTGTTTTTTTAAAAAAACAAGGATAACATTTCTCGCAAAGTTAATGAGCTTCAAAAGCTTGAAATAGCGCTTTTTTGTCATAATTTGAGTGTTTTGTGGACTTTGAAGCTTCATAGTTTCATCGAAAGTTCAACAGGGGGGTGAAAAAAACGTTTCCTAGTAAGTAGTCAGTTTTTGGATTTTCGAGAGTTTGAGAATGTGTAAGAGATTAACAAGGTTTCATTCACTGATAAAACTGGAGCCACTTTTTCAAATTTTTTTTGAGAATCAAGATCATCTTTCCAGGCCCATACAATCCGTGAACTTGCCGCGACGGCTGCAAATGTTGTCGTGAAACAATATTTGAACGAACCTTCTTCCATCGAACGTCTCCGGAAGTTCCAAGAACAAATTGGGCACTTTGTGAGTTTGGGAAAGTCTCAGAATAGTGTTGGAGCATTGAAAAAACAGGTAAACTTTGAAAAATTCAACTTATAAAGCAATACTCATCATATCTTCTAAAAAGGAAGAGCTTCTCAGTTTTCTTTGCTTGAAAAAAAAAATAATATTTATTGGTTTTTCACGCCCTTTTTAAGGCGGCCGGTCGGATTACGGTAGTCAGGATAGGTTTTTCGGTAATAAAATAAAATCTTGTGTGCTTTTCGTGACGTAACTTATCTTGTAATCTCAAGAAATAGGTCCTTAAAAAGTTGCGAAAAAGAATAAACATTAAAAAAATTTCCTGGCTCCGAAACTGACGTCGCAAAATTGACCGGCCACTGTCTTAAAAATGCGTGTTTTCTTATCTTCTCCTTCTTCTTACGCCTTCCAACCGCCCTAGAATTTCTAATACCCCGCGGCGCGGACCGAACTTGTGACCCCGCGAACCGTAGACAGGCAAACAACCTATTGCGCTACGGCGCGCCGCTCCTTAGTTTATTTGATTTAAATTATATTCAGATGACGTCGACCTCAAGGGAAACGGAACGTATCGGAATGTGCATGCTTTGTCCCACGGTCCCGTCAAAAGTCGTCAAGGATGAACTATTTCTTTCACTCTGTAATTTGGTTGTTAGGTGAGTAGAAATTAACGTAAATACTGGAAAGTTCGATCGTTTTTAAAAGTAGCCATTTTTTGAAAATTCTGAAGTTTTTTTTTCAGTTCAAAATTGTCCGTAGAATTCTTGATTTTGGTTAATTTAAAAATCCAACACAGGATTTTGTTGAAAAAAAATGGATTAATGAAATGAGACTCATTAGAAAAAAAAAATTATTGCCTTAATCATCCTCGAGGTCGTATTTTACAAATGGAAAATACGGCCTAACTTCCCAAAAAAAAATTACCGTCCTAAATTTCGTAGTTTGTTGTGCACGCAGGTGGCCAGTGAAGACGTTGTAGTAGAAAATTTATTAGTAACAAGAAACTAGACTATACTAGACTCTTTACAATAACAAGCAAGGGGTTATATAGTGTTGAGGGAAGATAGTCCGAAGAATATGGAATGTTCCAGAATAAAGGTGGAGTTTAGATAGTATTGAGATTAGAGCAAAAGATGGAACATTCCAGAGTTTTAGAGAACTGTCCCGACAGCAGTAGAACATTCGAGAACAATGTGGAACCTTCTAGAAAGGTATAGAATACTTGAGAAGGTTGTGGAACTTTCTAGAAGGAAAACCTTTACACATGATCCCTATGACGTAATGAGACTAGAAATGTGTAGAATACTATAGAACATTCTAGAATCAGCTTAATATAAGCGTTATGCCTCCAACATAGTTCTTAATAATGGCGACCAAAAAAAAAGGTGTTTTTTGAATTTCACTTAAGGTCACTCTTCTTTATATAATTTGAAATCGAAGTATGAATGCATCAGTGTTTTAAACTTCAAAAGCAATTTTTTGCGGGAAAGTTGAAATTTCGGAAAAAAAAACAGAAGATACAGCTTCCGGATTTTCAAAAAACTGGTTGTAATATAAATAAATATCTATTTTTAAAGCTTTGAAGCCCTAACGGAGCCAAAAAAAACTTTGAGAAATTTGAGAACTTGAAAAACTAACCAATAAAAAACCGACCGACTTTTCCACCATGCCTAAGGGGATTGACGAAAATCAAGAGAAAAAAAATAGGAGGCTATTCTGAAAAAAACGACCAAGTTTCCAAGTTTCAGGCCAACGCCTAACGACAAGAAATGGGCGATTGCTCGTCAATTCGCCGTGGAAGCGATTCATCGGCTCTTTATGGACGCGATCGATGCTGGAAATCACGAAAAATGGACCGAAATATGTTTCGAGACGCTTTTGCGCGCCTTGGACGACTACACGACGAGCGCTCGAGGCGATATTGGACGATATGTGCGTAAAATAGGAATTTAAGCTTGATAATAACTTAGGAATTCCAGAGTGGCCCCTATAGAGGCTCCCCAAGGACTACTTGGATAGGACACTAAAGTGGCCACTAAAGTGGCCACTAAACCCAGCTCTATAGTGGTCACTATAGAGGTTCTCTATTTAGTGGCCACTTCAGTGTTTTTTTTTTTGACCCCTAAGGTGGCCACTAAAATTTTTTCTAGTAGTAGCACTAAGACCTCTATAGTGGTCACTAATTTTTAACCCTTTAAGAGGCCACTAATTTGACTACTATAGGGACCACTAAAACGTCAAAACCCTATAGTGACCACTAAAGTTTTTCACAGTAGGGGCCGAAAAAGTGGTCTCTACAGGGGTTAAGGGACTGATGCCTTAGTCCCTAAAGCTCAAGTGGTTCCTATAGGGGTCTTTCAACTCATTTAATTTTTCGCTTTGAAATGCTTCTTCGAGAGATTATAACAACTATCGACTAGCATGTTCCCTATAGGGACCACTTTTGCAAGGTTTTGGGGCTCCTATAGAGGGTGGTAAAGTGGTCCCTAGAACCCCCAAGATTGCTACTATAGGGACCACTCTGAAGTTCCTAGGAATATTAGGTTATAGAAAGTATATAATCCATTTTTCACGTCTTCAAATTTCTCTGCACCCTCCTCGTCTCTCGGTGACCCTCTCATTTTGAAGTGCTCTTTTTATTTTTCTCTGGCGAGGGAACAAAGAGACGCAGGCACGCGAAAACTTCATGGACTATAATATTCATAAAATCTTTTGAATCAGTAGGAAAAGTTTTATAAAAGCTCAAAGTAACCAGCGAAACGCAAAATGATCTCTGTCTCTCCCAAATTTTGTTATATTTTCACTTTCTCGGGTCAACTTTCATATTGAATAATGAACACATATTAGTTTTTCTCTTTGCCTTGGAACGTATCACTTCCTGGTTTGATAAATCAAGGAATTTTGAGGGAAATTACCTGGAAAAAAGATCGTTTCTGGAAAAGGGTATCGCGAAAAATAAATCTGGTTCCCGAGTTTTGACGCTTTGAGAACTTCAATGTATTCCTTCTTTTAATATATGTATTTTGTGAAGTTCAAAACGTCATATAGCTGATTCTCGGCTGGCTTGAACCATCAAGAAAATGGTCCTGCCACGAAAAGAGAAGAGAGAGTGCCTGGTTTGGGAGAGCGCAGACATGCCACGCCTCCTAGCTTCCCAAGTTAGCCGAGAATCAGCTATAGCTCGTTTTTTTGTTTGTTTAGAATCTGAAGCTTCTGGGAGAAACTTAACACAATCTCCCTGTAACAGGTGTTAATTGACCTGTGTTGTCAGGTACGGCAGGCGAGCATCGGAGCGATGTCAGATGTTTTGACCCACGAGAAATTGGATCTGGCCACCTTGGACAGATATACAATGATCTGCACGCGTAACATTATCCGCCAGAGTGCCGAGAAAATCGGACGCACTCGAGAGGTACGGTATCTTCTTTTTTGTCTGATTGGTAACATGAAAAGTTCCGTAACTCGAAAATTCCTACAGTAACCCAAGAGGGTATGTACTGTGAAAGTTTATAAGATTGGATTACCTCCCGATTGATATTCCTGCGTAGCTTAAAAGTATAAAAATCGAGAAAGTACCGTAACTCGAAAATTCCTACAGTAACCCAAGAGGGTATGTACTGTAAAAGTTCCTAAAATTAGATTACCTATCGATTGATACATCACTTGTCTAGTAAAAACTCTTCAAAACTTAGATACGCAGGTGCACACCGGCCTACCGTAACCCGGCTACAGTAGGAGGGAGTGGCTCAAAAAGTTGCGTCCACTGTTTTGATGATGGTTTCATCCAGTGTGATAATATATGATTTCGTTGGGATTCTTAAGAAACTTTTGTTTTCTCAAGTAAAAGGATTTTTTTTCAGTGCGCCTGTAGAGCGTTGATCCAGTTGTTATCGGCTGAAAAAACGCGGTCGAGAATCCCAAAAACGGAAGTTCTTGACGTCGTTTTCGTCGACGCACATTCCTTCATTTTGGTGAGTTTCGAAAGTTTTAAACGGGAATTTTAAATGGAAAAAACGTTGAAATCGGTCACTAACTCTTCTTGATATTGGATTATCTAAAAACCTTTTATAAAATTTGACCATGCTCCTTTAAACTTGCCAGCCAAGAGTTTTGAAGGAAAGGAACGTCAAGAAAAATATTTTAAGATATTTTTTCATTTCGAGAGTTTCAAAGGCAAATTTGGTAAGGAAAAATCTACGAAATCGGTTATTAACTTTGAAATTTTTCCGACCTCTGGATTGTCTAAAAATAACAATGAACACAGCATCTATGAGCCTTTTTAAAATTTGACCATGCTCTTTTAATCTTACCAGGAGGACATTTTTAACAAACTGTTGGTTCAAAAATTATATTTTTGGTTTTTTTCCTTCATTTTGACGATTTTCAAAAGTTCCAGACGCTGATTTCGATGAAGTAAACGTTGAAAAAGCTTTTTTTGAAATTGTTCTGACCCTCATATAGTTTAAAAAAATAACAATAAGAACAGATTCTACGACCTTTTATAAAGTTTGACCACGCTCCTTTGAACTTACCAGGAGAACATTTTTTTAACAAACAGAAGGTTCAAAAAAATAATATTTTTTTCAATATTTCTTCTTTTCGACGAGTTTCAAAAAGTGTCAGCCGCAAATTTCTAAAGGAGAAGCTTCAGAATCAGTTATAACACTTTTTTGAAAATTTCGAATTTCCAAAAAGTAGCGATGAATGAAGATTCTTCTTCTGAATAAGCGAAAAAAATTTCTGAGTCTGAAAAAAATGGGATTTCTTAACCTTTGATAAATTTTTTTCCATGCTCCTTTAAACTTACCAGCAAACATTTTTTTGAAGAAACTGTAGATTCAGATATTTTATTACTTCTTCAAAGTCAGTTCGATTGAAAAAAACAGTTGGAACCCATTTTTTTGTACGAAAAAAACTTTAAAAAGTATTATTTTGGTCATTTTCCGCCAGTTTTCGGGCTTCTCAAGGGCAAAGAACAGTCTCAAAAAAACAAGAATCCAAAAGCTCTTTTTTTGAATTTTTCAAAAGTGGTGTCAAAAAGCTTCTCGGAACCTTTTTCCCAAAAAGGTCAAGAAAAAAATGAGCTTTTTTTCAAAGGTTTTTATTTCAAGTACTGTGAATGTACTTTTTTTGGCTTTTTTGGAAAAAAAAATCTTTTTCCATTTTTTTGTCATTTTGAAGTTGAAAAAAACTCGATAGTTAAGATTAATATGAACAAATTTATGTTCAAAAAAGATCTGAAAAATGTTTACCTTTTCTAGTTTTTTGGTCCATGTTTCAAAGAAAAGCATGAAAAAGTATCTATAAATCCTTTCAAAACGTTAAAAATTGAACTCTATCTTTTTTCACGCAAAAAATTGTCTCGATACGCTTCCGCGGCTGCCAATAGCGCCCCCTTTTCCTTGAATTTTTTTCTTTTCTTGATTGATTCCTTCCCTCACTCCCACGTGACCCGCAATTCGTGTATCAGCTCGGAAAATTGCTGCGTTTTTTGTGCGTTCCTATACTGAGATTTTTGAGCTTTTTAGTAGGAATTCCCGTTCATTTTCTCCGTATTGAAATTTGAAAATGAGAAAAAAACTTCAGCTTGAAAATGGCAATATTCTTTTTCTCAGATTTTTAACCTCTAAATTTAATAATTCAGTAAATGATAATACAAATTTTTCAACACAATGATCTCCGTTTTCTGTGACTTTATGTTGAATTTTGCGTTTTTTTCAGTGAAAAAAATTTCGTTTATTTGTTTCTGAGAAAGTTTCCTGTGATCATATTTTCTTGTAGTTTCAAGAAATCCTCCATAATTTGAAAAAAATATTTACTTGTTTCATGAAAAATTTTGCAGCATTTTTTTCTCCAATGTTTTTCTTCTCGGATAAGAGCGAAAGTGTTTCTAATTGATTTACTTTTGATATTTTTCTGTAAAAAGGATTTTTTTCATTTTCAACGCTTCGATTATCTGTACCCTTTAGTCAAAAAAATTTTTAAAAAAATAAATAGATGATTTTCTAAATTTATTCTCAAATCCTTTTGGAGAAAAAATTGGCATAAAAGGCAACAATAATATATTTTAGCTGATCAAATACTGATTTTTTTACTAAATTCAGTCTGAATTTATTTTTTTGCACGGATGGGATTCCTGATATTATCTCATTCAAATTTTTGTTGCTTTATATATAATTTAAAAAAATGGTATTTTTGGAGAAATGCCCATTCACATCACCATATGACGAAGGAAAGGGTAATAAAATATGTGTTGCTATTTTGGCGCCAAGTCTCTAAAGAGCGGTCTTTTTTGGGATTTGAGCTTTTGAATAACGGCTTTTCATGCACATTTTCCGAATATTTTATTAATTGTCTCGAATATTCGAATTTCAAATTGCAAGTATTTGATGGATCTGATCAGAACTTTTTCGGAATATCAAAATCGAGCAGATCTATTTTTTCAACTTTTTTCGTGTCGTTTGTTTTTTTTTCTCCGGAGACTCCATTAATAAATATATGAAGGAAGAAAAAATAGGAAAAGTCCTGAATTTTTTTTTGTTTCAGCAAGAATTTTGAACCCGTCATTGAACAATTTTTATTGTAAAAAAACGAAAATGATAGGAAAGATAAATTTTTTCTACTAGAAAAATTTTTCCTCTCCATCTTTCTCCATTTTTCGGCTGCTCTTAGCCGTCTTTCATTACCAAAACTTTCACTTTCATTGAAACCTGCTTAGAATTGTTTTAATGGTGTTTGAAGTTGTCACATTTATCTCGAAAAAACCGAAAAAGTGTTTTGTCCGGCGAATTTTATAAAGGTATGATTCCTGGAAAAATTAGAGTTTTTGAGAATTCAAAAAAATTCCGCAGTTTCATTTTACTCGATTCTTTTTTTAAAAAAATGAGTCCTAAAAATCAGAATTTTAACATTTCCAAAAAAAAAAGTTTGAGCGCTGAATGTTTTGAAGATCTTTTTCCTTTGATTTACCCGCCGTCCATTTTCAAATTTTCCCCTTTTTTTGGCTTTTTTCGTTGATATTCACCAGTTTTCTCTCTTTTTCTTCACTTTCAAAGTTTCAGAAAAAAATCTTGATTTTTCTAGGTACCAGAAAAAAAAGCATGAACTTACTTTTTTGTTTGAGCAGAAGTGGGTATTTTTTGTGCTTCAAATAAAGCTTTCACTTGTTTTCAGTGCAAAATAATGGTTCATTTATCCGTCTTTATGATTTCAAAAAGTTCGAAAACGTCTAAAAGTCGACTTGAATAGGAAGAACAAAATTTTTATAGTCTATTCTCGAGGAGAAGAATCCTATTTTTGGGCTCTTTCTCATAAATTTCAGTGATAATGAACCCGTTTCGAAAGCTTCATCGAGAAATACCTCGAAATTGAACTTTCTTCGATTCCAGGACAAGACAATCGTGACATTATCTCCGTTGTTCGAATGCCCGGAATATCTGTCGGACTTGGTCTACGGCCTGGTGATGTCCGCTGGGGGCATCAGCGAAGGAACCGAGAAATCGGGAAAATTCACTCTTTTGGAATATCAAAAGTCGGTTTCGAAGAAGCCTGAGGTTCGTTTGTGTGTGACGGAAATACGAAAAAATCATAAAATTGGGATGAATTGAGGCTTAACTCTTGTGAAGGGTCACAGAAACTGTAAATTGAGTCGCTTGAAAGGAAAAATCCTTTTTTGTCACCTTGAGAAGAAAATTGGATTATCAGAAATGAAAAATCGGAAAATATATTTTAAAAAGGCGAAGGAATTAGATTAAAGAGAAAATTTTTTTGGCAAATGCGTGTTTTTTGGGGAAAAAGGAAATGTCGCTCCATTGAGAAGATAGAGGAAATTTCGCCCCAACGAGAAAATTGAGGAAATGTTGCTCCAATGAGAAGATTGAGGAAATAGCGCCCCAATGAGAAGATTGAGGAAATGTTGCTCCAATGAGAAGATTGAGGAAATAGCGCCCCAATGAGAAGATTTTTTGAATTATGCTCATTCTCGGTAACGCAAACCGGACGCGCCCCGGACGCTTCTGAGCATTTCTAGTGATCACTTTAGGGGCGTCAGCACTCTTAAGTGATCCCTATAGTTTTAATGATCCCTTTATCGGCGTCAGCAATCAAATAGTTGAAAAGATCTTGAGGGGTCACTTAAGAACCCTGAAGCCCCTAAAGCGATCACTAGAAATGCTCTGACACGTCCGGAGCGCGTCCGGTTTGCATGACAGAGGTCCGAGGGACTGAAACTTGAAAGATTTGTTAAATTTTCAAGAGAAACCTATCTTGAAACTTTTCAAGTAAGATCCCCGTTTCAGAAGCTGGAACGATTCCTGGAAATCATCGCCGATATGCTCAATCAAGGCATGAAAAGCGGCCGGATCGGCCACAGTGTCCTTCAAATTTTGCCTCAGGTGAAAATTCAAGTTTTTCAGATTTTCTGGAAAATTTTTGGTTTGAAAATGGCCTCCTTGAAAATATTCATAACGATTCCGTTGTCCGAAAAAAAAACGAAAAAATTGGTGGAAATAGCGCTTGAATTGGAGAGACGCAGACTTCTCTTTTTCTCTTGAAATTCTCCTTTTACCTCACTCTCTCACCTTTCAGTCTTGGTGACGAAAAACATTTTTAGTTTTAAATAATTATACCAAGGATAAAAAATCAATCGAGTTAATCTTATAAACGAAACTCTTCATAGTGATCCTGTTGACGAAGAAAAAACTGGAGTTTTCAAGAGAAATAGCGTCTAAATTGGAGAGACGCAGAAATCTCTTTTTCTCTCAGCTCTCTCTTTTCCCACACTCTCACTTTTTGATTCTTAAAAAAAAATAAGAGAAAAACTTATTTTCGCTTAGTTTGAGCATTCAGAAAGAGAGAGTATGTAAATTGTGGAGACGCATACATGTCTTTTTCTCTCGCGCCTCTTTCTCTTTCACACTCTCAATTTTAAATTTTGATAGGGGAAAGTATGAGAAAAATTGATCGCTTTGAGTATGTTCCAAGTTTCACAAGAGAGATAGCGTGAACTGAAGAGACGAAGATTTCTCTTTTTCTCATCTGCCTCTCTCTATTCCACACTCTCTCACTTTTTGATTCTTGATAAAGGAATTTATGAGAAAAATTGATCAGATAGAATATGTTCCAAGTTTCGCAAAAGAGATAGCGTGGGAACTAAAAAGACGTAGACTTCTCTTTTTCTCTCTCATCTCTCTTTTTTCCATATTATCTCACTTTTCAATATTGATAACGAGAAATATGAGCAAAATGAGAGTTTCGCGGGGTTTGAGCATTCATAGAGAGAGTGTGTGTAAACTGAGGAGACCTAGACGTCCTTTTTTTCTCTCAAATCTCTTTCTTTTCCACGCTCTCTCACTTTTCAATATTGATAACGAAAAATATGCAAAGACAGGGCAAGTTTGATTCTCATGGGATTTACAATTAGAAATAGGGAGTGTGTCTACTGAAGAGACGTAGGAATCCTTTTTTTTTCTCATTCTCCTCACTTTTCTCCACACTCTATCAGTAATCCAAGAAAAAGTAGAAGAATAATGAGGAAAATGGATTTTTGTGAGATGCCGAGAAGCCGCTTTAGGGTTTTTTTCTGGAAAAAAGGTCGAAAATTCGTCGCGCCATCTTTCTCTCTATCTTCTTTTCCCTCTCCTCTCTCGGAAGGCTTTTTCGTCGCTCCGCCCCCTGTTGCACGGCAAAACCGTTCGCCGACAACATTACACAGTTTTGCCATGGAGCCGTCGCTTCTTCCTCCAATTTTCTTTTTTCCTAGGACGGACCTTTTTAATTCACAACCAGTTCTTATTTTTTTTTTTCCCCGGAAGCTTCTAAAAATTACCTTTTAGGTTCAAGATTTTTGATATTTCTTAGATTTTTTTGATCAAGTTAGTCCAAATGGAAACTGCGAAAAATCACTTTTTTTCAATTTTTCGGTATACTTTTTGAAATTTCTTCTAATTTCTATCTTTTTAAATTATTTCTCTAAGTATCTTTGAATGGTCAGACTTCCATTTTTGGTAGATCGACTTGACAAAACTGAGACATTGAGATTTGTACAGTTTTTTTCAGGTACCCAAGAAATAATGATAAAAGCCTATTAAAGAAAAAATATGAGCTCTTTTTAATCTTCACCCTTTTTGAACCTGTATATCACTGATTTTTGAATTTGCATTGATTTTTTTGAATATTTCACAGCCGTAGAATTATTCTAATTTATGATATTTTTTTGTTTTAAAAAGCCCCCGTGAAAAAAGCAAAGAGTTATTTCAGTCGAATTACAAGATTTCGGACTTTTTTTACATTAGATATCAATTAGTGCCCCCCAAGCCTACTATTGAGGGGAGGGCGCCTTGATATCCCGAAAAAAATGCGTGATCACAGTTCACACACGTGCTTCTGATTATTTAGCACCAGGTTCCAGGCGGCTCCGCCCCCTTTTTTTAAAAGATACTGTAGACAGTAAACTGAAAAAAATTAATTTTTTTCCTGTTGAGAAATTCATTCAAAAAAATGCTTGGAAAGGTAAGAAAAACACTATTTTGAGTATTTTTTTCAGTTACAACTTTTTTTTCTAACTCGACTTCTTTGGGGAGGAAAAATATTTTTTTTTCTTCAAAAAAACAGCGATTTTTTTCAGTACACAGAAAAAAACGCAAGAAAAACAAATTTCAGGAAGAAAAAAACGATTTATTTCAATATTTCTAGGTTATTTGAAGTTCAAGGTATACCAAATCTTACGAATTTGTTCACAGTATATTTTGAAAAATTTGGAATTTCTGGTATTTTTTCTTTTGTCTCATTAGCAAGTATTTTGTTTTCTTTTTCTGTTATTTTTCTGAAAATTTAATATCCATTTTTATCTTTTTGTTCTAGAAAACTCCTTTTCAAGTTTTTTTTTTCCTTTAAATATTTAAGCTTTTTTTCCAGGTCCTGAGTCATTTGGGATTTTATGAACAAAACGCCGATGCTTCTCCTTCCGTCGGAATCATCATTTCGCTCTTGGAAAAAGGTATTTTTTTGCTCTTAATTTTTGAAAAAAAGTGTAGAAGTTTTTCTTTGTGAAATATATTTTAAAGAAGTAGATACATTTTTTTCTTTATAAATTCATTTTTTCCTGAAGATTTACGGATTTTTTTGGTATTTTCAATGGATTTCAACCAGTTTCCCGATGTTTTTTCAAAATTCTATCATCCAACTTTATCAATCGATTCCAGATCGGAAGATCGCCGAAATGTCCCCCAATGAGAAGCCGAATGGTTCTCGACGCCCTTTGCTCCTTGTTAGTGTGCAATAATGACAGTAAAGTCTGCTCTACCGCACTATCGATGGTTTGTTTCATTTTTTCGGGCTGGCCCGACCCGAGTTCTAGGTCCCCTTTCCATTCCATCTCCTAAAGTTCTCCTCGAAAAAATATCTCAATTCGTTACTTAGGAACGCCAGAGTGGTCCCTAGAGAGGTTGGGAGGGAAACCGCCCCTATAGGGTGGTATTCAAGTGGTCCCTATAAAGGTTTAGGGTCTGTATATAATATATAAGTGATACCTATAGGGTTTTAGGGACTGTATTTAGTAATCAAGTGGTCCCTATAAGTGTTCTAGGTCTGTATATAATATTCAAGTGGTCTCTATAGGGGTTTAGGGTCTGGATATTACGTTCAAGAGGTCCCTATAGGTTTTAGGGTCTGTATATAATATTCAAGTGTTCCTAATAGGGTTTTAGGGTCTGATCAAAAACGTCATTTTTGTCGATCATATATCTGACCTGAAAAAAGCTCGGGCTTCTTGGGTCAGGCCGCCCGTTTTTGGTTGAAGCCCCGGACAGGCCCTTTTCGAGACCCCTGACCTCGGTTAAGCTCACCCAAGACGCTACTAAGCAACCCTAGGGACCACTTAAGAGTTCTAACGCCGCTAAAAAATATTGGGCTCACCAATACATCGGCTTGATTCCACCCCAGGCTTTTGCGCGCGAAAAAAAGATTTGAAAAAAAAATCCAGCCGACGTATGAGCTTACTATAAATACTCCGTTATAAGCTGCTGGCATGATTTGTTTTTTTCCAATACTTGTTGCTAACTTTGAACCAATCTCTATTTTGTTCAGATATTGGAATCGCTTTCGAGCAATATTCCGACTTTGAGACGTTGTGCCGCCGAAAAACTCTATGAACACTTCTGTTGTGATCCGGAGGCTGATGATGAGGTTCTTTGGTTTTTTTTTTGTTGAAAAATCTCAAGAAAAATAATGGATCCATTCCAAATGCCGGCCGAGCTGTCGAAAATTTGAACTTTATTAAGAACTATGCGAGAAAAAGTCTTCTCTCCACGGAATTCCGAAGAAAAAATTTTCATTTTTCAAACATTTTACGGCTTTTCTTGTATGTCAAAAAGTATTGAAACTTATTTTTCACCCATAAAAGTTCCCAGGTGCTCCAACTCCTCTGCGAGACTAGCTGGCAGGACAACGATGACGTCACGAGCGCCCTCAACGCTGCCGCCGACGTCAAACAACGTCTTCTGAATCCAATCAGATGACGTCCGATCTGAATTCCAGAATCCCCTTGTTTTTTTTTTCCATTGTTGAATATTGCATGTTTTCCTTTTTGGTCGATTCATTGCTGGCTTTATTGGAATTTTTGAGGTTTTTTTTTTAAATTGAGGTGAAATTGTTTTGTAACGGTAGGTTTTACGCTGGGAAGAGTGTGAAAAAATAGGTTAATAATTTTTTTGAAAAGATGGAGGGTTACTGTAGTTTGATTTCGTGTCGGGACCTTTTCGATTTTTTTTTCCACATAATTAAACATTGGAGCTCATTTGTTGTATATATTATCCTATATCAAAAAGTAAGTTTTTCGAGTTAGATGCTCAGGTCAGCAAGGTTACTGTAACTTTGAGAATTCATGAATTTCCCGAAAAAAAATTTTTTTTTCGAGTTTTTCTCAAGAAAATGAGCTTTTTTCCTATAAATTCCACGACTCCTTGATTTTCCATTTACAAAAACTTTCAAAACTTCAGAAAAATTCGATTTCAAGCCAGTTTTGAATGGACTAATCTCCATTATTTTTGACCAAATATTTATTTTTTTTTTCTGCTTCTTTCAGTTTTTTTTCATCGCGTTGTACTGTTTTCCTTTTCGCTAGTGATCTCTTTTCATTTTTCTCCGATGTTTTGAAATTTTTTCGGTTGTGACTTATTTTTCATATTGTTTTGCTTGCTACGGGAGCTTTTACAATGAAATTTTGATTTTCTTCTTTTTTAAAATTTCCTTTTTTGAATCGTTTCCTGACGATTTTTGAATATTTCAATTCTCGTTCTCTGTCGAATTTAATTTTTGTAATTTTTTTATGTCGCATTATTTTTTTAATTATTCATTTTCAGCCAATCGATTGGATTGACACACTCGCGGTGTGTTTTTTTGCGGCTTTTTGAGAGGTTCCTTTTGAATATCTGAGATTTTAGGTGGGAAATTCGACAATATTAGGTTGAAAAATTCCACAAAAAAAGAAAAATAAGTAGAAATTTGAAAGAGAAGAAAAAAATTAATTTGATACAGTTCTTCAAGAGAAAAACGTTTTAGCGGTAGAGCGCACTTTGAAAAAAATGCTAAAAGTAGAATTTTTTTGAATAGAAAAAAATTTTTTTTTAATAGATGTTTCAAGAGAAAAATGAGATCTTACATCATTTTAGCGCTAGAGCGCGCTTTAAAAAGAAGGCTTTGATTTTTTTGAATTTTCTTTTTTTCGGCTTCTGGAACAACTTTGACGTTTTTTTGATGGCCCACTTCTGAAATTTCCCATTTTTATACATTTTTTTGATTTTTTTGAATTTTTTTGGCACCGAACGGTTTTTTTCGATGACTCATTTTCGAAATTTTTTTCTTTTTTTTTTGACTCAAAAAAATATTAATTTTCAAAAAAAGCCTATTGAAAGCTTCGAGCGTAAAAAAATCCAAAAAAATGAAATTTTGAAAAAAATGAAGAAAAAAATGAAGTTTTGTGGGTTTCTCGACTCACTTTTTTTGAAAAATTTCTGAATTTTATTTGATGAAAAAGTAAAAAAATAGTTTTTTTCAAGAATTTTTTTGATTCCTAATTTTTTTCAAGTTTTCTAGTTCTAAATGTCTAACTGCAACCTTTTTCAATAAATTTTTCAGCCATGATAAATTCTAAAAAAATAAAAAAATTAACCAGAACTTTCAAAAAGTAATTTTAAGAACTCCTTTAAAAAAATGAGCTCCTGAACTTCACAGGCAAAGTCCAAATGACCTCGAAAAGGCCTTAAAAAAAAGAAGCTAAAGCTCCTTTTTGAGTTCCTAAAAGTTGTTTAAAGCTTCTCGGAATCTCCTTTTTTGCCTTATTTTTCTAGTCCTCCTTAAAAGGTCCTTATCAGAAAAAGGTCTAGAAAAAAGGCGCCTTTGAGACTTTTTTCCAAAAGTCCTATTTGAGACCTTTTAGACTTTCCCCGTGTTTCCAAGAAGTATTTCTGAGGATTTGAACTTTTTGTTGAACTCAACACTTTTTTCTCTAAAATGTGAACTTAACGTAAAGTTTATGGTATTGTTTGATCTACAACTCCTATTGAGTAGTTCATTTCTTAGGTTGATTTTTTGATTTTTCATGGTTCACGGGCAAAGTCCAGAAGGTCTCAAAAATGAATTTTAGAAGAGAAGCCTTTAAAAAGCCTCAAATGCGACTTTTTTTAGACCTTTTTTGAAAAGGGCCTTCAAAGGAGGTGTAAAAAGGAAGGCGAAAAAAGGTGGGAAAAAAGGAGATTCCGAGAGTTTTTCGACACCTTTTTTTAGAAACTCAAAAAGGAGCTTTAGGCTCTATTTTTTGAGGTCTTTTCAAGGTCGTTTGGAATTTGCCTGTGTTTGAAATGTTCAACCATACCTAATCTAATTATTTTCAGATCGCTCGTTGACTTCTTTGCTGTTTTTTTGAAAAAAACAATCTTCAAATATGACGGAAATTGCTGAAAAGAAAGCCTTGCAGCGCGTCGTTGGCGCCTTGTCCTCTCTGGGACACGGCAAATTTTTTTCTCCCCATGAAGTTTCCCGACAGATGATGTGAGTTCCAGAAGAATGAAACTTCAGAAAAATTGACCTGAAATTTAATTTTTTTGAGAATATTACTCAACTTTTTCGAAAATTTTGGTATAGAAAAATAGAATAGTTCAGACCCTGAAACCTTGAAAAATCAAAAAAATTTGATTTTTGAGACATTTTTCTTGTGATTTTCGAACCACTTTTTTGGCGCAAGAATCGAAAAAAATTTCAAGTTTGGAAAAAAGATGGAAAAAGTGACGAAAATTGCAACTTGTTGGAAGATTTGGTATAGAAAATAGATAAATTCAGACCATGAAACCTCAAAAAATCGGAAAAATTTGAATTTGAGACATTTCTTGGGATTTTTCGAACCACTTTTTTTCGGCGAAAAAAAAAAAAATTGAAGTTTGAAAAAAATGATAGAAGAAGTGTCCAAACTTAAATTCTAAAAATATAAATTTGGGGCTGAATTCAACCTTTGAACCTTTCAAAAAAATTAAAGAACGTTCCATTCCTCGGCGATTTTTGAACCAAGACTCACCAGAGAAAATCGAAAATTGAAAATCAAAGTTTTGAAAAAATGATCAAACTTTTGTTTGACTGAATTTTTAGAAAAATTAACCGAATATATCAATTCAAAAAAATGTATTTATGAAAAAAATATGAGAAAAATTTGGCTCTAAGGCTTCAAAAAAATCGAAGAAGATTCCTTTTTGAGAAATTTTTTTGGCGGTTTTTTTGTCTTTGATTTTTTTCGAATCAAGTCTTTTTTAAATTTTGAAGAAGATAAAATTGTAGCTTCACCTTGACTTATAAAAATCAGTGAAAAAATAATGGAAATTATTTTTTTTTTGTTGAAGGAATCTCACGGGCATGTCGTTAGACGAGATCCTCAGGGACGCAAATTTCCGAAACCTCTCCGATTTGGCTCAGGCGTTCCCCGAACAACTCTCCAAACAGGTGATTTTATGATTAGATGTAATCTTTTCCTGCGGCGCGCGAGTAGTTTCAAGTCGGATGCTCGGAAATTTAAGTTTTATTCAATTTTTACGGTCTTTACATGGCTCTTGGCTGGAAAAAAACAGTAACGAATGTGGTAAATAATTTTTTTTAATTCAATTTTTCATCCAACTGTACATTGGGAAACCAAGGAGAAATATAAAATTTTACAAACGTTTGAATTTGAATTCCCCGCCAAAAAATGCGGCCGCAACGCTTGTTAAAACAGTAGAAAAGTGAGCAAGAAATAGCAGTACTCGAAAAAAATCCTAGTGGTCACTTAAGAGCTTCCTCAAGGACTACTTGAGAAGACACTATAGTGGCCTCTAAACCCAGCTCTATAGAAGCCACTATTTTTCGTCTCAGTGGCCACTAAAGTAGTTTTTTTTTAGTGGTCTAGTAGTGTCACTTGAACTTCTGAAGTAGTCATTAAGTTTTAGTCACTATAGTGGCCACTGATTCGACTATTTATTGGCCACTAAAACGTCACAACCCTAAAGTAGCCACTAGAAATTTCGTCAGCACCCCGACTTTTTGATATACTTTTAAGGAAAGAAGAATGGAGCAAATTATTTCATTCTTTTTTTAAAAAATGTTTTTCGATTCCAGGGAGATCGGTTCGCGGTCAAAATCACTGATGCCAATCGCGCCCACGCGATGAACGGAGAAATGAAGATCTCCAAGAGCAGAGGTAGGTTTTGAGAAGCTCTCGAACATTTTTGGTTGGGAATTGTCGGAAAATTGGTTCTTGATGTATCCGGAAAGTCTCAACGGGAGTATTTTTCTAGTTTTTGAGATCTCAAAGGACCTGGCCATTTTTTACGAATTTTGGTGTTTTTGAGAGTCCCCACCGGCTTAAATACTCAGGTAAAAGTTGGGAAGATCTGCTTTCGGTTCCTCGGAAGGCGTTTGGAAGCTTCCAGCAAGCTTCTGGAGACCATTTTCACCTTCAAAACACCTTTCAAAGGCTTTCCCAAGGCCTTCTAGCTTTCCTACACCTTCCAACCTCCTGCTGATACCTTCTCAGAATTTTTCTGAGAAAGGGCTACCAACTACCTTCTGAACACCTTCCCACGGCCTTCCCAGGACCTTCTAGCCTCCATTCACCTTCCAAACTCCTTCTCACTCAGGATTCGACTGAGTAGCCAGTTTTTGAAAAATCTGAACTTGAAAGAACTGTTTTAGACGGTTTTCTTTAACTTTGAAGAGCTATTTTGGAATATAAGAACTTCAGAACTTAAGAACGCCAGAGTGGTCCCTATAGGGCTTATGGAGAAAACAGCCTCTATAAGAACGAAATGGTGATATAGCATTATATACAAATACTACGAAACGATCACATTGCTGTCCCACTTTGCGTCCATTACTGAAGTTTTAAAATTTCCACGTGTTCGAAGATCACGTGGCGATACACAAACAGCAGTTTCTGCTGAGAAGTGTATCTCATTCCCAAAAACTTCATGCGCCCTCGCCGATCGGTTCTCCACTGGAGAGCCAGCTGTTTTCCAAACAGCCAGTATCGGTCTTGAAGTCGTCAAAGTCCCGTACTTGGGCCAGAAGCTATGCTTCTGTGGATCCTTGTGATCCCGCTATACTAAACCGCTTCAAGTAGCGTCGTAGCTTGGTCAGAGGTCTTTCAAGTAAGACCTCCATCGTAGTACAACTACATGGCATAAAGCCATCCGAGTTGATCGAAATCTGGTGAGGCTAACGCCAAATCACCAGCTTGCTCCAAGCAGAGTCATGCTTGGGGGAGGTACGAAGCAATACCTCTATCGTAGTACTACTACGTGGCATAAAGCCATCCGAATTAATCGGAATCTGGTGAGGCTAACGCCAACCCACCAGCTTGCTCCAAGACGAGTTATGCTTGGGGGAGGTACGAAGCAATACCTCTATCGTAGTACTACTACGTGGCATAAAGCCATCCGAATCGATCGGAATCTGGTGAGGCTAACGCCAACCCACCAGCTTGCTCCAAGCAGAGTTATGCTTGGGGGAGGTACGAAGCTATACCTTCATCGTAGTACTACTACGTGGCATAAAGCCATCCGAATTAATCGGAATCTTGTGAGGCTAACGCCTACACACTAGCTTACTTAAATCATAGTTATGCTTGGTGGGAGGTACGAAGTAATACCTCAATTGTAGTAATTGCTACAAAGCGTCTAGTAACCTGAATAAAATCCCCATGAAGACAAGGGATAAAGCACTAGATCGCTCCAAGCATTGGTCGCTTTCTCAGACTCTCACGTCTCGAACTCTACGGGCATGCTGCCACATGAGTAGAATCAGGCTCTGAGGAAGTTAAGACCTTGTATATATCAAGTTAGATATATACATATATGACGGCATGAACAAGCCATCTTCAAGATCAACCCATTGAAGAGAAAAAAATAGTTCAAAAACTCCAGAGCTTCAATTATAGCTAGGAGAAAGGAGCACCCGGAAAGAGGGGCTCTGTCAGACATCGAGTCAAGAAGACTTGATCTGTGTTGAGTTGAGGAGCGACCAAATAAGGTGTTCCTTAGACAATGGTAGGGAAAAATCCCCTCACTGTCAAAGTTAACCAGATCGAGAGTTGCCCTAGAGGATCTCAGTTCAGTAGAACTTACAGGACGGGTTTGTCCTGCTAAGATCCGAAAAGTCGAAATCTAAATATATCATACTGACACCAAAAATCAGTAATCACTCGACTAAGGGTAAAATTGCCACCTCAAGCATGTCTCTCTCTCGCAAGACGGCACTCAATGTTATGAGTGTTCGAAGAACCTTCCAACGAAGGTCGGTCCCGAGCACAGCGTGAAAGTTTAAAAAGGGATCAGAGCGGGATAACGAGACCCAAAAGATTTTTGAACGCTCCGAAATTCTTCCAGCGTATAAAAATCAAATCCTCCGCGGCACAAAAAAATGCCCAGAAGGACGACATCAGCTCACGGCTGGAAAGTTTGTCATCACAAAGTGAGACAAGACCTCGTACTCCGAAACTGGAAGTTGCTTCGACACACTTTGAAAAAGCATTCCAATCAAAAAGCCCGATAACCGGAGTGATAGCGCATGCTAACAGTCTGGAAAGGGAAGAGAGTTACAAGGTAAAAAAAGTATGACGATCGCTTCTTCCGTGCAAAAAAACGTTGCGTTACGGATGACGACCAGTTTGATTCTGTATCAGAATTAAAAAAACGTCATAGTGTCAGATTCTAAAAGCAAGGCGGATCTGATATAAGCCGATCGAGAGCACGCAACAGTGCCAAGTCCAGCTGAGACTTTCCATCATATGGTAGGATCCAACAGGAAATATCGATGGAAAAAGGGCCTAATAGGAATTAGTCGGAAACTCGACGGAGCCTAACAGTGCCAAACGGGGACAGTCTGCGAACTAAAGTGAGACGTCCTCGTGGATCCGAAAGCTGCAGTGATTGGGTAGCTGACATTCCGAATCTTCGCTATAAGCGATAAAAAAAGATTGGAACGTCCAAAAACGGATCGCAATCAAGAGGAACGGCCATATCTAGTCTTCCAAAACGAACAAAATGTTCGGGGTTCCACCGGAGGCGTTCAAGACGCTTAGGTGGGAGCGGAAGGCAATAAGCCTACGTGAGTCGTCTACCGCGACGGCGATTCACCGGAGTTTCTCTTGAGTGCTCTGAAAACAGAGGTTTCATCGCAAGAAACAGTAATCGACAGTCCAGAGATTCCTGGACGGCGCTGTGTGCTACAGTCATAGCAGGATTACTGGGCGAAACCTTATAAATGAGCGTATTCGATTGCTTAAATAGGCGAATAAGTATAATCGAAACCCTGGAGAGCAGCTTCCCAAAACTCTATCGAGCAAAAAGGATGCCCTAGCTACCAATCCTCCAGAAGTACTATCAGCAAACACTCTTATGACCGTCAGCTGAAGGGCGAAGTCGGAGATTTTTACTTCGGCTAAGAGCCCATGAAAAGAATTCAGTGATGCGTAATCATAGAGAACTTCTGAGAAGGAATAAGCCTGATAGATAATCCACGAAAGGAAAAGAAATTTCCAAAAGAATCCTTGCAAAGAGGCGGGGAGGTATCGTGGTATGCGACCTCAGCGGAAGTTACGTCAGAAAGTTAGACGCTTCCAGAAAGAGGTCACTAGACTTGTCCACGTGCTTATTGAAATCAATCAGATGGTACATTCGGAAAGGTTCAAAGACCGAATAAGAGGACCAGGGAATTGTTCCACTGGCGTCTCCATTGTGATCATAGATTTCCGATAGCACGCAAGTCAGTTCAATGAATCAGAGATCAAGAAATCCCAGAGCGGATAGGAACTCAAAGGAGGCCTCCAGTGGGATAATATTGCATCATATATGATCTCTGGAAAGAGCTTAGCCGGTAAATCGAGTGGTTCAACCATCAGAAAATACCGCAAAGCAGACCAATGGGGAAACGGAGAGCAAGCGTAACAAGGGAAGAACCTCAAAACGCTGGTCGCTACGACCTCTCGGTTCCACCAGGTTCATTGGACGCCACAGATCGCACAGGAAACGCAAAGAAAGGGACTAGAAAATGGACGAATCTTCGGATGAACGGTTCATAACAGTCCTGGCGAAATATCATTCCTGGAGAGGCGAACCTTGGCAGATTCGTAGATCCTGACGGATCCAAGAGTGTAGGTTATGCACCAAGTGAGAATCCCAAGTTCGAGCAAATCTGTGTAGAGAAAGCGAGAATCTGTTTGGAACTAAAATACGCCGTTCTATGAAACGTCGTTATTTCCAATAAGCCTAATGAGCTATTGGATTCGGGATTCCAGTTTAGATTTTTTTTTTCTCGGTATGGAACAATGCAGTAGTTCCATTGCTTACTAGCAGGATTGATTCGAACAACTTTTGAATTCAGAGGTGCTCAAAGAGAAGCAAAGACAAACCTCTCCAATTGCTAGAAGAACGGTGTCGAATACTAAGAATTCGTCTGAACAAATAACTAACAGGTCTCGGACGATAGCTATCGCTAGTGTGAGACCAGGGCAAGCTATGCTCTCAGTTATCAGACTGAACGGGATTCTTAGCTATTAGAACGGTGAAAAACTGGCTTCGGACCCAGATAGGCAGAGCAACCCTCGAATCGGTTGGCGATCCGTAGAGGAGCACTGAAAGAAGTCCTGAGAAGCAGTTCTCTCTAAACTAAGCGAAATTGTGTCAAAAATACACATCGCGAAATCCTGAAACAGGACCGTTAAGGCCTCAGGAGACCCATCAAAGAGAGACTATCATCGTGCTCACACCGAGCTAGTTCAGGAGGCACACACAACAAAGAAGTTGAAGGTTGAGGTTTAGAGGCTGAGCTATCAGTCGAAGGCGTCGCCAGATGGCCCCTTCGCGAGGAGAGCTTCAGATAACGCTCAAACGCCTTGCAAGCAGGAAAAATCCCAAATTCCGAGGCTTTGAACTAGCAATGTGATCGTTTCGTAGTATTTGTATATAATGTTATATTTTTGCTAGACAACGCAGTTGTTGAAGTAAAAATATCAATTATATATTAATACGAAGAAACGATCAGATTTCCCACCCTAGGTATCTTCACAAGAGAAGATACATTTTTCCCACCCGTGGGGAATTTGGTGAGGTAATCAAAGCGTACAACAGGCGCAGAAGGTCAGTGAAAAAAATACGGGCATACCCGCATGGCCATCGTTACTGTTAACAGCAGCTCAGCTGAACCGCTACAAATTGGCGAAACGGTTGTCTGAGGTGAAGCGAAGAACAAAAAGTGAAGCCGCAACGCTCAGGTCATGCCGCACACAAGAGCTGCGTCATTCCCAAAACAAGAAGTGTAAATTAACTTCGAACATGGTTCGGGCTCGGACGCATGAAGTTTTTGGGAATGAGATACACTTCTCAGCAGAAACTGCTGTTTGTGTATCGCCACGTGATCTTCGAACACGTGGAAATTTTAAAAACTTCAGTAATGGACGCAAAGTGGGACAGCAATGTGATCGTTTCTTCGTATTAATATATAATAGATATTTTACTTCAACAACTGCGTTGTCTAGCAAAATATAACAATAATCGACTAGCATGTACTCTATTGGGGGCACTTTTGCAAGCTTTAGAGGGCATAGGGCTTTATAGAGGAGGTAAAGTGATCTCGAGTAGTTCCAAGCCTTGAACTTTCGATAATGAGGCTCACTGGTGGGAACAGTGAGATCGGCTCACGCGATCTGATAGATCACGTGTGAGCCGAAGATTTTGAGTTCAGATAAGAAGGATGAGAAAAAACAACGTGATCGTTTCATAGTATTTGTATATA